CGATTTGAGAGGTTTGGCTCGATTTGAGAGGTTTGGCTCGATTTGAGAGGTTTGGCTCGATTTGATACTAAGTACTTACTATGTAGTACATAGTAGCAGGTACATACATACTATGTACTATGTAGTACTTGTAGTACCAAATATACGTAGTATGGTATAGTACTGTATAGACTTAAATACATAGTAAGTACCACTAAGATACTATGTTGTAGTAGTGTTAGCGCTGTATAGTGGTACTGCTACATAGTACCTAGCTGGGTAGTAATTATTACTGTATGATACATCAATGGTATGTGTTGATCCTGTGTTGATGCCTTGGCACCCGTTCGGGAACAAGGCCTGCCGCTTTACTCGGCCATCATGTGACCTGGCTCAACTTTTTGCTCAGGCAGTCGCTCACCCTCCTTGCCGTTGGTGCATACATAAAGTACATACTGAGTATTACTACATAGTAGTATTATGTACTTAGTATGTAGTATCTCTATTCTCTTGCCATACTGATCTCATCGCCGATTGTCCCGCTGTCGCCGCCGACTGCAGCTTAACAATGCTACATACAAGATAAAGTACTATGTACGTCTCGGCTAAAGCTTGCCCCGACAACACCTCTGCTTCACATTTCCCTGAAGAATGCAGCATCAGGTCTGCAGGACTTCTAAGTTCTCCACAGAAGTCATGATGGCGGATTAATGCAGTACTTATGGTAAGTGTGCCTGAACACAGCGGAGGGCGAATCTTCGTCGCCCAATCAATTACGATGCTACTGCTCTAACTCGGTTTTGGTTTTACTCCTTGCTGGCCCGGAGCTTGTCTCCATTAGATCTCAGGCACGGATCCTGAGAGAGTTGAGGCTGAATGTGCCGTCTTGTTTGAAAAGAATGATAGCTGTCGGGTTGCCTTTCCTGAACTTCACACGAAAGGGCTCGGAGATGTCATGGGTTCCCAGATCGTCGTCCTCATACTCGGCGGTTGAGTCGCTCTCCAACCACACTTTGACCGACATTGAAGGGGTTGGAGGTGTTATCAAGCCCCTGCCAGGAACCCAGACCGGAAGCGTCCTATAGCGTGTCGGTGCAGGTCCAGGGTCGTCTTCGGTCCTTCGAAGCACAATAGGCGAAGCAGAGATTGAGTTCTCGAATCCCAGAGCATCCGACGGGACCCAGCTTGCATCTTCGATTTTGGCCACTCCGCTGTTATCAAGTCGGTAGACTTGCCCAAGCTTGACCTCCTTCGCCTGAAGGACTTCAGAATCTGGTGATAGGATGTTAGGTGTCTGACAACGTCCTGACTTGAGTTTATCATTTCCTCTGGATGGACTCAACGCTTACTTGGATTGAACTCTTTGGCGTAGCCGATGGAATAGTGAACAGCAGCAGCAGCTCTGGCTGAAAAGGTCACCTTGACCGGTGTTGAGGAGTCGAAGTCTGTACAACATTGAAGTCATTCAGCATTCAGGCCTGACAGCCTTTCCTTGTCCACGTGGCACTCACTCAGCGCTTTTCCTCCTATCACCGTCGTGTCGAACCCTTTGTCATCTTCGGGATAGCCTACACAGATTCTGTAGGCATTGTTGTTGAGGATGCCGGCTGCCTTGTGGTTCTCGATGTTGATGGTCAGCGCATACTGAATGTCTACCCCGCTCGACGTGGTTGGGCATGACATCTTGATTTCTGTCGAGTGTCAAAATGCAGTGGTTGAAGAGGACAAGCTGGGATGGACCGCCTCGAGAACAAGCTTGAAAGATCCGGGCCACGATGGCTGGGTTTGGTCTGCTTTGGTTTATTCATGCATCGAAAGGCAAGGCCGATACGAGTCAACGCCTGCTCCGGGCGACGTGGGCGACGATTGTGGCAGGAAGACTGTCTTCCCTGCATATTCACGAGCCTATACTATCGACTGTCGTCCAGTTCTCACCGTTTGAGCGATGTCAGGTGCTTGAGACTTCGCTTTGTCGTCCTGATTTGGCAGATCGAGCGGTGTTTCTTCGATGGCTGGCTGGAAAGAGGTGAGTCCCTCAGCTCAAAATCAACTGCATATTCGCAGCCTTACCTCACAACCGTCAAGTTTTAGCGATGAACGCGGTCTAGACTCGCTAGCTCTTGCGGACGAAGCCTTGTACCACCTTCGTCCAAATCTGGCATCATGTTGATTGGCCCCAACGTGGCGACCTCCCAATGTGGCGGACCTGAGCTGAGAGCTGAGAGCAACGCCTCGCAATATTCCCTGCTCTCTTTATATCACAACCCTGCTGATCAGTGTCACGTTGAGCGGTCGCGTGAAAGGTCGCTCTTGATGTGACGAGGTCGAAGGGCCTTGATGGCACCACGGAATTCCGGTCGAGGCATACTCATTCCCTCCGGTAGCGTATAAATATTTGGCCTTTCCCCTTCTTTCTTAATCACATCCAACCACCTAGTTCTTCCCTGCTGGCTTCAAGTTGGAAAGATGCCCCGGTCAAGTTACACACTTACGATTAATGTCCCCAATGCCACAACGCTTGACATTCTGAAAAGCGCACCGTACACACTTCGTGTCGGAAAGCCTCCAAAGGATGAGGCCGAAAAGCTTTTCGAATCGAAGGACAATGTCATACCATTCGAATTCGTGGGAGGTCATGAATCGGATGAGAGTTTGTCAATGCGACATGGACGTCATCTTTCGGTCACTGACCTTATATTTCACAGAATGGTTCCCCAAAACAATTGTGACACTAACCTTCACTGCGGAGGGTTGGGTGTACTCGATCAGTTATAAGTCGCTGGGTGAGACAGGTAAGTCCTCCACCGTATACAGCCATGCAGCAAGACTCCCGCAGTTCGCATTTCACGAGTCCCCGAGACTTGTGTGTCCCAAGATGGCTGACTTGGTTTTCGAGCATTCTAGCCTTGCATGACGAGCAAGATATCGTCCCTGGACAGGTCTACGTCGTTCCCAAGACTGGAGCAGTAGAGAAACCAAGGCCCAAAATCGACAATGACGGGTTTATGAGGAACGATGTCTTTGGAGTCATCAACGCGACTCCTGTGGCGCTCGCGCTCAGGCGAAGGCCTAAAGACCCAGCCGCTTCATCATCGACTCTGGTTGCGCAGTATCCCACATGGTTTCCAGGATTCGGTATAATCAAACCTCCCGCTGACGGTGATTCTTCAGCGCCGAAGGAGATTTATGTTTGGTTCGAAACCCAAATCACTAGTACGGGGGCTCAGAAAGAGGTAGAGGCTCAACACGAGGTAACAGGTGTCAAAGTTACACTTGGAGAAACCCCTGAGCTCGCTCTGTATGTTCGTTCAGATGGCACAATTGCGGCCGAACAAGAGAGGACCGAGGACGGAATAACGCCGATTGCGATACCACTAAACAAGCAGAGCGGTAGTTCATAACCCAGTGAGAGTGGACGGGTAGTAACATGTAATGGAGACTGAGACTTCCTTGAGATGCAAGCAATCAAACTCGATGATTCATCTGTTGCTCTTCTCATCCTATGTAAGAATTGCGGTCTCCAGAACTTGATTGGATGTGTATCGTGGTGAACAGTGTTCTCGCCTCGGATTTGAGCAATACTCATGATGACAGTGCTACTTGTCGTGCAATATGGCTCCGACACCAGCAACTGGGGAGGCCTTGTCATTAATAGCAAGTTGCAATAATGGTTGGGAGAGGGCGTAGCCGCGCGCGCTGTTGGCCAACGTCCACGGGTGCGCCATAAGCTGGACCTGGTGGCTGTCCGTGGAGACCGACGTGGAATGCATCTACCAGGGCGACAAGAAGGAGAAGTCTCATCATATACCCAAACTGCGTTTATGCAGATGACCACAGCAAACGGCCTTTTCAGAGGAAAGGCTACGTCAAAGTCGCCATAAAGGAGACGGACGTCAAAATGGCTCAGGAAGCTGCATATTGTTCCGCCTACGAGAGTCGAAAAGCATAGCACCCATCGTCCCTCCAGTCTCCTCTTCCTCGTGCTGGGTACGTGATTGTCCGAGGGGCCACCGTATCCTCCGTGAGCTCGGAGCAGAAAGGGAAGATGGGTTCCTCCTACCTCGTATAGCCTTGCGAGAAGAAAGCGTTAGCACTGGCAGCCTCGGCGTCGATAACCACATCCTAATCCGCAGAGTTCCATCCGTCACCTCACCATTTGCGCCCCGATGGGTACAGAAGAGGGCAGGATGCGATACCATCGTGTCGCAAAGGCACGCGGCATCACTATGCATCGAGCAAGTATGTACTTACTCCTTTCTCCGTGGGGATCCTCATCCGATGATCGGTTGATGTGATCCCTTGCCTCGGATCCGGGGCTGTGGACCTTAGTTAATCCCAGTCTGGCTGGCAGCTGTCTCAAGGAGCGTGCCATCATTTGTGCAGTGGATCATTGTGCGCCTCGCGCCTTAGGCTGATAGGTCGGACGAAGGGAGGCAGTAGCTTGGCCGCCTATCAGATTCGTCGGAGGTCACTTCCATTCCTGGATACTTTTGGCCCAGCCAGATATACACTTTGTCAGACCCACGTCAATGGTTCACTCAAGCGCTGCCTCTTTCAACTCCCCCGCTGGATGTCATAACTCTTGCGCTCCTGTTCGTCACTGGGGAAAGGGGCCCCGTGTCTCAATGAGGGGTCGGCTCCACAGCATTGTTAAGTTCCAGCAAGAAGCTCCATTCCACAGAACATTGATCTTCATCATGGCCAATCACCGATGTTGAGATTCGACAGACGGGCAATATGAAGACATGGAGTCATTGTTCCTGATGGATGCCACTATCCGTGCATTATCCGGGTGCGTGTTGATCAGAGGACAGCAAAATCATACAAATGAGGCCGGAGGGAGGGGCGATGAAGAGTTGCGATCAACCCTTGGTTTCTGTCTCTCTTTCCGTAGCATCTGGACAAGCCGCCTGGCAGTATGGCTACTACTTCCACAGGTCTCGTTTCCTCTACCAAGCATGTTGTTGTTACTTACCCAGTCATCATTCTTGTGGGTCTGTTGGTGATTTCGCTGGTATACAACAGGCTCAGACCAGGGCTCAGAAATATCCCCGGTCCTCCAGTCGCAGCCTATACCAAATTCTGGAGGCTGTATGATGTCTACAAAGGGCACGCCCACATCACCGCCATCGATCTGCACAAAAAGTACGGCCCCGTGGTACGCATTGGACCCAACCACGTGTCCATCTCCGATCCTACATTGATACCGGTCATATATGGGATCAAGGAGAACTTTACCAAAACGGCCTTCTATCCGATACAATGCATCTCGTGGAAGAAAAGGCCAGAGATGAATCTCTTCTCGACCCGCGACCCGGAATACCATCGTATCGAGAAGCGCAAAATCGGGGCCGCCTATAGCTTGCCGAATCTATTACAGTCAGAAGCCGCCATTGATTCCTGTGTTAACCTGTTCATGGACCGCCTCAATGAATTTGCTTCAAAAAGAGAGCCCGTGGACCTCGGTGCCTGGCTACAATACTTTGCCTTCGATGTTGTCGGAGAGGTGACTTTCGCAAGCAAGCTTGGGTTTCTTGAGCAAGGTAAAGATGTCGATGTAAGTCTCGCAAATCTATTCCCACGCGCCTGCTGATCCGTGAAAACCAGGGCATGATGAAAGCAATTGAAGGCATGCTTGCGTATGCAGCACTCTGTGGTCAGGTCCCGGAGCTGCACCATGCTCTCCTCGGAAACCCACTCTTCACCCGCCTCATGCCCGCCATGGAGACCTGGAACCAAGTGCTAGTATTCACCCTCAAGGCGATCAACGGACGGGCAAGCATCAAACGAGACGGCGAGCTGATCAACGCCGACGTCGAAGGTCGTGACATGCTTAGTCGCTGGGCATATGTCAAGTCCTCCGATCCCCTCAAGATGAATACTCGCGACATTGTGGTTCACCTGTCGACAAATGTTTTTGCCGGCAGTGATACGACAGCTATCGCACTTCGTGCCATCATCTACTTCCTCTGCCGCCATCCAGAGTGTATGGATCGCCTGGTTGGTGAGATCGAAAACGCAGACAAGCAGGGGAAACTCAGTCAACCCATCACCTTCAAAGAAGCCACCACGCTACTTCCTTACCTAGGTGCCGTGGTCAAGGAATCCATGCGCCTTCATCCCTCGGTTGGCTTGCTCATGGAGCGACATGTCCCAGCTGAAGGCCTCACCGTCCAGGGTTACCACATCCCCGCGGGCACCATCGTGGGTATCAATCCTTGGGTTACTAATCGCTTAGATGTCTTCGGCCCAGAGCCGGAAAAATTCAACCCAGATCGATGGTTGACGGCGGCCGAGACCCAGCTGAAGGAGATGGACACCATCTGGGAGCTGAACTTTGGCGCAGGTAGCCGCAAGTGTATTGGTCGCAACATCTCCTGGATCGAAATCCACAAAGTCATACCTGAGCTGCTCAGACAATATCATGTCGAGTTGACATACCCAGAGAAGGACTGGCACATCTGCAACCATTGGTTCGTACAGCAGGAGGGCGTCATCTGCACCTTGAAGAAGAGGTGACTGGGGTAGACATCGAATTTATATGAGCTGTCAAACTCTTGTCGAATGGTAGATGAGATCGTTCTCTTCCAATGTAGTTATGTAGTGACGAGGCACATCCTGCTTGAGCTGCCACCGCAGAAATCGGAGTCGTTTGACGCTGATATGGCCATACCTATGCTTTCGGGGCCAATGATAGGGGCTGTAGGGGTGTCCACCGGCCGGAGCTCAGGGCGGCATCGCCATTGTCCCAAAGGAGCCTGAACCCGCAGTCCATCCACCGAGCCACTTGGCACTCCCTCCTGCGCTTCAGGTTGACCTGGACTCCGTAAAATGCGCCAGATCACCCGTTGACGCTGTCTTTCCACCAGCCCCGGATTGTGTCAGGTGTCAATACTCCTACACTCGGACTACGGCCCCGCTTGAGAAACTGCGAATCTGACAGACTCATGGATCGAGCAGCCCTCTGAGATGGCAAGGTAGCCCCTCAACCTCGAACTGCCCGCCACAATAGTTCGCCCAGATTCCGTGTCCCAATCGAGCCCGGCAAGATGGCGATGAACAGGGTGAGGAACGCCTTTGCGCCTCCAAAGAAAGGAGAGACTTTTGAATTGCGAGCTGGGCTTGTGTATGTGCACTGACGCCCCGGTGGAAATCCATGGACTAACTGAGTAATCCTAGATCCCAGTATGCCTACGAACGGTAAGCCCGACTGAAGTTGAAGCGACCTGCATAAGAGTCTCATGTCTTGATTATAGGAAGGAGGCCATTCAAAAGACCATCATGGCCATGACCTTGGGCAAAGATGTCTCCGCACTCTTTCCGGATGTCCTCAAAAACATTGCGACCTCTGACCTCGACCAAAAGAAACTAGTCTACTTGTACTTGATGTCAGTATGCCGGGCCTCGACCGAGTGCTTCAACATACTGACGTTGACCACAGGAACTATGCAAAATCACACCCTGACCTATGCATCCTTGCTGTCAACACCTTTGTACAAGATTCCGAAGACCCCAATCCTCTCATCCGCGCCCTGGCGATCCGAACGATGGGGTGCATAAGAGTTGACAAAATGATTGACTATATGGAAGAACCCCTGAGAAAGACGCTCCGAGACGAATCGCCCTATGTTCGAAAGACTGCCGCAATCTGCGTCGCAAAACTGTTCGATCTCAACCCTTCCATGTGCCTCGAAAATGGCTTTCTGGAAACGTTGCAGGAGATGATTGGGGATCCGAACCCGATGGTGGTAGCAAACTCCGTCCAAGCCCTCGCGGAAATCAACGAATCGGCACCCGAGACGAATGCCCTGCAGATCACACCCAACACGTTGAAGAAGCTACTCATGGCTCTGAACGAGTGCACGGAATGGGGCCGTGTCACGATCTTGAGTACACTGGCAGAATACAAGGCGCAGGACGTCAAAGAGGCCGAGCACATCTGCGAAAGAGTGGCGCCCCAATTCCAGCATGTCAACTCGAGCGTGGTCGTCGCTGCCGTCAAGGCTGTTTTCCTACATATGAGATATCTTCCGACGGAAACGCAACAGTCGTACCTGAAGAAAATGGCGCCTCCGCTGGTCACACTGGTATCTTCGGCGCCAGAAGTACAGTACGTTGCCCTCCGCAACATCGACCTTCTCCTGCAGAAGCAACCCGACATTCTCAGCAAAGAAATCCGGGTCTTTTTCTGCAAATACAACGATCCGCCTTACGTCAAATTTCAAAAACTTGAAATAATGGTGCGTATAGCAAACGAGTCAAACGTGGATCAATTGCTGGCCGAACTCAAAGAATATGCCTTAGAAGTGGACATGGATTTTGTGCGCCGAGCCGTCAAGGCCATTGGGCAAGTTGCCATCAAGATTGAAAGTGCCAGCGAACGTTGTGTTAATGCTCTGCTGGACCTTATCAACACAAAGGTCAACTACGTGGTGCAGGAGGTCATTGTAGTGATCAAGGATATTTTCCGGAAGTACCCAGGCTACGAAGGGATCATCCCCACACTCTGCAAATGTATCGACGAGCTGGATGAGCCGAATGCGCGAGGGTCTCTGATTTGGATCGTCGGCGAGTATGCAGAAAAAATCAGCAATGCCGGCGACATCCTTGGTGGGTTTGTGGATGGCTTCGCCGAAGAATTTACACAAGTAGGTTGACCGGATCTCCTCGCTGTACAGATCACTGACGATGAACCAGACCCAGCTTCAGATCCTTACCGCCGTGGTTAAGCTCTTTTTGAAGCGCCCGCAAGCTGCCCAAGGTCTTGTCCAGAAGGTTCTCAATGCTGCAACTGCCGAAAGCGACAACCCCGACATTCGCGACCGAGCTTATGTATACTGGCGACTTCTTTCCAACACCAGCGACCAAAATGCCCCAAAGAACATTATCCTCTCTGAAAAGCCACCCATAACTACCATAATCCAATCACTACCACCCACGCTTCTCGAAAGGTTGCTCGGTGAGCTCTCGACGTTAGCTTCAGTTTATCACAAGCCGCCAGAGCAATTCGTTGGCCAAGGTCGCTTTGGAGCTGACGCGGTACAACGAGCTGCAATTGAAGAACAAATGCAGAACGCACGTGAAAATCCGTTGGCCGCGGCAGCTGCGGCAGCGGCCGTCCAAGGCAAGGTTCCCGAAGCACAAAACAACATCGAAAACTTACTCGACATCGATTTCGACGGTGCCGCGCCTGCATCGGCGTCGGAGAAGCCTTCTGACGGCCTCTCGGGCTTGGAAGGGCTTGCAGGGACACCACAAAGAGTGGCTTCACCCACGGTCGGCCAGCCTGCTGCAGCCAACAATATGGATGACCTACTTGGAGTGTTTGGCAATGGAGGCTCTTCAACCGTGCCATCGGCTGCGTCTGCATTTGGGGGAATGTCCGACAGTGACATCCTGAATGGCTTTGCTTCGATGGATTTGTCCCAGTCACAGCCTCCACCCGCGAAACAACAACTTGACAATGCTGGCGGAAAGAAGACAAGTGAGGACTTGTTGTCCCTGTTCTAGCCTGAAAGGTGTCAATCACTTCAATCTCGATAGGCATAAGAGAATGCGAGTTCCTTGACACAGGCCCAGAGACGCTGCCTCTGTCTGCCTTGCCCAGGGGTTGGGGAGGTGTGCCTGCATCTAAGGAATCAGCGCTGGAGCTGGGGCCGTGTACACCGGCTGGGTCTGGGTCTATTGGAGGTCCGCCTGTATGTCCCCTTTCCGGAGGGATGGCACAAGAGCTCAAGCTTTTTGGACATATTCTCCGTTACGCGCTGTGGGCGTTTGCACCGTCTCGGGAGATGTAGGTGTTTAGTCTCCAAGCCCAGCTTCTTCCGGGTGCCGCACAGCCCAGGCTCTTACTACCTGCAAGCAGATCCACCGTCGACTTCCAAACTTATGGCTCGAGCTGATCCTTGAGATGGGCTAATACAGCGTCTCCAGGTCAAATCAACCGAATGTGCGACTGATATCTGGGGCTATAGGAGGTTCTCAGTTCAGTGGAAAGTATGCCGTTTGCCTCACGCGCGAGCGGACAACAAAAATTGAAGTAGCATGAAGAGAAGGCAATTGAGAAGTGCACCAACCCTCTGCACTGGATGCTAGCAACCTGAGGTTTACCCCTTTTTCTCAGATTGTCTGTTTGTGGTTTCCGTCTTCCTTTGCGCTCCTCGTAAGTCTAGTAAAACGTATGCCATAAAGGGCTTCCCGAACACGACAGAGGGCACGTTGCCGAATTGTCCTGAGACGGTTAGTTGACCTGGTGGGATCTCGGTCACAATTGAAGCAAGGCTGAGGTTGGTGAGGCACAAGGCTGTGGAACGTACAGATTTGACTAAGCGGCGCCCGCTCTAAGCCCTTTCTGGACGCGTCTGGGCGCATCACTTTCAAGGGGATGTCAACTACCATTTTCCTTCACGACCCCAAAGTACTTTGGTTATGCACATTCACCACTGTATCCAGACTCCTGCGCTAGATCATCTCGCTGACCAAGTGACTCCACTTCATCAGACTGCAGGCCAAGCGTCACTTCATACCCACGAACCCACCCATTCCTATTCTCAGAACTTTCATCCAGCTCGAGACACTACGCTGCCAAAGCCTCAGCTGTGAATTCACTATTGCCTGAAGTCCCTTACCACGCCTGGAAGATTAGCATCATAGGACGCAATGTCCGAGTGAGTCAACTCCACCGCCGAAATTGCGCCGTCTCTCTGCTCTACCTACACACCCACCCAATCTCCTTGGACCTCTGTCCAGGGCGAGAGAGTCGCTACCATGGTCGTCTGCAAATACTTTCTGCAAGGAAACTGCAAATTTGGCGGTAAGTCTCCGGTGCTGTCATTACAATTGCACAACCTTGTCCGACCTCATCTTCCCCGGACGACAACTGACGGATACTTTCTCTGCAGCGAATTGCCGGAATGAGCATCCCGGAGGAGGAGGAGGAGGCTTTGCAAATCAGAACAGATTTGGCGCTCTTTCGGGGAATAGATTTGGAGGTAGTAGCGGTGGCAGTGGTAGGTTGCCCATCAATTTGCCCAGCACTTGCCCAGCACCTTGCCCATCACTGGCCTCAACAGCCACGCGATCAACTGACGTCTTCAACATTTAGCTCGGAGAGATGCGTGGCAATTCAACCCCGATGAGATCCCAAACGACCTTGCAGCCGGGAAGGGCCGACCAAAGTGGATTCTTTCCGCGTATGGTCCGGGTAGAAATTCTCCAGCCTCGCTCCTGGTTGACAATGAATTTAGCTCCGAAGAAGTGCGTGTGAGGTTCTACGAGCTTGCGAGCCAAGGCAAGGAAAATGAAGGCGACCAGGAAGCCATCGCCCTGTGGAATAAAGCCGAACAAAGTATGAACCAGATCCTCAGCAATGCGCGCGATGTCGAGAAGTTCGTGCTGGACGCGGAGAAGAAACGCCCCAACAGAGACGACTTTACACATATGGATGGGACTAAATCACGGGACCAATTTGTCAAAGACTTTGAGTCGCAGTCGAGTGGATCGAATGGATTTGGCACAGGTACCAGTAATGGTTTTGGCCAGAGCTCGTCAACAAGTCCGTTCGCGAAGCCCGCTGCATCGTCGTTCGGCCAGCCTGCCCAGGCCTCCGGTTTCGGGACTTCTCCTTTCGGGAAACCAGCATTTGGGCAGAGCGGCTTTGGGGCTGGAAGCTCAACAAACAGTCCATTCGGACAGCCAGCAAATGGCAGCGGGTTTGGGTCTTCATCAAGCCCCTTTGGAAAACCGGCCTTTGGGAGCCCTGGTGGTGCTGGCTTCGGACAGTCGGCTTTTGGTCAAACTTCGCAACCAGCATCTACCTTTGGACAGCCGTCACAGCCAACATCGGCATTTGGCCAATCTCCCCAAACAAGCTCTACGTTCGGCCAGCCATCTCAGCCGTCTTCCGCATTTGGACAGCCAGCGTTTGGGTCTTCTGGCTTTGGGTCGACGTCTCAGAAGAATCCCTTTGCGCCAGCCTCGCCATCAAGTGGTTTCGGTCAGGCTTCCTCCCCTTTCGGTCAACCCTCTCAATCCGGCTCCACATTCGGACAGACCTCACAGCCTACCTCGACCTTCGGACAATCCAGCCAGCCCTCTTCGACTTTTGGACAACCCAGTCAACCTTCTTCAACTTTTGGCCAGCCAGGTCAGCCTTCTTCAAGCTTTGGGCAACCATCGCAGCCTACATCTACCTTTGGTCAACCATCAGCATTCGGTAAACCGGCATTCGGGCAACCAGCTTCATCATTCGGCCAGTCTCCGCAGGCTACATCTGGCTTCGGGCAAGCACCTGCGTCCACTACCTCGCCGTTCGGCCAAGCTGCATCTACTTCGGCTGGATTTGGTCAGACAGCTGCTCCCGTGTTCGGCCAGGCTGGTCCGGGGTCCAGCTCGACACCAGCATTCGGCCAAACTACAGCTCCTGCGAATCCTTTCGCTCCTACATCTGCAGAAGTCCAACCCAAAGATGAGAACATGGACACAACTACCCCAGCAGCCTCACGTCCGGCGTCTCGAGCCAACCCCTTCGAAACGCCTTCAACAATACCTACAGCGCCTCAGCCACCCCAAGCAACCCCGGCTACATTCCAACCTCCCGCGGTCGCCAAACCCATCATCAACACTTCGACAACCCCTCATCCGCTCATCGACCGGCCTCCCCACGCCGTGCACTATACTCAGACCCTCCCGCTTCAGCCCCCGCAAAAGGACGCGTCTGGCCGGATTATCTCCTACCGCGGCCAACGCGTCGAATACATCAATGCCATACCCTGCTATCGACGTCCTGATGGCCAAGGCATGGAAAAGATCTGGTTTCCGGACGCCGGTGCCACGCCCGATGTCGTGGCATTGAACAGGGAGGACAAGATCGAGGACTGTGAAGGAGGAAAGGAGGAGTATACCGCCGATGTTGTGGATCGCTATAGGTATTTATTTTCACAGGGGAAGTTCTTGGATGGCAAGATTCCGTTGGTGCCGCCTTTGAGGGAATGGGCGATTTACGACTTCTGAGCTGCATTCTGCTTGTTGGCGGGGAGATCTCTTTGGGATTTCGGGATTGCATTGTATTACAGAAACCAAAAATCGGTATCGATGCGGAAAACGATCACAGCGTCAGGCACTGTAAAAAATTGTACTTCCGCTTTGGGACATGTACATTCACGAACACGGGACGGGAATGCAAACCACGGGAGTCTTTTGCGTGGGATTTCTTGCTTATTGGTTCCTTGACATAAACCTTGCTTCGTGAACACAGGCTCTCCACCGCAGTAGTTGTAGCAGCTGGAGCGCAACAGAGCCAATATCCTCTCGAGGCCTGGTCTGCCCACAACGACCACCACTCGTTCCTTTCTCCCCATTCCGACCATATCTCTCCACCCACGCGGAACAACAAACTCCAGTTACGGATGTCCCATTCCTCCTTCCCCCGACTCGACCCTTCTATGCCGCGATGGTAACCTCGACCTCAACACCGGCCTCGATGTTGATGATGATCTGCTTGACGACCTCGGTCGGGGCGTTGAGATCAATCAGCCTCTTGTGGATCCTCATCTCGTACATGTCCCAGGTCTTTGAGCCCTCGCCACAGGGGGTCTTGCGCGTGGTGACCTTGAGGGTCTTTGTGGGCAGGCGCACGGGGCCCTTGACGCGGAGGTTCTTGGTCTTTGCGCGGTCGAGGAGTTCCGAGCACACTTTCTCGAGAGATTGGACCTTGCGCGACGTGAGGGTGATGCGGATCTTGTGGATTTTCTGACAGGAAGGTCAGTATCATAGCACTCTCTAGGAGAGAAGGGGGGAAGAAAACGTACTGGGCCTTCGCCGAAATCCTTCTCGGGCTTTTGGAAAGACATTTTTTTAAGCGACTTTTGCGAGTGCTGTGCGGTGATGTGATGTCGATGGGCGATATGCGACTCAGAGGAACGGAGAGAGTGTCGGCGCCAATCAAGACCTGAACAACTAGGTTCGGTAAAGTGATGAAAGGCTGGAGAAAGGAGTAACTAAAGAGGGAGCGGTTCGAGGAAACTTGCCTGCGGTGGTTTTCGAAGCGACGCCTCGTCTAGCGCAAAGTGCGATTGAAATCTTGGCGGCGGGTTGAGCCGCTAACTAGTCCTGTTACGGAATCGCTCTTTGAAAGTCAATATTATTAGTCACCCACTCACTAACAAGTCACCAAAGTCAGTTCACTGATGATGAAGTTGACTTTGTTCTTGAACGCTGTGGTAAGCTACGTTCTTCGACAAAGACTCGGTTCTCCAACGGGTAGAGTTATCTGTTTCCCTGGATAGACTCGGGACAACTACCTCTTCACTGGAAATGGAGCAAGTCCCAGGCATGCCGGACAGCCTCCCACCATTAGCCCTCTACCCAGAACCAAACGTCAAAGCCAGCCTACCGCCTGCGGAGTGGGAAGTATGCGTTGACTCCTGGTTGTTCAGTCTGGAATTTCGCCTCCGGTTACCAGACAGAGACTTCTCCAAATTGAAGTTCGGCACGGAGGCCAGTGGCGTGGCTTTTCTCGCGTCACTCTTCAGGTCAAGTCAAGCAGAGGATGGGAAACAACCATCGAACCACTCGCAGAAGGAGAGACTGTTGGTGAAGCGCGCATATTTGCTCTTGAGACGGCTTCTACTGGTCACGAACACGCCCTTGGACTACGACGCAGCAAACCTCGTGGAGCTATTGTGTCAGGCGAGCATGCACTATGCAATGGTGTCGGACTGGCGGGCGACGCTGAAGACGTTCTGGAAGAGGGATCACTCCCAAATGACGAACGCCGTCGAGGGCTGGAAGAAAGCCGTCTCGGCAGATCTTGCAACGCAACCCGGCTCGGGAGTGCTTGCGGAGAGAATGCGTGAAATGAATGCGTTTGTCAAGGTCTCCGCGGATGCAGGTCTCGTGCTTATGACGGGCTCAGACTACCTCGAGGCGCTGATCGAGGCCTACAGTCGGTTGCAGACATTACCTGATACAGGCCAGTCCCAAAGAATGCTGACTGAGCACATCTTCTACTGCCTGCGAAGCCTTATGTCGGACGGTTCTTCCCATGGCCCGCTCCTGCTCGACCACCTCTACTTCATGAAATCAGAGGCCGATCGACTTACGAAGGGAAAACCCAATGAGCCAACGTTAACGTCAAACCTGGTTTGCAGTACATCCTTCTTGAGGCACCTCGCATCAGACTCTTCTGTGAGTTCTAGTAAGCGAGGTCAGGGTTTGCTAGAGTCACTTAGCACCTATCGACAAAATACAAGACATTTGCACCCTCTAACCGGTGCAAGAAGACGGAAAAACGCAAAAGGCAAAGGCAAAGCTAATGTGAACGAAGAGATGCACATTCATAAGGCCTCGCAGATATCACAAGTGCATGACCTCTTTCCCGATCTTTCAACCGGGTATATTCTCAAGCTCCTCGACCATTTCCATGACGACCCGGAGGCCGTGGTGGCCGCGCTACTAGAGCCTGATTCACTCCCGGCTGACCTGCGTGATCGAGGCGCCTTCGAAGGACCCGAACTCGACGTTGCTGGACCAGCGCATGATCTTGCGCCACATTCGACACCCCCACTGCTTCCAGAGAGGAAGAACATATTCGACGGAGATGACTTCGACAAACTTCGCATATCTACAGGTCGGCTGCATAGAGGACGGAAGGACATCAGTCCTGACCGCACCGAAACGGAACATAAGCATGCACAACGCAAAGCGGCGATAATGTCGGCATTGGCAGCGTTTGATTCGGACGACGATGAGCGGGACGACACTTACGATATTGCCGATGTGGGTGGAACAGTAGATTCCACGCTTGACACTGACACCAGGCCCAAGCAAGAGCGAGGTCCTGAGCAGAGTCCCCACGAAGAGACATTATTCCGAGCGTGGAAGGGCAACCAGGAGCTATTCGCACGTGACAGCAAGACTCGGATATCCAAGGTCCGACAAGATCTGAAACGCGAGACAGAGATGAGTGATGAACAGCTGGAAGGATGGGCTATCATGCTGAAGAAGGACCCGAAATTGCAAGATCGGCTGGAAAAGAAATACTCGGGCACCCAGACTTTCAGAGGAAGTCAGGTTGCCCTTGCTTCGACACGATGGCAGGGGGACAATACCCCTGAAGGTAGCGAGGGAGAAGGGGAGAGCGGAGGTCGACGGACACAGCAGCCGCAGACCAGGGGAAACCGCACTTGGGGCCGTGGGCGCGGTGGCGGAGGGAGTACTGCAGGCCCCAGTGGTGACGCAGGGACCCAGGCTGCGAGGAAGCGAAAGGAGCAAGGCAGAGGCAGGGGTGGAGCGAGCCACAATAGACGCGAAGGGAGAGCCCGGAAGATGGGCAGAGGTATGGGAGGGGGTGCGGTACAGCAGTAGAGAGGAGAGAGTGGAAGTGTAGGCCACCTGTACAGAGTGAGAAGTCCATTAGTCCTAGCAAGTGGCCGTGGAGAGTACCTAGGTCCACATACATAGTAGGTCCTATACCCAGCGAGCCAGGTGTTAATACCCAGGAATGGTAGGAATGGTCAGAGGTAAAGAAGAGGAATGCATATACAAGCCCGGCTAAACCTTCCGTTTTGGGCCAGGCGACTCTTTGTTTGGCAGGAGTTTGTTTCATCAGCAAATCGTCAATTTGGCAGTGGCGGGTGTCGCATGCCGCTGTTCCTAAACCAATTTCTCTCCTCCTACGATTCTTCCTTGACACTGGCTGCAAACGCTAGCAAACACACTCGCAGTCATCTGTTCCCGCGCTGGATTTTGGATAGAAACACCGGATGCTCTCTTAAAGAAACGAACTCAACGGGCGGTGGCCGCGTGACCGCGGTGACAAATCTTTCACGGTGAACCAACCAAACGTCCAGACAAACGGGAAGATTTTGTACTTGCAATCTCTACCATCATTCCAAGTTGCCACCAAGAACTACATCGAACCAGCACAGAAGCAGCTCAACAGATCCGTATCCTCTACCTTGTGAGTCGGTCTACCAAAGGCCGACATGCAACTCACATCACAGACTGTCAAAATATAGATCGACATACCTGGAGATGACAGATCTAGCTACAGCCAACGGCACCACAAATGGAGCACATGGACAGTCCTTCGACACCTCCAATATTCTGGAAGCTTTACAAGTCATCCACAACCCCACCACCAAGAATGAAATCCGGAGGCAAGCTTCGGAGTATTTAGAGAGTCTGAAACTGAGCAATGAAGCCCTTCAGTATGGCTGCGCCCTCTCAAGTGACAAAGCGCAACCGCCTCTGGTACAACATTTCGGACTCTCCATGCTCAGCCATATCGTCCGGCATGAGGTTCACCAACTCTCTGAGCAGCAAACCAATCAACTACGGGATTGTATCAACGAGCTGGGCCGGTCGGTCCAGGACACGGATTATGTTTTCATTCGTAACAAGATAGCTGAGCTGTGGATCGAGTTGGCCAAGCGCTACTGGGCCCTGGATATGTTCAGCTTGGATGAGCAGTTGGTGTACTTGTGGGAACAAGACCTTGTCCGCAAAGACTTTGTTCTCACAATACTGGAAAATTTGTCCGAAGACATCTTTGTCCGTGACGACAGCGTTGCCATCATGCGAGGGCGAGATTTGAACTCCGCACTTGTCGAGATCTTCACCTCCAGCTCAAACTTCGCAGGAGGCATCAAGATCGGCGATATTACCCACCACGTGCGTTATGGTAAGGACGGGTGGCTCATCAGAATCAGGAACTTCCTTGAAGAAGCAATCCATGGCCCTAGCATAGAGGGGCAGCTCAAGGAGGTCGTGCTGAAAGCTCTTGCCACTATACGCTCAGCCTTCACTTGGGTCATGACACCAGCTATCGTTCAATCAATGGCTTTGGCAGTGACGTGTGGGTTCCTCACCCAGGCAGATCCCGACCTCATCATGGCTGCCATCGACAGTCTAGTGTCATTGTACGGAAGAATGCGGCTAGAAGAGCTCGAGGTGCAAGCTCTTGTGCATCCTCTAATTCAGCCAGACAGTATCGCAACACTAAGACAACTATACAGCTGGTCTGTTGTCTCGGTGAATGAACTGGACAGCAGCAAGTATGCCATTTCGAAAAAGCTCTCGGAGTTGATGTCCCTGTTTGCGGATCACATGTGCCAATACAAACCTCCAGATGCTGGCACCCTCGACCTTTTTCCCTTTCTGCGGTTCTTGACTATGGTGGCCGGACATGAAAGCCTGATCGTTTCCATTCCAGTCGTTCACTCCTGGGCCAAGATGCTGGAGGTAGCGAGCTGGCGGGCAGTTCCCGCCGTATCCCAATGTATTGGTCCGCTTCTGGAGGTAGCCTCACAACGACTCATGCAGTACGACCAGCTTCCTGATGATACCCAGGAACCTGTCGTGATTTTTGTGAATGAAGAGATCGAGCTCTTTCCGGAACGCCATGGGTTCTTCCTGAATTATCGCAGGCTTTGCGCGGCTGTCATCGAATGGATCTGTTTTGCACAACTGGAAGACGCGCTTCATGCCGTCATGAGTCGAGCTGATGCTCTCTTAAGTGACATCGAACTCGCGGAACAACAATTCGACATTACGAGGTATGAACGCGTGTCGATGCATATATTACGCGCTGATGCCTACTTTGCCATGGTTGATGCGGCTTTCAGAGGGTTTGATCGATGGCAGGGGGCACACCGAGAAAGTTCAAGTCCAGAAGAAGACCAGCTAGGACAAAGAATGCGGGAAGAGAGCAAAGCTTGGATGTTGAACATGATGAACAACAGACACTTCAAAGACCCATCAATCAGACAACGCCAGATCAAGTCGGCAGTTGAAGCCTCCAATCGAGCTCTGAAGAAGGACACGGGCTTCGCTTTTAGCGTTCTGGAGCACATATTGTCGTCGTTCATCATCGCTGGACAACAGGATTCCAGCTATGCAGATGCCGTCGAGGACCTGCACAGCTATGCTACAGGCGAGTTGAGGCGTTTGTCGTTGCAACATGCCGACTATTTTGTCACTTTCTACGACCAGCTGCAAGCGAAATTCTCCGATCTAATAGATCAAATTAGCGCCAATGAGCGGCTCCAGGTTGATTTGAAGTCTACGCTCTTCTCTGTTATCCAACATGCAAACGGGGTCGACTACGCCCAACGTCAAGCTAAGCTCGAAGAGTTTCTTCGGCCCATTGCCGCAGCCTGGGCGAGCCAAGATTTTCAATCTGCCCTGAGCAGCTTGGAGTCGTTTGCCCATTTTCAAGGGTTTGATCAGGTTGGGCCGTACCTGGCGTCTTTGGAAGCGGGCAAGATTGAAGATTGGTCGGCAGTTCCCTACGACAATCGCGGGGTGCAGATCCAGAATGAAATGTTGTCTGCCTATGCACGACTACCTCTTCGAGCGACGCGGATTTTTCTAAGCATATCGACCGACAGACTCGAACAAGGATCTCAGCTCCACAACATAATATGTGATTTGTGGTCACCCATGGTCCCCACGATGCTGGAGTATGTTCTCCGTCTTACGAGCTATAACCACCAATTGCACAATCCCTCCTCATGGCCGAATGTTCCCCCTGAGCTGGAGGACGTTATTCGACGTGTTCTCCGAGACCGCTACTGGCAGTCCGGGATCTCGACAGGTTCCATGGGCGAATTTCACAGCAGAGTCAAAGCCTCCAAGTCCACACTCGAAGGGTTTGCATCGTCGGTGCGCGGGAAGATACGAGGGCACCTGGAACAATGCTACAGCATCCTCCATACGCTGGGCAGGCTGGGCCCGACTTTCTACAGTATGCCGCAACTCCCCGAGCTAATCGCGCAAGCCGCTATTGATTCAGCGGCTCCGCTGAGTCCGCACCATTTCTCTGTCATGCTTCAGATGCTACCGAAGTTGATTGACGAATGTCCGCCCGGAAGCCGGCAGCATTTTCTCACCCCAATCATATTCTCCGTTCTTGTGCAGATGGACACTAAGCTCTCTATGGAGTGGGAGAAGATGAACCAGCGGAAACAGAACAAGCATGACGAGGAGAATCTAAGCGAGGAGATGAGAGACGACTCAGTGCTGCGGCAGACTACCTATCGGGCAGCCAGTTTGGTTGCGCACTGGTTAGCACCAAAGCGCGATCAGGATCTGAGTTCGAAAAAATCGATAGTCAATCGCAGCCACTTGACAGACGGCACTCAACAAACGATGCGGGAGTTTTTGCTCTCGAATGTCCAGATCCTGGAAAAGCTGCTTGTCCTCGTCACCCATGCACTCGCGTTCAAGGATATGAAGTCGTCCAACCAGATGCTCACGAGTGCGCATCGTCTTGTCCCAGAGTTTGCGTCCGACCGCTTCATCAGCGGCCAGGAAGCTGCTGCGGTGCGCGAGTACATTTCGACCGAGATGCTCAAGACGGCAATCACTTGCTTGAACGACGGCTACTTTGCCGACCACCAGGTCTACTATGCCCAGTTGATAGCGACCATCTGGCTTTCATACGGCTTGCCGAGCCATGTCCCCGCCACGGACACCACGCCCGCCCACGAACGTCCGCCGTTGACCTCGACGCCGCAGGACGTGATCCTCAGCTTGCCCGGCATGACCGAGGCTAAGGTCAGCCACGCCTCTGGCCTCCTTCTCAAGGAAGCCTCGGTGGGCAACCGGTCCAAGAGGCTCCGAGCCATCATCTTGGCACTCCTCGAGGGCGTGAGAGGCGTGCGGGTCAGCGAACTCGGTAAGATCGACACGAGGCAGCAGCACTCCAAGATACTAGAGAAATACAAGCAGAGAGAGATGTTGAGCATGCAGGGTGTCGAGGACGCGGGACAGAAAATTGGGGGAGGTACTGTCGACGACGGAACTGATTTGGCGGGAGTGGCAGACATGTTTGCTGGCTAGCATAGCACTTGGAGCAAGAGGGCAAACAAAACAGTGGTTGGGGGAATAGGGAATAGAGTAGTTGCAAGCGGCATGTTGGATATCGAGGCGGGTAGCACTCAAAGGCAGGCATGTGAAGCTCAGCAGAAATGTAGTGGGCCGTGAGACGTCGGCTTCTCACACACTGTTGGAAGATTATCTGTAGCGGAACAATGCATTCCCTATTCGAACGTTTTATCTTCTTTTATCGTGAGTTTTTGATTTTTATCTACATGTCGGACTGGTAGAGATATCTTCCCACATCCTGATCCACCCGGTGGTTCTTGGTTTTTGTGCTTCCTTTCACTCTCGGATCTTTCAGGGCTATGATTTGTGCTCCTCAGCTGGCAGGGGAGTTGCGAGCGCTGGAGAAGAAGCAGGATTCTGCAGGATAGGATGTGTCCAAGCTGCGCAAAGCTGAGCAGAGCAAGGGATGGAAGGCTGATAGAGTCTGCGATGTGTGTGTGTGTCGTCGTCCTTCATTCCACCGTTCTGCCGGGTGTGGCTGTAAATGTCGGTCTCACGAATCTGTGGAAAACAGGAATAGAAGTGTTAGCCATGCGGTTCTCGCCCATGTCGACCTTGTGTCTTCTTCCTCCACGTCGTCGCAGAATCCTCCCCACCGCTTCCATTATACTTCGATCCAACCCAGACCAATCCCTCGTCCAAGACGAAAGAATACCAACAACACCACAGATGATGAATGGGAAGAAAACGTACCGGTCACTATTATAAGCCCCGCTCTGACTTCCCAACAACTCCTTCTCCCTCGCCAGATCCGCATAATACCTCCGGACCTGATCTCTATCCTCCTCCGCCTGCAGCAACGGGGTGAGGTGTATGCGACTCCACATTTTCTCGCGGGCCATCTCCGTCTTCTCGCGCTGGCCGATAAACACCTGGCGCCAGCCGTAGCCCATCACGAGCCCGACGCCGACGAGGTACCAGAAGGGTTTGAGGCCGCGGGTGGGGATGTTGCGCTGCAGGACAAAGAAAGCGAGGGGGGGAAATGTTAGTATGCTGCTTGCTCTCTTGCTCTTGAGTGACGATAGACGGGATTGGGGAAACGTGTGTGGAGGGAGAGCTTGCGAGCGGAACATACTCTGTATTGAACGGCTTCGTAGCCGCCCGTGGGCGGGAGGTCTTGAGGCATTTGTCTGCCAGGTCCTGGATCTTGTTGGGCGTATCGGGAACCTACATAGACAGAGCGCAGGTCGGTGAGTGGAAGAGGAGCTTGGAAGTTCGAGATGAGGTCGATTGGAGGCTCGAGGTCGGGTTTTGCCCAATTTGGAGCAGAAGCTTAAAGCAGCACGTGCCTGCGCAAACCCCCCATACTATCGAGTTACACAAAATAATACTTGGAGAAAATAATGTTTCCCAGGCTCTACGTTCACTTGGCTGACCACACGCTCGCTATGGACGCAGAGGAGCGCCCTGCAAAGCTTCGGAAGCTTAACTCGGACGATGACTTAGGCTTGGCTGAAGATGCAGACGCAGATGCTTCTTACCTGTCAAATTTACCTGGCACACGGGCAGTCACTGGCACCGTCGATGCTCCGTCGTTGCAAAACAGTAAGCCAGAGGAGTGTGCTGCTAATCTTCAAGACCCTTCAGTGCCGCGAGAAGAAGAAGACGTCCGGGATGAGTCGGACGACGGCCTGGGGTCGAACCCAGAAAACCAACCAGACTTTGCCCACACGGCACCACCACAGGAGCAGCAACAACAAAATGGCGACGCGCCGAAGCCACTATCCAAGAACCAGCTGAAGAAACTACGGAAGCGAGAAGAGTGGGAGGCAGCTCGCGATTACCGCAAAGCGAAACGAAAACAAAAGACACAGGAAAAGAGGGCCAGGAGACGAGCAGCCCGAGAAGAAGAGTTAGAACAGCACCGGCTCCAAGTAGTGCAGCAACAACCGTCCCTTGTCTCTGAAGAAAACGGACAAGTTGAAGGAACGAAGTCTACAAAGTCGCCGATACCTCCTCCTCCACAACCGTCCTCCAAAATGAAATACCGCCGTCCCGTCCAGATCCCCATGACCATCCTCATAGACTGCGGCTTCGACGATCTCATGATGGAAAAAGAGCGGATATCGCTTGGTTCACAACTGACGCGGTCATATTCTGACAACACGCGCGCCCGGTATCAGGCACACCTTGTGATTAGCTCCTGGGGCGGGCTGTTGAAGGAGAGATTCGATACCGTGCTCAGCAAGCATTATCTGAATTGGAGGAATGTGACGTTCGTGGAGGGGGACTTTGTCGAGGCGGCCAACAAGGCCGAAGAGTTGATGAGAGGGCGTGATGGTGGGAAGTTGGCCGGATGCTTTGAGAAGTACGCCGCCGCCGCTGCTACCACCGCCAGCGCTGATGGCTCGGGACCTGCTGAGGAAGCAACGCACCAAAATCTCAAGGCTGCAGATGTCTCTCTACAATCCGAAGATGTCGGAAAATTCGACGCAGACAGCCTTCCCCAGCCCCAGGAACCATCCGCACCAAAAGCCCCTAACTCCGCCACTCAACCAGGACTTCCACATTCTTCTTCATCACCACCAGACCCGTCCTTCCTATCTCCCCATCCCAAAGGCGAAGTCATCTATCTAACATCCGACTCCCCCGACACCCTCACCACTTTATCGCCGTACTCGACATACATCATCGGCGGACTGGTGGACAAGAACCGGCACAAGGGCATCTGCTACAAGACAGCCGCGGCGCGGGGCATCAAGACCGCCAAGCTCCCGATCGGAGAGTACCTCGAGATGACGTCCCGGAAAGTGCTTGCCACCAACCACGTCGTGGAGATCTTGCTGCGATATCTGGAGGAAGAGGATTGGGGCAAGGCGTTTTTGAGGGTCATTCCAAAGAGGAAAGGGGGGAAGTTGAGGGGGGAGAATGCAGGTGCAGGTGCAGGTGAAGAAGAGGAAGAGGATGGGAATGCTAAGGCTGTGGAGGAGGGGGATGAGGATGGTGACGACGCTGCTGAAGACGCCAATGAGGATGATGATGATAGTGACGGTGCTGATGATGTCCACAAGGAACAACAGCGGACTGCCAATGGCGAACAAGTACCGTGCTCCTCCGAGCCTGAGCTTTCAGAACCACCTGCGGCCAGGGCCGGGGCCGGGACTGGGACAGAAATGAACACGCTCCCATGATGAATGGGATTGATTGAGTCGGCCCGGGAGCTAGATACACCAGTATTACTGTATAAGAACTTCCGTGCTATCTACACAAAGACACACACGTATTGAGCCTCATTGGAAGGCTCAGTGCCAACAGCTGTTGAAGAGGGACGCAGAAGCAAAAGACAGGATGCTAATTTTCTCGTTTCTTTAAAAACGGGAAACGAGGGAAGGAGCTCGAGAATTTTCGATTCTGCAATTGATCTGATATCTATCGTTTCACTTGGGGTTTTATGCATTTCTTTCTTTCAGCTGTGATGCGACATGCGAATGCTTGCTTGTTTGGGCAACCATCATGGCAAAGTTCAACTTTGAAGATTGCTGTGACCTCCTCACATGATTTCCATCGTTTCAAAGAACCCTGGACCTGCCAATCACATTATCTCTCGCGTCGACCACTTTTCTGCACAATGGTTTCACACGGCCTGAAAAAATCCGAATCAGCGCTTGTTGCCATCCTCTGTTCTTGCAAGCGGGTAGCAGACACACAACATTGGCAGCCCTCGTCGAGTTCATCGCATAATCTCATTCCAAATCAACGCCTTCAACTCCTCCTTGCTGAGCTGGTCCTTATTTCTGTCAAAGTCGAAGAACTCTTCTGGGATCGGCTCCGCGGTCGGCTCATCGTCAGGATCATGATATGGTTCGAGGTACGGATGCTTGAGGGCTTCTTCAACGGTGATGCGCTTGACGGGGTTGAATGCTAGCAATTTCTCCAACAAATCCAATGCCAGGTCCGAGGTCTTGGGAAAGAGTGCTTTCAGAGGAATCTTCTTTTTGAAGGGCAATGATCGGATGTATTCTCGCGCACGTCGGGACTTGATGCCGTAGTAATCTTCCATTGTCGGAGTACCAAGAACATCCAGTATCAGGGTGAGCTGATGGTGGTCTAGCAGGGGCAGTCAGTACAGTCCACGGTCACAAGAGGAGGAGTACACACAGTCTTTGCCAGGGAACAAGGGCTTGCCGCTTAACATCTCTGCAAGGATGCACCCGACGCTCCATACATCGATCGCTTTGGTGTATTCCTTGAACGTGAGCATGATTTCTGGAGCACGGTACCATCTTGTCGCAACGTATTCAGTCATGAATCCCGAGTTATCGTCGGTTGAAGCTGCGGACCTAGCCAGGCCGAAGTCGCAGACTTTCAGATCGCAGTTGGCGTTGAGTAGCAGATTTGATGGTTTCAGGTCACGATGGAGAACATTCGCAGAGTGCATGGCCTTGAGGGCGCGCAGGGTCTGATAGATGAAATACTGGCAGTGATCGTCGGAGAGATCTTGGGTTCTGATTACACGGTGCATGTCCGTTTCCATGAGTTCCTGTAAAAGAAGTGTCAACACTTTGCTCTCTGGCCCCCGTTGCTGCGAGACCAACCTGAATGAGGTAGACCTCGGCAAAGGACTCATAATTTCGTGGCTTTTGAATGTCGAGAATGGAGATGATGTTCTCGTGGTTAAAGTATCGTAGCAGCTTCATTTCTCGTAACGTACGCAAGCAGAACATGGAATGATCGAATGGAGTGATCTTCTTGATCGCCACTTTTTGGCCAGATGGCTTGTGCAGGGCAGAGCTTTGGGGAGTCAGTGGGTGCGTTGCGAAGATTTCATGAACACGGCCAACATACCAGACGACGCCATAAGCACCCTCCCCGATAACATCCTGGATATCGTACTGATCAGAGACGTTGAACGAGATCTTCCTGGAGCCTCCTGATGGCGCAGTTTGTTGCTGTGGTTGTCCCATGTTTCCGGCAAGTCACAATATGTCCTTGTTGGATGTAATCGAGCACGTGTCCCTGCCTGTGAGTCCTATGGGATATCCAAAGTCACACAAATTTACTTCGCCCACGGGCAGCTCTCGTCTTAGTCTTAAGTGTTCAGCTCGAAGGAATGAGGGTGAGTGTGAGAGTGCGACCTTGTAGACCGGAAATGGAAGTGAGGGTATCTCGCTTGCGCTTGGGCCCTAGGCGAAGTTGGCTCCGCCTGTCTGCGCTGTTTCACAGTGATTGCTGGGGTGTCTGAATGTGAATCCCGCCCTTAAGTCGAGGCAATTGACAGCGCTCAAGGTGGTAAGATGTCGATGTTGGCAAGGGCAATTGTCTCTGCAGGATGGGTAGATGGACTGCGCAGCCACAGAAGAGAGGTTCTGGAGTGTGCTAAATGCAGGAGGTCAAATTCCACATTCCATACAGTATGCGACAACAAACAGAGTGAAGGCGACGTACAGTATTGTCTCCTTCGTGCAGCTTCTCGCCTGCGAGGTTCAAGCTTTATCTGCAGTTTTTCAGGGCGGTAAAGATCTGGTTGGTGACTTGAGTGTGCTCTCAGAGTGTGCAATGGCGGGGTTGTGTAGATTAGGAGTTTGCGCAGCGACCACGTTGGAGTTGGACAGGGCGAGGAAGTCTCAACAATGAGGGAATTGACAAAACGAGGTAACGAGGAACAAAGAAGAACGAGAACAAACAGTGTGCAACGAGATGGTGTCGCAAGTGAAGGTGATCAGAAGGTGTGTATCACATTGAGGGCGAGTGAAGCAGCTGGCATTGATCCCATTCACACCCAAAGGATCGAATCCCCATTCACGCCGCGGTCGAATTGAAGGACGTCTGGATGAATAGGCGCCGGCACTGGCTCACTAGGCTGCGCTAGGCGGGGCGAAGCAGAACTTTGAGCAGTAGCGGCCCCCCAGTAGCCCGCTTAACCGTTTCCATCCAGAGCCCAGACAGGCACCCACAGGGTCGGCCATCCTGTGACAGCCTTTTAGCCACCCATTTGCCTTGTTTGAGCGTGTCGGATCAGCGTTTCATCTTTTCTTGTTGCCATGAGCTTGCTCCAAAGCTAGAAATAGCCCTGGTGGCCCAGGTCTCCCGTGGCCTCGTCCATCACCCTGATCATTGACTATCTGATAGGTCAAAGCGGAACGAGCCACCTATCTAGCCCAAGTTTATTGTGTACATGGTGTGGCCACAAAGTACCTCATATTGAGTGCGTCATTCGACCTTTCTATCTCTTCCACAATCAGAAAGCATCATTTCTTTTGCTCGATCTCATGGAGGCCGGACCTCTTTTTGCTGTAGTCGCCCAGAGGCCCGTTTAGTAAGTCTTCGGGGCGTCGTGTTTATTGCATGACCTGCATTCAAGGGAGTTAGCAATCCCAGCCCCGCGTAACCCAATGTTCAATCATGACTGTACCTTCTCCCGCATACTCCCCATCCACTGCTGTAAGCTCATTCCTTGATCTGCTCGGTCTTCCACAAGCATCGTTTGCGCCCAAAGCCTCAGTCCTGGCTCGCCATCCTCTTTCACCACATAGAGATGTGGCACGACAATACTGCCCACCCCTTTGGATTTGTGGTCCCGGCTCTTGGAGATGACTGCCCTCACACGCTCGCTGAAATCGTTGTCCAACTCGGGTAAGCGTTGCTTGCCCACTTTGAGTTGGCTCTTATCTGACAGTCCAAAGACGTCGAGTATCAGCTGCGGAACAGCGTCTCGTCCGACCCAAAGGAATTGGGTTTGACCGTCATCGATCAGATACAATCCATACGGCACGATCCTTTCTGACGATAGATTGATCGGCGGCGGCAGGATAATTTCACCAGTCTTCTCGTCCACCGTCCCTGCGTCATCCGGCATGTCATGCAGAGAAAACATTTTGGGATAGATGTACTGGATCAGTAACGGGAGGGGCAGCGTCGACAGCAAACACAGAGCTGCTGACCGCATGTCGCTGGGTATTTGGGACGATCTCCTGAGGCCTAAGTTCTTGGTCAAGGCAAGGAAAAGCACAGGCAGGCCTCGAAGGTTGGCAGGGAATTGAAGCCCGCCTCCACCCATACTGCCTCCCGCAAGCTCCTTCTTGTATGTGGCGAGCAGCTCGACCAGTTTGTTCTGAATCATGTCCCGGGCGCTGTCAAGCCCGCTGTTGAGGACGCGTTCGACGGCTTTGTGGCTGAAATACTCTGTGATGGCTTGCTGATCGGCCGAGGCGTAGACGTCGGCCAATTGCTGGGTGGTGGGTAGCGCGAGGGTCATAACTCGGATTCGGCGTTCGCCATTGCAGGTGGTGTGCAGGACAGCGGTCTGCATACACACAACCGGCTTCGTGATGGTTTCATCGATTGCAACCTCGACAACGTAGCTCTGATCTCGTGGGAATGCTGGGAACGCACACAGATCCGAGCTGCGATTGAAGAAATTCCCATAGAAGGTGCTCATCCGCAACCCCGTCGTCGCTCGAACTCGGAGAACAGCCTCTAGTCCGATCTCTGCTGACAAGTAGTCTGAGAACTCTTTGGCGAACTTCATGGCGTCTTCTTCTCTGGCCGCATTCCAGCCAGGGTAGAAGTAAGTCTGGCCACCGGTGTATCTGGGCAGATTACTCAAAGAAGCCACGTCCTGGTACTGTGAAGAGAACAGGAACATATCCACCGAGATTTGTTGTTTGGAACATTCAACGGCGAAGCTCTTGTAGAAGCTGTTTCCCGTCTGCAGCAGGCTGCTTTCCTTTGATGTACCGAGCAGCTTCTTGTCCTCGCGCATTTCAAGTTTGCCATGGCCAATATTAGGAATCGAAGCAGTGACGACCGTCATTTTTCCACCAACGGGTCCGATAAGCTTGTGTCCGGCACGAAGGGCAGACCCCATAGCGGACGCGCCGTTTTGGGTGTTTTGGAACATCTCTTGAAGCTTATCCAAGAAACTCTCGATATTTTCGCGGCATTCGGTCAGAGTCACGAGTAAATCCGCAGGAGTGGGCAAAAAAGCCTCTTCAAGATCGCTGACAACGAGCATGCTTGTTTGGGCATTCTCGGTTCCATCCCGAGGGATATTGAAGAAGTGAAGACTGGAGTCGACCGCGATAAAGCCCAGGCGTGTGCGTCGATCTGCATTTGGTATCCGATCCAAGCTCTCTCGGATACACCTTGCCGTTGTCGCCAGCAGTCCACTCGACACCGCCGCGTAGCTTACATCGAGCAAGAAGAGGTAGACAAGCGGTTGTGGAGGCCGAACCATGTATTCCTGCGGCGCAATGAATTCGACAACCGCGTGATTCAGATCTGGTCTCTGCCACCTGTCGAGACTTTTCTGGGCGGCCGCATCCCAGTCAAAGGCTTGCGGCACATCATTGGTCAGGTTGCACATATTGCATCTCCATCGGTGTCCGTGGTCCAGAAAAGTGACGAACGGATTAATGTACGACCGGCATCTTCTGCAACGGGAAATCACTTGGTCGGGAACCACTGGCACAGGATCTTCGACGTCGTGCAGAGACGTGTATGGTTGGATGACCAGGGCGAACGGAAGTTTAGACTTTTTGAGAAGGGAATGAGTGGTGGGAACGGCATTCAGCGTCGAGCGGACAAATTTGGGTGGACAATTGGCGAAAGGTGAGGGCGTAACACTTGTCTGTCAAGATATTTAGCTTCTGACACGGAAATTGGGAGGCCATATCCATACATTAGGAGGGAGAATCACTGGCGGAGGCGGGAAGTCCAACTCCGTGACATTGAATGGCTGGTTCGAAAGATCTGTCGGGTAGAGCTGGTTCAAGACCGGAGCTCGTTGCGCCTGCTGCGGTGCAGCAGCGATCGGCGGCTTTTGCGAGATGTCCATCTGGCCAAACTGTTGGGTCACGCCCGCTACACCGCCAGGCGCAGGGTAGGGCGCAGTGGGAGGTTGGTAGCCTCCTAACTCGGCTGGTGGCTCTTGACCGGGATATAGGGGTGTTGCGGTCTGCTGCACAGCCGCAGGATTTTGTTGATAACCTCCTTGCGGATAGCCCGCTGCATCTTGTTGAACGGAATACCCAGAGTATGGCGCGCCGCCAGCCTGTTGTTGTCCTCCCAGAGCAGCATTCGCTCCAGCACCAAACTCATAGGCTTGTCCAGCATAAGCGCGCTTCTTTCGGCCAGCATGAGCAGGACCAGGAGCAGGTCCTGGCTGTACCCCTGGCGGATTGTTCGTTTCGTAGTTGTCATAATTTTGGCCCGCAGGTGGTTGCGGTGGCTGCTGACCGTAACCCTCCTGTCCAGGCACGCCCTGCTGAGGATATTGCTGAGGATATTGTTGCGACATCTTGAATCACAGGCCCCAAGCCTTGTGTACGCACTTCTCGGTCTCGAGTTCAAGGTAGCAACACGGGAGCGTAGGTCCAATTGTGGAGTGCAGGGGACGAATAGTGCGGAGGGAGAGTACTGAGAGGGAGATTTGCCAACAATGTGCGAGGCTCTTTATTGTCTTGATCGGTACAGAATGACGTCCATACCGAGTTGGGAAATGAGTGGAAGATACACACAGCTGGCCAGAGGGGATGAAGAGGAGCACTTGAATGTTGTGAGGTTTCTAGCCAGGTGTTGGTAACTGAGCAGACAACTTGTCCTCAGATGCCGCAGTGTGGTGGAAATCTGGTCCCTCTGCGGCACTCGGCATAGTCTGCAAGATTGGCCAATCGGCGACAACCTGGTCCAAATGCCCGCCACTCTTTCAAGGCGCCATCCAGCTTGGTGCTTGCTCTCTCCTTCTCTTCCTTCATCTCCGCAAGCACTCCTCCAATCGCTCACGAGACCTTGATCGAGGCAAAGATGGAATGCAAATGCTGGGTTTCAACATTCCCTAATGTAGCAAGATAACCACGGGAGAATCGCTATTTACAGGTGAATATCTCCTTCCCATACCCAGAGCCCTAAAATGTGCCTTAACACCTTACAATACGCACAAAATGACAAGGTGATTCCTCAAAAAGTGCCCTTTCAAACACTCCGGGCGCCCAGAGCGTAAGTCACTTTGCCTTCGTGGGCCAGTGGCAGGGCTGCAGGTGCCGTGATGAACCCAGCCACGATGAATATCGTGACAATGATGGCCTCCATCAGAACGCCGAATATGGCATGGATAAGGATGGCAGTCCACTCCAGGCTCCAAGAGCTGAACCATTTAGGGTCATTGGCGAAGACGCACAGGAGGGAGAAGATCATGCGGACCGCCATGAAGGGCAGAGCCAAGGCGACTGCAAACAAGAGGCCTCGTTCGCCAGGCAAGACGTGACTGATCTTCAGAAAGCAATGTCCTGTGATGAGGATATCGGCGACAAACACAACCAAGAAAAGACAAATCGCGGTTTTCAGTAAGGTGAAGCCGGTCGAGACGTTAGAATGACTGTCGCTGAAGAGATCCGTGCTCCCAACAACGCTGAGAATGATACCGACAAGACTTGGGAGGTGAAGGAGTTGGAATATCTGGTGGTGCAGACCGTGTGATGCCATGCCGTCTTCGACGCGATCCAAGAGAGCCAATGCTGTTGAGATGATTGCCGACAAGCCAAAGCTGTTCATGACATCGTACGTGATGGTCAAGCCGCTGGATGGATGCCTGACAGCGATAAGAGAAGTGATGGCGCCAACCAACCGAAACAGACATATCATGATAAGAAACCGCCAGCCGAGTCGTTTGCGGATGCCCTGCTTATAGACGACATAAGCCGAAGCTATCAGAGCAGGGACAAAGAAGAGGAGCTCGAGGATGTCTAAAATCTCGAATGATGAGAGACCCATTGTGAGAGATGTTGGTTGACAAGACTGCTTCGCGATGGAGGTACCCTTCTCAGTGGACGTGTGGGCAGGGAGAGTTCTGACCAAGTGGTTGTAAGGGGGTTGCAAGGAACGTAGGTGTTCTTGTAGTGGTGGATATGTCTTGTGGCCTGGTGGGTTGATGCTGACAATGCTAAAAGCCCGAAGCAGCATTGCTATATGTGCTCAATACGGACCTGAGAGCGTCCAGCATTATTCTCGTGAAGCCAAGAGGTATAGATGTGGTTGAGCCGCATGCGGTAACCTGTTGCGTTTCTGCCTCATTGCGGCTGTGCGTCGAAGGCGCCAGTGGTCGCGATAATGGACCGAATTGGTTAGCCGCGCTTGGGGAATCAGCCAATGGAAGTTCTCTCCCCCACCTATTATATACCTTTTCGGTAGGTACTTGCGGTCGCATCCAAAAACTTTGTCCTCGTCTTCCTCTTATAGAAACCACAAACCTTCTGGAAAACCTTCGAGCCATGGACGTCATGCGTGCAATTTCCCAGAGGTACGTCTGGGTAATTATTCCAAAATACTCACACCAAGACGAAGTCTTCCATCTCCTTCGCATCTGTCAACACGGAACTGTTCATCAAGCCTTCAATGTACGCATCGCCAACCAGCTGAAAGCAGCCGTCTTCTTCGGGCGTCGGTTCGCTCCTCTGGATGCTGGTGCGTGGTCCGGCTCTGGCACGCCCAGCTCGCGACGTCCAGACCCGTTTCCCAGTGCCCAGCACGAAGGGTGTCCTGCCTCCCTTCAAAACACAGATTAAATCCCCAACCATCGCTGTAGGAGGAGCGAAGCCGAACTTGCCGTCTTCCAAGACAACGAAACATCGAAGGATGCAGTTCCGTCTCAACGCATACTCGTACTGTGCGGCGAAGCTCTCCATATACTCTTCGTCATAGTACTGGACGACGTCAACACTATCCCGAGGACAATATACGGTAAACTCCTTCTCCTCTCGCATTCTTAATTGCCACCAGTAGGTGAACAGGTACTCGTTGCGAAGATAATCTTCCCGGCTTTTCATCAGGAAAAATGCACCGTCTGCTGTGACACCGATGCCACCGGTTAGTGCCACAATGAAGCGGAGCTTGGCACTGGTGAGATAGCCATGGGACATCTGCGGGTCGTCGAGAGTGACACTTGCCAATTTGCTCCAGGCCTGGATCATGCCGATGTTGAAGATCAGGGGCCGTTCGTAACATACTTCGACTTTTGCTATGACGCCGCAGCGGACACCAGGCACCAGAAGCTTCGGGCCCGTGTGTTTGACTGAGGCAACCATTGTGCCCGAGGCACAGTATAGCGGCAGCAATTCCAACCGCTCGCCCAACATAATCATCTCTGCGCTTTTGAAGTACATGGACCAGTCTGGACTCCAGGATGCCAGCTTCGGCAGACGATCGTAGTCATTGCGTACGTTTCTGGCAGATGATTGGGCGACTGACACGCTTCCAAAACTAGGCCCATTGGTGCTGAGGTGGTTAAAAACGTCGAGAGTGCCTGTTGACTCAATGAGGTAGACGGCGACCCGTTCGAATGTGACCTCCGCCGTAGCGTTGTAGTCCAGGATCTCGGCAGGTAGTGGCGCCAGTCCAGCGAGCGCAAATACCTTGTCATGAAGGACGGTAGTGAGCCTGTGGCGTACGCTGGACAGCAGATCAAGCAGCTTGAAGACCTTGCCTTCTCGCTTGGCTATTTGATTTTCTCTTGTGGTAGCGTACGCTCGCACGGCGATGTCGATGGCGGAATCAATCAAGGTGCTGCGATCCCCCACTCGACAACACCCTCCGTAGCGCATATGCTTTACATACCATGTGTAGAACGCATCGACGGTCTCGCCAGATATCGGGTACTTGTCGTAGTAAAACGTGACCTTCTTTGCCAAGATCAGTTCTTGCGTCGTCCACATGCGAAACCAGTATCCGTTCTTAAAGAACCTGAGGAGATCACTCCATGTTCCACGAAGATCAATGGGTCTCTGGTAGTGTTCGTCTCTGTGCAGCCGTCCAAGTGTATTGACTGTTTCTACCACACCCAAGACGTGCTTGTGTTCTTCGGGAAGGGTGTCGCTTTTGGAGTCTATACACACGAGCACTTCAAGAGCCGCGTTGTATATGTCAGACATGAGACGCACTTGCTGCGAGCGCTCCTCGAGGTTCGCCTGATGAATAGACAGTTGGTCGACCCACAGTGTCAAGGCGACTTCCTCGGAGCGCACATGGCGCAAGGCTCTGTCCAGATTCTTGTAGATTGATACATCGGTCCCAGACAATCTCATGGGCTTGAGGTTCTTAGCGTCACCACAGACGTACGAGAGGGCTTGAAACTGCGGATTGTCCAAGAGTGACACGGTGCTCAAATTACCCACGAGGTCATCCTCATAGGATGCAGCGGGCTCGAGGTGGAAAAGGCGGATCTGCTTCGCCTCTGTATTCAGATGGCAGTATAGGGAGGAGTCCATTATGGATGGCACATTCATGATAGAGTCGTAGCAAGAGGGCTCACACGTCCTAGAAATCATGAAGATGGAGGTTGAAGAGCCCTACGTTCCAGGAAGACCTCCTGCGCATAATGAAGGGATGTGGCTAGAGTAAGTTTGGGCAGCTGCAGCTCAGCCTCGTACCTACTGCGCCGTGCGAGGCGCTGCACTCGGCTACAAAGGCTGTTATGGAGGCGGTGTAGCCAGCCAAGTGACTGCCAAGGTCGAGTTCTAGCCCAGGGCCAAATTGCAGTGTGACACAAATCGATTAGCCAGAGTTGGCACACATAAGATTCGGGGTCACTGTGATACATGTCGCTATGCTGTTCCGTTGTGCGAATGTGGTGGGTATTCGTATGTGATCGCTACGAGGACAACTATGAGGTACATCGGTAGGGGAACAGCCTTGGGTCCCCAGTGCCACACCAGCCCTGCTTCGTGCCCCTTTCGAACTAAACAATAATAGGGGTGGGTAAGTGGGCAGGCCCGCTAGGGAGAACCACCACCGGGCACATACAGGCGACCCAACGAGCAGCCAGTCCGAACAAAGCCCTGTGGACTAGGTATCAGTATCCTCTCGTAGTTCCCTGTGACGGCCCTCCACTGAACAACCGCAGAGTGAGTCTTCACAACATCATTGTACTATCAACAAAAACACACATGCATATTTTCCGAGCATTTTATACTGCTTAGGAAGATCTTCAGCTTCTCTATCATCACACGGACTTCATCGTTGAAAGGTGTGTGGCAAATGTAGTTCTCTCGCAAATTATCACGCTCGGCGCTTGGTCCGCTCTCTTTCTGCCTGCTGAGCGACTTGTGACTTCTGCTCGGGACATCTTCGAGCGGTGGCCACACTGCACCTCCAAATTAGACCTCATCTATACGTCCACGGTCGTGAACTTCACATCCTCTGTTGGCTCCGCCTGGCCCGCGCTGTTCAGCTGCCTCCGGGCGGCCGCCATTTCTGCATCAGACGGCATGTCGACAATCATCAAATACAGAATGTCCTGGGATTTCACAGGCCGTCAGTGAGAAATTCAAAATGGGCAGGGGATGAGGGGCAGCAACTCCGCCTACCCGCACAATACGGCGCTGCCATTGCCCCTTTTCGACCAGGTCTGACTGCTGCTGGATCTGCTGCAGCTGAAGGCTATACAGATCCTGGTACTGCTTCAGGTACTCTTGCTGTTGCTCGGGTGGGAGGTTCATGGCTTGTAGTTGCTGTTGCATGGTTGCCATCATGGCGGACTGTTGCTCTCGAATGGCTTGCTCCTGGGACGCCATGGCGGCTTGCGTGCTCTGTTTGATCTTGTCGGGATCGCGGGTGAGGCGTCCTCCCGATACCAGACCCAGGAGACCGCCGTTGCTCACGGCAGAGTTCGGATCAAGGTACTTGTTCTTGAATTGGACCGGCTGCGGGTTCGAGAGAATGTCTCTATTACTTTCTTTGGCCTATACGGAAAATCCATGCTCTGAGGTTAGCGTTGACACTCAAGCGAACAAAAAACAGTGATTCTGGACGGATTTAGAGTTGCAGATTGCTCACATATCGCGCCTGGGCTCGCTTGTCAAAGTACTGATTCAGCCGATCACCAAGCTTTTGCTTCTGCTCTGGCTCACCCGGCGAACGAGGCTTCTCGACACCAATGGTCTCCGGGTATATCAATGGGGCCGTGCTAGTGGGCAGGTTCTCCTCTCCTTCCGCGGTAGCGGCTATTGGATTCCGAAGGTTCTTCTTTGCCCGGGCGGTCAGTTTCTGCTTGGAGGTGGGGGACGAAGACAAGAGCGCCTTGGATAGGGCATCGGGATCTTCCCTTGCGCTCTGCGTCCCCATTGCGATTGGATTGTACGACATGAGCAGACAGAACAGCCCCCGAGGACGGAAGAATTCTCTGTTCATCCGGTCCAAGAAAGAATTGGTCCTGCGCACGATACTCGGGTCAGGCGACAGAGGTCCTACAGCTTGTCCGGACAGGAAAATACAAGCAAGGGGAAGGTCAGAACTCACCTCCATTTGGCCTCGGCCTGTGCAATCGCACTCGCGACAAACTGGACGGCCAAAGAGACGCCGGTAGCAATGCCATTCGGGACAAACGAAGCGCCCACGGCGGCTAATTGAATGGCTGCGAGCCATGCGTTCTGTTGGACGGCCTTGTTCATGGCACGAATGAATTCCAGGAAGGTATCTTGGTCGATACCATACTGTCCCAGTGCCGGCGCGTACGCCTTGACGAAACCCCGCTGCTTGTTCCCCGGTCGGCGTTGAGGAATGACCACAGGATGAGGCAGCTTCGCGGCCGAAGCTGCCGATCTCGAGGCACTGGTGGTAGGGCGCTCATGAGCGTGGATGAAGTCGGTAACTAAAGAGTCCACGTTCTGGTCAGATGTGACCTCGTGCCCTTCCTCATAATCGCTCGCTGACTCGTTTGATGACGGGTCGCCATGATCCTGTAAGTTGCACATGGCTGACTGATGTGCTTGGGTTTAAGACTTCTCAACAGACTACCAGGACAAATAGCAGACCTTCGAGTTGAATGACTAATGATGGTCAGTGCCGTGAGACAGATCAAGACTATTAGACCATAAAGATTTGAACGACTCCAAAACTAGATACACCCTGCTTTGTGGGCGGACACGATATATAAATACGTTATTTGGGCCTGGTACAAGGAGGGCATTGGCGGGACTCTTCGCTTTGGTGTGATGCTAGGGTAGTGCCTCTTTCCTAAAATGCACGGGATGTGGTCGGTCGTGATCGGTACAACACGGAGTACTCGTTGCGACACGTAAGTTGAGCTTGAGAAGGGGGCAAGATCGACAATGGATTTAGCATGACAGAAACCGTCTGTGGGCTACAGACTTTGCGAGTGGGTGGCCTTGAGTCTTCTGATGCAACATGCTAAGCTGTATAGACAACCTCCTCATCCTATTGGGATTTGGCGAGGGGGCTGTAACTCAGGTAGTTCACCATTGACTGTTGCCGCGTATCCGAATTCGAATGACAGCCAGTTAACCATGTGTCACTTCAGCACAGTATGTGACTTACAGAATATCATTTTAGAGTGTTTGGCTTCGTTCTCGCAACGCGGTCGCCTCCGTCAGGTTTTGACCTCCTGTATGGCTCACGAGGCTGTACTGAGTACATACCTAGGTAGGTACTCTGTACTTGTAAAGCCTCGAGCTAAGCCGGAATGGGGAGCATTTCGCGCAAGCCAAAAGCGGGGCCAGTGTAGATCGCAGATTCGGAGATCATGTCGGTCGCAAACTTCTCCTTGCGCTTTCTGCATGCCTATGACGGAGGCTCGAGGCCTAGTATCTGACTCGACGGATCGGATGTCAACATGGTCGGGGTTCCAGGAAGGTCCAAAGCCTGTTGGACTTGCAGGATGCGCAAGAAGGGTGTGAGTTCTCTGGGCTGTCGGAGGGACCCTGTCATCGCCTGAGAAATATCTTTGCTAATGTCCCTTTTTCGTCCAAAAAGTGCGATCAACAGCAACCATCATGCGGCCCCTGCAGACGCTCTGGTCTCGTCTGTGGAGGCTATGAAAGACCCCGCATCTTCGTCAACAGCAGACCGGAGCTTGGTGATGCCAACACATGCAGCTTCACACCCGAATCTTACACAGCACTGCAACAGAGCAAGACTGAAACTCGCGGTCGCATTCAAGACCAGGTTCTTTTGACGTCATCGACTGCGCTGTTGTCGCTAGAGCGATCTTTGGGATGCTCCGCGCTAGAGGCAAAGTATTTGGACTTTTACTGGACCACTCTCCTTCCGAATGGCCAGCCGTTCCCGCCGCGAGCGGCACGATATTCGACTACCAGCTGGACTGGAGTCGTACAAGATCTGTGTCATCGACACAACCTTGTGCGGCTGGCCTTGCTCACCAACGCCCTGGGCTTGCTCGGCCAGGTGAGCGGGCAGCAGCAGATCATTGTGCAAGGATGGCGTTTGTACGGGAGGTCCTTGCAGGCGGTAGCTAAGTCACTTCCTGCCAACAGTCAAGAAGGACGTGACAGTCTGTTGGCGGCGTCAGGTCTCTTGGCCGGATACGAGGTGTGTGTGAACACCTACTCTTGCTGGTACGTATGGGCGTCGAAGCTGACTAACCGATACTGTATCAGTTGATCCAGACGGGCTGGGGCCGACGGTCGTGGCTTCCTGGTCCTACCTGGCTAAGGCAAGCTGCTGGGGAGAGAGCCATCATCTTAGCGAGACCCCCCGAATGCTACGTGGAAGGAAACAATCACCTCCTCTTCGTTGACAGTCGCCTCCACCTGGTAATGTCCACCTCGGGTTGCATGTTTTTTTTGGGCCTAAAAGTTGCTGACGCCGCTCATGAAGGTATATGCGGACATCCACCGTCGGAAGCGATCTGTGTTTAGTTCTCCAGCATGGAAGTCAATTCCGTGGTCCGTGCATCCCAAAGGTCCGAGAGATAAATTGTTGGATATCTTGATTGAGATCCCAGCCCTGCTTGAAAGCCTTGAAAGCCTTCTTGCATGTCTGTCTGACGAAGTGGAAAGGCAGACGCTCTTTCGTCAGCAGCTCGAAGAAAGGTGTTGGCTCTATCATAGTCAACTGCAGACATGGTCGGCCACTTCAGGCTCGTCCACAGTCGATTTCGTTGAGGACCAGATCGCCAACGGAGCCCACAAGGGTTCGGAGCCTTCCTCTGAACACTTCGCCATGGCTCATCTGGGCATGCTCTACTGGGCCACTTGCAATATCTTACATGAGGTTCTGTGGTACGTTGCCGGAAAGGACCGTGCGGATCTTCCAGCATGTATGGATGCCAGACTGTACTGTCGCAAGATCATCTTGCTGATGCCTTTCCTCCAACGTCCTACCATGGGCGCGTTCTTCTTGAACATCGCCGGCTTCCCAGCTGCCGTGGCCGTGAGTTTCCTTGCCAGGCAAGATCCACCAGGCAAGGTCTCTGAAGAGCGCAGAATGCTTCAGAAGGCTTTTCAAGACATCCACGGGGCTCAGCTGCGGAACTTCCTGGGAACATGGCCGTGGCGGACTGATCGAGAGACAGAAATCATCGGCCGCCCAAGAAGAGACGAATAGCACCACTACAGAACCCGAAGAGCGTCATATATATACGTGGAATACCATATAATGCTTACTTTTCTCACTCGAACTGAGCGGGAAAAGAGTCTCGGGAAGCAGTGAAGGTCAAGTCAACGTTAGAGCGGCAAGATGGAAAGCCTTGGCAGCGTCTTGCCTGCAGTGCAGCCTGGTGGTTGACAAGCAGGGCATTAGGCGAATCCCCGCAGTCTCCTCCCGTGGGCCGTGGCCTGATTAGGCTGTTGAAAGGGCCTATCAATCGGCGTGATCTTCCCCGTGTTGGCTCCGTGGCCTCCGTGACGCGGCGACCGTACCTCGTACATCCTGGCAACAGCTTCCCTTGAAGCTTTTAAAGCAACGATCCTCCCATCATGATAATTCAGAACAGGCTTCGAGCATCACCTACACTTCGAGCTCTCGAACTCAGGCTTGGTTCCGGTGACAGAATTGGTGATCATTGGCGCAGTGATATCGCACAAGCAGCATCTTCCAGCATCAGCCTCTTAATCTAAATTGGCCAGCCCAGCATCTCTCAGCATGTCTTGGAAACCAAACACTACGCTGGGTACTGCCCTCGGGATAACATCTTCAGCCATATTCTTCGGCGCCAATCTCGGCATCTCCTTTTTGACCATCCCTATCCTTCTGCTACCTTCCCCCCCACCGGCTTTGCCAGCACCAGCAAACGCCGACAACACGGCGTCTCCGACATCCACCTCTTCCCAGAGACCGGCGACGAAATTCCCACACCTGGCCCGGCAATGGCAGGCCGCTTATGACATCGGAAAGAAAGCTGGCCCGTTCTTCTCCCTACTTGCCAGTGGATGTTGGCTATATACAGTCAGGAACCTGCCAGCGGAAGCAAAACTCCAGCAGCGACTGCTCTTGGCTGCAGCGGCTCTCTCGGTAGCCATTGTGCCCTTTACATTTGGGGTGATGAAGCGGACAAATGACGAGTTACATCGCCGAGCGAATGTTGCAACGAGAGATGAGGAGGAAGACTCCAAGGCTGACGCCCAGAACGGCACAGTCGAGAGTTATGAAACTCACGACCTTCTCCGGTGGTGGGCACAATTGAGCTTTATGTAAGTGGCAAGCAGGGAAGAGAAAATACCTCTATTAACGATACGCTTCCAGGAGATCTCTGCTCCATGCCGGGGCTGTGGCTTGTGCCACGACAGCTTTAGTTCTGAAGTCCGAGCATTGACATGGGGAAATTCTCTGCCTCACACCTTGCAAAGCGATCGCAGTAGGTGGGCAAAAACTAGTTGCAGCGATGGAAAGGCTAGTGGTACTTGATCGACAGAATTTTGGTTGCATAGCCCCTCAGATTTTGCCTTGCATCAGTCCTTCCACCTTCTTGACTCGTTTGTCTTGTGTGCACAGGGAGAACCCGCCCGCACTGCTCGAGTATAAGGCGTTTGTATGATTTGGAGCCGGTTCAGAAGGCAGCGTAGATTGTGACCGAAGATGAAGTAACAACATGTAGCAAGAAGGAGAAGGTCAGTGTGCAAGATGTGTGGGCAACATGCGCCTTGTGATAAAGACGCCAAGAGTGGCATGTAACTCTTGGCAAGTTTTCAGCCCACAACTTTTCGGTGCCAAGTGCAGGTGCGAACTTCAAGATTTTGACCGACGATACCAAACGACAATTTCTCCGCCCAATCCACAGCGACCACCTTTCCTCAATCCACGATCGTGATTGCTGAGACAAACTGTCTCGACATTTGCAATCATGGGTGGCGTTACCGTTCGAGATGTCGATGTGAGTGCGATCCGAAATGCTCGCTTGGATGGCAGCCCAATCAGCCGTTGTGAGAAAGAGGAGGAAGATTTCACATTTGGACCTGGCAATTTTGGGCATGGGCTTCAGCAAGCAAGGCATGGACTGACAGTGCGAATCACGCAGGCACAAAAATTCATCGAGGCATATGCAGCATTTTTGAAGCGACAAGGGAAACTCCGAGTACCAGGTACGCCTCCCTTCCAGTTCTTCACCATTTTCTCGCCCAGACCTGAATCGAGTGGTTGGAACGATGAATCATTGCGCTCTCAAGGCGTTTGCTGGGACAGACGCTGATAGTACACGCTTTGCAGGTTGGGTTGATACCGTCAAGACCTCACACTCAAACGAACTCCCTCCCCAATCCGCCGACTGGTTCTACGTGAGAGCTGCCTCAGTCGCCCGACATGTCTACCTACGAAAGTCCGTCGGTGTTGGCCGTCTCCGAAAAGTTCACGGCAGCACCAAGAACCGCGGTTCTCGGCCCTCGCACCACGTCAACGCATCTGGCGCTGTTGATCGCAAAGTCATGCAAGCTCTGGAGGAGTTAGGCATTCTGGAGAAGGTTGATGATGATGAGGAAGGTGGCAGCGGGAAGGGCGGACGAAGAATAACCCAAGCCGGTGCACGAGATCTGGACCGTATTGCGCAGACGGCTGTGGAGGGTGACGAGGAAGAAGAAGACTAAAGGTATGCAGACGGAGTTGGGAAACATTAGCAGGAACACAAGCCGCCCTCTTCTCGCGAAGATGGCAGTCCCCTCACTATGAGGTGGTCGTATGACCAGAGCATTCCTGGGGTCGAGAGGGCTGCAAATTCAGCGATCAGACCGGATGGTTGCCGACCTGGCCTGCCTAGTTGTCAATATTCTACAACATGGCTCAGGACGACTCACAAGGGCTCAATGAATTCATTTCAGAGTTTAAACCGGTGTCTACAGTTCCCGCGTGCTGCTGGCTCAGTTGCTTGTGTTCGCGCAAAGAGCTAAGCGATCAAAAAGCTCCATGTTCATCCTGGGGCTGGCGTGGTTGCACGCCACGAGGCTCATGCCATGACCACTTGCATCACCACATGTTGTCCCACTCCCCGCATGTCATTCACTATGTCTGAATTGTTGCCAGCAATCCACCCTGGACAGTCAACTTGGAAGTGAACATTGAACACAGCGATACCGGAGATTAGTTGTTCCGGACGGAGTCAGCCTTGCGGCAAACTGCCGGTGCAGTGGCACAGCCCTCTCAGGCTTGGCAGGGCCAAATCCGCCTTTCTAGAACCTGAGATTGCCCGTTTCCATGCTGCCGTGCTACCCAAAGCACCGTTTCTTCCAAGCACACCTCCCGGTTTTAACTCAAGCTAGAGCTTGTAGCGCGAGTGCGAGACCAATCATCCTAGGATACCTAGACAGACGTCGCGATGCTATTCCCTTTGAAGCTGCGCAGATACCTGCTTCACCACCGTCGTCTGTGACTGGTGGCATAGCCTTGCAAGGCGTCTCTAGGACTTGCGGACCAGAATGGCACGAAGCTCCCCTTCTGCTGACCGGCAAGCATCTTCGCAGAGGTGCATGTGACACGACAAAGGGACGGCGCAGCTCCACCTCGATGGAGCTACACAATCCGCTCGCCCGCATTGTATACCTAGGTAGTCTTCGCTATGCCATGGTTAAGCATCACGCCTTTCATGAGGACGCCAACAATGCCTCCACCAAAAGCCTAAAGGCTATCACCAGGCAAACTCGGAACTCATCCCAACCCGTGCCACCCTAGGATTGACCCGCCTTGGATGTTGACTCATGTGTTTTTAAGCCTCCGTTTGACCATGCTCAAGGCCCCTCTGTGTGTTTGTCTCCCAAGCCTAGTGCGCCATTTCCCCCCAAGCCAGCAAGCCTCATACTCATTTCCATGCCACAGCCTAACAGGGGCCATGCAGCTCCCAACTGATAGTGCTCAATGACTTCCGTGTTCTTAACTTGTTTGATTTTCTTCATTCTAACATACTTCATCATCTATCTGTACGCTCCGATGTCACACAAGGCTGCCGGAGCCTCCAGCAAAAAGGAGAGTCCCCCAAACGAGACCTGGGAAGCTTTCAAGGACGTCAACTTTAATCTGCGACCTAACAATGACTGGGCAGGACAGAAGATACCACTTGAGCTCCAACGGGTCGAAGACGACTCGAACTTGCCAGCAAAGCTCAGGCAGATTCTTGTCTGGTCATTATCCCTCAATCCGCCTCCACCACCAAGCAACGATCAGCCTAGTGTTCAACCAGCAGAGGGGCATCCTGTCCGAGGCTCTGTGCAAACGCAAGAGGATAGCAGGCCCCATCAGACGAACGCAGAATCGGCTCGACTCTCTGTTGTCTCTGGACAGGTTGACACCGATGATGCATCCGAATCGCGAAGCACGCAATCCGAGCGCCGTTCCGAGAAGAGTCGGCTGAGACCACGATACATTGGTGGCAGCGTGCTTGGGTCTACGATCAGCCTTATCACAACCCTCACAAGCAAGTCGGACAAGGACTCGTCGCTGCCTTCTAGCAGTGCAAAGAAGACTGCGTCAAAGAAAGCAACTCAGCTCGAGTGCACAAGCTGCTTTGAAGAGATTTCCGAGACCGAGACGAGCAAACTTCCTTGCAATCACTCGTACTGCAAGCCATGCTTGACCACCCTGATCACAACTGCTCTCCAAAATGAATCCAACTTTCCGCCCAAGTGTTGTCTGACAGAGATTCCATTGCAGACGGTTTTGTCCTCGCTCAACGCTAAACAGAGGGAAACATACAAAGAGAAAGCTGCTGAGTATGCAATTGCACCCCAAGAAAGATGGTACTGCCCAAATACAAAATGCTTGAAATGGATACCACCCTCAAAGGTACAACGCATCCGCATATTTAACATGCGATGTCCCCACTGTGCAACCAAGATCTGCAGTATATGTCGCGGCTTGGCTCACCGGGATTCCGCAGATTGCCCTCAAGACTACGGCCTCGAAGCAACGATCATGCTAGCCGAACTGCAGGGCTGGCGACGTTGCTTCAAGTGCCGTACTATGGTCGAGGTAAAAAACCGTTGTGTTCATTGAGGCGCGGACTTTGGCTAATGCTTGACAGCGAACGCAAGGCTGCCGACACATGACCTGTAAATGCGGCGCGCAGTTCTGTTACTCTTGCGGCGCAAAGTGGCGGACCTGCTCCTGCACCGAAATAGATGAGACCAACCGCCAGGCAGAGCTGAGACGCCGTAGAGGAGCAGCGGCAGAGACAGCGGATACTGAATTCGAACGAATAATGGCCCAGGTCGAGGAAATGGAGCGGCTTGAGGCGGATGTACATCGGAGAGAACAGCAAAGACAAGAGGAGCGGCGCAGAGAAGAGGCTGAACTCGCGAGACTGGAGGAGCAGCGTCTTCGGGAGGGGGAGACTAGACGCATCGAAGAAGAACGGATGGCCGAGGAGCTGCGACAGATCCTCCGACTGTCCGTCGACGACACATGTCAAGCAATTCAATCGGCCTGGAATGGTCTCATGCGAACACAGAAGAAGAATTTGGATGACAGGCACTTGCAAGTCGAGGAGCAACATGTTCAGGTCCGTGATGATGCAATGGCGCGACAGGTACAAGACGACAGCGAAAACTTGGCAAAGATGGAATCCAACATTGCAAAGAGAACAACCACCATCAAGGAAAGACACAACATGGAGCTGGAAGCCTTTACTGTTGAGCAGCAAGAGCTGGAAGATGACATGTTCCTCGAAATTCAGCTGCACCTCCGGGGAAAGCAGGACAAGGAAGCACGAGAACGCCGACTTCAGGAACGGTTTCAGAGACAGCGCGAGGAGAGACACCAAGAAATGCTCTCCAGGCACCGATCCGAATCGGAAGCCCTGCAAGCGAACGCTACAATGGAACTTCAGGGTCTGAGGTTGACCAATGAGAGCAAGATGGCCCGCCTTGAGCACAGGTCCCGAGTGGACTTTGAGACTTTGTGTGTGGGCGTCGCGGCAGACCGCGCGTGGTTCGACTTCCTCGCGGAGAGGCGTCAAAACATGGTAGACGCGAACCGGCGGTTGATGCTCGACGCGCTGCATGCCGGTCAAGAGCCGGTTGGTCTGACTGAAGAGGCGGCCAGGACAATCGGGCCATTTTTGACAAAAGCGCAGCTCGAAGCACGGAGTGCCGATATGGTTCTTTGCCTTGACAGCAGCGCACTTCTTCAGGCAGAACCGAGACAGGAGCCGTGGAGAGAGGTCCTATCACCATCACCAGCAAACAGTGCGTCCCCAGCACGCTCCTTGGTCGAGCTCGCTGCAACGTCCCAGCAATTGTTGAACAGTCTAAATGTCTCAGGGGCCACCGCTCCAGAGTCGGACGTCGAGAAACCAGAAACCGGCGCTGTTTCCGCCCACCTCATATCCAACAGCGCCTTCGCGTGGATGACCGGTGGTGCCGTCGAGGACAACACCGCGTCAAGCAGTCACAGTGTCACTGCGCAGCAGCACTCCTCCCCGACAGCTCGAAGTCAAGGACTCCACCGTCAAGCTCGTGCACATGCTACACCCATGAGGTTCACGACGACGTCCAACCCGGCCGACATGATAATTTCGGGAGCGCTGGGCCGAAGAGGGCTACCGACAACTCCAAGAGACTATCTTGAAGTTCCGGTATCAATCCCTGCACCTCTGCAGACTGGAAGACGACGACCGCTACAGCGATCCCTGGACGCCTCGAAATATCTAGAGCGTTATTACGCGAACGAATCACCCCCACCGCTGGTCCCCAAAGTGCCGTCCATCTTCCTTGCTAAGCAGCCCGCGGGCACGGGGGAAGAAAAGGAAAGCGGACACGAATCATACTTCCCCCAGCCAAGAGGACTGGGTGGGTTGGTGCCCGTCGACACCACAAGGGGAGACATGAGTCATTACCGCGGCCATCATAAACATCAGGTATCCGCGTCCTCGTCCTCGTCCTCGTTCTCGAGTTCCAGCTCGAGCTCGCTCTCGACGACTCCCTCGACGGCGCCAACATCACGACCACCGTCCGCCACGGCCACCACACGCGGCACGAGCTCTCGAGGCAGCGGCAGCGGCAGCGGCAGCGGCAGCGGCGACAAAAGCCTCTTCCTACACAGCCTGATCACAGCGACGACCAACGCAGCCACCGCGGCTGGCCGACCCTCGCTATCGCCGGTGTCGCCGATATCTCCCCCCGCTGCCGCCGCAGGGACGACGAAGCAGAAACCTGGACTCGGATCCTCAGCGCCACAAATACGGTCGATGCGATCAGGATGGCTGAATCTGGGTTGACAACTTGCACGACAAACCACCTGCATTCAAGGGGGAGGGAGAACATGGGACTATGTACTTTAGTTCAGTTTGTGCTAATTCGGGTTGATTAATTAGGTTTAGGATCCGTTTTGTTGCGAAAAGAAGCCAGAAGAGGAAGGCGAGAGTAGAGCGATGGGTGGGGACAAGACATATCTTGGGTACTTGTAGCACGAGTACCTAGATAGACTGTGTAGGTTATGTAATTACTAGGTATTATGCACTCGTCTTTTCCCGTGGCCTGGCATGTTGATGCCAAAAAGGCGCTCAGCCCGAAGCAAAGTTGGACTTTGCCAAAGGTCGGGATCAAGTGTGCCCGCCCTGTGTCCCAAGTTCATCTTTCTCAAAATCCCTAATTCAAATTCCCCTGGGCCTGCGATTGGTCCTGGGGGGTGTTACCAGACCCCAGAGCCGAGACCGAAACCCAGATCAAAGTCAGAGCTCGACCCTTGTCCGCATGCAGCAAAACAACCCTCCCCCCCCCCAATTCCCGGACGGCCTTCTCCGTGGGTAATGAGGGGGGCCAACGAACGAGTGGGTGAATGGAGAGGATTGATAGATGGATTTGCATTGGTCTAGATGATGAGGAATAAGAAGACGGAAGGGGGGGTGGGCTTATCAAAAGAGCATGGAGATCAAAGATATAATAATATAGTACAACTCGAAAAAATAAAACAAAGATAAACAACAATTCGAGGTTGTTGATTCTTGTGCTTTGGTTTCCTCGTCTGCGACATTCGGGACGGAACACATCCAACAGCTGCAACGCGTCCATGAACCATGACGACCGTCGACAGCACAAAATTCCTAGCCAATGGCGGATACCTCCAAAAGGGTCGAGAGAAGAATCTCCGCCCGGTCGACTTGGGCCGGAAGACGCTGAGTTTGGCACCTTCTAGGTATGCAATCATTGGGGCAGTGTCACAGCACCTCATGAACTTGTGGGGATCCTTTCATCTGGTGTGAACAAGGGGAGGACAGTAACTTTGTCATCATCAGACTGCTGACCGACGAGGCGCAACAGATGGTATCGCGACGAGAAAATCTTCCAGCTCGAGAGGCGGGCGTTATTCTCCACGGTAAGGCCTGTCTGATCCCGGACACTAGGCTCGCTTGAGAACGAGAAGTATCTCTCTATCTCTCTCGCCGTGGCCGCTAACTTCGCTCTGGGCAATGATATATCTGACTTGTCTTACCATAGCTGTGGCATGTAGCGAGTTTTAAGGCGCGCTTTCAGAAAGCAGGAGATTACCTGACACTCGAGGTATGACAACTTGACAGCCTTTCAGAAAGATTCTTGTCCAAGCTGAAGTCGTTGTGGAGATGTTTGGATGGAACTTCTTCCTCATCCGCGACAAAGACGGGAATATCAATGCCTTCCACAACATCTGTCGGCATCGAGGCCACCCGGTCACTCAAAAGACCAGCGGGTCCAGCACGGTTCTGGCATGTCGATTTCATGGCTGGTCGTACCTTCCCAACGGAGACCTACATAAAGCCCGAGAATACACCAATCTTCCAGACTTTGATCCCAAGCAGCAGTCGTTGTTCAAGATTCACACTCATGTGACGGCTCAGGGATTTATCTTTGTAAACTTCGATGCGAGAGACACTCCTGCAGTGAGCTTTGAGGACCAGTTTGGTGATGACTTCGAACCAGCTCCGACGGCGACGACGGGAAGGGAAATTGGTGACGAGTTTGCGCTTTTTCCCAACGATGGGTGGGAGTATGATCATACCTGGAACAGCTCTGCAGTTGGAACTGAGTTCAACTGGAAAACTTTTGCAGATGGATTCCAGGTTCGCCTCTCTTCCTTTGAGCTGCCATACCTTGAACCTCGGTAACATGGTGTCAGGAGTGTTATCATTGCCAGACTGGCCACCCGACAACTTTGCCCAAGGACTTTGCACTGGACCAGTACTACCTACGGCAGGGATTCGGAGCCTCACGCCATTTCCTGCCTCCCAAGAGAGAAGGGCTGTCGGAGGCATATATCAGTGAGTCCGCGTCGGGAATCATGTGTTGAAAGGACAGCGACACTGACATCAGGTTTATCCTGTGCATCTAGCCTGGTTATACCCCATTGGTGCGGTCATATTCAGTGACAATCTCCTGTTCATCGCTCGCTTTAACGCAACGGGAGCACTTGAGACATCGTACCAAAGCGAAACTTACCGGCGGTCGAGCATGCAGAAACCGAGCCCGGAGTACGACCATTGGATGGAGCATGACATTGGATACTGGCGATTCGTTGAGACCGAGGACGTTGAGTTGGCCGTTAATGCCCAGAAAGGGTTTAAATCCGGGGTTCTGGGATTAGGCAAGCTGCACTCGATTGAAGGTATGTAAACCAGAAGTTTTCCAATACTGGCGGAAAATTTATCCAGCAGCTGACGAAGCCCTCCCTTCCACCAACAGAGCATGCGGTCAAATGGTATCTCGACAAGGTGAGGGCTGTATTGGTGGGACATGCCGAGGCGGAGAAAGCGGAAGGTAAAAATATCGATTATTCAGTTCCCAAGGCGCAGAGCGAGGCGGCAGAGCAGGATGAACTGTGTAAGCTGGTCGGGCCGGAGTATGAGTGGTAGAACAAGCTCGACAGCTTCAAGCTTCACTAGAGGGCGGACTCCGCGTCCTGCAAGATAGAGTTGGCATGTCAAAAGGGTAGAGGTTGATTGGTTGCGTTGCTTGGCTTATCGGAGCTGACTTTTGCTTTCCACCGACAAGTCGAGCGTGCGGCATGCATGTATCGGCATTGTGAGCCGTGGGCATCCTGTTCATGCCTTCCTTTTGCAATGAGAATAGTGATGATGCTCGTGTCGATGACAGGGGCGGACTATGGTCGTGCAGATAAGTTCAGCAATGACGCCGGAGTGACAGACCGACAAGGGGGTTTTCAGACAGAGGGTGTATGATCTTCGCCGAGGTATGAAACAGGTCGGAACCCACAATGGACGTAGATCAAACATGCAATATGGAGATTTTTTGGTGTTGCTGCAACGCAGATGCGTGATGTTGTTGGATGGCGAGGTTTGAGGTATAAGGATGGCGGGGGCCTTTGGGCCCGTCTCCCCATTGAAGGACGGTAGGTACGGAGTATAGGGTGGTTCTGTACGGGGTACCGGGTACAGGACATCCACAGGATAGTCGTTGTATGGAGCCCACGGAGGACGGTAGGGTCCTTGTACAGCGGAGAAGGAGACAGGCGAGAGCAGGGGAGTGGGAGACAGACAGAGGCGTGAGAGGACAACTTTGTCGTCTCTTTCTTTTGCTGTCAGACCCGCATTAGGGGGTTGGGTTGGGTTGAGCTTTTTCGTTGGTGGGGAGGAGAATCCGCACAGAAACCCGCCCCGGCTTCGAGTGACGTCAATGATTCAACAAGAGCAGGCGAGCTTGGAGTTGGAGTTGGCGTTGGGTGAATGTGAATGAATGAGGTGAACTTGAAGGAAGGAATCATTTTCCCTCTGCTTGCGCGTACAATACGAGCTACCTCGTCCTTAGCCCTCCTGGAATAAGGAACTGGGTGTGCAAAGACAGACGTCGGATGTTGTATCCTGGCTACATGCAGTCCTTCCCTCCAAACTCAATGTCTGGCTCGTTCTCTGAATCATCGCATCATCGAATCATTATCGATTGCAGCACCAGATGGCGCCATTGACGTCTGTCTTTCTCTGCTCTCACTCGCCCGCTCGCCGTTGGGATGCAGGTCGTCTGTCCGGCGCCATCCTGGTTGCACATGGATCTACTAGGCAGGTCTTCAGCCCGGACATCCATCTCAGAAAAGCTTGAACCAACCATGGTGCCCAACCTTGATCCTGGGAACTCCCCGCCACCCATCAAATGCCGCCTTGCCGCCCTCCTGCCCTGCCTTCAGGCCTTCTCTACCTCCCACGCCGAGGCCGTCGCTCGTGTTTCTAGCTTGAAGAGGAAATGGGATAAGATACATACAGAAAACCCAGCACCAGTATATCTCGCACCTACCTATGGTAGACAAACAGATAAAGAGGTGGAGAATGGGTTGGTTGTGGGTGCTCCATGACCTTGATTGCGTGCAAATGTCCCACCAGTGCCACCACCCGCGTCTCGAGTTTGGGCCAATCGTCCATGTGCCCTGGGCGCTACCTGCAGGTGGTTGAGCCGCCATGGCTGATTTGGGGCTTTGACGGTGGCTGAAGGTTGCATGCTAAGACAGATCTAGGACACATGCAGATGACGGGCGCTGCCAGGATAATACTAGGATAATACTGGTAGTGTTTTAGTCTTCTCTGCCTCAATGCATCTTCAATTTCCATATCCACTTTGCCCCGGAGTGGCATACGGATACTCCGTATTGTCTCTTTGTCTATCTTTTCTCTTAATTCCCACTATTGGGGCCCCTTCGTTTCCTCTTCCTTGTCTGTTTGCCCGCCTGCGCTCGAATATCCTGTACGCGGTACCCCGTACTCGGTGCTTGCATCTCGACTCATTCGCTTTGTCGAGTTGGCTGTGCCTGCTACATCCATCCCCTTTTCTCTGTGTACATTGCCCTCGCTGTGAATTCACCACTGCAAAACCTCCCTACACGCCGGTCGCTACCCTTGTCCTTTTTTGACCTTGATGGCAACTGCCCAATCTGCATGAAGCCCTCCAATACTTGGCCAGGTCCACCTACAATCACCACAATTTCCTCCTGCACATCGTCTTCGATCACACCCACCAACATCGACTCTCGCTCCAGCAGCTGCGCGCCTCCTCACCTTCAGTCGCTCGTTTAGGCCTGTTACCATTTTACCAGCTCATCAACAAACCCGCTCCCTTAATCCAATCCGACATTTTATGACCCGAAGACTCACCATCACTGGCAGCCGCTCCGAGATGGGCTTGCTTGAAGATTCACCCGTCGAGCCCGAGACACCTCCTCCAAGTTGGTCACCCGCCAGACACGACTTTTGGAAGAAGCCTTCAAGATGGCAGATTTGCATGCCCCGGTTACGCATGGTGCTGAAAGTAGTCGCCACGTTCATCGGCTTCATTGTTCTCATCAAGATAATGAGTGCAACACCTCCACCCCCGCCACCCGATCCCGCTCCAGAGATCCCTGAAGTCCCCGAAGTACTGGATACCGTCGAAATCATAGAACTCCCAGAAGTCGCGGAGCCTCCGCCACCTCCCCCGACCGAGGACGAGTTGATGGAAATAACAATGGAGAATGCAAAGAAAGAGCAATGGATCTGGAAAGACTTCACAACGTATGTTCACACACGCCCTCTGGGCAGCCAATCGTTGTCTCTGTCAGTGCCCTAACCGTGTTAATTTGACCAGGCATGACGGTTTGACGCGCGGAACGTCACACCTGCGCGCTTGTGAGACTGGTGAAATCGATTGCAAGAAGACGAATCCACTCCTCGTTCGCTATGATGGCTACCGGGCTTTTCAGGAGCCTGTGGAACATATCGTCTCCTGCGTTGGTCCGCGTGGTGTGCCGTTGAACGAGAGCTATGAGGACGCCATTTGGGCGTATCCAGGGCAAGCAAACGGTGAGAGTGTGCGATTCTTGGTGCTTGACCCGTGTCTGACGTGAAATCTCCAGGTGCTGTTGAACCCACCCTTGGCTCGTACGAGGCATCCGGCCTGGACGGGGGTGTCTCTTTTGATCGTGTTGGTCGCTTTCAGGCTTATGGCCTCGATCAGTGGGATGCCTCTGACGTCGAAGAGATGAAGAAGATGAGCGACGTTGACTGGGACATGGTCGACTGGGGTGAATTGCAGGACGATTGTACCGTCGCTAACAAGCATCGTTTTCGACCCATCAAAGAGCGGCCTGCGAACTCGATTCAGTATTCGAATCTTCGGCACAAACACGACAAATCCTCATCTAAACCACTCTCCTCAACTCTAGAACAGGGCATGGTCAACAAGGCAAAACGCACAGCGATCCTGATTCGTGTTTGGACTGGTGCGAAGTGGACCGCCGACGCTGTTATGAACATTCGTGCAATGGTCGCAGAGGCATCCTTGGCTAGCGGAGGAAAGTATCAGGTATTTCTTCTTCTTCACGTCAAGGACGAAAGTGTCCCAGTCTTCGTGGGCGAGGATGAGCCGCGAGCAACGATCGAGAAGCACATCCCGCCTGAGTTCCGGTCGATGACAGAGGTCTGGAACCACGCCCAGATCCGGAGCTTGTATTCCAACTTGGCTGAACATGCTTTTGTTGGCCGGTCGCCCTGGATGATCATCCAATGGTTCGCTCGCAACCACCCCGAGTTCGATTTCTTTTACCAATGGGAGTTCGACGTGCGATATACCGGCCACTACTTGGACTTCTTTGAAGCCGTGGAAAATTTCGGACGCAATCAACCACGAAAGGGCATCTGGGAACGAGCTGGCAGGGTCTATATCCCCTCCGTCCATGGCGACTTTGACACCGATTTCCGCAACTCGACGAGGGAGGAAGACCCTCACCATGTGTGGGGTCCAGTATCCGTCGAGGGCGTTAAACCCCGTGGGCCTAAGCCGCCCAAGGAGGAAGAAGATAATTTTGAATGGGGAGTCGGTGAAGATGCTGACTGGATCGGGTTTCTCCCAAGCTTCAATGTGACTGGTACCGGCTGGTGGTTCCGCAACTATCTCTGGGGTTATGCTCAGGGCACGTCCACCCCGCGAAGGGCTACCCTCATTGCGCAAGGCAGAGTCAGTCGGCGCGTCCTCGAGATCATGAATTATGAAAACGCAGAGAACGGCCACCACATTGACGCAGAGATGTTTCCTCAGACCATGTGTCTCCATCATGGGCTGAAATCCACCACGTTTCCGCACCCCATCTTTGCCGATCGATTTTGGACTCCTCAAGCGTTGCAATCAACCTTCAACGGCGGACCTTTCGGCCAGGCTGGAGGCTATTGGAATAGCACATTCAGCAAGTGGAATGAATATGCGTGGACCAATATGACCTGGTATTACAGCTCCGCTCAAGCAATGCCAATCTTCCAACGCCTTCTCGGTATTACGGCGCTCGAAAGTGGTGGTCAGGAATGGGAGGATGTGTACGGCCGAACTGTCGTTCGTCCGATGCTGCTTCATCCCGTCAAGGGCGCGAAAACCTGGCAATGGACTGATGACGGATGGCAGCAGACTAATGCTCGAACCTGAATCATCCGCTGGCTTTCACCCGTTCTTTGATTTTTGCATCAGCCCTGGAGTTTGGAGTTTGGGGAAACTGTTTGCGTCAGTCTGGCACTGCCTTATCGAACTTTGTCGATTACCTGAACCGCCTTCAATCAGAAGTGGCTATCGCAGATGTCGACCAGAGGATATTCCTTGGAAAGAGAAGTTGTACATACAGGCACGACTGTTCATTTCCTATGACGACTAGGGGACCTCATTTCTCCCCACATGAAAGATGAGACACTGATACATACATGACAGAGGATATCCAGAGACAGGACAGCTGGATATGAGCTTTTATCAAGCTATGGAAAGCATGAGCTAAGCTGGAAGACTGAGCACTTGATAGATAGAGATATGATCGGCCATTAGACGGCTGGAATAATCATAATTGTAAATCCTCGCTGGCGATAGGGAGTTTTAATTGGCATCAATGGTCCACTTCTAAGCCTGACAAGCTCATCAGACCCTGGGAAGCGACTGGTCGAGTGGTATCCGTGGAATACAGCCGGCTGTGAGGAATGCATCAATGCATGGATGCATAGATGTGCGACTAGCAATCACAATGCATGAATGAGAAAGTGGCTTGCTCTAAGTTGCTCACAATCTGACCGGGTTTGTCGCGACATACGAAGACCCGAATTGCGAATCGCGAATCGCGGGCGGGCTGCCACATGGGTTCCGCATCTGGGCTTATCCTAAGGCCCCAGCCCGAATGCCAGTCGGACTCACAGGACCCAAGTTATCCTTGTTGGCAGGGCATCTTTCTCTGACCTCTGACTTCCCCAGAATCTCTCCTGGCCAACACTGATCATCAATGAGCGCTCATGCGGGTTACATGGCTGTTGAGACCTCATGTCCACAAATCCCTTCCGTAAGAGTAGTTCATTGAAAGGTTCTGGCGGAAGCAACACTCCTACTCCCAGTCTCACATCGGATCCTCGCGGCACCAGTCCCGGCGCTCTTTCTCTTGATACCAGAGGTACGTGTGTGTCAAATACGTCCAGGTGATCCCGCTGGCGTCTGCTGAACCACTCGAGCAGTCCACGGTACCTCGCAGAAGCATGTGAACTTTGCTTCTCCTCCGGCAATCCCCATCTCGCCGGTCTCATATCCACCTTCGCCCGAGTCTACGCGACAGGAGTTCCTTTCTACATTCCCTAGCCCGCATTCTACTTTACCTGCGCCGACAGACTATAGCCAGGCGCTTGCGAGCGATCCTTTTGCGGCCGAGGCTTCCGACGAGGATGATGGTGCCATCGAGCAGGCATTGGAGAATGCGAGGGCGAACAATGAGATGACCGCGTCTGGGTCGATGGTGACCAAAGTCTCAAAAGAAGATGCTGTGAGAGAGACCCTAGGGCGATTTGCAAGCATTCCGCGGCGGCCGGTTAACAGTCAATCAGCCGCCGCTGGGAAAGACCTCAGCAGCTTCTCGAAATCGACCATGGACGTGGACGCCTTCAAGAGGATGTTGCTGACGGGAGATCGGGGCTCTTCTTCGGTCCGCGATACAGCAGGGCAGAGCATTCAGTCAGGCCCTAATCCTGTAAGTGACAGTGGTTCCAGTGCGGACACGGCATCAATCTCACAGCACTCGATATTCGAGACTGTACAACCTGCGCCCGATGAAAGTCCCCGGACTTCAGATGAACTAGAGGCCAACGAGGCGAACATATATCGAGCACAACTTGGGACTATCTCAGAGAAAGGGGAGAAACCCCCTCCGCCCAAGAGCAGGCGTGGGAAACCTCTCAAGGATCTGGGGACGGAGCAAGGTCCAACAGCCAAATTCGACAGCTTTATCAACTCGCTAGCGTTGCCCGGCAGCCGCAATGTCAGTTCAGAAGCGCCCAGTCTCAGGTCGCCTCCGATTGACGAAAGTTCTACTGGCGATCGACTTGCGAGTGCTGGATATCCTGATACGCAGAAAAAAGTGCCGCCAGCGCCTCCATTAACTCGCCGGAAGAGCCAGCAAGCACCGAAGAAACCGGTCTTGACAAGAAGCAGCTCCTCTCGGCACTCGGTCTTCAGTGAAACGGATGGACCTCCAAGCCCTTACTTTTCCAGCTCTGGAACGAAACCTCCTCCGCCACCTCCAGCGCGGCGGACCAACAGTACTGGCGACCGTCGCCCCTCACTCGATGTGGCCTCCATCCCAGAGGACGCGGATGTGATGGATTCGGAAGTTAGGCCGGGCTTACAGTCTAGCCCATCCTACTCGAAACGGATGAGCCAGGGACTACCGCCGCCCCCGTTACCGCCGCCCCGGCGAGGAAGAGGCTCTAGTCGAAGTAGCATGGAGACTACGAGGCCATCGATGGCCCACCTGGCCATGGAAGAAGCTGGAGGGAGTGATTTGGGGTTTCCCAAGGGTGACCCAAGAGATATCTTGGCGGACCTTGCCGCCCTGCAACGCGAGGTAGATGCTGCTAGAGCGGGGGCGGGTCAGTGACGAAGAGATGACATTGATTGACGAAAACAAGTACTTGTATGATATGGCAATAACCACAATAAGCATTGGATGCTTTGGCTCTGCTCCCTTATAGGTACCTGGTATAGGGATGGAGGGCGTCCACTGGGCGTCGGGGCTTTGCCCTTTGGCCCTTCATAAGGGGCTCATCCAACTCCAGATCACGTGGAGTTGGCTAAGGCTTCACCAGCCCCCATGACGTAGCCAAGCGGAACTTGCCTTCTGCGAGGTTTGGGTGCCTTACGCAGCCAGTGGGTGCATGCATGCGTTCCTGGGGAACTTCAACCTTCAACTCCACGTCCACTTTCTTTGTGCACCGCGCCAACCTGCGAATTCCTACCACCCTCACCCTTTGACTCAAAGCCTCTTTTCAACCTTCACTTTTACATTCATCACAAGTTTCTCCTGTGATTATCACTATATATCATTTACGAAGCCCACTACAAACCGCTTCGTCTGTCACCTTGTCACCCCGCGATACTATTCACCATAAAGCCCCCTCCCTCCGCCAGCCGCTCGTAAAGCCCCTCGGACTTCCCAGGGCTTTCCTTCCACCCCGAATTCGACCACGCCGCGATCACATAATGATTGCGTGATTACTCCTGCTATTACCATATCAACGGCAGTTGTTCCATTCGCTTGCCATATCCGCGTCCAAGACCACGGAGCGCGTCTCGGCTTTGGGTTCTGAAGCGCAGTTCGATTCTTACAGTGGAAAGACAGACTGTCGCAACCATGCCTAACAGAGGTCCCACCCTGATCAACCGTATGTCCCTTTGCGTCTTTGGACGAAGCAACCATTTAGAGAGACTAATCTAGTATGCAGTCCCTCCCCCTCCCTCAGATCCTGCCACGCCCAGCGAAATGGGTCCCGGCACCCCCAACTCCACCACCACATCCCTTTCGGCGTTGTCTGTCGTCGCCATCAAAGACGGCGCAATGGGTCATGGCGGCAGAGGAGCAGCCGCCTCTGCAAATACTCTTGAAGCCGAACGAGCCGACCGCATCTCCCGCCTTGCAGGCCTCGAGAGAGTTGCGACTTCTCGACCTACGCCGCTAGGACACCTTGCACCAGGCTCCGGCCCCTTTCATGGTCAAGCTTTTGATAATGCACCTCAATTTAAAGAACGAAGCACTGTTGGGAGCGCCAGCGCAACAGGTAGCGTGGGCGGCCGAACTACCTGGGCGAGCGGCAGTGTAGACTACGATGCGGATAAGATGAGCGAGGATCCTGATGATGGGGTCTCGAGCACAGGCGGATTCAGTGACGAGGACAAGGCGAGTTTGGTCGGGTTTGGCGAAGGGGCAGGTAGCACAGTCAGCGGCCCCGTCTCCACTCCGTACAATACTCGCGCTTCTATTTCTCGACAAAGCACCAACGTGAACGCGCCTTCGACCCCACGAACCGGGAATTTGCCAATGTTTGGCTCTGGACAAAGCACGCCCATGAGTGGCATTACCCCCAGTGCTGCTGCAGGAAGCACCGATCCTAAGATGATGGATGGGATGAGTTACGACCAAAATTTCCTCGACACGACGATGCAGCCAGCTCCACCGGTCGACGAGCCCTCAACGCATCCTCACGCTGATCAATTTTCGGGCATGGGTACTGAAATGGCAGAGGCAGTCATGCGAGATCGACTAAGAGATCTGGAGCAGGCGCAACAGTCGATGCATCCGGGAGACGGGCAGACCTTGGGCAGATTCCCCTTTGAGAAGGAATAAGCTAATGGCGTCGGCGTTGATTTTTCTCTGCTGATGTTTCGAGTGGTCAGATCAAGCTAGAAACTGAGACAGCGGAGGCTCCGGGAGCAAGATTGTCTCTGGTGGAACATGAAGGAATGGGTTTTGTGACTGTACGATATCAATAACCTGGGGTTTGTAGCGGAAGCTCTTGAAGAATTATCCCATGGTGGGCGGTACGCGGGTTGTTTACTCGGTGTTGGGGTTTGTTTACCCTCTTTGGGCCGGGATCGCGAGGGACTCGTGGAGAAAGAATGACACCTATTATCGAAAGTCCAGTAGAGACATTCGAATCGGGTAATCAATGACAACTCATTTGAGATGCAGCCTGGCTGGCGAAATCCACGTAGATAGCGGGAGTACAGCATTATACCGTCTCGTTGCAATGGACAATTCCCCCTCCAAGCGAGGACCCCATGCAGATGGCGAGGCTGAACCTCCCTTTAAAGCAGCGGTCTAATAATAGGCTAGTTGCCTAGTCCAGGGCCCCGGAGCCTCGCCCTGGCTAGGCGGTTGCCTTAAGTAAGCGCACAGCCCATCATTTGGGTGTCTTAGGGCCAGGCTAAACCATGCTAGGGGATGAGGACCGTTAAAATGAAGTTTTCCATGGGACCATGACAGCGCCTAGGCTTTACCGCTAGCCTGGCATTCACCAAACTTGGTCACTCTTCGGCTCGACATTTTTTTTGTTCCCTTCTTCCCTCTTCCTACTCTTCTCTCCACCGCCCCTCTCGTCACCCTTCACCCTGTCCAATTTGTTTGTCCCCTTCTGCAATCGCTGATATTAAGTTATCAAGTACGGAAAAGACTCGAATTGTGACAATCTCACCGCCACAAAGGCTGCTGCCCATCCGCAACCTTCCTAGTTCGCAGGGCTTTGTTGTTGATTCCCTGACGCAGATCTCTCGTTGGCGAACGACTATCCCTTCTTGCCAAATTTCACGCTCCTCGTACGAATAAGCCTGACCATCTTGACTGCTGGGAAACGCTCAACTGTGCTGGACAACCCGTGGAAAATGGCTCTCACACAGTTTGCCTGTATGTGTCATCCTGGGCGCCGCTGCGGCACAAATATATCCCAGCCTCTTGGCTGACTTCTGCATATAACAGTCCGGACTCTTAAGGGGATCGGTGTGGTCAACGGCGCACCTAATTACGAGCCGCTTTCCGGTTTTGAAAGGTTCGATATAATGCGTCGTCGAATAGCCGCCCGGTCGTGTTGCTAACGGCCCGCGTGCTAGACCTCAAGGAAACCTGCGATGCTGCTCCTACTCCCCATGCGGCCGATATTTCGCATGGGCCTACCCTGAAAAGTATGTGTCCAGAACGCACTCGAGAGCCAAATGAGATGGACTGACAGGAGGACAAGGGTCAACATTATCGACTCTGACACAGGTGTCATCATCTCCTCCCTTCCCGCCGAGAATGTTTTCGAACTGGGCTTCTCGCCCAAGGGTACCTACATCATCACGTGGCAACGCCCTGCCAAGGACGAAAACGGTGACGCCGTCAAGAATCTCAAGGTGTGGCTGGTCATTGACGAAAAGGCTCTGGCGGAAGGCGTCGACAAGGAGCCGGTCGCCAGATTCGTGCAAAAATCGCAGACTGGTTGGAACCTGCAGTACACACACGATGAGGCCTTTTGTGCGAGAGTGGTTACCAACGAGGTGCAAATCTACGAGAGCCACGACCTGAAAACGGTTTGGAATAAAATCCGGGTCGAGGGTGTGACCGACTTTGCGGTGTCCCCGGGGCAGAGCCACACCATTGCAGTCTTTGTACCAGAGAGAAAGGTAACGTCCGAGACTCGCCGCAAGCAAGTTTACATGCTACTGGGATCTGACCGGAACGATAGGGACAACCAGCGGCTGTCCGAGTTTACAACGTGCCGAATTTCACCACCCCCGTATCTCAGAAGAATTTCTTCAAAGGTGACAAAGTTCAGCTCAAGTGGAATGAGAATGGCTCTTCTTTGATTGTGCTGGCACAAACTGAAGTCGACAAAACTGGCAAAAGTTACTATGGAGAGACCACACTCTACCTCCTTAGTGCCAACGGTGGCTTCGATTCACGGATAGATCTAGGTGGGTTCCTTCCTGAATTCTTGCCCGATGTGCAAGTGCTAAGTAGTGCATCAGACAAGGAGGGCCCCATTCACGATGTTGCATGGTCACCCCAGTCGAACAGCTTTGCTGTGGTGTACGGTTACATGCCGGCAAAGACGGTGATATTCAACTCCCGAGCTCAGCCAGTACACACATTTCCGCTCGGACCGCGCAATACTGTACTTTTCTCCCCCCATGGGCGTTTTGTTCTTGTGGCCGGTTTCGGAAATCTTGCTGGTCAGATGGACATATATGACCTGGAGAAGGACTTCGCCAAGATCTGCACCATTGAGGCAAGTAACGCAAGCGTGTGCGAATGGTCGCCTGACGGCATTCATATCTTGACCGCAACCACGTCGCCCCGGCTGCGAGTCGACAACGGCATCCGCATCTGGCATGCTGGTGGTTCTCTGATGTATAACGAGGATATGAATGAGCTTTACCACGTTTGTTGGCGGCCGCAACCCGCTGAAGCTTACCCTCTGGGTGCTAATCCACTTGCCGATATCCCGACGGCACATAGCAGTGCGATGGAATATATGGCAGCCCGGAAGACACCTAGTAAACCTGCTGGTGCGTACAGACCACCAGGCGCTCGTGGACAGGTCACACCTCTGGCCTTCAAGCGCGAAGACGAAGGTGGTGCTGCATTCGTTCGCGAGGGTATCTCATCTTTCTCAAGCAACATCAATGGGTTCGGAAAGCCTCGGCAACGGGTAGTTCCAGGTGCTGAACCTGCTGAGGAAAAGACACCGCTCCCTCCTGGTGCTGCTCCTGGAGGGGGTGTGAGTTTGACAGGCACTGGGGAAGGAGCAGATGGAGAACCATTGTCCAAGGCGGCTAAGAAGAATGCAAAGAAGAGAGAAGCAAAGAAGGCGGCGGCGGCGGCGGCAGCTCGCGAGCAACAGCAAGGCGGTGGGCCCGCAAGTAACCTCGCGCCAGAGCAACGACAGCAAGGTGGAAGGGGGAAGAGTCCAAGTCGAAGCCCGGACGGTCGTGGCCATCAGCGCAGCCGAAGTAGGAATTACGTGCCAGCGCCTGGTCTTGAGCCGCCCAGTGGGCCGAAGAAGGAGCGGAGCCGGAGCAACAGTCGACGACAACGCGGTGATACGAACAGCTCGACGTATGATAGATTTGCAAATGGCACGCCCAAGGGGCCTGCACCGGGAGCAGCACCCAATGCTAATCAGCAGAACAAGACACCTCGCACCAACGCGCCGACGAGTATCAACACGACTATTCCCATGCCCACACCTCCACCGGTTCCCCAAGCGTCACAAATCCCTCCCGAATTGGAAGTCACCTCCCCAATGACCCCTGGCGGCAACCCACAGGACAAGAAAATCCGCGGACTCTTGAAGAAGATTCGAGCGATAGAGGATCTCAAGATGCGCTTTGCTGGGGGAGAAAAGTTGGAGGATACGCAGATGAGGAAGATTCAAAGTGAGGAAGGGGTTAGGAAAGAGTTGGCGGCGCTGGGGTTTTCTGCGTGAAAGAGTATTTTGTTTGGGTGATGATACGTTGGGTCTTGATTTTGCGCTGTCCAATTTATTTTGTTCAGCATGAGAGGATTTTCTGCCTTGAGGGGTCCGAATTGGTCACGTCATCAGGAGAACAGCACAAACAGAGCCTCCTCCTCGGCAAAGAAGCCTGCCTGTTGATGCAGCAGGTCATTGCCAGGTCAAATGGGGACTGAGGAATGTCTCAATTTCCAAACTCCATCCGTCACGCAAACAGCAAGCACTCAATGCTGTCTGGCATCATGTCGAGTCGATCCTCCAGAACCAGACATCCGCTTCTGCGATGGGGCTACGGGAGCTTTTGGTCAAGCAGCTCCGTGAGGCCGGCTGGGCCTCCCTCATGTGTGCGGGCGGGGGGAGCCGTACGACTTTCGTTCTGTTTGACTGGGGGTGGCTTGCTTTCCACCTACCTACCTTGCGAGGTCCTCATGGTTTTTTTTGCATAGCGAGGAAAAGCGTCGATGCCTTCAAAGGAAGGGACAAATGCAGATACAGATAGACGTGCTGGATCGAGGGGCATACGAGGGACAGGGACACGAGGCGGCGGGTACGACACGTATGTAGAGTAATCAGTCAAAGCCAGAGGGAGATCAAATATAAAAAGAAATATACCAAAAAAAAAAATTACTAAAAGATATCTCAGGGGATAAGAGCGACGGAATGAATTGCATGTATAATGTGAGCCGCACCAACGAATGCTATGGAGAACCGTAGACGGCAGTTGAAAACCCCGTTAAAACTAGGTACGATTCTCAATATTGATCCATACCACATGTTAAACGGCCTTTTTAGGAGGCAGAATGGGGCTGGGTTTGTTGGGCGGCTTGGGGTTGATCTTTCGCGAAGAATACTGAGCCTGAAGATTGGGTCAAGGTATTGATCTCGCCTTGGGCTCCACCTTGCATCGCGATGAGAGGTATTGGGTAAGGGAGGGAAGGGAAGGGAAGGGAAGGGGAGTGGGAGTGGGAAGGGGAGTTCAGCAGAAAGAAAGAGGATCCCAAAGGAGGAAGGAGATGGCTTGGAGAGAGGTAGAGCAAACATCATATGGAAAGGGGAACCATGGGGAAACCTCCTGTGGGAAGATGACCATGACATGAGGACGATGCCAGCGTAGTGCCAATTTTGCCATCTGTACATTGGGCATGTTGAATCTCAGCACATCCAGAGGCTTGCGTATCAATTCGACAGCACACAAGAAAAATCAGAGTTCGACATATGGGGTATCGTACAAAGGATCCTTCCAATAAAAGAGAACCAACTCCAGCTCGGAAACCGGAGAAGGCAATCCGCTTTTCAAAGGGGATGAGCTTCGAGGGAGCTCATGTAAACAATCTTCTCGGGGCTGCGGCTGACTCGCCTTCGAGCACTTTTCTCCCATTCATCTTCAATCCTCGGCCTTTCGCAGGTGTCGGGCTACCCATGTCGACATCCTCATCCTCGTCATCGTCATCAATGCGGAACCCGACGCTCTTCGTAAAGAGATTCATGGGTTTCTTCGTTGCTGGCATACCACCCATATCATCAAGAATCCGGTCCATGCCCTCGACATCCAGATCGCCGGACGCGAGTAGTGTTTGGTCTGATGGGGCACCTGCTGTCTGGGCAGACGGATCGGGTGCGCTGGAACGTGAAGAAAGCGGTTCGAGCGAGAGGATGAGGCGGTGAGATGTCTGTATGAGGAAGTCGCGAGAGACTGCATTGTCGAAGATGTTGGTCCCAGAGAACAAATTCCTTGAAGCTTCTGAGCTAGGAAGGAGACTGAGGGACAACGGTACTTGGCCTCCTAAACTTGAAGGCGGAAGGCGGACTGGCTTGGATTCGCCCTTCCAGAACGAGAGGATCGAAGGAATGTATACGGTTTCGTCTGCGTAGCTGATGAGCACGGACTCGTCGTGTGCTACACGGCTCACAAGCTTTTCTTCGACGTAGATGGATCCGTAGCCTCGTTGGCCGTTAGGTTTTGATGAGTTATCAGTGGATGTCGAGCCATGGAATAAACCCTCGGATCGCATTTTGCGGGTCGACGGAGTCATTGGTACCAAAGAACCGGAGGTTGGCTGTACCTCAGTATGGGAAGATTTTTGTTTGGACTCCGTAGAGGGCAAGATGTGTGAGCGAACTGCAAACCGAGTCAATGAGCCACCTTGAATGCCTGAGATGTTTCCATGCCCACGAAGAAGATTGGCACCGGAGCTGGAAGACGTAGGTCCGACGGCCTCTAGGTCCCAGATACCCCATTCGCCATCTTCGAGCAAAGTTACGACAGCACGGCCGCCGATGAGCCATCTTGCGTCCAGGACTTCTTTTCGTCTCTGCTGAACAACTTCCGTATTCTTCTGTCTAAAGGAGGGGAGCATGGAGATGAGAAATTTCCCTCGATCGCTGCTTGGAAGTCTCGTTGAGCGCGTGCTCGAGACAGAATCAGCTGTTGCAGTAGATCCTCTACGCTCTCGAGTATGTGATGGAAAAATCTGGTAGACCTTGACAGCAGAATCTGCGGGAACCGTAATGAGCAAGGTCGAATGTCGTTCAGCAGGGTATGGCGATGTGTTGAAGGAAACCCTCGCATTCATGCATGAGGAACGGAGGTATATCCTTCTGATTGGGACAGGATAATCTGCAGTCGATGTAAGTTGATTCCTGAGGAGCGGAAGTTGATGGACGAGTAACAATCCCGCACCAGTACACGAGACTGACGCAACGAGGAGTGACCAACGTTGGGATTCGGATTCTGCGCTCGCCTGCTTAGATTGAGGTTGAGAGCGAGTCTGAGGTTTCCCTTGAGTCTGTTCCTCAACGTCCTCTTGTTCCTTCGAAAGGACTGCCGTATGAGTGATTGAGATGTCTGAAACGAACTGTTGATGGGAGTTTGAGCCTTCTATTTTCAAAATTTGGACACCCATTTTCGAAACGTCGTGCACTTCTGGAGCGGGTGGATCAAGAGGCGCAGATATGACCCGAAGGCTAAGATCAGTGCAAGCAGCAGCAACGATGATGCGATCGTGGTAAATGGCCGGCCATGATTCTGGAGGAGCTTGAGCAAGATCCTTCACAATATGTGGCACAGCAATTCTTGAGGCTGCCGTTCCCAAGGGTATATCGACATGCCGGATCACATCTCGGTATGGTGCAGACGGGTCCACTTCGTCCTCCTCTTCTTTGAACTCAGCAGGTCCTGTTTCGACCTCTTTTTTCCCTGCCGCATCCTCGTCGTCATCGTCGTCGATGTCGATGACCATGGGGTCGCTCTTGGCAGTCCCATTGATCTTTGGTGGCGGGAGCTCTTTCTTTGGTGGCTTGAATCCCTTGCCAGCGTACCACACAAGACGCAAACCTTGCTCGTGCCCATAGACTATGACGGTGGAGCCGTTTGAGGACTGCCGAGGGTAGACATGCGATCTGAATGCTTCGTGCGGGAGTTCATAGCTGGAGTGTAAACTTAGACAAGCCCAGAGCGACCGAGAAGGTCGACTTACCTGAGCTGCCATCGCCCTTTCTGTTTCACAGCCGATCGATTCATTCTTCTAGATTGTATTGTCGCCGCGAAGCAGGAAAGAGCGGGCAAATATGTGGTTGCATGAATTTGTGGTCAACTTGAAGGTGGACTTGAGTTGATATTAATGCTAAGATGGACTGCAACTTTTGGGTTTCTCCAAATCGCGTCGGGAACGCGTCTGCGCCGTACATTCACCTCATTTTCACTGCACCAAAAAATGTGCTCAAACCCAGAGCAACAGCGAAGATACATGGCACTGCTGCAATAGATATGCTTGTCAGCTCTAATCCATTGTGCCTGGCCCTCATGTCTGTCGACCTGCGTCTGTCACTCCAGAGCCATGAGTTCAATCCAGTCGCTTGGCCTCCATGAGCCCTCCGCTCTACCCTCCCTAGTCGCCGCTTCGATCCTTCCCTCTGAACCTCCCTCTTCACTGTATAAATGGACACTCTCGCGCGTATACGACAAAAATACTTCGAGTTTCGTGGAGGAAGAGATTCTGACCACAGAACACTGCGTGGTGTGGTCCAGGAACGGCGCAATTGAAAGAGCACTAAACCTCAGTGTCGAAGGAGAGACTATCCTCCATGCTTTTGTCACTCGGTTTAGCCAGCCTGAGGATTACGAAAAGAGCAGTCAACAGCAGCATGCAGCCGAGCAGTTATCGGAGCGTGGTCTGGTGGTGGTGTTCAAGACTCAGGTTCACATATTCCTTCTCTCGGGCGACAGCTATGTTTTCCCTCTGTCATTTGAGGTCGAGTCTGCGTTTCCTTACCCATTAGGGTTTATTCTACAGCGGAAACTAGGGGATAGGGAATCTGGTGGCTACGTTGAACAAGTCCATCATGATCTCAGCACCATCAACGAGACTCTGACTTCTATCGGTGGCAACAGCTCGAGGCCGTCACTGATCTTGCCAAAAAAGCGATACTCAGACCCTAGAATGATATCTTCCAGCGCCAATGGCATGCCCAGGACTTTTTCATTGACTGAAATCATGTCAGACTTAGGGCTCGTGGTATGGAGCCCCAACCGGAAAGGCGAAGCTCTTGAAGATTGCAATGCTCTTCCTCGCACAGAGAAGTTGATCTTTATGACTGCTGGAAACGAACCCGGCTTTGAGAGCACTAGCGATCGGCCTGTCTGCATGGCTTTGACTTTGAACGAAAGCAATGCTACCTTCACACTCTGGCACGTAAGTGGGGATGTTGTAACTGAGCAACAACAGCCACGAAGTAAGAAGGAAGGCGACACAAAAACTCGCGCGTCTCTAAGGCAGAGTTCAAACGTCTATGGCCGAGATCCTGGCACACTCAGGGAAAGCCTTCTAGGCTCCCGTCCACCACATCCTGAGGGTGGGCCATTCTCGTCTCTAGAGGAGCAGAAATCGTTCCCGACAAATGACCTGGCTTCTCAACTAGGTCCCGAGTTTGGCGACGTCGGAGTGCAGACCCGGTCAGCCCGCAGAGTCAGTTCGATGCTGGCACGCACAGATTTGGGTTCAGCAGCGGATCGAAATACCTTCAACGACCTAGCAATGGGCCATGCGGGCCGACAGAGTCTGAATAGGGCAGGCAGGCGAGGCGAATCAATCGGCAGTTTCAACGATCGACAGAGCTTTGGTTTTCGACGAAGAAGTTCTTTCCCAACAAACGCATCTATTTTCAGCAATGGCACCTCGTTCCTGGACATTTCAGCTCGGGGACTGCTAGAAGAATTTGACCCCTTACGGCAATCCACGCGTATCGAAGACGATACCTTTGACGGGCCAGAATCTAATTTACCCAGGAGTGTCGGATTTTTCAAAGTCAAAAGCTTTCCGAGACGGCAGTCATCTTCCCAGCCCACTTCAGCGTTCGAAATCAAGGTTTTGCAGCTGAGCACCGGCAGCTTCTCCGACCAAGATGGTAGGCGAACAAGGGACGTCTACCTTTGCGTAATGGACAAGAGCGCCCAGGAGATGACCATAGTCAGGGTTCTGGTGAAAAGACACATCCATGGCAATACAAGAAAATCGACCAGTTCCAAGCATTCGTTTGAGCTCAAGGTTGTGGAAATTCGCAGACTGTCGGGCATAAAGGACGCTTGCACGGTCGTGGATAGATCTATTCAGCGATTAGTCGTTCTACCAGAGTCCCGATCACAAACTATTGGTCTGCAGCTCGAATCGCCGTGGTCTCCGTCCTTCCAGAGCGGATTCCCTGTTCGATACGCAATCTACGATCCGTTTCTGACTTCTCAGTCCTTCAGCCCGAGAAAAGACAAAGACACAGGAATCAGGAGGGTTATACCAGGTAAAGATGTCCAAATTCAAGCATTGCTCGATTCGGGAATTCAAGCACAGATCTACGCGATTGATCAAGATAAGCGCCGACATGCGCTGGGAATCCGGCTTGCCCCTCGAGATCCTCTCGTGCAAAAGGTTCTCAAAATGTGTGACATGGTGCTGGGTCCGAATCAGCAGGAAAGCCTCCTCGTTGCATTTTGGGAGGTTTCGAGATGGCTGAAAGCCAGAGAACCACCAGTGACTTCGGAATGGACCGCCCTGCTGGTAGTGCTCTTCTCGCTCGCGGTGCCTTTCATCAGCAGTCAACATCCACAGTCCACGCCCACACGCCGTCGAACCAAAACGGCTCTTCTTCGCTCCAGCAGTGGAAGTGCCATTGACCTTACGAATTACGACCTCATGCATCATGCAGATGACGAAATACCCCAGACATTCGGAATGCAAGGGCCCGCTTGGGAGTGGGTTTCGCAGAAGCCCCTTGGTCCAACAACGGTCACCCCAAAATCAAAGCACTCTCGAACGCCGAGCACGGCATCTTTTCATGAAAGTACTCTCGATAAGAAGAACGCTTTTCTGGTTACATGTATAGCAATGGCAAGAGAGTATACTCAGACTCCCATCGGGGAAAGTGCCCTTGGTCCGGAGGGATATTTGCCAACTTCGATCAATAAGGAGCGAGAGCAACGATGCAACGCCATACCCAGCATTTTACTCGGTCTGCATCTCCTCTACGAGGAAGACAAACTCGATACGATGTCAAATCCCGGTCGGAAGGATGCAAGAAACAGTCTGTTGATTGTTCTTGTTCAGCTGGGTCGTTGGCTCGGATGGAGAGACTGGATGTCTGGGGACAAGACCTACTATGGACACGAATCGGCCGAAGTCACTGACTACTTGTATGACGAGTCATTGCTTGATGGTCTACGAATTCCTGTCCAACCATTTCCGCCGCCGTCAATCTACGAACATTTTGAGAGGTGGATCACTGGAATCTCACCTGCTCCATTCTTGACGTTGCCGCGTTTATGTGGCTCGCCGGATCTGCGCAATCATGACCATCCATTATGGTGGCAAGCGGCAGGTTTGACGCCTCGAACGTTGGCTCTTCTTTCCTTTATGGATCAAGCAAAGGATCAACTCAGCCCCCACAAGACAATCGCACTTCTGCTTAGGTCAGGGATAAACGAGCGCATTTTGAGTACTCTTCCTGACGGAGTAGCTGCTGCTTTTCATCAAACAATTGCATCGAACCGATACAGGGCAGACAAAATTGGGAACCAAGTGAATCAGCTTATCCTAGGACGAGATGTGGCGATCCAACGAGGTGACGACCTCTCTTACCACTCATACAAGTCACAGTTGTTACCATCATCACACGAAGCTCTGAAGGACTATCACACCGTCTGCTTATCTGCGGTTGAGGCGGAAACTCTTCAAAGATGGGACGCATCCTCCGAGGCCGACCGACATGTTATTAGCAAGTTGATATTCAATGAGGACCGTCGCTTTTTGGAAGCTTCCAAACTTGTCAATCAGACAAGGCCACCGGTGGTTGAGTGCACACCCGAGCTGGGCTGGAGTGACGTGGACTTGTTAGAGGCGCAAAAAGAACTCGCCCAACACGTCACCCGCCGGACATTGTCTGTCGCTGCAGGACGAGGGATGATGCATTTTAATGCTCGTGTCCCCTTGCTCACCGAAAGGGTGCCCATACCTGCTTTCAGTCTGCAATGTATCATGAAACCTCGTAACGCCAGTGAGGGTGCCCAAGCCATAACTTTCAGCGCCGATAAAGCCATCTTTACGGAAGAGAAGGTGTGTTGGGCATTCTTCCACAACGGCGCTTCAATGGGTCTCATGATCTCGAACGATGCCAAAGGGATTAACACCTCATGGATCCTGTACAACAAACCGCCCGAGTTGACAAACCGCCACGCTGGATTTTTGCTTGCTCTGGGTCTCAATGGACACCTCAAAACACTGGCCAAATGGGTTGCATTCAAGTACCTCACGCCTAAGCACACAATGACATCTGTTGGACTCTTGCTCGGACTGTCAGCGTCTTTTCTAGGAACCATGGACACATTAATAACGCGCCTGCTTTCCGTCCACGTCACGCGTCTGCTGCCGTCCGGTGCAGCGGAACTCAATCTGTCTCCATTGACACAAACCACTGGAATTATGGGAATTGGACTCTTGTATTACAATTCTCAACACCGCCGCATGTCTGAAGTAATGCTATCTGAGATTGAAAATGATGATCCGGAAGAGGGTGTTGCATTTGAAAACGTCCTTCGCGATGAGGGCTACCGACTTGCAGCCGGATTCTCTCTAGGCCTCATCAATCTTGGTCAGGGCAAACGCCTTCACGGTCTTCATGATATGGGCGTTGTTGAACGTCTTCTCACTATCGCCGTGGGCACGAAGAATGTGAATATGGTGCATGTCCTCGACCGTGCGACTGCGGGGGCTGTTATGGCCATTGCTTTCATTTTTATGAAAACGAACGATGCGGCGATTGCGAAGAACGTCGACATTCCAGATACCTTGCATCAATTCGACTATGTACGACCAGATATTTTCCTTCTCCGAACACTTGCTCGCCATCTGATCATGTGGGATGCGATTCAGCCCACGAATGATTTCATTCAGACATCCCTCCCCGAGCCGTACAGGTCGAGAACTGATTTGAAGGCTACGAAATTTCTCAGCACTGAAGACATGCCATTCTTCAATATTGTTGCCGGTATCTGCTTCGCTATCGGGCTGAGGTTCGCAGGCTCTCAGCGAACCGACGTTCGGGATCTCCTCGTCTCTTACCTGGACCAGTTCATCCGCCTGAGTCGTCTACCCGCGCATAATTACGATTCGCGAATTACCCTGAACAGCGTGCGCAACTGTCTGGATACCCTTGCCCTAGCGTCAGCCACCGTTATGGCCGGTTCCGGCGATCTAGTCGTCATGCGCCGTTTGCGTGCTCTTCATGGTCGCACGGATGGAGACACACCGTTCGGGAGCCACCTCGCCGCGCATATGGCACTTGGTGCTTTATTTCTCGCTGGCGGCACACGTACTTTCGGAACCTCGAATTTAGGAATCGCAAGTTTGTGCATCGCCTTCTACCCGATCTTTCCTAATGACGTCCTCGACAATCGCGGCCACCTTCAAGCTTTGCGGCATTTATGGGTACTTGCTGCCGAGGGGCGGTGTCTTGTTGCAAGGGATGGTGACGCAGGTGGCTCTGTCTCAGGAGGCATAACTGGTCACATCTATTTGAAGAATGGTGAGACGCAGTCGATCCGCTTGCCGGGCTTGATACCGGAGTTCGACACCATCAAATCTATAGATATTAAGGGTGGGGGCTTCTGGGACGGGCACCTCGATTTCGAAGCTGGAGGGCAAACACTGAGAGAAAAGATCAAGAACGAAAATGCCGTTAATGTTATCCTCCGGCGCCGCACGGCGTACGACGAGCCCCCGAAGAATCTTTTCACGGCGGAGTTGCAAGCCAAAGCCTGGTCGATGGGAATTCCAAGTGTTGACCCTAACGCTGTTCCTTCTTATACTAGCACGGTCACAGGCAACGCTACATCCGGAGCTGCCCCTGCCGCGAGCTTTGCCAAAACAGCGACGCAGAATCCGTTCGAGTGGATCTTCGAAATCGAATCTCTCCAGGACTTTGACCATGCAGAACGGGCGCTGATCCTGGGTCCCACACCTATAGATGGGAAGGAAATGAGCAGAGTCACGGTCGTGGATTCCCGACTCGAGTTTGAGAAGGGCATTCTCCCTCCAGAAGATGATGCAGACCAAAGTGTTGGCGTGGAGAAGAGACAGATGGACAAGGACAAACTGTGGCAGTTGAGATTGTTGTTTGCCTGGTTTGATCGATGGGAGAGGGAGGATCAGGAGCATGATCGCAGAAAGCAAACGACCGAGCGACTTGGAGAGAGTCTTGTTAGGGACACTGACGAGGGTGCAGATTCAGATAAGTGGTTCTCGGACCGTGGAGGGACCTGGCTGAGAAGGGAGGTAATTGAGAGGCTGAGGTGGAGGGTGTGGAATCTGACAACAGGAAGTCGCGGTGAGACTGACGAGGCAAGCGACGATGACACTAACGAGATGTTGTGACGGTAATGACCTCTGCATGTCGGAAGGCCCAAAGTTTGCCACTTATCATTACGAACAAGTATCCATACGTGCTCTGTCTCTCTCTCTCTGAGATTCGAGCCACAACAAGAGAAAGGAATGTGGTAACGACAAAAGGTGCATTCATGGCTGCATTCTGACCGGAGTGACGCTTGCTCGACGTCCTCAGAGGCCTTACGAAGACATTCTCCCTAGGTACTTAGAGTACGGTACACTAGCAGGCAGCAAGCCTTAAGGAGCGTTCAGAGTTGCGGTCGAGAGGCTGGTAGAGATCAAATATCATTTATTTATTGTTATTGCTAATACGAATTGTCCACCTGTCTACCCAAGTGTTTCTCTTTTGAACCAGTTGAACAGTATGCAAAGATGTATATGTCACACATATATATTTATATACTTGTGTTTTGTGTATTGCATCTCAGAAGACGGGGGAAAAAAGACTCCCTGCCCCCTCTGCGATTCCTTGCGTGTTGAAGACATCACTAACGAGTGAGGAGGGCTTTGGGAAGGACTAGTAGGGAGGAGGAAGAAGTGGACTAATTACCTAGGTAACTAACGGATTTGTAGGATTGACACTACACAGCTTGTCCTCGTTGGCTAGATGTCGTGGTGGCTAGTATTAATAGCTACAAGGGATAAGTACTCTGTACGCTGTACCGAGTACTCAGTATGTATGTACTCGGTGGCTCTGCTCCGTGACAATGACAGGCAACGGGGCATCCTCTGCGCTAATAAATGAGCGAGAGACTGTCACACGCGAGCAACCTCGTAACTGGCAGGGAGTTGATTGTTTAGTTCCTGTACACGACAACTCCCGTACACGGGTCAACAGAGCAGACCACCTGCAAGGCAACCCGGTTCTATACGCGTACTCGTATCTCTTCCCAATCGGACCACCAAGCTGGAGACTTTACACGTGCTCGTAGCGAGGAAGCGACCGTGGGAGAGAAAGCCGTCTTCGTACAGGTCGAAATGGCTCATCTATTCCAGGGGGCAAGCACACAAAAGTAACTGTCGTGCTGCTCGTCAACCCTAGGAATACCACGCCGAGTTCGTCTGACATCATTGTTGACTCCCAGTGGTGAATCTGGCAGAAAGATTGGACGAAGGATTGTAGAAAGACAAGCTGTTCCTTCTAGATGGTCCTCGGGTTTCCGTTCTCTGCATGCCTGGATCTCGATGTCCGGGAGTGGTCTTGTTCCGATCAAGGGAGACGCTCACCATGCCCTTTTCTAACTCGGGACCTTATTCGTGGCAAGGTCTCAGCTGTGTGAAAAGATCAATGTGCGGATCTAATCAGGGACCACCTTTGAGACCTTCGGCGGCTGGTGGAGGCTTTCCAGATGCAGCAGGGTCAAGCCTTTGTACGGCTGTAACCGCACACGGTCCCGGTTTGCCGAACTCCCAAAGAAGTGTTGCGATCGACGATCAGCACATCATTAGCCTTGGATCCACGAGTTTAATTCTGTACCTCGTACGCCGCACACCGTCCATGCCGAGGCATCTCTCAAGGCATCTCTTAAGCATGGGTCAACCAGCCTCCTGACGTCACGTGCGGATGTAACTGTCCCGGTGAGTGAGTGTCCAAGAGGGCCCGGCGTTTAGTCTTCGAGCCCAACAGCGTGTGACTTCCCGAAAAGGCAGGAACACCTGGTCGACTTTCTGTGCAGCTGGTGGTGCCTAGTCGCTTGTTCGTCGCTGTGCCTATTGGAGGTAGACCTGGACCCGTGGTTGATCACTCAACTCAGGGACAGTGATAAGATCAGGTTTCAGATTGAGTTTGCGCACCAGGATGAGTAAGTAGCTTGATCCCTCTGATAGACCCTCGATGAGTCTCCTGTAAGGGTTTGGTTGTTGGGGGAAGGGGGCTGGTTTTCTTGGGAGTCGACGTCGATGCCATCTGCGGCAGGATTCGACGGGCAAATTTGAAACACGATCCCCGTCTTGCTCGATCAGCGAGAAGCAGGGACGCATTCGCCGGTTTCCTGTTAAGGAAAGCGCCTCGTCTGATATCGGATATAATCCGTCGTCATCAGGTTTTCTCCGTTTGCTCGTGGAGGCCGGACGCTCCATCAGCGCCGGTGACCGATCATTGAGTGGCTAAAGGCAGATCCGCACTTGGCGATCAATAAGGGTGACATTGATCCCTCGACTCCTAGTTCTTGCGCATGGGAGTTTGGTTGGAAAATATTGGATTCCAAATCAGGCGTTGGATGGCGTCCATAGCTTCGGGCGAAGTCCGATCTACTCGTACTCAGAATTGTTGAGGCAACACTCCCCTCAACTCGTTGGTCAGACAGTCGACCTCGCTCGAGATTGGAGGTAGTCGAGGCGAATTGTAGGCTTTGGTGACAAAGCCGCCCACCTATTTCATGGGCGGGCGCATGAAAGCGGGCGCAATGTTGGTGCCTCAAAGAATTTCCAAAAGGGTTGGAATTTCGTCGCCCAATGAGAAATGAAGGAGCTCACTACCTGAAACGGGGGGTTGAATGCCAAAAGAAGAATTCCCATAGAACTCGTAAATATTACCCAGCAGACTGCTGATTACCTGAATGCTTGCTCGAAGCCAATCGTATGAAGGTGGTGAAGATCCATCGGAAAACTCCTTAGCGACGCTGGAAATCCCGTGATCGTGCAACTGACTGTGCATGGGCAAAGAGGACCCTGCGACGTCCATTCTCAAACTGGAAAAAGGCCCTGGTATTGGTTGCATGTGTGGAGAGAGCCGAATCAGGGGGCGTATATTCTGCATGCTCGTTGATGACTCACAAGATGGCATGTAGATCGCAGACGCCTGCGTCTGTCTGGCCGGCGCTTGTCAAAGGAGCGGGGAAATAGGCCCAACATCTCAAGTCTCGAACGTCGCTGGGTGCAGAACTGTTTCTCGAAGAGGAAGTCACACTTGCCCAACCAGAGAATTCTGCAAAGGGAGCTGGGGTTCAATGAGTGCCATCCTCGAAAACCCTGGGACCTGGATGGGCCCCGGCCTAATAGGTGACACGGGCGAGGTATACGTACAAAGTTTCGAGAGTGGAGAGGGCTGGGCTGACCTATACGCTGCGTATGGTCGAGGCGAGGATGGAGGTTCAAGCACTAATCCGTGGCCGAGGAGATTCTGCGAGCCGCTGTGCACAGGATACGAAAGTGTTGACAAAGCTGGCGGTGGAACGGGACTAGATTTCTCCCAAACCATGACAGAGATTTGGTGAGCACACTGAGTCAGCGGCAGGCCGTACCGTCGCCAGACCAATCAAGTCGCCCTACAGTCGAGCTCGAAAAGGGCAAAGCGCTGGCGGTTGGATTGTGGTATTTCCAGGCTAGGAACTTTGTTTTGTTTCTGGAGCGCCATGCGAACACGGCCCTTGGTGGTGAGGAGGACTTGAGACGGGGCGGACCAGAGTTGATAGAATCATCGTCTGGCACTAGGTAAGAGGGGACAACCCTGTGTGAGGTCTATCGGGAAGATAGCTACCTAGCTACTCGTGCAGTGACCGTGGATCACACGGATTGATAGCGAAAACACTAGCAGAAGACCTACCGTGATGATCTCTGATGGCCGAGTTTGGAAATATCCTTTCTTTGGGATAGGCTTTGGCGAGCGGAGAGCGAGGAGCGAGGAAGTAGGAAGTGAGAAAGGAACAAGAAGACGGAAGTGAAGATCAAATGATGGGAGCATCATCCCACGGCGACATTTGAAATTGAAATGTCGATACCGATGTTACAATACCGGATAAACTCTGTTTTATGTCATTACAGCCACAGCGGCGACATTTTACTGACGACCCTGCTTTATCCCGAATAGGAGTTATGCAGCGAATTATGCCTGGCCAACTAACTCACCCAGGATATACTTGGGCCGCCCCAGTGTGTGCCTAGTTGCTGGCACCCAGCTGGTGTGAGGAGCTGAAGTCTTTCTCAGCAAGTTGCCCAGCGGAACGTTCCAATCCCATACCCACTCCACCGAGATCAACTAAGAGAAGTCGAATTTCTTGAAATGGTTTCTTCCCACACATGTAATAGTGTCGGGGCGCCGACGGTGAGTAGGGCAGAGGTTGAGTTCTTGGTGCTCGGCATGTCACCCTCCACAGGATCAAATGAGTCTTGACGCCAATTCCAAATCGATACCCATCGTATTCCCTGCTCTTGTCCCAGTTCTCCAAGAGCAGCGAGGCCCATGGGCTTTCCGTGGGGAAAGCAATTGGCAGGGCGAACCCGTATTGTACCTGCAAGTCAAATTCCCGCGTTGGGAAGCCCAAGCGAATACGTGGACCTCGAACTTGGCATATAGAAGGGGGCTGTGACTGCTTCGTATCCCCAAGCCGCCTTGGGTGCCGCTGCTCACCAATCGCATCTTTCCACATGCGCTCGAGTGCAGTGGCTGAATGGTTTGACTGATGCCTGGGCAATGCCTGAGACTCTGGCTCTGCCCTGAGCATTGGCCGCCAGACTGCTGATATTTGCCCGATAGATCTTCTAGAAACCACAGCCCCGTGGATCGCGATGGGGTTCCGGTGTGGTTCTTCGATTCTGTCGCGTCTCCCATACTGTAAGGACGCCCAATAATGTCAATCCAGCGTCGGGTCTTGTGCTCTCTGTTCGTCTCGCTCTTCAGTCCATCTTCTCGAATCAATCACGCCCAGAGAGAACCCAGACTCTAGTCCCATTTCTCCAATCATGTTCAGCCACTTGGATACGATTCTGACCCCAAATTTGGTTGTAGGTGCCCACGATCAGGCGTTTCCCAGGTCCAGAACCGCATCGCCAAACACTAATTGGTGGACGACAGGGCTTCAGGCAAGCCATAGGTCGCCGTGCTCTTGCTAAGAAGAGAGGGGGGAGCCAACAAAATACGGTGCAGTGTTGGCAACCGCTTCAGCGTTTCGTCCGGGCGATGCAGGGTTTTCGGATTCGGGTGAAAAGATATCCGAGGCCATCCCCGTGTTGGTACAATACGCCTTGGGTGGATGCATACTCGCATGATTGGATGTGCGATTTCTTTGATCGACAACCCCAAAAGTGGTCACGCTGGAGCCCTTCAGATGTAGCCTTTTACTTTGGGCACTTCCATGTCGCGATAGTAATGAAATGCCTTCGAACGGAGGAATTCATTCCACCACATAGCGGTAATTTTCAAAGATCAACGGAAGTGATCCGATCCTGTCCAGCAGAGCACGGCGGCAAGAACTCGGCCTGAGAAAGACAACGATGCCCAGGTGGACGTTGTCATAGAGTCCCCGAAATGTCAATCACGAGGTCCTAAGAAAGTTGGGTAGACGTACTTCGTACATCAGGGACCACTTTCGACCCTGGCGTTTCAAACGAATGATCGGGCCCACGGATGCCTTTCCGAGTAGACTCGGCTTTTTCTTACGGCCGACGCACCGCAAAGTCGTTGCCTCCGTGGACATTTTTCGTGGTCGTCGATAGCTAGAAAAGCGGCTCCATGATTTCGCATCTCCCACAACGGCTTTTTCTGGGGCTATGAGGCATTTTCTTTCCCCTCTGAAGATGCAGTCCACACTTTGACATGGTCTTCTGGAATATCGGCACGCGTGATTTTCTCCAGGACCCAAGAAGTGGCCAAGTTAGCCCATGCAACCAGCCACGGGAACTATCCGCCTTGTTGTTGACCATGGTCGTGATGATGCGCGTCATAGCTATGAGATGAATTTGTCAAGGGGGAAATTGAATAGTCTATCGCTTATCCAACCTCGTTCGCAAGTGCTCACCAGGTCAGATTCTCGAAAAGTCTGCATAGGCCCTTTCCTGTCATCACACCTACACGTGACCTCAGACCTTCTATGATTAGAAACGCAGCCCAGGGAGAGGGAGTGTAAGGGGGAGCCTTGTTCAGCCTTGCGTCCGGTATCTTATTCCTTCCAGGCCTTGTGCACGGTCTTTGCGCCCCAGACCTGCCCGCGCTTCAGTATCACCTGGTTTCTCCATTCTGGCACGTTGATCGCATTGATGAAGCGGCTTGCTTCCACGCAGAAACCTGCTCGTGTGCCTCTCGCTGGAGTGTGCTCTGTTGCGGCGGCTTTGATGTGTTTCCCCGTGTAGAACTGAAAGCAAGGTTCCGTACTGAACACGTCCAGGTGAAGTTTAGTTTGAGGGTGCGATACACTAATCAACGGCTTGAGCTGCCTTTGGCGAGTATCGAGGGGAAGCTCTGACGTGTCCGTGTCGACCACAAAGCAATGGTCAATATCTGGCTCTGTTGCACCTAGGACGAAAGGACGATTTGCTTCGATCCCAGGGAAGTCTTCGATCGCCCCGGTTGGGATCAGTGCGCTATCCACTACCAGATACTTGGAAGTATGAAGGGTAACCACCGATCCTTCGATCGTAGGTCCGTCACTCAAGTTGAAATAGCTGTCCAAGCGTCAGCGTGAGCGGGAGCAGGCATAACAGAATGTTGTGGCCAAAACTAACCCGTGGTTGGTGATGTTGACGACCGTCTCATCACACTCGTCACCAATCAGTTCCGCCTCATACTCTGTTTCGAGCACGGTCTTGGTCACACCATCCGCGTCCTCCGTCGACGCTATGTACCAGACTTTCAGCTCTACGGTGCCCGGATATCCTTCCTCCCCATCGGCCGACACATAGGTAAAGAGGACTGCTTCCTTTCCGTTCCGGTTGACGGGCTGAGGGCCGTTGAACTGCTTTTTACCCCAGCCCTTGATGCCCCCATGGATGTGGGTAGTAGCGCCTTCATTTGCTGCTAGCTTATACGACTTTCCATTGAGGGTGAACTCGGCGTTCTTGATGCGGTTGGCAACGCGGCCAATCGTCTCCCCAAAGAAAGGGGAATCGGCATACGGTTCCGGGGTAGGATACCCAAGTACAATGTTATGACCGGCCACTTTGAATTCCTGGATGATTGCTCCCTGCGGGAGGAAAGAGAACCCGGATTCTGACGACATGACTGCGACGACAGCAGCGTTTGACGCGGTACAAGCGACAAGGTGGTCAAAGTTGAGCGAGTGGAGTTAATAGTCGTCGACAAAAAGTGATGACAAGATACTGTGCATGAGAGTTCATGGGCTTTGAAGTCATGATGGGGATTTTTCACTGCAGTGAGTTTCTGTCCAATAAAACAGGCGGGGACGTACGTGGTTGTTTGGCGCACATTTACCCGGCTCAGCGTTCCATCGGCTGAATTGAGCACGCTATACATCCATACAAGTGCCGGGAATGCTCTCTGCCTACTAGATGGTGGGCTGTAAGGTAGACAATCCACAAGACTGACTATCGAGACCATGAATTTAGTAACGAGCTGAAGTTGCATGTGGCGCGAGGCTGTTGCGGGGTAGTCGCCGCCAAAGTCATCATGACTTTTTCCTCAGATTGCACGAGGTACCATGAGGTGACCTTCGGAAAACCAGACCCAGACCGGCCTCAGCATATGGCCGTGTCGCAATTGATCTTCGATTTACAAGGCCATATCCTCGCTTGGGTGGTGGTGACGATGATTGCAGATGGAGGCACAGGCACCGGAAAAGGAGGAGAAGCTTTAAGGTTTGGTTGAAGGTGAAGTAGGCTCGCGCGTTCTTGATCGAACTGCTGCCTTGCTTGTATTATTGTAATCGTACTCACGTCAAGAGATTGCTCTCTGCTCAGCGCATTATAATAGATGCTTGGTAAGGTAGTCAACGAGGCATGCCAGCCTGCGTGGATCCTGATCTCCCACTACCCATAAAACGAGCGATGTGGCCACCCATTTTCGCCATCTGGTAAATGCTTCACAGTCCTATTCCCGCCCAAAGCAGAAAATCTGCCACAAAATCCGTCCCGATCGGGGTATGGTATCATCAAAAACTCGCCATGGTACAAACCAAGCCCACTGGATGATGTAAATTCCAGCTGTGAGGAGATAACAAGTCCACTCCACTAGCAGAAAGACGTTGCCATTGAGGTCGTCTTTTGTGCCGCCCTGTCCGCCGGATGGCATTTCCGCATGAACCCTCCCCAGTCCAAGCGAGCCGGAAGAACCCCCACAAAAAAGCCAAACCCGGTGCGCCCGCTTTTGGGATGCAATTACATTGATATGATCGTTAACAGTCGTGTACTTGAATGGAGCCTCTGGCGATTATGAAATCATATTGGCGTTGAAGTACCGCTGAAGATCTTCCTGCCCTGCCCAGTCTTTCATGGTCAGGCAGGGGTTGATGGCGGCGGGAACGATATGATCCTGGAACATGGTTGGCGGAAATGAATTCATGTCGATAGTGGATTCCATGATGGGTGACTCGAATTGGTTGATAAAGTCCATGCTGTCATCGAATTCTGAGACTGGCGTGTTCCAGCTGAGATTGGACTGAGCATGAGGATAGGTATGGGATTTGGTCGGGATAACGCGGGCGTTCTGGGGGAACGGGCTCTGGTTGGGCGGCGTAGGAGGGAACTGGTTCAGGTTGAATGGGTTGGTGAAATTGGGCCTTTGGGCAACTGGCTCATAGATGGGCGAGGGTGCGCTGCTGTCTGAGTGGGAGTCGTGTGACGGCTGTCGTTGCATGAAACCAGCTCCGTCGGCGATCAGCCTCTGTTGCAGAACAGCGAGGTCTTCCTCGAAGACGTCGCTTGTGTGACCATCTTGCTTCAGGGCACCCAGCCTCTCCAGAATGTCATGGGTCAATGGAACACCGTTGGCCGAATCCTTCAAAGGTGCGCCGGTCCAGCCTTGGCCGTTTTGCGTTCGCTTGTACAACTCTTGCAGACCAGCTACCAGTTGCGCTTGCTGGCTTTCGAGCATTTCTACATATCTGTAGACATCCAAATGTCAGAATGCTTGCGATACCAAGTCAAGCGCTGAGAAACTTACCCTTTAGGGTAGACCTTGTCGTGGGACTTTTTCCGCTCGCCAAAGACACAGATGGCATTGTCTGCTTTGCAGCGACTACACGGACTGGCACCGTCGCACTGATACGGTTCAGCATGCCATAAGTAGACAGGGCGTGGAGCGATTGACTGACCTTTGATTTCTTTAGACGGCAGCGATCGCAAGCTTTGCATACTCGCTTGCGAATGCCGCCGTCCATAGGTGATGAGGGTTCCAGAGGAGGGGTCATGATGGTAGCGCCCATTGTTGATCTAGGTTTGGGGTTGTTGAGACCGATTGGTGTGTCGTCAACGACAGAGTCGGGCAACAGGTATACTATATATCAAATGGGACGGGAGGCTCGACGAGGAGGGAGACCGAGGCACGACCAGGATATTATACGAAGACTAGACCAGACAGTGTGGTGCTCAAGAACAACTTTGGCCTGTCAGCTTATGGAAGGTTCCTCGACAAGTATCCAAAGAGGTGGGTTTCGAGAAGCATAGGGTGAGAGGGAGGACGACGAGGCATGAGGTATGAGGCCTTATATCGTGTGTAGTACCCAGTGGTACTCTGAGCAAAGGGCTGGGTTACTAAGAAGACATGAGTTAGTTTGGGATCCACCATGATGAGCATTTTGGACCAGGGTGCGAGCGTAAGAGTAAGTGTGTGTTAGCCGTTCGAGTATCGTTCGAGCAAGAAAGAGTCCACTCGAGGGAAGGATGGAGACTCGAGAGCGGGCAAAAAGTTTGATGCACAGTCCCCTTGGTGCCGTACTCGTACGCAGCAACACACAACACACACATCTGCACACAAAGCAGAAAAGGTGCGAAGCGACAGGGATCGAGGGTGGAGACCAGGCCAAGCTAACGATTAGCAAGGGGGGTGGTGGCCCTGGTGGGTGGAAGGTGGTTTGGGTTGGATGATGACATGATGCTGGCGTGGATCGTGACTGACTGACCCTTGAGGCCCTTGGGACGCTTGTTGACGCTGCATAGGGATTACGATGACCAGTCTTAGTGGGGTGTGTCGGGGCCTTAGCAGCTACCTTGACTCCTCGCCGCTCCTGGGCTCCAGGGCTCCTGGGCTCCTGGGCGCCGAACCGACCGAGTCCAGGCAGGGCAGGCACCTGGGCACCTGGGCACCTAGCCTACCACTACCTAGAACCCTGCAAACCCTGGAATTTCCCACGACCGACTCATGCTGAGGGACGACTTGGACCCTGTGCTGGATGAACAACTGGCACATCTCGCTGCATACGCCCTCACTAACACTACCTACCTAAGGTAACCATTCACCGATATCCATTGCCCACTGGGCATTATTTGCCCTGCCCGCCCAGCTTTCCCTGCCCCCATCTCAGCATAACCATGGAGGTATCCCGGCCTTCGGAATTAAAAAAAAACCAAACCCACTGGAAAAAGAAAAATCAAAAAACGATTGCCCTCTTGCCGGGATTCGGCAACCAATTCATCCCAGCGAGTCAAGTCACACAGCGAGTGCTCCCTCTCCGGCCTAACACAGTAACCTTAGGCGCGACAAAAAGAGCGAAGAAGCGAGGCCGCCCTCTGGCCTGTCCACGACTTCCGCTTTGGTGCAAGGACGCGATTATGTGTGCGCGGAACCAATAGCCTCATCGTCTGGGGGGCTTGCGCTGAGTCGGCCACACCGCAGCTTGGATCCCAGCTCGCAATCTTTGCTTCTTTCCGTAGAAGGGCATTGACCGAATACGTCATTAGGACTTCTATACCAGACAGCTCATGGCCCTTGAACGGAGAACAGTCCTGCTGCCAGATAGCAGATTGAGCAGAGCGAAATAAAGTCATGCGAACTTCCTCCGAAGTATTACATGGCCGAAAAAGGTCGGAAAAAAAGACGCAACCTCGGAGGGGGGACGAAGGGCGCCTCAATAATGCCTCTCATGATTACTTTTCGGTAGGCATGTTCGGTATTAGGACGGGGGAGACTTGTAATGGGTGGTATCTCAATTTTTCCGGTAAAATATACTGACTGGTACTGAGAAGTCTCCGATCCAATAATTGCGTCTTTTGATTCTCTTTTCAGGCGCCCACCAGCCACGGGGGAATGATCATGGAATAATCCAAATTCTGCTTTTGTCCTTCTTCCCTTTTCGCTTGTGCCCCCGCCGCATGATTGAATCATCTTATCTCTATCAAAGGTTGAAGCCATCAGAGTTTCCAGCTTGTCAAGGCCTCGAGGCAAACCAGTGGCCAGGATAATCAATGTATCAGCTTCAGCCGGGATCATTCCAGCATTCCAGCATTCCATGCGGTCAATGGACCCCCAAGTCGTATTCTACCAAGTGGCCGCTCTCATTCGTCTCCTTGCTGTGCGATCCTGACCGGAGGAACGTTGGATCAAGTTGAATTCTTTGGTCCGCCGTGATTGTGCCTCGGATAATCTTTGCTGACCGTGTTTGCAGTGCTGCTGGCCGTATCTGTTGCTTGAATGATCATGACTAACCGCCATGGCGCTGTTCAGATTATCGATCGCACCACTACCCGTTTTGAGATATTCTTCTTGTCTTGCCATCTGTTTCGTCTGTTGCCGCTCTGCTTTGCCGAGCAGATCAACAATAACATGAAGCACACTCACGGCGGAAGAGGCCAGCCAGTCGGCCACCGTCCCCCGTTTCGGGAACTACCTATGCACCATTCTCCCTTCTCGGCGGGAGAAAAGAGTCCAGCCACCGTCGTTTATTCTCACGCTCAGCCCAAACCCTCCTTGCCTCCCCCGCACTCCCGAACTAACTGGCGGATGTGACTTGTACCGAGTAGATAGCTACCCGTCAGGTCATGCGAGTCTCACAGACAACAATCTCGACCACGTGGTATTTTAGCCTGGCGCGCATTCTCCCCCCATTTTCTGCTGCATGGCGTTGCTGACTATGGCTTTCTCCTTCGGGTAGCGTTGCTGGTGTCTCGTACCACCTGCGTCATAACTGGCCCACAGGTACAAAGTTGGCCCGCGTTGCTTCGAAACATATGCTTGCAACATTCTGAGATCCATTCTCCCGCAGGAATTCATTTCCTGGGATTCAAGCTTTCATATTTACGGACATCGCCCGGGCTTCCGTTTGCGGCAGGTGTGCCCTCGGCAGCTATTGGCCAGCCTGCTTGCTTCCAAGGTCCTTCATCGTACTGCTGTCCCGTGGTTAGGCTTTCATTCGGACCCGCACATAGAATAGAGCATCATTGTCGTGGCTGCTTGCACTTTCAGCCCCCAGCACCAGAGCACCTGAAGTATGACGTCGTTCTGGCTTCCCCCCCGAACGTTGGATTCATAATATCTGATTCAACGAGGTACCGGTATCTACTCTCGTACGGATATCCAGCAATCGCATACCGCCAACTGCGCCTGGGGTTGGGGCCGATTCACATCCCCACGGAAAGTTGATCTCCGGATTTACACGCCCGGCGATGTTTCGCACTCCAGTTTGAGCCCAAGCATCTGTACAGCTTGTGGAAATCAAAGGTGGAGCCTGGCTCCTGCCGTTGAGTTAAACACTCGCCTGGCCGGGAGCGAACTGGGTCGTTGAGGAGCTCAATCGACGATCCATTTCGAACGCTTCACAAAGGGCAGAATTTCGAGACGTCCCATACCTCCATAGATGCTTATAACATAGCCCGTTTCTGGACGTGTACTCAGTAGGGTTCGCATGAGATGCATGAGGTCGCAGAATTACCAAAGCAAGGCAACCACTGACCTAAGCCAGACCCTCCTGCTCCACGTACATGGATACAGCATGGGATATCGGGAGCTGGGGTCGATGGTTCCCAGAGCCGACAAGTCATGGCCTCACTCGACGGGCTATCCTGATACGGCAAACGTCTTGTTGCCATCAAGACAACAACCAACTCGGCCGGCACGATCTGCTGAAGTAATTGGGGTTGGTGATTGCTGTCGGCACTCCACATGACTAACTTCTTGTAAACGGTGCCCTGAAAGAGATCCATGCAAGTCATGCTTCGAGATCAATGCCGCGTCTGAAGAAGCTCACTCAGCATGGATCGCTCCAGCCACACAGCGGTAGCATGCCCCAGATGCCTCTGTCTAGCAGTATGTTTGCCGCAAACAGAAGACTAGTCGTGCTGTCGCGATGTAGCATTGTTCGCTCGGTGCACAACAATCCAGCTCACCTCTGGATGGTCTAATGACGGTGCCCTGGTGATAGCTGCCTGTCTGACACTTCATCGCGATGGAGCTGCAATGGCTCGGCTTCAGAGAGGTCGGACCCCTCCACAGCGATGGCCTCTCAGGTTCCTGGCATCGGGGCTCAAGTGGTCCGTGTACGAAAGGTGAGCGCTCGGCTCTGATTAGCCACCCGCAAGCCCTAGGTTCATGCACCGACATACCACACCTCTACACCGAGAACGTCAAATCGTCGGCCCTCTTCGCTTAGTGGTTCGTTCCCAAACGTGGGACATGCTTCGCTGATACCACTATTCAACTCATCGTCCAACCACAAGCCATAATGCCCATCCCCGCCACCGACGGAAAGATATCCCGATTCACAGTAGATCAAGAAATCATTCACACCACTGTAAGGAAATGCTTTGAACCTAATTCGGTCGGGTGTTGAAGCACCTGAGCGATCAACAGCTGACTGTAGGTGTGCGGATGGTCCTGTGGTGTTGGACGGTTGCGGTAGCGAGGTGGTTGATGTCGAGGGTGTCCGACGCTCCCCACGGATAGTGGTAAATCGTTGCAGGTGGGTGGTATCAGCACTGGGGGGAGGTGGCAGCCCAGCCAACTCCAGCAAGTCGTTTGAAGCAGGCTCTGCACCAAGGCGCAAGTTTGTAGACAGGTCCCGCAACGTGGGCAATATACTTGCCCGCCAAAGAAAACATTCGCCAGTGCCAAAGTAATGAAGGGAGGGTTTGGGCACGTCCGAGAGATACGCACCAAAGACAGACCCATTGGTTGACGACGCCGATCCGTCTCTTACTACAAGGACATAGCCTGAGCGTTGAGTGTAGGTCGAAACATGGGCACAGTGTTCGTACAAGGTCGCCAACGAGGAACCATGAGCTTCTAGTGAATATGCCAACGTCCAGTGGTCAATGAGTTGAAGCCTTGGAGGGAGGAGAAGTCGAATTTCTTCGGCCAGTGAGCGTGTCAGGAGCAACGAGCCTGCGGCTTTCTGGGACAATGAAGACCTCAGTTCAAGAGGGGTGAGGGGTGGAGGTTGGAAGGGAGACGCAGTTCTTCTTGGAGGAGTATATCCACCAGACGAGGAGGTGGCAATGGCGGGCGCATCGAGGAGTCTGTTGACAGGGATCTCGGGAGGTTCGGTCATACGTCGATAGAGGCTGGATACAACGTGTTTGACCGGGTATGCGAGATATGCGGCTGAATTGGGATGGTAAGGATTGTCGGCCAGCGAGGGGCGGGCATTCTTGCGTTGAGAGGAGGAATCTCGTCTTTCTGGGTTCGAAGGGTCCTTTGATGCCATAAGCAAATTGATAGCCGAACAAGAGGAAGCCTGGAAGCCTGAAAGTGAGAGTGGTGGTGCACGACGAGAATACTTGACGTCCTTCTCGTGAAAACCTGGAGAAAGGCGCAGGTGAGAGTGCCTGCGGTGCCTGGCGTGACATTTGGAGATCATGTTTCAGCCTTGTGCCTCCGACCAGGCTGAGATGGTGGGCTTAGGTGGTGCGTGGTTGGTCGCCTGGTGCCGAAACCTAACTGGCGAGCCTGGCGACTGGGTGCCTGCCTGTGCCTTGATGGGGGGCTCACAGTTGCCTAGGACTGTTGCGTCATGGGGACACACCCACCACACCCACCACACCTTGCTGTACCTCTTCCTAAATTTGGCCTTGCCTGCGATTTGTTTATCTTGCACCTTTTGTGTCCCGCAACAACGGCGATGGACTGAGTGGTTCAAACCGTGTTTGTCTGCCTCTCAAGCCTACAATAGCCATACCTCACAAGCCCCCTCACGCTCCCGCTATCATTTCCAAACGCAGTCGCGCAGGTGCCGCAGTCCGTTCGGCTCATTGCAGCTTAGCAGCCAGACCCCGCCATCATGTTTATGATCAAAAACGGTGAGATACATCTCTGCCTGCTGTCCGCTCGTTGCGCACTGGCAACTAACATACATACTTCTGCAGTTAGCAAATATCTCTTCGGAGACACCTCCAAGGAGGTTATTACGGAAATTCCCCAGGGCCAACTTTACCTTGTCCGTCCTCTCTCCCCGAAAGGCTACTCTGAACTCATCTACAAAGACGCGGTCGCCACCATCAGACGCACAGGGCAAGACCATCAATACCAGCTTGTTGTACAGCGTGCCTACGAGGAGGGGGAAGAAGAACTTGCTGAGGACGACGAGGACGTAGGCGCTGAGAGTCTAGACAAGGACGAGAAGACCTTTCTCCTTGATCAAAGTCTTCACTTCAGATCAGAAAAGCGGCCAGCTGGCGAAACGGTCTTAGCCTGGCGTGACTTGAGCGGCGACCCTGGAGATCTTTATGAATTTGTATGCGACGCTTCAGTCCAAGAAGAAAAGATCCAGACTTTTCTTCTAGCTGCAATCGATTGTCAGTTCGAGAGGAAATATCGGAGGTCCGCTCAGAAGGCTACAGAGGCTGAACTACACGAATTCTACTTCGACTCGGACGACGCAATCCCAGCTGCGAGTTCGGTATCTGCGCCTCTTGACCCCAAACCAACCTCCAAAGAAACGGCCCAGAGAATGGCGAAGGATGTCAGAACACCTACCAAAGCGAACCAGGCCAAGGCGAGAGAAACCGGTCCGACGGAGGCTCCCCCTGCAAAATCTGCTCCACGATCTGGAGAAGTCCTCACCAAGCAAACCGGAGAGCTCCATCTGTTTGATTTTCCAACAGGAACTTTCATTCTTCAAGATCCATCCGTAGTGGCTGTTGTGACAGATCTCGGAAACTGGCAATACTGGCTTCAAATAACCAGTTCCACTGGAAGGGAATGGTTAGGCCAAGCTATAGTGCCCGATATCAATCCAGTCTTCAACTTCGACTACCTGTCTGCAATTTTCAACCACTACACCGATGATGGCTCCGCCTATTCTTGGCTGCTACGCTTCAAGGATCAGGCCGTCCTTGAGAATTTCCAAGAGGGTGTCATGCAGGCCTTGTGGGAGCAATTGAACGAGACCAAATGGTCCAAAGTCAAAGACCAGGAACGCGAATACGTTCTGGAAGCATTCAATGATTTAACCATGAGTGACGTGAATGAAGGGGAAGAGGACGCGGAGGAGGAGGAAGAAGAGGAGGAGGAGGGTGAAAGAGACGGTCCACGAAGTGAGCACTATGATGAGGACGAATCCGAGGATGACGTTGAGCTGGACCAGCAAGACGGAAACGTCAACTCTCAACTCGCCGTGGGAACGAAAAACGATCGATCCTTCGTCATTCGCGGCTCTAAGATTGGTGTCTTCAAACATCTGCCCAACAAACATCTCGAATTTACCACCAACATATCCAAGGTCGAGACTCCCAAGGGTAAACTATTCTCCCCAACCAAGGTGATGCTGCACCAAGAGGACCAGAACATGGTGCTGCAAGACCCCAACAACCCCAATTCACTCTATCGCATGGACCTCGAATACGGCAAGGTTGTCGACGAGTGGAAGATCCACGACGACATTGGTGTGACCAACTTTGCCCCAGAAACGAAATTCTCTCAACGGACGGCAGCCCAACCATTCATTGGTCACAGCAAGAACGCGCTCTTCCGCATAGATCCTCGTGTCTCGGGCAACAAGTTGGTCGAAGCACAACTCAAACAATACCTCTCTAAAAACGACTTTTCCGCAGCTGCCACCACCGAGAAGGGTTACATCGCGCTAGCATCCAACAAGGGCGATGTCCGACTGTACGACCGTCTTGGAATCAATGCCAAAACCCAAATTCCAGCCCTTGGCGAAGCAATTACCGGTCTCGACGTCAGCGCCGATGGTCGCTGGATCCTGGGAACCTGCAAAACATACCTCATCTTGATTGACAACCTACAGAAGGATGGCAAAAACGAGGGCAAGCTAGGTTTTGAGAAACCCTTTGCAAAGGACTCCAAGCCTCAGCCCCGCCGCCTCGCCCTGAGTCCTAATCATGCAGCACAATTCCAACACGAAACAGGCCAACCCATCTCATTCACGCGCGCCCACTTCAACACCGGACTTGACAGCCAGGAAACCAGCATCATCACTTCCACCGGTCCGTTCCTGGTCACGTGGTCTCTGAGGAAGGTCCTCGAAGGCAAGAGAGACCCCTACCAGATCAAGCGCTATGCCGCGGAAGTGATGGCGGACAATTTCGAGTTTGGTAGTGACAAGAACGTCATCTTGGCATTGCCTAACGAAGTCGACATGGTGAGTCGCAAGAGCTTCAAGAGGCCTACCAGGGAGAGTATCATGGGTCCGGCCGCCAGGATTTCTGGGGCAGGGATGACACCCAGGAGAAGTGGGAGGCAGAGTCATTTGCGAGACGAGATTGTGAACAGTCCTTATTAGGATCCGATAACTGAGGACTCATTTGACGATGTGATGTGTCGTGCCAGTATGCGAGGGACTTTTCAGGGCTGCAACTTTTCAATGGCTATTGAGTTGGACAGGTCAGGGCGGGATGGTCAACTCTTTTGGCGTTGCCGTGGAAGAAAGACTTCTTTATTCCTCCCTTTATTTCTTTTTGCTTTTTCCAGGTCTTGCTTGCATCACGATCTCTGCCTGTCGATTGATACCCCTCGAAAGCACAAGGCGTGGAATCCAGATATATGCCGGGTAGATGGTGAGAACACAGCCCGTCTTAATGAATTTTTTGGATTTTGGATTGTCGCCTGTTTAGATTTCTGTTAGATTGGCTCTGCAGAATCTCATTCGGCAATCTAGATTTGTACCTAGGGTACCAACAGACAAGTATGTTTCTGTCTGCCTGTCTTGATGACTTTTTTCCTCAAATCGTCACCCTTTACTGAGTACATACGAGGTCGAAGACTCGAAGGTTGTAAGGGTGGGTGGGTACCGTGGTAGCCGTGATATCTATATAGATATACACATATAAATACATCTCTGCAATTTCCCCAGGAAACAAGACCTGTTCTCGGATCCTGCGAACTGTGTACGCCGTTGTGACTTGTTCTCCGCCTTGTTCGCAGCACTTTGCACCTCGTGCCTTGCTTTGGAGGCGGGATTTCAGTGCGCTGCTATGCTTTCGGTTATCTCCCTCTCAATCGGAAGGGAGGAATGGAGGAGAGGGAAACCTGTTCGGTTCTCCCATTGCTGAGGTTCAGTTGAACCACTCCCGAGGTGAGTGGCGGAGGAGGTGTCAATGATGATTTTCCTCTGGATAGGGACATTGTCGATGATGTTCACTGCCTCTGTCCCTAATCGTGCGTCCCTTTCTCTCGGACGTGAATTAGGTCTATGCAGCACCCAGTGTTAGGGTGACTGTCGACTCCGAGGCCGAGGTGTCGTCCGAGTTTCAAAGGCTCTGCATGGAGCAACAGGCTCTCCGAGAAGTGATAATGGCGTCAGATAGACCGCCGACCACATTCGCCGAGCTTGCTCAACCCGAGTCTCCTTGCTCACTTGCACTTGTTTCCTCCTTTGTATTCTCCATCACCTTTGCACATTTGCCTCGCAGCTCCTCGACACCACGGACACCTTTCCAATTTTCTAGCACTTCGGTAACAGAAATATACTCCCGCTCAGCCTCTTCCCTTTGTCCTCGATCCATCATTTCTTGCAGCCGCACGGGCGCATCCAGAGCCCACCGAACGGTCTCCTTTTGTGTCCTCTTCCGCCTCGCCTCCACCGACTGCGTCGCCCTTTCGCCGTCCGCTGTCCCTGGACTGAACTCTTTTACAACTTTCAGCAACCCGTCCAATTTCTCCCCCAGCAATGCCACTCCGCCGAGGCCGGGATTTTGCTCCCCCTTCTGTCTGGCCAGCACGCTCGCCCGAATGTCCTGCTCCTTGTCCTTGTGCATCCCTTTCTGCATCTCGGCGATGGTCCCCACGGCCTTGATTAGCTTACTGTAATTGTCATAAACTAGAGCCTTCCTCTCGCCATCGAGCGTCCTGATCTCGCTGACCAGTGCGCTTTCGGTTTTCAGGATGTCACGCAGGCTTGCAGTCTTCAAGAGGTCGGAGACGAATGTTTCGGTGTCGAAAGTGGGGTCGTCCAAGTGCGCCGTGAGGGACGAGGTTGTGGTCTCTGGGACGGCAGTGGAGGTCGTGGCTATCGTGGAGTCGGAGGCCGTAGAGGTAATGCTCGCGGTGCGGCTTATATCTCGATGCTCGTGGACTGCGGCAGAAGCACCTTTGGATTTGAGATTGTAGTAGTCCCGAAGGGCGGCACGATTGCGCCTTTGCGTTGTCGAAGCGGGGCCTGCTAGGGTGGCATTCTGTTGTAAAGAGGGAGAAGAAGAGGGTGCATTGTTCCTGGGCAGATCGACCGAGGGACGGACTGACGATGAGGGCGTCCCGCCTGGACTGGGGATTGAGGGAGAGGTTATTCTCTGAACAGGATTCGCGGGGGAGTCGCTACGGGCGGGGGCGATGGTAGCCATAACGCAGCTCAAGATGGGAACAAAGACAATGCGCTCCGCTACATCTTGTGGTGCCTGTCACAAGAGGGGTCGAGGTTGGCAGAGCGTGTGATTGTGAGGCAAGATGCAATGTCCACCGGCTAACCTACCTTGCGGGCGACTTGGCTATACTACTTACTGTACATGTATGGAATAGCAAGCTTCAGAGCTCCTGCCGTGTCAGCCTTATCGCTCCATGATGTCAATCAGCATCTCTGAGTCTCAAACTCCCAGCCAGGGGAGCCGCCTTTGAGACGAGCAATTGACTGTGGAATGACATGAATATATATCTTCCGCCGACCGTGCTTAGCCTCGACCGCCAGGAAAGTCTGCCGACCATTTGAGCCGCGCTACGGACTTTCAATTGACTGCCGAGGCACCTGTTCTGCGGATGAGAAGTCGAGATAAGACTGATGAGAAGCCTTCATCTCGACGTCCATACATGGCTGGCGAGGAGCGTACACTACCACAGTGTCTTCGACTGCGACGCGCCTAAATGAAAGACAAGCATGAACAGCAAAGGGCGTGTGATCGCTGCCACGCAACCAAGGAGTGCTGTCGCCGTTCAAATGGTTCGCCAGTCTGCGAGAGGTGCCGGCGACTAGGCCGTGTCTGCGAAACCCGCCGACAGCTGAATCGACCTGGCCGCAAACCTCGAGCACAGAAGGCCTCTTTGGCAAAAGCCGCAAATTGGATCCAAGACCCGATATCTTTGAGTCCTCGGGCGTCTCCTGCAGATGCCCCCACTGCCCATGATAACGAGACAGGCGCTCAATGTTGGTCGCTGGCTATGCCACAAGATTTATCTGTCTTCGGCGGCCTGACACCCCCCGAGCAACAGTCCTTGGTCGTTATATTGGACAAGGACAGGTTCTTTGAACGGTTTGTCCTGGGCCCGACCTTTCAAGACGATCACTTTCGTGCCATCCTCACGCGGCTCTACACCGCGATGCCACTGCTCAAAGACGCCTTCCTCGCGTGCGCTGGCATCTCCGTGAACAGCCCGGCTGCAGGAACACTGCGCCTCAACGAGACCTACTATTATCATAAAGCCACCTCGGGCCTCGACACTTTTCGTTCCTTTCAGATCACCGGCGCAGGGGATGTTTCGCTCTATCTGAGCCTCGCTCTCGCGGTCTTGACCTTCAACATCCACGTGGTCGGTGGCAGCGCCTTCCGCGTATGCAGATACACGCTCCCTGCGCTGGCCTCTTTGAATGACGGCCACGCAGAGATTGATCCAGATGATTTTGCGTTCTTGATTTGCATTCTTCATACTGAACTTGTGGGATGTCTGTTTCGGCACGAGGTGCCCACCTTTCGATTCCAAATCCGGCCTGAAGACTTGATGAACCGGTACCTAGGGCTGTCAGTACCGCTGCTCTCCTACGGCTACGACCTCTGCGTCCTGTCCATCAAACTCCACCAAGCCAACGAAGAGGACCGTCAGAGTTTGCTGATGCAATTGCAGTCTCTTGAAGCTAAGGTCTCTGCATGGCGACCTACTTACCCAGCGGACTTTTTGAGCCGATATTCTCAGGGGGAGGTGGCGCACATGCTTTCTCAGGTGCAAATCTTCCGTCAGAGTCTATTGTTAATAGCTCACCGACTCCAGCATCCTTTCGGAACTTGCTTGGATCGCTCTGAAGCGCTCTCTGACATGATTCTCGAGCAGTTTGACTCAATCTGCAGTCTGGTCAACAGGATGGTCGTGTCAATGGACTTTGCGTTCCTGGTGGCGGCTTTCGAAGTTCACCACGCAGCAAAGCGCAAAAAAGTCTTGGACAAAGTCGACCTGTTCCGAGATCTGCCGGTACCGTATCGGACTCGGTTGAAGTCAATCCTGTGTACTTTCTGGCAGACGGTGGATGAGAATTCTGGGCTGCACTGGTTTGACCTGAACCTCTACCTGGCTCCGTATCTGGATTGACCCGGCACACAAGACCACTTAATATTTCGGCATCCCTCTTGGAAAGAGAAGTCAATCCGTCATGGCTGGCTACCCCGACTGTTAGCATCTTTCTTTGGGAGTCTCTGACTTTCTTTCGAGTGCGACACAGCTCGGCACGCGCACGCAGCGGCGTGGCAAGCACATGAGTTCTTCTGCGCCATGTTAGATCTTTGCAGAAAAGGGGATCTCCCAACTCCTCTGCATCCCGGTTTTGAGGCTCTGTGAGAGAAGCCACAGCCCAGACCCTCTTCAAATGTGTCGCTCTGAGACGGGGAAGCCACCAAATTCTGCTCAGAAGAAGAGCCCTCAGATCCTGCCACGGGGACGAGAAATGACCACCTCTTCTGAAATTAACTCGAGTCCTCGAGTCCCTGCACTGGGGCCCATTCAGAAACCCTCTCGAGAAACTCAACTCGAAGACAAGGACGAAGGCAGAGAACCACCCGGGAGTCCCAAAACGACGCCTTGCTTGCTTGTAAGGGTAAATCTGCAAAATGTTCCCTTAGTATCGTTAGTGTCGGGCAGCAACGGACTTTCAACAGAATGAGGTGCGGATGAGAGAGTATCACCACTCCGAAGGTCCTTGCGCACAGCGAGACATTCGGTATGTTGTGCTTAAAAGACCGTTCCGTCAAGAGTCGTTGCACCTTGTGAAAGGTCCCCCGAATAGAGTTCGGTAACGCGATATCTTTGCGAGATAACTACCCTGGGTACCCAGGTAGGTATGTAGCAAGACTACTGAGCGGGTTGATCAACTGGCCCCAAGTCCGCCTACGTGTACATGCAGGACGGTCGTCCAGAAAAGAGAGGATATGTAAATCTCATAAGAATTGATTGCTTTTGCTTGTTTTCCAGATTAAATATTCCTCTTCTGCAGGGAAAGATTCCTTCTTGTCTTGTCTATAGCACTCCTTTCTGCTCAAGGAACTCCATCAAACCCCTACCCACTCCCTCCGGACTCGGTTTGGCAGAGCACACGTCGGCCTCGAACCCGTACTTGTTCCGGAGATGGTCGCGGGTTGTGGGACCGATGGTCACAATAATATACCTGGAGGTCTGCTCATGGTCGTCCTCGACGTTGTCCGTTTCCACCCACCTCGTCCTCGCGCGATCCGTCAATGCGTGATTATTATCAATGTAATCCAGCGACCGCAACATCGATTCACAACCCTGCGGACTGAACACGACGACCACGACCACTCTTACCCCGCCCAGCTTGTGCTCGGCGATCCTCCTCCGAAAGTCGTCTTGAAACGACTCCATCACCACCGTAGTATAAACCTCGAGCTCGTCGACCTGGATCCTCTCCTCAGGCGACGCCAACTTACCTTCCTTATCCATCAGGGTCTTGGGTATTACATCTCTGCGCTGCTCACCGACGAGAAATAACAAAGGCTTCTTGCGCAGTCTCGCGTCATCCTTGTCCACCCTTTCCCCCCGCGGCGGCATAGGTCCCATTACGGGTGTAAAGGGCAATCTCGGGGCGTCGTAGAATGTGTAGAGTCTCCGCGAGTGCAGAGCGTTGTAGTGGCTAAGGATATACTGTGCCAGTTTGTCTCCATTGCCGGTGTGTTCGCCCAGCACGGAGGGGCGCAGGCGAGAGAATGGTGAATGTGAATGCTTCGACGCCGCCAAAGACTCGGTCACGAGAGTGTTTAATGCTCGCGAAGTGGCTGGCCCGACGGTATAGAGGGGAAACGCGAAATCGTCATCCAAGAGATTCCCCAGAGGAGGAGTTGCGCCGTCGTCGTCGTCGGTATTGGGCGTCTGCGGCACAATACCTGTCAAGGGTCAACTCAAGCCCGCCTAAGAGGCCAATTCTTCCTCCCGTCCGCGAGAGACAGTGTTGGGTTAGAAACAGACCGTACCGATGCCCCAAATCCGGACTTGAAGCACTCACGCCTCCTCCTCTACCATGGTTGACGTCCTCCTCCCCTTGTCTTTCGGTGCCCGGGCCCCCCTCGACTCTCTTGACGACATCGGCCCAGGCCTCGACCGCCCGCTGACTAGTGAAGATCATGCCGCCATATTGCTCGCTCAGCCTCCCGCTCTTCAGCAGCTCCTCCAACGCACCCAAGTTCTGAGTGTTTGCTCGGTGGTCTAGAACAGGCACGAATTCCGGCAGGAAGACGGGACTGGCGCTATCCGCGTTGTTCTCGGTGGTGGCGCCACTGGCACTGCCCCTGCCACTGCGGCAGAAGGGGGAGGAGGGGCCAAAGAATTCCTCATAGGCGTCATGTGGTTGAGATCGTGTTTTGAGAAGGAGCACGGGGATGGTCAATGAGGTTGTCATTTTGGTCGATCGGGGGGAGGGTGAGCCCGGAAGACGCGAGCCGAGCTTCTACTCTGAGACGCGGTGGGGGGTGTGATGCAGGGAGGGGTGATCACAGAGGAGCTGAGGAGCGTGAGGCCGAGACGGGGACATGCGCCGCAAAGGTTCACACAGAGGTTGTTGAGGGTTGAAACCTGGCAAAAACAAAAAACAAAAGCGCAGTCATCAAATCAATCAGAACTCAATGCGCGTCAATTGTAAAACATCTTCCGTGCCAGCCAGCAGATCTTATTCCCCATAGTAAGCCATAGTGGGAGAACGCTGACTCGCAGATGACAACCTTGGAACTTATGGCTGCCAGGTCGAAACACCTCCGCGCCTGAAGCATTTCGCCGCAGTTCAAAGGAAATCAAAATCAAAACCCACTTTCCCACTGCCCCTCGCACCCCGTAAGCGGCGGAAGGTGTGGAAGCCGCAGCCTTGCAAGGCTTACTTCTGTACCTTCAAGAAACGCGGCAACATTGCCGTATCGTGCTAACTAGAATCATGCTGCAGGTGGGCGGACGGGGAAGCTTGTTATTACTCGTACCAAGTAATAATCTTTTGATTAGCTCTCTCTCGCTTCCTCTACCTATTATCCAAAGACGATCAAACGTCTAACCACGTCGCTCAACCTCGACCCGTTTCCGCGCTGAGACCGGTCAAGGCTTGTTCAGCGCACACCATACTCGGTACACACAACGAATCCAGCCTGCCTGTCTCACGACTTGAAAATGTTTGTTTTCCCTTGCCCTGTAGGTAACAGCTACTGCGGCTGATTCAACACTGCCTACGCTCTCACGACACAAATCCCTGCGGCACAGGTCCCCTTCCCAGCTCGTGACTTTTTGTTGTGCGAATGGCGGTTCCAAAGGCAATGCGCAGGGGGAAGATGACCCTCCTGCTGTACGAGTCTTGAAAGACACGTTATCAGGACTGCAGGCAGCCTTGCGGTTCCGCCCAGTTCTCTTCCACTCCCCCCCAAAACAACAGTCTCGTGGGTTATGACTGTTCCCAGAAATGCCTTCGGTAGCGTTTGGCAAACAGATGAAGGTCAGTCCAATCCCGGAGGAGGGGATTGGTCCTCGCGTTGTAACTCAATGGGTTGCTCTCAGACAAGCAATAGACAAGTACATGATCAATTGCTAGCGTTGTAGACATCTCGATTCTGGCACAGGTGTTCATGGGGCCGAAAGTTTCTCGCGAGAGCATTGCTGCCTATCTGGAGCGAATACTCCCGCAACTCCAAGGAGGCGGGCGAGCCGACTGCAGAAATAAGTGGCACGGGTTTGACGAGAAGAGACGATGCGAAGCGACGGCAGGTGAAGTGGGAGTGATTCTCCATCACCTATAATATAGTTCAAGGTCACCTTCACTCATAAGGGTATTCTACCCAGTCTTGATGATAGCGGTTATCCCTATACTTATTGCTAGGTACTTAGCTATCTCTATCCAGATGGTCATCTCGTCGGTATCGAGCACTCTGTACTAGACTGGTGCCACTTGTTTTCTGATGTCGGCGCGGCGGACAACAAACACACTCGCCGCCCACAAAGGAGATTTTCCTCAAGAATCCCTCTGGTGACGTTGTCGTCGACTCCCCAGGGATAAAATCTTTTGTTGGTGGGACAGGGCTGGTAGAGAACTGGCGGTTGGCGGGCAAACCTGGTACAGCCGGTTGACATTTGACAGGTCGCACAACAGCCAAGCAGGTAGGCAGCCTTTCCACGAGTAGTGGGGCAGGGCACGGTGATGGAACAATTCTTTCAACAGTCTTCCAACTTCCAGCTTCGGCAGAGCTTCGAGTAGCACATCCGAACGACTGGACCAGTAGGATTGAGCGGGAAAGGCTTCCAGACAAAAGTTTGTGAGCCACAGGGGTCCCCAGGCGGGGGCACGGATCTGGGGTCAGGTGATGGATCGAATCGAAGGAATGGGCGGTGGAAGAAGGGGATCAGACAAAGGTGCCATGGCGACCTTGATATCGACTTTCAGTTGGTGCGATCAAGATCCAAAAGCTGTCGTCAAGCGTGCATGGATCTTGATCGCTTGCTCTGGCCGAGAGTCCAGAATCATCGGGTCATGGATTTGTTTGTCACCTTATGCATGTCTTAATTTAGTTTCCGAGGTAGCAAACATGCTGCGTGCTGGATCAGCAACCCTTCTGCCCAATGTCGAAAAAGTCTGGAAATGAAGTCCATTGCAAAACCTTGATTCAAGGTTTGTCGATGCTTGGTGGGTGAGTGGTCTGTGACACGGCAGCTGTCATATTGGCCCTGAACGAGGTCGGCCAACCATGGCCCAGTGACTGTCACTCACCGAGGGGTCCCAACCATCCGAAGTATATCGACCAACAATCCACGTACCCAACCCTCCTGGGCCGTGCCTGTAGTTTGAGCCAGCGCATGAAACAGGACAGAACTCGTGCTCTTTGTTTGCTGCAGCCCGGCGTTTCAAGCGGTCTGGCTCTGATGGCCCTATCATGTTGGCCTCTGTCTCGCTGGCAATTGCAATTTGGGGACGTGCACTTGCCCTTGGGGACAATCGGGATTCCCAACAGGCCTGGCCCACTCGCGCTCCCCTGCAACAAGGCGACGCATGGGGAAATATGCGGCATGACGGACGTCGTCCGGTTTGGCGTTGCCAGAGTTCCACACAATAACCAGCCACGAGGAGCCCTTGCTCAAAGGCGGTAGCACGCATACCATGTCAAACTGGCTAACCCTTTTGCTTGTGTGCAATGCGCACGGGGCATATTTGACTTCAGGCTTGACGAAGCCGTCGCGGCACGAATCCATCAACCTTTTCCCTGACGCGACGGAAGACCCGAATTTGAAAACCATCTCGGCCAGATACCCAACTGAAAACGAAAACGCCCCCGGCTCAATGTATTGCTGAATTGAACCGCAGGTGGGGATCAAGCCGCTGTTTGCTTCTCTTTGCGCGCCTAGACTTGCCCTCTCAGCCGCTGGGATATATATGATGCGCTGAAAGCAACTTCACGCCGTCAAAAGTCTGTGACACTCGCTCGCTGTGCTCACAGACTCGCTCGTAACCAACTTGCACATATATTTCGGGCTCTTTTACCACCTCTTCTCCCTCACCGCCAGCATGCCTCAGAGACAACCTGTAGGACCGAGAGCCCCAAAGGATGACTTCATGCGGGCTCTGGGGTTAAGCACCACCGATCCTCGTCATGAGGGATACTACCGGGCTATGAGAGTATGTTCGAACTGGACGGGGAATTGGCCCATAACCATAGCGTAAGGCTGATCAGGCGACAGGACGAAGCCATTTCCGTGTATAGCAAACTGAACTCGGATCGGACAAGTCTGATAGACGAGAAACGAAACGACTCTTCTACAACGCCGCCCTTCTTTTGGCACCACATACGTCCGGATCGCCGCCGGCAAGCAATCATTGATACCTGGCAACAAGCGAAACCCGGCACTATTCAACGAACGCTCTTCGATCAAGGCGCAACAACTGGCGAGCACGCTCCAAATTGGGTGACGCTGTGGCTTCTGTACAGTGTCTTTCGCTCTCGGGATATTCGTAACAACCGCAATCGTCGAGCTGGTGAAGGAGGTAGTACCGGAGGTAAGGACCATTCTGCATACCTTGGCGGATGCCACGCTGAGTCGTTTTTGCATGGCATAGGTCAGAGCTCAGGCTCCAACGATTCGCAAATATTCGATCCGGCCCGAGACAAATATGTGCGCCGCTGACGACGACGAAGTGGTGGGAAGACCTTGTAATTCTGTATGACTCCTTGTTTGATTCAATGGCAGGCTGCTGGGCAGATATTAGTGGCGTTTCATCGATTAATCATCTTCGTCTTCGTCATCCTCGTTCTTTTTCGACTTGCTCTTGGCCCCGTTTTTGCGCTCTTCTCTTAATGCTTTGACAACAGCCTCGTCGTGCTCGTCCTTTGTTTCGTCCCATTCCACGTCATATTCAGCAGCCACCGCCTTGATTTCCCTCCTGAGAGCGTTTGCCTCTTCGATCTGCGCCTCCCACTTTCGTGGGTCGAACCCCTTGAGCTCATACAAACGGCTCTGTCGACGACTGATGGTGATGTTCATCGCCGACCGATAAGACACCTCGCGATTATGGTACAAGAACCACATGTAACCGCCGATGATGCTCCCCATTCCGACAAGGTAGGTCACGGGCTCCATCACATCCCATCCGAGATCGGTTTCGAACGTCAAACGGTAGACCAAGTACCAGTACCCTATCAAGACCCCACATCCGCCGAGGGCGATCCTCTGTCCGCTTTTGTGGGCGGCCACGTCACATTCGTGCTTGATAGCAGCCATGTCGGCAATCCTCCTTGAGATTCTGCGAAGCCGTTGCCGCAGATAGAAAGTCCTGTCGTTGAAGGACGGCACTGCCACTTTGATTGTTCTCGGGTTGCCTTCGATTTCAACTTCAAATTCTTTCGCTCTGGCCGCGTCCCTGATAAAATCGCCAATCTCTGTCGAAGCACTCCATCTTACAAACTCGCCCGAGTCCTCGCCCTTCCCTTCTCTGCCGGCCCCGCTATAGCTCTGAACACCACCATCCCCAAGTGAGTCCTTGCCTTGGTCCTGTTCTTGCTCTTTTGGCGTCTTGTCTTTAGGCATGATCTCATCGCCTTCAGCCTCCATGGCGCGGAAGGATATTGACGGCAATCGATCGTCCCCCTTTTCGGTTTTGACTCTGGGCAATTCCGCTTGGATCAACCTTTCGAGATAAGAGAGGGGCTGTTGTGGGTGGACAAGTAAAGCAAGGGGAGCGAGGTTTTTCCTGTCGTCATTGTGATCGGATGTGGTCAAAGGCAGGACAAGCTTGAGTAGTCGTGAAGGGGTGGTGAGCAGCTTCCCTGCGATCTAGTTTAGTGAGAGCATTTGTGTGGATAGGCACCGCAGAACACTACATACCTTTGGTCATGGCCCCAGCAGAGCGTTGTCTTCGCACCGGAGGTTCTTCCGCTCCCTGACGATGCCATGGTGTACGTTGTTGCTTCTCTCCATCGTTTGCCAGAGCATTGTCGAAGTCTGAAAGGGCATCATCGACTCCCTGCTGATTGAGATCTTTCGCCTTTTGTTCGTGAGAGATGCCTCTGCAGCCGTATGGACAGAAGGTGCCCAAGGCTGGTGATGTTCGGGAGTTGGGGTATTGACCTCGATCAAGAACGTGAAGAGAGGGTAGAGTCCGGGGCACGCGATGGGCATGGGTCAATGGTTTAACCGACCCGAGTCGCCCAAGTGTCGACGCGACCCGCATTGTCAGCGGCGTCTCTCGAAGGCTATAATATTCTTTGAAGCAACGTCGGCATAGTGTCAGACCTCTATGGTGCTCTCCAACCGTACTGTCTAGACTCAAACGCGTGCGAAGTGACTGTGAGGAAGAAACAGGGACAAACGCACCTCCACGATTTCAAGGATTGCAGCATGTTGATCAATAAGGGAAAACGGCAGGCGACGTCATGGCCTGTGAAGCATCCAGGGCCGGTGTCAGCCACTGTGGCCATGTCCCGGAACAGTTCTGGCCCAATCACCCGCCAGGGCCCCTGGGCGGCAACTTTGGCGGCTCCCCAACGGGCCGTATAGTGGTGGCTGGGCCTTGGCCAGCCTCAGTAGGGATCTACGAGCACCTAGAGAAGGCCGCTAATTTCAGCATACTCCCGACTACCAGCACAATTATTGCAACATCTATTGCTGTCCTTCTGGATCCATCTAGCAAGTGTGTTAATATCCCCTCCGCACAAAAGAGTCTTGGCAAAATCTCTATGCACCCTTCATGAACAGCTACCTGCAGGCCACTGATTACTCGCAGGAAAGCCTATCTAGGTCCTTCGCTATATGTTCTCTACTCTCTTTCCCTTGGTCGTCATTGTGTCTGTTGCAATCTGGTGGAAATTGATGTGATTTTCAACTGGATCCCGACAGACGCCTGCGTCCCTACTGACGATGATCTTGAGGGCGGAAATAGAAAGGCCCAATCGCTTGCTCTGGCCGAGATGCTAGCTGTTGAGGGTACCGTCGAGGTCCTCTACTCTCTCCCCCGGATGCATGTGGTCGAGCTACCGTTCAAAACATTCCGAATTGCGGCGGAGCGGGTCTCTAGGTGAGAACATGGTCAAGACCACATGCTACTCCTAGCAAGCTACGCAGCTTAGCGGCCGAAATATGGCGGTGAGGTTGGTGCCTTGTGTCTGTCGCCCTGCTCGCTGAACACCAACCGCACAGCTTGGCGCAAGGTCACCTAACGTCCGGGTTTTGGTTTCCTTGACGGGTCGTTTCCCACCTTTTCACCCCTCGCACTCTCCTCTTCATTTCTTCCCACCGCTCCTGAAGACACAGCCCTGTGCTTCGCTACCAGGCACTCTCCGGCGTTCAACTGAGGAACAGACGGAACGAAGTACGCATGAACAGACCAAATCGCGTGCCATTTGGAAGATTAAGAAGAAAGAAGTCATGATTTTTGTTGTTCTAAATTCTAGCAAGAAGAGCATTCACACATCCTTCCGGGCAAAATAGTTCGGTCAATGAGGAGTTTCTCAAAAGCTCACCACCTTCTCTTCAAGACGCTATGCTTCAAGCGGGGAAATCGAACAAGGCTCAGAGAACCACACAGTTGCCTGCTAAAGTCTTTATCTAACCACGGCCACCCGTCATGAGAAAATGCGTAGTCGTGTCATCGTGAATTATAAGGAAAAGAAAAGGAAAAGATTGCCCCCCAGAAAAGGTCATGGTTTCGTGAGTCGTAAGGTTCGTACAAATGCGTCCGAAACGAGCCAGTTTCAGGACGACATCCGAGAGGCAGGGCTGGTGAAGTTTTCAGGATCATCCTCTGAAGCCTAGTAGCGAGGAATGGCCCGTCTGCTGTATTGGCTGGCGTCCGAGGAATAGACAACTCGGCGAGATGGAGACATGCGCATCGGGCTCGACAGGCGAGACTCGCCCCAATCGGGGCTGCTTCCTCCACTTCGGCTGCCGGTGCTGTCAGAATCGCCATAACGATACTCCGCTCGAGACGTGTCGGCTCCGCCCCTGCGGCTATGGCGACCAGAGCCGACGGGCACTGGATTGCCCTGTATCACACCCCCATGGGCAAAGCCAGTCGGGTACATGCCATCGTTGGCAGAGAAGTTTCGGCAAATGTTGAAGGCGATCAATGCAGCATTTTCTTTTGCCGAGCTCTCGGTGGAGTGATACGTAGGGGTCTGGTATTCACGGTTGTTCACTCTAACAACGCATCGGTAGCCAGACGGACTATGGGAAGTTTGGTAAGCAGGCTCGGGCCATCGCCGGCGCTGACAGAGACCTGAGGAGGAGGGTGTCAGTGTCTGAGATGAGAAGAGAGCGGCGAAGGTCGAGGAAAGACGGGGTTTCAAGGAGTCCGGAGCCAAAGGGAAGAAAAAATTCCAGGAGCGTTTCCACTGGCCACGCGTTGGGACACATCTGCAAGGCTGGCCGACCCCTGAGCGACCAATATAGCGTGGAGTGAACATGATCAGGACGTCGGCATGACGAAGCACTCAAGCCAGGAACAAAATGTGCAGGCCAGGTATCGAAGCCAAACTGAAAGAACGAGATGTTGAATGAGACATACTGGCCAGGTAGACTGTGTGCAGCATGTCTGCTTCAATTTGAGGTTGCTTTCAGTATTTCGGGAGCCCAATGAACCGTGCATCCAATTGTCGAACAAGAAGAAGAGAGACACAAAAATCCCACCAAACAGGTCAGCTAAACAAAAACTTATCAAGCAGTATCACCGCTCGCAAGATGGTCGCCTGGCTTGAAGGCACGGCGGATTTCGCTGGGCAAATGTTGTCAGGTAGCAGAAATTGATGGCATCGACATTGCTGGGCCTTTTTACAGGTGAGCCCGTCGCGGCATTCCCACATATTTCATGCTCTGGATAACAGGAGAACCCTGCACTGACAGCAAAGCAAGCGCGAAGACAGCGGCACTGCGTGGGGCATGCAGAAAGATTCCACAGTGGCCAAACGGTCGTGAGTGAGCGGCTGGGTATTGGTCCATCTCGGGAGGATAGCATTTTTCATCCTCTTCTGCCATCGTAACGTGTTGATGTGTTGGCATGCTCTGCAGCCAGTTAACGGAACCTTGATGTCGGGCCCATTCTTAGCATGATTCCTCTTTGTCGAGGGCTCCCGCAGATCCAGATGCCCGGGCTTGATTGGCGACAAGCTGCTTTGACGATTCCCCGCGCACTCCGTCGAATGAGAAAGTTGCCCATGTGCCAGAGCTGCTCGTGGCTCGTCGTGTCCTTTCGGCTCTGACTTGCTTCTCCGCTTGCATGCGTGACCGGTGAGGCTTGCAGATGCTCATCTTTTGAGAACCGACTTGGATCCGGGGAGGAGATCTTTATTCTGGGCCCTCGACCAAAGATCTCTCATTGACGCAATCAGCGTTACTGCGTATGCAGAGACAGCTGGCAGGTGGGGAATGGTGCTCTGACGATGCAGGGCCTTAGTCTCGGCTGGGTCGTCTGGGCGCCCTACTAAAAGCCACAAGAAAATCATCCATGAAACTCTCAAAAAAGGAGAGTTGATATAACTCTTTGATAGGCAGGTTAGGCGCCGAGAAAGGAAGAAATACATACTTGTAGTTTGGGAAGTATGCCTCGGTGCGAACAGTCGAAACTTTGAAATGCACCATTATTAGATCAAGCTGTTTATGTTCACAAAACGTCCCCCTCGCCACCATCTCGCTCGTGCAGCTATGCAATTTTGCGTTCTTTTTCAACTCGATAAGGAACAGGGTTAGGCGGGTCGACGAAAGCGTGTGCTGCAGTGGATCACAGACCGCACTCAACTCGTAGAGCTTTGATGCATGAATGCGTTGTCATATCAAATGCAGGTTTCCAGACGCTTGGGGGCACGGTTGCTGTCGGGCAAACTCGCATCAGAGCACGATATGATGTCTCATTGTCGTCTTCGCAGCTGACCTGGAATTCGACCAAATGTGCCAGCCCTACCTCCCTAGAAGAGCACCCGACGGATTCTTGAATGTTCGGTGACAGGGAACGAGGAAGACATTGATGCAGCTGAGGGTGATCCGGATGGCCCAGTCAATTCTATCAGGGCTTTGCCAAGTAGGCAGCCACAGAGTCTCCAACAGGTCCAGGGGAGGTTCGTTCACAGCTGCAAGCAAGGCAGGTCCTGCAATTGCACATGCATCTGGCCGATAACTGCATGAACGGGAGCGACTCCCCCCTAGAGGGTGTCCGGTGCCAGCCTGCGTTTGGGCGGTAGTAGCAATGCTAAATTTCCATTCCTAAGTAGTGGACAAACAGTCTCGAGGGTGCGGTGGAAGTACCACCCCTTTCAGTGGCCAATGGATCGAGAAGAACTGCGAGGCGGTAGAAATAGGGGAGGAGGGGGAGGGCAGAAAGCAAGAATGGTCCGAGTTTGGAAACAAGACTTAATTGTCTCCACGATTCCGCCGCATGTGGCAGCCCGTGGGCGTAGAGTTTAATAACGACTTGTGTCGGGCGTCAACATGGCTGGAAATCATGCATGGACAATGCCTGCTGTTCAAGGTTGGCCCTTGATACCCATGCATTGACTTCGGCATTGTCCGATTGCGTTATTCTGCGCCTTGCAGGTCCAGCGGCCTGGCCAACGACCACTCGCGCATGGCCTTTGCTGCTTCATGGGGAATCACAAAGACTGGGTGAATTCCCTTGACACCCGCACCCGCTTCAAAGATTTTCTCAGCAGCCCACTCGCTAGGGATTTGCGCTTCCGAGCATTGCCAGGTAAACGCTGAGCCAAATGGATCGTTGCTATCCGCGGTCCCATAGGAGTGGAAGTGTTCGACTATGCTGAGTCCAGAGAGATTGTAACAAGTGTGGTACGAGTCCGGCATTCTGTCAAGTGTCGTTAGTATCTGTGAGAAGAACTTTGGAGTGACTGACTTTGATGGTTTGTCCCTCAATCCGCCATCGTTTGCCTGACAACAACATAGAATATATCTTGCCAGACCTTCACTGCTGTACAAGTTCACGCTCACGTCTCTTGTCCTGTCGCTGGCCGAGTCTCGAGGACCGCTCACCGCCGCTTGTGCCAGAGGCCAACAACCCCCCAGCCAGTGGCTATAGCAACCATCTACCAGTTTATTTGTGCGGCCGGCAAAGCCACCTTCTGGCGCATATTGCCTGGAAGAGAGCCACCAAATCAGTGCATCGACATCGAGGAACTTGCCAATTGCTTCGTGCGGTGGACCATATAAGCACAGACAAGCGAGCGCACAAAAGGCGTAGGACCCGTGCGCTTCGCCTCCTGGTGACGCTGCAATTCCGCCCTCATAGGTCTGGCAACGCGAGATATATTCCCCGAGGCCGTCCTTGAAAGTCTCCAGACCTGCATCACGAGCTGGAGAATCTGGGGGAAGCGAAAGAGGAAGGTTGAGAAGTGAAACGGCAACCAAGGCACACAGAGCTCCTCGAGTATCTTCTTCGCCGCCTTCACATATCTGAAAGCCTCCGTCCGCTTGCTTGAGCCGCCCTAGCCAGTGCCACATCTTTTCACGATCGACAAGTGAGTAGGCCTCTTCGCCGCCAACCAACGCCAGAGACAGCAGCGCCGCGTAGGTCCCAGCTTGGTGGGCATCTTGTCCGAAGCCACCACCAATGCCGCCATTGGGGTTTTGCATGGAATAAATTGTTTTGACCACCCTGTTAGCACAGTCAGTCCACCGCTTCGTGGCATATTTACCACATGGGGGCCTAAGAAGAAGGCCTGGACCAAGTGCAAAACAAGTGTTACCTTGAACGGAATTCGGAAACGTCTTCACCGAGCATGTAGAGTCCCACCAATGCCCAATAAACCATCCAAGGACGACTAGCATCAATGCCGACGAAGGGAGCAGGGAACTCTTCCAAGTTCTGATGCAGGAATTCAATGTGCGCCTCTTTTTCTAAGCCAGGTAATCCAAACTCATTGAAATCGAATGGACTTCGGCTGGGGTCATTGATGCCATCGAGTAGAGGCAAGCACTCCCTGACGGTTTCGCTCTGAACAGTAGATGTTTCTGTCTCGAGTGTATCGAGTAGCAGTGGCGGTTGGCGGAAGTATGGGGGTATCTGATAGTCGGCGTTGTCCATGGTGGGCGTTGCAGCGTGTGAGGAAGACTCCAGGTTGCAGAGAGCAGGAGGAATAGTCTCGGATGAAGCAAGAAGTCAAGATATCTGTCTCAGTGCACATACCAGGCCGAGGACATGGCGTCACGACGGATATTTCTGGATGTTGATATTGTTCTCAAATTCCATTGGCGCTGGTTGCGACGCAGAGCATGTCACGACAGCCACGACAGAAGCCTGACTGACCCCGTTCGCGGGATAATACCTAGGTAAGGTTGGAAAGACTGATTGGCACAGGCAATATCTGCTGGGTAAGACCTCGTTTTGGACCAAGTCTCATTTCATCTCGTCTCACTTGGATATTGGGATTGAGATGTTGTGGTATCTCCTTGATGCGGGGTAATTGTCACTATCACAGCTGCCGCCCGGCAGCCAAGTGAGAGGAAGGCCCTGGAGCCTCGTAGCCCACCGGCAGTAAGGGGGCTCTGCTCGGCGCTTGCCCACTAATGTATCCACGCTCCATAGAATACTCGGTACTTGTCCGGTGCATCTCTACTACATCTCTACTATGTTTACATCGTGAAGTACGTCCATTGATACAGTGCCCATCGCAGCACATACTACTCTAGATCAATCTCCTCACATTCCCGACAGCTGTACGTAAAACCTGCGCTGCAGGGAAATACCGACACGGCCTGTCCGTAACAGCCACTGACCCAGACCTCAAGCAGCAGAGAAGTGCACAGGGTGTTGTGGACACAGTCGGTGACTGGCTCAGCATGGTAGATATGGTCGGACAACGTTCCCGCAAGCCGTTGTGTGGATACACCGTCACAATCATGGGAGCTGTGCTGGATTGAGGAGGCGATACTCTCCATGTCTTAACATCTGAAACGTCGGTCTGTCACCAACTTTGCCCTTGAACTTAAACCGACATATTTGCGGGAGGCTCCTGCTGCTTTGAATCGCCAGCTGGAACTGTCGTTGCCGTCAAGGAGCAGCAATAGCCCGGGTGGCTAGGTGCAGGCCGTCTCAAAGCCTACACCGCTCTTCGAAAGGGAGGATTACCCTCCTGCATGCTGCTCAGCTGCGATCCTTAATATACTGTTGTCTCAGGGCGCCGCGTACCAGGGGTTATGCGTGAACTACACACGCCGCCACGGTCGGCATCAAATAACACATGGCAGAAATGAGGAATACCAAGCTCAACTACAATCTGGCCTTGGACAGAGAGGCGCAGCATAGATCTCGCTCCCACAGCCGAAGGGTTTGTGCGGCAGAGACGATGACAGGAAAGGACATGCTATTGTGGACTAGTGGTCAGCACCGTTGGGCGATTACTTGCATTAGTGATGAGCTTGTTTGTGGCAATGCGACATCTCTATGGTCGACTATGAAGGCTCGTATTGTTGCGGTCAGACCGTTTTGCCCCGTGCAGCAGTCCACCGCAGGAGGCCTGGCAGCGAGCGTTCCAGGCACTTTCACCCTGGATCTTGCACAGTAGTTCAGCACCACCCCAGATACCAGGAGAGGGAGAGAGATGAATATCGGTGCTGGTTGGCGACATGAATGATATGAACGGCAAACATACCACATTGGTCTTAGGGATACAGAATTGTAAAGGCTGAGAGAGAGCAGGACCCGGGCAGCGCTGAAAATCAAGGCTCAAGAATCCAAACTGGGTTATTGCGATTGCTGTGCGTGTCAGTGGTTGAAGACTTGAGGAGGATGGCAAACAGGGCGCAGCCACCAAAGTTCCCAGCATACGAAGATTGGAAATCCGTTGATAATGATGTGGTAATTCCTCAGTGCTCTTTCAGTAAATACTGCATCCCTTTCCTGTCTCTCACATCTAATCTTTTGTTTCCTCTGTGTTGTGTTTTCTGCATCCTTTAAAGGGACTGTACTCTGAAGGTACAGTACCTAGGTACCTTTAGCATATCCACCGACGCCGCTTGTTTGACCCCCGGAAAAAAACGGGATTCCGGCCAACATCTAGCCAGCGGCACTACTTGGTACCCAACTCCAAGTGACTTGTACAAATCAGTGACCGCCAAGTGAACACAACTGCCGCTGGGAACCCACCCGACCAGCCAACTGACACTGGCTTGGGCTCCTCAACAAAAGGTACGCAGAACGGAGTGCGGCGTTTCCTTGGGTACCTCCCTACCTAGGTATCTACTGGTAGGTACCTTGTATCCCCCTCACACAGTCCATCTAACTCTCACCTTCCACTCTCACCCACTCGCCCAGTCTCTCATCCACAATATGAGTGATTGACAGACAGACAGACAGGATACATACAGCATCGTTCACCCACTGCCTCCCCCTCATTTCCCGCATTATCACCATTTCGCGATCTGCGTGGCTCAACGGACAAACTCAACTCTGCCACCGACCACTATCACCGAACTCCGTTAGGCCTCATCCCAAGTCGACACATATGGGGCTGTGATTCCACGACGCCATCTTTCCTCGGCCGGATCAGCCAGTCATCACGCGTCGGCAAGTCGGGCCCAGTCTTATCCAGTCGAACAGCCTACCAGCCCTTATCGCTTGGTCGCAGTTGGGGCCTCATCCTGCGGGCGACCTTTGGAGAGTTGGGACCTTTGGCTCTCTTTGGGTTCTGACCACTAATAACCTAACCAACAGAGTGCGCCCCCCAGCACCACACAGTCAATCCCACGAACCACTGACCTCGCACAGACACAAAATCCACCACCCACATCGCCCGCTGCCACTCTCCTCCCACTTTCTCGTGTACTCCCCGCCCAATTCGACGATCCGTAAAACCCTGCATGCACTGCTCACCGCCTCTTCTTACTCTCGCTCGCCCTCGCACCTGACGCCCGCCTCTCAGGTCGAGCTCGTTTTGAGCGGTCACTTCCTGTAACTCTTGTCCTCCAGTTTCCTCCCTCTTTACCTCTTTCTCTCGACAGCTCATTCTGTTCCTGCTTCACGAGGCCCGTGAGCGAGAGAGAGAGAGAAGCAATCGACCAGTCTGTCCTCGAGACGCCTTGTCCTCCAGATCCCGCATCTGTTATCCCACGAGGCTGACTGTCTGACACATCTTATCAAACATGGCGGGCAACGTCGCCCTGACCAGTGAAGACCTTGCCTATGACCTCGATACACGAAGCGCCTCTTTCTTCCGAAACCATGCCTGGCCTATACCAATGGACCAAGTAGCTGCTAGTCGGCCAGATCCAAGGAGGAACATTTCGCCCATCCAGACCAACAGCCATGGGCTGCGGCAGACCACAATGGCGGAGCATCCCATGATGGATACTTGGAGGTTCCAACAACAACACCACCACCAGCATCATCATCAACAACCGCATCCGCAGCCGCCCAGTATCGATTATGCCAATACCCAGCAACCGTACGATATGCATTACGATGCCCAGTTCCACGGCATAGCTTTACATCCTTCCCAGATGACCATAATGCCGGTGTCGCAGGCTCCGTTGGCACCTGGCTTACCGCTCGAAGCCGCTTACCTTCCCCTCGAGTCTGGTATTGAGGGCATGCCCCAGAACTGGGCCGAACTCCAGAGCGAACTGATCAACTATACCACGACGGATGTCGGCCTGGCCGTTTCACCATATCAGCAAATGACCAGCTCTCCCACGGGCTCCCACCTCGAAGTTCTCTCGCAACCCAGCTCTTGTGACGAACACGGATGGACCATGGTTGAGCCCAGAACGTCCTTCGAATCCTATGAGCGACAATTCTTTGTTGATCCCAACCAAACCGTGCACAATAGGACCTTGTCCGAATCGTCATACTCAGACCTCGAACAGCATAGTCATGGCGCGTTTATGTCTAATCTCGACATGGGTGCTTCTCAGGCAGTATACTCGCCGACTACTTTGTCAGACAGCGACTTTGAATATCCAGGACATACTCATCGCCTGTCTATCGACCACGGCTCCGCTCCGTCTGTGAGCGTCAATCCATCCGCTCTTGTACGTCCGATCCCTATCCCCTCGGCCAAGTCATCCGCACCGTCGATACGATCGCCCGGTTCCCAAGGGTCAGCTGGCTCCCCTGGCCGTAAGCCTTCCAGGAAGAGTCCCATAGCTGCCAAGTCAACAGACAAGGTCATGAAGAAGTCATCACCCGGTGGCAAGGTGGAAGGGGAGAAGCGGGTTGGCCGAAGAAAAGGACCGCTGCGGCCGGAACAGCGGAAACAAGCCAGTGAGATTCGGAAGTTGAGAGCCTGCTTGCGGTGCAAATTCTTGAAGAAGACATGCGACAAAGGCGAGCCTTGTGCTGGATGTCAACCGTCCCATGCTCGCCTGTGGCAAGTCCCCTGCACTCGCATCGACATCAAGGAAATTGGTTACTTCCTGAAGGATTGGAAGTTCGACTATGAGCGACATATCTCGCTGGGGTTCTCGGTGGGTAATATCAAGGGCTTCTCCGATACCGAAAAGACACTCTTCATTACCCATGGGTACGGCCACATGCTCCCTGTCACCGCCCGAGAAGTCTACGTCAGGGATGAGACATGTCTGAAAATGGACTGGATCGAAGCCAACTCATTCGCACCTGATGGCTACGAAGTATCGACAGCCAAGCTTTCGGCTGGCATGGAAGGCATCTCAACGACAATGCTGAGTGACTACCTCGACCGGCATATTGACGGCACTGGCACGTTTGAGAAATTTGTGGATGACTACTTCGAGGGAACGCCCTTCCTCTCACAAATGCTCAAGACGGCGTACCGATTCTACTTCAAGACTGGATCGAAGATCATCAAGAAGGCGTTGAAGTTGATGCTCGCCTACAATCTGACACTGCACATCACCATGGTGGAAGGAGTGCCCAGCGAAGAGTCATTTGTCGGCAAGATCGAAGAGCATACATCCAAATTCTTTGGCAAGACGATGGCTCCGGTCATGATCAACTTCCAGATCAAGTGTGCCATGGCCGATATGTGGCGTGAACTGCACAAGGATGTTCTCGAGGAACTGTCCAGCCTGTACTCGAGCGTGTACAGTGGGGACAAGCTCAAGAACTGGCCCACTATCTTCATCCTTGCATCCGTCCTGCTGGCTGTGTGGGAGTGCATGCAATTTGACTGCCACTACCGTGTTCCCGATTCTGCGGCCGTGGAGAAGTTCTGTAACGACATGGAGACTACTCCGGTTGGTGTCGTGGTTGGCCTTTTCCAGGCCATTTCTCAGAAGCTCCCATCGTTCCTTGAATGGGACACTTCCAAGCACCACGCGCTCCTGGCATCCAACATGGATGTGTGCAACACCATGAGCGAAGTGCGAGAACATGTTACGAGATATGGTGAGGCGACACCCTCGGACCTTTTTCTGGTTAGTGCGAAGAACTAACTTTGTTGGCAGAAAACTACTTACGAGGTCGACCTAACGCACGGTTTGACCGCAAGGATTTTGATTCGTTGTCGAACAAGTTCCTTGCCAAGCTTGTGATCCGGGCGAACTAGCCATATGATGCATTTACGGTTTACGATGAGGAAGTCCCGTCGTTGCAGATCTCACGAGATATTTGACGTCTCTCACGATAACACACGTTGCTTCTTGATTTGTTTTCACGTGTATCGGATGGACGACTGATGAACGACCACGGCGTTATGACGACGACGACGACGAACGCACTCACTAGCATGAATCTAGCCTTGAAATTTTCTTTGGTCTCATTTTGCGTATATATATGTTGTGTCGAAGGATCGGTCTATGGACGGAGGACTGGGACGAGGAATCATATCCACGGGGAGCGGCAGTGGGGTTGCTTTTGGAGCATGAACAAGGACGGCGCCCTGCATGCAATGAGCGTTACCAAGCAGATCCCGCACCATCTTGACGAATTATCATATTTGGCGAGGCTAGTGGGTGGAAATGCACCGTTCGAGCAATTACATAGACCGCCAAAAAAGGAGGCAAGAAAGAGAAGGATCCTCACGGCAAACTGTCGGGCTTGTCACTGGCATGGTCATGTTTTGTTGAGGAGGGCTGCACTTCCTACATGTAATGGGAAGGCAAGGATGGATGAGGGATGAGGGATGAGATATATGGAGCATGTCAACCATGAGATGTCGAATAGCGATCACTATCATCCACTCGTAAACCAAGACGATGTAAGGGAACCGTGTGTTCCTTTAAATAGTCGAGCAAAAGCGTCCTTTTGGTACTTATATTCCGTCTAGGGATTTCGTTTTTCCCAGCAACGTGTGATACGCGAGCCCATAGAGTGGATGGACGATCCCAGTTCCAATGAAATGGAGCAAACGAGTTTTTTGGGAACGGGAGGCCCCGAATAACAGGCCCAGGCTGGTACGGCATTCCTGATGCAGTAGTGGCAGTTGATAATTCATACCTTAGGTAGTTCCCCTAGGTACCTACCTAGGTATGGTTTGGGCCCTAGGGGGCGCTGGGTGCACTGGGTGGTCGCTGCCGCAGTCTATCTTGCCCCGGAGTCCTGATCCGAGCCCGCCCTGACGTACCGGTGCCAAAGCCACTGGCGCCACTGCTGTACTCGGTACTAAATATTAAGTATTGTCAACAAGCCGAAAACACTCTTTTCTCGACGAGTCTGGAAAACTCGAAGCAAAGAAAGCGCCAGAAACATCCCGACACCATCATCAACCATTCAACTTTCTTCCGAAGATGGGCCTCCATTGACCCGGCAGTGTCCTCCTTCACATGCCTGCTGCTGCTGTCACTCTCGTGTTACTTTTGCACTTTGCACTAGTCCTCGACGAACCACTCCGACCTTTGTTACACCTCCAGCGACCTCCCCACGACCTTGCATCTTTTGGCCCAAAGCACCAGAAACTTCTTTCCCTTAGCGAATAGCTTTAAGACGCCGTTGGCGGTCTTCGCAGCGCGCCACTGAGCTGCGATTCTCGTGCAACTTCAAAAGAGGTGACGAACCGCGAACACTAGTCGTCAATACGGATCCCGCCTTCCTCGATTCATACATTCGCACCTGCATCTCGAGTGCATTGACTGGCTTCGGAAAGCATTGGGCAGGAAATCAAATTCATCCTCCAAACACCAAACACTTTGAATTCATCAACTCATCAAAGTTCACCCCCCTGCCTTCGCAATCACCTCAACTTCTTTTCTACCCCTACAGTCTTCTGGAACCACAAATCGCTCTGCAGGGCTGCTTAAGGCTGCTAAGGCTGTTTCGCTGCTCCCACCAGAGCCCCCCAACCTCTCCCGTTCACTACCACATCCGTCTTCTTCGACTCCATACCTTGCCCCTTCCACACCTCGCCGTCTGACCATCTTCTGAGTTTGGTCTGAGTCAGCTCTGAACAGAGACACCGTCTAGAGGCTCCCAGAATAACCTGATTTGATTCCATTGCAAACATGCCTGCCGCAACCGACAGCCCTCCCAAGGTGGAATCGCGGCTTCTCCTGGTCTCCAATCGCCTGCCAATCACCATCAAGCGGTCTCCGGAAGGGAAGTATGATTTCTCCATGTCGTCAGGAGGCCTTGTCACTGGGCTGAGTGGCTTGGCGAAGAGCACCACCTTTCAGTGGTACGGTTGGCCAGGGCTGGAGGTCCCTGAAGACGAAGTCAGCGGTGTGGTCAAGCGGCTGAAGGATGAATTCAATGCTATCCCCGTTTTCGTCGACGACGAATTGGCCGATAGGCATTACAACGGGTTTTCCAGTACGACTCTCAGAAACCCCATTACTATTTGTGCATCCAGCTGACAAGCTCTAGACTCCATCATGTGGCCGCTCTTCCACTACCACCCTGGTGAAATCACGTTCGACGAGTCGGCTTGGAATGCTTACACCGAGGTCAACCGTCTCTTCGCCCGGGCCATTGCCAAAGAAGTCGAGGATGGCGATCTTGTCTGGGTGCACGACTACCACCTGATGCTGTTACCCCAGATGCTCCGCGAAGAGATTGGTTCTACAAAGTCCAATGTCAAGATCGGCTTTTTTTTACATACTCCCTTCCCGTCGAGCGAGATCTACAGGATTTTGCCCGTTCGAAATGAAATCCTGTTGGGGGTCCTTCACTGTGATCTGATTGGCTTCCACACCTACGACTACGCTCGACACTTCCTCAGCAGCTGTTCGCGAATTCTGAACCTCACCACGACGCCCAACGGGGTCGAATTTGAAGGCAAGATTGTCACAGTCGGCGCCTTCCCCATCGGCATCGACCCGGAAAAATTCACCGAAGGCTTGAAGAAAGACAAGGTTCAAAAACGCATTGCTGTGCTGGAGGAGAAATTCAAGGGCGTTAAGTTGATTGTTGGTGTAGACCGTCTCGACTACATCAAAGGTGTTCCCCAGAAACTTCATGCTCTCGAGGTTTTCCTTACAGATCACCCCGAATGGATTGGTAAGGTGGTCTTGGTTCAAGTCGCCGTGCCCAGCAGACAGGATGTTGAGGAGTATCAAAATCTTCGCGCGGTTGTCAACGAGTTGGTGGGACGCATCAATGGAAAATTCGGTGAGTTTTTACACTTCCTTCTAGGTTCATCTAGAGTCTGTTTCGCTAACAAGTCCAGGCACGGTCGAGTTCATGCCCATCCACTTCATGCACAAATCGGTCAACTTCGATGAGCTCATTGCCCTTTACGCCGTCTCAGATGTATGTCTCGTCTCCTCGACACGGGACGGTATGAACCTGGTATCCTTCGAGTACATAGCCTCTCAGGAACAGCGAAAAGGTGTGCTTATTCTTTCCGAATTTGCGGGTGCTGCACAGAGCTTGAATGGCAGTATCTTGGTCAACCCTTGGAACACCGAGGAACTGGCCGGTGCCATTCAGGAGGCTGTGACAATGAGCCCAGAACACCGTGCTATCAATTATGCCAAGCTGCACAAATATGTCTTCAAGTACACCAGGTAAGTCATTGCGCAGTCTTTTCGCTCAACCACCAGCAACTTGTCTAACCAACGTTTCAAGTGCGTTCTGGGGTCAATCTTTCGTGGCCGAATTGACCAGAATATCCGCCCAAGGAGAGAAGAAGTTGAAGTTACGTCGAGCATCCCTGATAAAATCGCCATCTCAGCAGCCACCTTCTGAAAGCAGAGATGTGGATTCGGGAGCGAAGCAATCGTCACAGCCAACTACGAACCCAGATGTCGAGATCGATGGCTTTCAAGCATCGAGAGACGTTGATGTCGCGGCTACGGATGGACACTCGAAGGAAAAGTCGGCGACGCTATGAGCTTAAGGGATGGGACTGGCAGGTGTTGGCAACGAAACGATACGAGGTCATGCAGCAGAGTGCCTAACACGGGCTTTTGCATTACAACAGTTACAGCCATGCGGTATTACTTTAGACAGGGGTCAAAGCAACAAAGAAAGGCAGGGCAAGGTGCTCAGGAACCATAGAGAGGACATCATTCCATGATAGCAAGAATTATACTTGTGAAGGCCATAGTCCTACTGAGTCGCCTGGTGAGCTTGACAAATGTAATCGACATGCCCCTCGACCGCCTGCCCGTATGATTGTATTCAGAGCGCTTAAGGCGTCCTTTTCTATGCTCCTCCCTGCACCTCGATCTTTATCGTACACTGATTGTATAAAGACAGGTCTTTATCTTATATAAGTATGTTGTTCTCGACGCCCAGGGCTGGAAGGGAGGGAGTATGGCTAGTATTCACCCAGTCAATCGATCAATCAGCCAGCCCTTCGTCCGTCCATGCAGTTTTTGGTCTCTCAGGACTCGCTTTCCGCCACGCAAGGGGGTTGGTTGGCTATTTCTCAACACTGTACTCGTACTCGGTCCTAGTTGATTTTCTGAAACCGCTGCTTTGCCCCGTAGAACCACCGAGGCAGGCGGACAGTAACAAGAGAGAAGGGAAAGGGGTGAGAGAGATGAGCGAGCCCTATCTAGAGCTTGTTTGTGCTCCCTCCTCCTCCTCCTCCTCCTCCTCCTCCTCCTCTCCGTCTGCCTAAGTAAGTGATCAACTGCCCACTCTCTGGCCCCTTCGAGACGTCCTACGCCGGTAGGGGACTCGCCGTCTTATCCACGCCAGGGCTTTTGTCCGCTTTCGCGGCGGGTTTCTTGCCGCCACCACCCTTCCTCCCCTTCTGTCTCAGCGCCAACTTCTTCATCTCGCCCTCGGTCCCGACCCACCTGCCCTTGTCGCTGCCCACGGTTCTGGACTGTCTCTGTTCGACAGGCACGCCAAACGGGGTGATGACCTCGCGGACCACGTAGCGCACGCCCTTTTCCTTGACCATGCCGTTGCGGTCGCGCGGCCGGTGTCGCTTGACAACCACCTGGCCGCGCAGGTCGCGCTCGTTCCTCAGGGACGGCGGGAACGCGCCGAACCGGACCACGTCGCCCTCGCGCAGCAGGTTGTGGGCGTCGTGCACCAGGTGGTGCGTGGGCCGCGTGTAGTGTTTCTGAAAGTGTGCGTGGAAGACTTGGATCGACCGCGTCACTCGTACGGTCTTGTCCATCGTCCCCGTGCGCGAAACTGTCCCGATCAGGGTCGGGGAGGTGGAGAGGAAGTCTGCGTCTGGAGTTGGGATCTCGTAGGAGGATGAGGATGAGGATGAGGAAGGGTAGATTAGCGATGGATCCCAGGATGAGGAGGACGTGGTTGTTTTCTCATTTGGGGATGAGGGCGCCGGCGGAGGCCGCGATGGTTCTTGTGATGAGCCCGGAGGTCTAGAGGTAGACGATCTTTTCAGGTCTGCATGATCCGTCGACGCCCGTGACAGTATGCTCTGCGCAACGTTTTCTCCCGCGTCGCCGCCCTTGCTGCCCAGTGTCGAGGCGTCGAGTCCTTCTGAGGAGGAGGCAGCGGGAAGGTCGGTCAGTGGCTGTGCTTGGTGAAGTAGACATGTGGATGAGAATGCTCGTCCCTGCTGCACGGAGATCCTGCTGCGGCATTGTGAAAGACCGCGAGTGGCCGCACCTCGACGAGCACCTGCAATCGGTGACGCTGGCGAGCATGTAAGAGCTGTCGGCGCCGAGGCTGTCGACCGCGGCGCTGAAACCCTTGCGCGGCAGGCACAGGAACAGGCACGTCGCGCGAGTGCTGTTGCAGAGGATGAGGAGGAGTAGAAGTTCATGATGTTGACCTGCGGTCGTGAAACGGACACCCTAGGTACTTCACTGGTAACCCGCGAGCATGGAAGAGAAAAGGAGGACCCGATCCCGATATGGATGATTCGTACAATCGGGTGGGCTGGAATGAAGAATGCACAAAGGAGAGTATGGAAAAGAGCTCCTTGTTGATGCTGCTGCTGCTTTCGACCTGCGTCCAAAATTTTAGGGTGCATTGGAATCGGGGTCACAAGCTCGGCGGAGTGGAGCTGCCTCTGGAGCGGCTACAAGGCTCCGTCAGCCTCGTAGCATGGTTTACGGGGACGACATTGAGACAAGGCACGATTACTGGATTTTATCCTCAATGGCTAATCCCACAGTGACTGCTTTTTAGCTCTCGACAGGAGCCTTTCCCATCGGCCGTCTACCGCTGCTTTGCTGCCTCGAAACGCCACGCCATTCCCGTGCCGTCCTTGGTGGTCCGTGGATGATGCCTATGCCGCCCAAACGTCCTTGCCAACGCCTTCTATCCAGTGGCCCAAATCATTGACATTGCTGTCCCACTCCTTCAGTCGCTGCCTCATGCCCTCGATTTGATTCCGTTCCAGCACTTTGGGCTGTACCCAATTGATCCTCGCAATCTGGGCGACCTGGTCGATCTTCCCCCGCAACAGCCCCAAGCTGAGCGCCTTCATGATCAAGTGCTCAATCTCATCGGGCTTGACGTTGGTCTCTTGACTGATGGTCTTGAATGTCATTGCACGGTCGTGTGGCGGTCGCTTGAATACCAGTTCTGTCAACGCAGCCAGGTTGATCTTCTGCCAGAGGAACAATCGATGCGACTCGAGGATGGGGTCCTTGGTGAGGTTATTGGACATGCGATCGAATGTGGCCAGATCTCCTCGGTTGAAGGCGAAGAGCAGATCCCGTAGCCATGACTGAGGATGCGGAGGTTTCAGGGCGTCTAAGATGGGATGCAGGAGCAGCTCCCCAAAGTTGTAGATCTGGTCCGACACCAGTGCGGCGATGGCCAGGTTGTATGCTCTGTGCTGCCGTTGTTCGGTGTTCAGCTCCGACTCATCTATGCATGCAAGATACAATAACGAGTTTCTGTAGTAGGATGTATAGTCGTTCGCGGCTTGGAAATAGTCGGCATTGACGCGGTAGAAGGCTGCGTGAACCACATTTTCCACAAAATCGAACTGATCCAAAATTTTTTGCGCCTTTTCTAGTTGCTCTTTTGCCTTTGTCGCCTCTCCCAGTCTCAGGTAGACACTAGCCAGCTCGGTGATTGTGTAAACATGCGCTTCTTCGGAATCTGGTTTGGCAACTCGATCGGCGAGAGTCCTGAGAAACTGGCTTCGCTCAGTGTCGTCTGTCAATCATTTAGCTTCTAAACCTCAATACAAGATCTCCAAAAATTACCCTTGATTTGCGCCGAGGCGCTCAGTGCCAATTTGACGAGTTTGAGCTGGTTGATCTTGTCTGCGAAACTGATGATGAAGGTATTGTAGATGGGTAATCTCTGAGAGGTGCTCTCTGGGTTCGAGAAGTATTCCAGAAGCGTGTCCGTCAGTTGATGCCATAGCTTACGTTCCCAGAGATCTTCGAAAGTGAGAAAGAGGTGTTGAAGTTCGGTGGGTGCTTCATCTCGTTGTTCTGCGAGGAAATTGGAAATCGCCTCTGGATCGTGTTTTGACATGGCGGCACTGAACTGGAATACAGGACAGCGAGTTTTCGAGTTGAATTCGCCTTTCCGAATGTGCGCAGGTGCAGGAGTGTAAAAGACGAGAGTGTGTATTGAAAATGGCGGAGTGTGTAGACGAATTGAGCGGCGGTCGCAGGCAATCGACGAGGCGCGTCAACCATCTTCTCGGTCACGTGGACAGCCTCGCTCACAGAGTACAGCGACAAGAGCCTCTTATTCCTTTTGAAAGATCAATCGGTGCCTTCGAACAAGAATGATAATAACTCTGGTTTCTTCGCTTGTCTAATGAGCCATAAAAGTATCCCAACCCCTAGAGGTTCATCTTTCCTCCTTGGATATCACTGGCCGTGCCAGAGATTGAGTGTTGATGAACGACCTAGTACTTCTAGCAGCACGCCAATTTTCCCAAAGCAATAGAATTGTCCACTTCGCTAGATCTTCTTGTTGTACTATCCAGGCCTACGTATCTTATGGCTGACTTGTCCATCCTGTCCACTCTTTCAATGTTCGCTCTGCCTATCCAGAAACGACGTCCTTTCCAGCGGTAAGCGAATCTGTCTTCAACGGGAAGCTACCTAGATACGTAAGATCCTGTTGAGCAAAGCGAAACAATATATTGTCATCATTGCTCAACGCTGCCAATCTCCCACAAGAGTGGAAAAGGGAGAATCACCGAGCTCATCGGCTAATAGCAGTGGGACTCACAGAGTCGCCTTCTCACTCACCCTCCACTTCCCTGCGCTGGTCTTGACGACCTTGCCATCGCGCCGCAGCTTGTCGAGCACCATCAGCAGTCCATTCTCGGCCGGCTGCCACAGGTTCTCCGGGTAGTGGCGGTAGATGACCTTGACCATGTCGATGCTGGCCCATTCCTTGCCCAGCACGGTTTCTGCGCCGCCAACAGCGACCGAGTCGCCTTCGGCTTCGTCGTCGCCAACCCGGGTAATACTGTCGTGGACGAGCGGCTCCGAGCTGTTCGGCGGTGTTGTCGTGCCGTACTTCAAGACGTTCAGCGCTTCTTCCTCTCGCATACGTCGGTGCGCGATGTACTCGTCGATTTTGGCCACGGCGTCAGAAATCACGGCTCCGTGGCCTGGAAAGGCTCTCTTGCTGCCAGAGCCACTACCGTCTTGTGACTGTTGTTGCGCAGCCACCGCGTCCACGACCCGTCTCTTCATGAGGTCCAGGCTCTGCAGGTACAGATGGAGGTCCTCAAACACGGCCGTGCCATGGCCTAGGACGTTGTCGGCGGTGAACAGTGCGCCCACCTCGGTCGGGTCCGGCGACGAGGTGATCTGGAAGACCATGTGGTCCTTGGCGTGGCCGGGGGTGTGGATGGCTTGGATCTCCAGAGGAGCCGAATCCCCTGATAGGGCGATTGAAAACTTTTGGCCGTCTGCGATGTCGTGCACGCGCGAGGGCTCGATCAGGCCGTCCGGGTTCCACGTCGGCTGGTTCTTGTACACCTTGGCTTGATCCAGAGAAAGTTCCTCGCACAGCCTTTCCAGGTCCCGAACCCCGCCTAGGTGGTCGTGGTGCCAGTGCGTTAGTATACAGGTTGACACGGCGATGGGTTCATTCTGGGAAGTCAGCACGGTGCGTAAAGTGTCGATCCATTTCTTCTCGCCCGCCCCTGTATCGATCAGGATGCGTTGCGGCCCCGTGCCGAGTAAGTAAGTGTTTGTGCCTTGAAGCGTGAACTAGTTCCACGGGAGGGGTCAGCATAACGATGGATGGATCGGGCTCGGGGTTTAATAAGAGGCCATTTTTCTCCTTCTTTATAGTCTTCGTTTGGCCTCCCACCTTCCGGTTTGCAAAAGACGACGTCGTCCCTCCAGAATAGCGAAGGAAGAAGACAACGTAGAGAGAATACTCCCATAAAGCACAATATAGTCATGATAGAAAACACATCTGCAAAAGTGCATTGGACTTACCTTGCTAGGGTTCCCGCCCAGGATGCGAACAATATTCGTGCTGATCTGCTCCCAGTCTGGGAGGTGCGGGAGGTTTTGTGCCATGACGCGTCTTCTCGGGCCTCGAAAGGTAGGATTGGTGCTGTGGAAGAGTCTCAGCCTGGTGGGAATTCTGCGCATATACTGTAACTGCTTCTGGGCTCGAGGTCTTGCGTGGGGTTGGTAGCAGTCGAGTTGGAAATGAGTGCCGTGAAAGGCCGGAGACGAGACGGGCGGGATCGAGTGGCTTTTCTGTATTTGGGTATGTGTCTGGGGTTTCTGTTCGGTAGAGCAGTCAAACAGACTAGATTGCCGAGGAGAGCGATCGAAGTTCCTCTGTCGGAGTGGTAGGAGTAAAAAGTAATAGAGTTGTTGTCTATCCTGGGTATATGTATTCACGCCATCTCACCCAGCGACTTTCGTCTCTTTCATGCACAGCAAGGACGGTGATGGTGAATCAGAACCCTTTCTTAGAGTGGCGGCTACGAGACCAAGAGCAAGGGATTCGTTCTTATATATGTGAGCAGTGACACAAGATACAGCGCATATCGCAATCATCCGTCCCCATTTGTCAATCGGTTGTTATTACATGCCGAGGTTCCCAACGGCTGGCGACGCCCTTTTGTCAATGACCCTCAGAACGCAGCCTTGTGGTGCTCTCAGCCATTCAGATACCCTTGTCGAGTACACACAATGCCATTCCCGAGTCTGCGACGAACAATTCCTGCTACGTTTAGAAGAGCGCAGTATGTCCATATGACATTTTAAAATTTGCTGTGCGCTGGTATTCCGCTACGAAAAAAGTACATAACATCATGCCCCCAATCTGCTACCATGCCCTTCTCGACACAAGCACGGTTCATATCTGAACTCTCTTCCTCGCCTTTCCGCCTCCAGTCTCAATTATCTGAGGCTTTTCTTGAAAATGCCTCGTTGTCTGTGCCGACTGCGTCTGCATTCGATTTGCATCCTGTACAATAATTGCGTGTTGAACCGAGACGAACTCGATCCGCTTTTTAGCGGTGGCCGTGCATTTTGGCCATGGTGTTCAGGGCACTGCCGTTCTTGAACCACTCAATCTGGCCCTCGTTGAATGTGTGCTGCAACTCGCAGTCCCATTCCTTGCCGTCCTTGGGGTGTACTTTCATGGTCACAGGCTTGCCGGGTGCCAAGTCAGTGACCAACAAGTCGACCTTGTCATCAGGGTTAATTTTGTCGTAGTCTTCGGGGTTGGCGAACGTCAAGGGCAGCATGCCTTGCTTCTTCAAGTTGGTCTCGTGGATACGAGCGAAACTTCGGGTGATGATGGCAATACCTCCAAGGTGTCGGGGTTCAAGAGCAGCGTGCTCTCGAGAGGATCCTTCACCATAGTTCCAATCTCCGATCACGACCCACTTCGTTCCATCTTTTTTATATTGTCTGGCAGTGGCAGGAACCGCATCCCATTCACCGGTCTTGAAGTTCTTGACCTTGTTAGCTTCGCCGTTCGCGGCGTTGATGGCGCCAATCAGCATGTTGTTGGAGATGTTGTCAAGGTGACCACGGTACTTGAGCCAAGGCCCAGCCATGGAGATGTGATCGGTGGTGGTCTTGCCCTTGGTCTTGATCAGAATGGGGAGGTCAGTGAAATCCTTGCCGTTCCACGCCTCGAAAGGCTCCAAGATTTGAAGACGGTCAGACGTAGGAGACACCTTCACTTCCACTTGCGCACGCTCCTCGGGCGGCGCTTGGTATGTATCACGACCTGGGTCGTATCCGTTTCGAGGCAGACCCTCACCAGTCGGCGGCTTGAGCTTGAAGTCGTTGCCGTCCTTGTCCTTTAGTGTGTCGGTGAGAGGGTTAAAGTTGAGATTTCCTGCAATGGTCATGGCCACAACCAAATCCGGGGACGTAACGAATGAGTGAGTGGCAGGGTTGGCATCGTTGCGGCCGGTGAAGTTTCGGTTGTATGAGGATATGATGGAATTGGGTTCGCCTTTCTTGACATCCTTTCGATCCCATTGGCCAATGCACGGGCCGCAGGCGTTAGCAAGGATAATGCCTCCAAAGTCTTCGAGGGTCTTGAGCTGGCCGTCTCGTTCAATGGTGGCGCGAATTTGCTCAGAACCAGGGGTGACAGTGAACTTGATTTTGTTAGTAGAGAGGGACAAATTCACAAGAGGAGGCTCAGTATATGGGGCCAATAATACGTACTAGAGACTTGGCCTTGACACCATGGTCCATCGCATCCTGAGCAATCGATGCAGCGCGGCTCATGTCCTCTGCGACCAACAGTCAGCCTGCACCAATTTGGAGGAGGGGAATAACGGCATCTCCACAGATGAACAGCTTGGCAGCATACGGGAGAACTTACCGTACGAAGAGTTTGTGCAGGAGCCGATCAGCCCAACCTTCAACTCCTCAGGCCATTTGTTGTCCTTGACTGCCTCTGCGAACTTGGAGATGGGAGTGGCCAGATCTGGAGTGAATGGGCCGTTGATATGAGGTTCCAGTTCGGAAAGGTTAATTTCGATCAATTGGTCGTACTCGGCACCCTCATCTTCGTGGAGCTCAGCAGCGTATGAACGAGCGAAGTCGCCGATATGCTTGCGCTTCGTGGCAACCAAGTAATCATACATGCGGTCGTTGAAAGGGAAGAGAGAAGTAGTGGCTCCAATCTCGGCACCCATATTGCACTGTACACATTAGCATTGAAAATACCAGAAAGCTTTTCGCACTTACGATGGTACCCATCCCGGTGCACGAAAGGTTGTTGGTACCCGGACCTGGAGCAAGAGTTAGCATAATACACCACAGCATATTGCTTTCGAAAGATGAAAAAAGTATTGACTAATAAGCGGAATAAGAACATGTGGCACGCTCGAAGTTGTTCCCTGTTGTTCCCTGTTGAAGCGGAGGCGGCGTTTGTCTGTGAGAGTGTTTCATTGAACTTTAGGAATAGCGGTGCTCCTTCATTCATTTGCAAAGTTGGTTGTGTTCAACAGGGGAGCAACTTCGGCGTTGTCGGGCATTCCGGCCACATTGGATGCAGGGTGTACACCGTGTCAGAATCGCGCTATTCGTTTCCAGTCGGATCGGTCCGTCCAGGAATCATGAGGAAGGAGCGCCCGGAAAAGGGGTAGACAGCCTCGCCAGAGTCTCAAATTCGCAGTGCAAAGGGAGTACACTCACCATGATATTCGACAATCGCTCTGCAGATATGTCAGACCTCCCTGGAATAATCAGAAGCTCAGGGACAATGCAGACTTACCCTGTACCTCCCTTTACAGTCAAGATACCTGCCACCTTGAGGATGATATCTGATATCCAAGATCAGCACAATATCAATGAGTTGAGTCCAGCTTGCTCACCCTTTGGAGCAGTCCATCCAGACATTTCACCAGTCAGCTTGACACCAATAACCTTGGGTGCCTTCAATTCCCAAGGCAGGTTGGCCATCACGTCGACCGCATCGGCTCCACCAACACCAATTGCAGCCATACCGAGACCACCAGCGTTGGGGGTATGAGAGTCGGTTCCAATCATCAAACCGCCGGGAAATGCGTAATTTTCCAAGACAATTTGATGAATTATCTGACGATCTGTAAGTCAAAATCTGTAGTGCCGAGCTGCATCTCGTGCCGGGGGATCCTTACCCCTGAGCCAGGACGCCAGAAGCCGATGTTGTACTTCGCACAAGCAGTCGACAAGAAATCGTAGACCTCTTTGTTGATATCCTTGGCTCTTTCCAAATCCTTATCTCCACCAACCTGGGCTTCAATAAGATGGTCGCAATGGACGGTGGTCGGCGTAGCAACCGAGGGCATGCCAGCGGACATGAATTGCAGGATGGCCATCTGTGCGGTAGCATCTTGACAGGCGACTCGATCGGGTCTGAGTTTGAGGTAGGAAACTCCACGTTCGATGTCTTGCCCGTGCGGATCATCCAAGTGGGAATACAGAATCTTCTCTGCATAGGTGAGAGGGCGGTTGAGTCTGCTTCGGACAATGGCTAGGTTTTCCGACATCTTCCTATTATGAGTGTCAGCACTGCCAACATTGTCTTGTATATTCAGAACACCACTTCCAGGGAGCGGAAGACAGGAAACACCAGAGACTCAAGACGGTTCATCGGATTGGAAACTCACTTGTAGTTGATGTAGTGGCCTTTCTCCCAGTTCGTCATCTCAACCTGTATCCGGCTGTTAGGTTCGTTGAGTAAAGCAGGTGCACCAGGTATGACTTATTTTTGCTCAGCGGATCATCCGAAACCGTAGCATAACCCATTCTGGACATCCGCAAGGGCTGGATTGGACAGTTAGTGAGCTGTTGTCGCTTCCGGATCGAGATGGGCAGAGGACTAACAGAACCAACTTTGGCTCCCTAGTGTCGACACAAATGTCAGCTAGAGGTCATGGACAACAACGAGAAGCAAAGTGATAATTGAATCCTTGCAGCAACTGTGAAGACTGCGGTAATCACAAAGCCGACAATGGTATGATGCAAGACCACTTACCACGCGGGAGGCCAGGCGGCCCAAAGGCCTCGCGGACATCATGTTGGCGGCAATACTTGATGACTAGCGAAAGGTGCAAAATTCCAAGCTCGGCGTAGAGCTGGACACAGGAGTAAGAGAGAGTGGAGAGGTGGAAAAGAATTGAAGTAGCTGTGATGTGTGGCCGGAGAGGTGGATGAATGGGAGGAGTTGTCGCAAGCTCCCAGCGTGCCAGGTGCAGCACCAATCAGCCTCGGGCAAAGAGGGCAAAAGCACGATAAGCCTGGGACGACGTCAACTGCGGAAAACAGAACGTCAATGGCTGTCAATCAGTGGCTGCAGCAACCACTTCTCCTCCTCATCTATGCAATGATCGATGGTCTGCAGATATTTTTCTTGAAAAGGTTCCAAGGTGCCTAGACTAGATATATAATATGCATCCACCAGACCAACTCGAATCTCGCCGCACAACAATGGGTAGGTAGAGTAGCCTGAAGCATTCCGCAGCTCCTAGCTGGGCAGTGAGCTCCACCGCTACCCCATGCTCCGAGCAAATGCCTCAAGCCTGCGATTTTTCTTCTGGCCTGCAGACCTTCCGGGTAGCCAATCATGGCTGATGTAATTACCTCGTCGAACCAGATGCCCGAAAAACAATCCCCCCAGTACCAGCCTTTTCTTTCCCAAGTCGTAGGAAGAGTTCCATGTGTGATCTAGAGCACACAATAGGCGCTTCCCAACATTGTTGACCGCCTTAATCACATTCCACGCAGCTCGATTCGGTGTGACGGGGAGAGCAAGGCAAGTCTTGCTTTCCAAGCTGGTGCGGAGAACCCAGGAGAGGACAACGTCAGGTCCAATGCTTTCCCAAGATTTAGGGGCCGAGTGATTGGATGGATGAGTCAGTCCGAAAAGAGGCCCCGACAGACGCCGCTTCCTTGACCCAGTCGGCAGTCCGCGCTTTTGCTGGCGGAGGCTTGGCGCCCACTGCGTTACTAGTAGCAGTGGGCAAACCCTTGCTGCAGAAGTTGCGAGGGGCTCCGCCGCTTCCCAAAAATCATCGGCCCACAAACACTGCCATTCGCCCCAAAAACAGCCTTGCATGCCCATAACCTGGTGTTTCTCGCCAGCAACAGACTTGAGCCGAAAGCCTTGCGAATATTATTCCGGGATCTACGATGGGGAGTATCAGACGCATCAAGACTAAACGTCGCACCCGGTCCGTTCAGCCGCCCCAGAAAAAGTTGTCCTTCTAACCTTACTTTACAGCGATCTTGATCAAGTCAAAGCCGATCTGAAATCTCCCAGACATCTTGCTCAACACAAAGGCCTCAAGGCCGCCGAAGATCTGCCCGGACTGGGTGCCTTCTATTGTACCGAATGCGCCAAATATTTCTCAGACAGCCACAATTTGAACGAGCATAGAAGAGGGAAGAACCATAAGAGACGGTAATTGCGATCCTTCGACGGCATGAAGAGATCTGACTTTTGGATAGTGTTCGAATGCTGAAGGAAGAGGCACACACTCAGAGAACTGCAGATGCAGCCGTCGGCTTGGGAACAGACAAGCGTCGCTCCCACGCTCCAGAAGATGATCCGGTTAACGAGGCCATGAAAGATGTCGAGCGTTGAGGTCTGAGCCGTGTTAAGTCCATGCAGCATCCACCACTTAGGGGTTGTGTCTGCTCGAAGTCCGATTGTCGAACCAGGAGCATGCAAATGCTAGCCGCGTGTGCGATACCGCAAAGGCACGACTCTGGGGAAAGAGCAACCTCGCCCGACCCAGCAATTCGGGTCACCCAACCCGACAACATTTCGCCTCCTTGATCTACGTCTTGGTCCCGTCATTGATGGTTTCCCAGGAAGCTCATGATCCTTTCGTATGTATACCACTATCGAAGGTTAGTAGGTAACGACGATGAAACCACACCGGCAGCCTACCTGGACAGCATTCACGACGAATGCCCTCAGGCTACAGATGCCAACACCACGATAGAAGCCGCCCACCCCTGAGCTTCGCCAAATTTCCCGAGCGATGGCCAGAGAAGTCTTTGCTTGGTGAGCGGCCACATTGGCCCCAGGAAGAAGCCTTTGGCCTTCTGCGGTTGGAGAAGGCTGCGTCTGGAGACGGGTCTTGATAATATCCAGAGGATAGATGGATACCCAGGTGACGACTCCGGCAATGCCGCCACTGATTAGAACTTCTGTGGTAGTAGGAGAAGTGAATGGATCGGCTTGTCGCGAAAGTAGCAGTCTCTTGGTTAGCTCGTACGACCAAAAATACCAGCCGTATCCGAGGGCATCCCGGACAGCAGTAATTGTGCCTCCGTAGTAGAGTCCTCGAAGCCCACCGTACTTCCATATTTCCTTGAACACCCCATATGAAGATCCTTGTCCATCGACGATCAGCTGGGCCCTGCATTTGATGAGCTCTGATGGCGCGGAGACGACAAAGGTAGCGAGCCCTCCAATTGCGCCTGCCACCCAAATCTTGCTCAAGTCCACGCCAGCGAGCTTTGTGTAGTCGAATATGCTTGGGTCCATCAGCTTCAATGAGCGATTGAACGTCATGAACAAGATAGAGTTCAATGCACCATAGCCCAAGACGGGAGCAGCAGCTCCTCTGAACAATGCTGTAACCCTCCGAAGACGTCGGTCAGACTCGGACTGTAGAGTCGGTCTTGCAACACCACCGCTAGTGCCTGCTTGAGCGGCGACCTTCAGGACATCGAGGCGATTACCCACCAATATCCCCAACGCTCCAGAGATATAGCTAGCCCAGAAGTCTGCCGACATCCTGAGACGGAAGTAGGAGATTCAGACCCCTTCAAATGGTTGTGGGACAAGATTCTTTGGATTATATCATGTTTTGCTGATCATGGTCTGTAAACACATCATACTTCTCAGGTTGACTAGATGGACAGGCATTATTTGGAGTGAAATACTCGTAGGTATCAGTGCTTTGACCCGCAGTCTACTCGGTAGATCTCACAGAATGTGTGCGCTGAGTTGTGGATCGGGTGCCAACCGCCGGTAAAGCACGTGAATACGCGTCACTTCACGACGCGTAAAGACGCCGCTTCCGATTCCTGCCATTGCCAGCATTATCGTGGATATTGTGAAGTGTCTGGCAACCCAGCTCCCTCAAGCCCAGGTGTCCATTGTTCTGCAGTATTCTGCCTCTTGAGTCATGTATGTACCTAGTATGTGTCGTTCTATAGCATGTTTGTTCTAACCTTTCCCACAGGATACGCACAAAGTCAATCTCGCTCGAGCTTGAGAAGGAAAACATACCACCCCCAAAAGCCGGCAGACTCAGTGCCAACTCACCAGCTGCCCTTGACCGCCTCATCAAGCCCTTCAAATGTCCCGGCTCAGCAAACTCCCGCAAGTCCAATGGCGAGCCAGCCAGAAAGAGAAGAAAGGTCAACTACGCCGAAGTGGACGGCGGGGGCGAGGATGCAAGTGGTGGGTTCAGACTCGATGAAGATGCTGGTGCTCTTAAAGATCGATTTCCGGTGTTCAAGGTCAAGGACAAAGAGACAACGTTTCGGACTCGCTTCTCCATTCCTTTGATCAACAAGAATGCTTTCGATCCGTCACGGCCAGCGCCCAGTCTGGGAATGCGCCGAGGTAACGGGTTTGTCAACAAGCCTTTACATGACCCCAGTGGAGAATTTGCAATTGTTCTATACGATCCAACCATAGACGAGAAGCCCGAAGGAAAGGTTGAAGACAAGCAAGATGAAGAGAAGCCGAAGCTCGATACACCTCTCATGCACAAAAGCTTGGCTGAAATACTTGGTATCAAGAAGCAAGTGGAAGGCGAGAGACCCAAAGTGCCGGTAGTCATCGATCCAAGGCTGGCTAAAGTGCTACGGCCGCATCAGGTAGAGGGTGTCAAATTCCTGTACAGGTGTACGACAGGCCTTGTGGATGAGAAGGCCAAAGGCTGCATTATGGCCGATGAGATGGGCTTGGGAAAGACTCTGCAATGTATCACTCTCATGTGGACATTACTCAAACAATCCTCGGAAGCCGGCAAATCCACGATTCAGAAATGTGTCATTGCATGCCCCGCCAGTCTGGTCAAAAACTGGGCAAATGAGCTTGTTAAATGGCTCGGTGAGGGGGCTATCAACCCCTTCGCTATTGATGGAAAGGCAACCAAAGAAGAGCTCACGATGCAACTGAAACAATGGGCAATGGCTACAGGCAGGGGTATTGCGAGACCTGTCCTGATTGTGTCCTATGAATCTTTGAGGTTGAATATCGAAGAGCTCAAAGACGTCAAGATCGGATTGATGCTGTGTGATGAGGGACACCGCTTGAAGAACGCCGAGAGCGAGACATATATGGCGTTGACCGGATTGAATGTTGACCGGCGAGTCATTCTATCAGGGACACCCATCCAGAATGATCTCACTGAATATTATGCTTTGCTGGACTTCGCGAACCCGGGTTACCTGGGGACCAAGGCAGACTTCCGGAAGAAGTTTGAACTGCCAATCCTGCGCGGTCGCGATGCTGCGGGGTCAGACGCAGACAAGCAAAAGGGTGAAGAAGCTAATGCCGAGCTGGGGTCGCTGGTCAAGAAATTCATTATTCGAAGAACGAACGACATCTTATCCAAATACTTGCCCGTCAAGTATGAACATGTGGTGTTCTGCAATCTTGCGCCATTCCAGAAGGACCTCTACAACCACTTCATCCAAAGTCCCGACATTAAGAGTCTATTAAGAGGCAAGGGTAGCCAACCGCTGAAGGCAATCGGGATCCTCAAGAAGTTGTGCAACCATCCCGATCTTTTGGACCTTGAGAAAGACCTTCCAGGAAGTGAGAAGTATTGGCCGGATGACTATGTACCCAAAGAAGCCCGCGGTCGCGATCGTGATGTCAAGTCGTGGCACTCTGGCAAATTTGCTGTTCTCGAACGTATGCTTGCTCGCATCCGTCAAGACACAAACGACAAGATTGTGCTCATCAGCAACTATACTCAGACCTTGGATGTTTTTGAGAAGCTCTGCCGTGCGCGCAGCTACGGATGTCTTCGACTTGACGGGACCATGAATGTCAATAAACGACAGAAGCTCGTCGACAAATTCAACGATCCAAACGGCGAAGAATTCGTCTTTCTGCTGAGCAGTAAGGCAGGTGGCTGTGGCATCAACTTAATTGGTGCCAATCGTCTTGTCCTGTTCGACCCAGATTGGAATCCGGCCGCAGACCAGCAGGCTCTTGCCCGTGTGTGGCGCGATGGTCAGAAAAAGGACTGCTTTGTGTACAGATTCATGGGCACAGGCACAATCGAAGAAAAGATTTTCCAGCGTCAATCGCACAAGCAGGCACTTTCGTCGACAGTGGTGGACTCAGCGGAAGATGTTGAGCGTCATTTCACCCTCGACTCCCTTCGAGAGCTATTCCAGTTCAAACCGGATACCAACAGTGACACCCATGACACGTTCAAATGCAAACGGTGCAAGCCGGATGGCACACAACAAATCAAGGCGCCAGCCATGCTTTACGGTGACACCAGCTCTTGGAACCATTTTGTCAACTCTGGGGAGAAGGGACCGCTCGGCAAGATCCAGGATCTCTTGCTTCGACAGGAGGCGTCTGAAGAGGCTGTGAGTGCTGTATTCCAGTACATCAGTCACTAAGAGTGCTTTGCGAAGGTGTTGCGGCAACATCAGGGCTGCCGAGCGGATTGGTGGGCAATGGGTGTCTGTCAGGCGGCGTCATTTCCCTTGTTGATGATCAGCGTTTGGTACATGGGATAGCAAGCAGCATGTTTGAGCAAATCAAGTCACAGCCGAGCGCATAAGTATATCTGTACTTGGTCCTAGAGGCAGAACCGGGCACGAATAGACAGACGGACATAGTAAATGAAGCCTGTGGGAATAAGGTTGGCAAAAACGTAAACCGACGCAAACCAGCCGTTGAAAGGTGATTCTGTAATGTATTAATTACCCAGCGAGGCCAGTAAATACCCGTTGGACCTAAGATAGCATCGACCTGTTTCGGCCAATCGAGTCGCTGTGGCGGAAAGAGGGAAAGTGAGTCGTGACGGCGAACCTCGTTTGGACCCTGGCCCTGCAACAACGACGCGTTTGTTTCATCAGTCACCAAATTCTCACTACGCCCAACGAATATCTCTGAAAACCCCATCAAAGGCTGGTAGAGTGTGCCAGTTCTCTTGGGATGAGAGTGTTGATCACTACAGCAGAAATTGGCCCTCCAGTCCCACAAACTTTGTTGCCACTCTAGGCGTATACCAAACATCCGATGATGGTCTTGAAAATCCGCGTCGCTCAATCGATACACCGCCATGGATCCCGCAGTCCAACGCCTTCTTGCTGACAAGCTCTACGACAAAAGGAAGCAGGGGGCCCTCGAGTATGATTAACCGCTGATCGAGATATTTGTGCCCATGGCTGATTCCCACAAGGCTCGAGCGTTTCATCAGGGAGGCTAGTGCCGCCAAAGAGTACGACAAGATCCGAAAGACGATTGATCAGTTGTGTTCCGACTATGCCTATGCCGTGCACATTCCGCACCACCGCAATGGAGGTCTCATTGGTCTAGCGGCTGCTTCGATCGCCCTGGGCTCTGTATGTCTGCTCCCCAGCATCATGCGTGACGGCACATGCTGATAACTGGTGTCTCTAGGATGAGGTTGCACGCTATCTGTCTGATATCGTTCCACCTGTTCTTGCATGCTTTACTGATCAAGATGCCCGCGTCCGCTATTATGCCTGCGAGGCCATGTACAACATTGCCAAAGTAGCCAAGGGAGAGATTCTGGTTTTCTTCAACGACATCTTTGATGCATTATGCAAGGTATGGCTTGACCTCCTCCCGCTCTCGTCGCTGCTAACTCTGTACCAAACAGCTTGCTGCCGACTCAGAGCTCTCGGTGAAGAATGGAGCCGAGCTTCTCGATCGTCTGATTAAGGACATTGTTTCCGAGTCTGCCGCCTCTTACGTCTCAGTTCTCAACTTCAATGAAGACGGCGAAGACCTCGAGCCGGATAAAGAAAGCGCCGATCTTCCCACAACTTTCTCCCTCGCAAAGTTCATTCCCCTTCTTGAAGAGCGCATTCACGTTATCAATCCTTTCACCCGCACCTTTCTGGTTTCCTGGCTGACGCTTCTGGATACCATTCCGGACCTGGAACTTGTACACTACCTACCAGCTTTTCTTGGAGGCCTCTTCAAATTCCTTGGAGATCCGAATCGTGACGTGTATGTGGCAACTCAGGGGCTGCTTGAGCGCTTTCTTAGCGAGATCAAGAAAATCGCAAAGATCAAGCGTGGTATCGCTGAAAGTCGCCGAAGTCGAGCCGGCAACCGTAAACCTGGATCTGATACAGGCAGTGCAACGGGTGGCGGCAATCAGTCAAACGACAATGCCATCGATGACTCCGAGTCTGGGACTGCCCAAGACGAACTTAACGAGCTTGGGGAGCACGACGGTGATTGGATACCCGGACAAGACGTCCAGGTGGATTACGCACAAATTCTTGACATCCTGCTAAAGTTTGTCGATGTCTCGTCCAGTAAGGAGACGGCGCCACAGTTACGACTTGAGGGATTGTCAAAACAAAAGGAAGAAGAAATCGGGATCGTTGCCCTGCGATGGATTGACAGCTTCTTCGAGATCAGCCCAGAAGAAATCCTGCAATTTGTACCTCGCCTGTTGTCTCGTGTTCTGCCAGCACTGTCGGCCCAGTCGGAGCAAGTCAGAACAACTGCCAGCAAGGTCAACAGGTCTCTGATGGACTACATTGTCACCTTTCAGGATGAGGTGTCGACCGATGACCAGAGTGCACAGGCGTCTGGTACTCTAACCAGTGTGACGACGCGGGATGGAGAAGGTTCTGAAAAAAGACAGTCAGGCGGGACAACCAAGAGTGTGCCTTCACAGACAGAGGGTAAAAATGAGACTCCTCCAGAAGCCTCCTCTGAGGTAGAGCAGTCACCCCAAGAGGTCACTCCCAGGTCTACTGCAGCGCCGTCACCGCAACCCATGGCTGACCTCGACTATGCGGCAGCAGTGAATGCATTGACGCTGCAATTCCTCAACGAACACGAAGAGACGCGTGTGGCGGCATTGAGCTGGCTGATCATGCTCCACAGAAAGGCGCCAAAGAAAGTCCTTGCCTTCAACGACGGTACGTTTCCAGCCCTGCTCAAGACGCTCTCCGATCCGGCTGAGGCGGTCGTGACACGCGATCTCCAACTTCTGTCGCAGATCTCCAAGAACAGCGAAGACGGATACTTTACATCGTTCATGGTGGCTTTGCTTCAACTCTTCTCAATAGACCGAAAGCTGTTGGAGATCCGTGGCAACCTCATCATTCGCCAATTGTGCATCAACCTCCAACCTGAACGCATATACAGGACACTGGCGGAGTGCATCGAAAAGGACGAAGACGTCGAGTTTGCAAGCATCATGGTCCAGAACCTCAACAATAACCTCATCACGGCGCCTGAGCTCGCGGAGCTGAGGAAAAGGCTTCGGAATCCGGACAGCAAGGAGGGACAGATGTTCTTTGTAGCGCTGTTTCGGGCTTGGTGTCACAACGCTGTGGCTACGTTCTCGCTGTGTCTGTTGGCCCAAGCGTACGAACAGGCTTACAATCTGCTACAGATATTTGCAGATTTGGAAATGACCGTCAATATGCTGATCCAGATCGACAAGCTAGTGCAGCTACTAGAAAGTCCAGTCTTCACATGTAAGTTCTCTGCACCTCTTTTGCAACCACTTTTGTTGAACGAGGCACTAAATGATGGCCAATTCTACAGATCTGCGGCTCCAACTTCTCGAACCCGACCGGTATCCCTATCTTTACAAATGCCTCTACGGGCTTCTGATGTTGCTTCCTCAATCGTCCGCTTTCGGCGCTCTGAAAAACCGCCTCAACAGTGTCTCTGCAATAGGGCTGTTACACACACCGGCTTCGATGCCGACGTCAGCCAGACCATCGTACGTTGCGTCCATTCCATGTCCCCCCAACGCTTCCGCTCAGTGCGCTTTGCTTTCTCACGTGCTTGGGCGCCTATCTAACATGATTTCATGTCGATTTCAGAGTGGGTTCCGGGATGTCTTCGTCCTCTCTGCCCCCCACAACGAGCGGCGCTCTAAACAGCACCGTCGCCTCTCGTCTGCGAACGCGTGATGCCACATCCTCGGTCGGCATCAACGAGATCAAATGGCCCGAACTTCTCGATAAGTTCAAGCAAACTCAGGAACGTGCACGACGCCGGAACGAGAGGATCCTCCGGGGGGACCTCGATGCAGCAGAAACACCCAGTTCTGCAATACCGAGCGCAGTTGATAATACAGGTCGATCAAGTCGTGCGAGTTTACGAGAAGGAACAGATGGCGGCGATGCATTCAGGACCGGGCACAAACTACACAGTGGACGGCCCTTGAGCGGTGTTGGCGCAGCCGGCACCGGATCGTCAGGGCTGGTCAAGGCAGGCAGTGGGTTGGGGGTCACAGGGCCAGGGCCAGCAACTGCCAGAGCAGCGGGCATAGGAGATGATCGATCTGGACCTCATAAGAGAGGTCACAGTCTCGCGGGCGGGTTTGGCAAGTTTGCGAGCGGGATTGCCAGGGCGGGAGGAAGTAAGGATCGGGAGAAGAAGAAGTAGTAGAGGTAGGGTGGACGTGAACAAGCCTCCTCAGACTGATTGACGAGGATTTGAGTCGCCGAGGCGCCGACCTCTCCCTTTTGCTTCAGCGAGGGAGAAAAAGAATGTCTGAATTCTTTTAGTATGTACACGGTATCGGTTGGAGGGGCAAAAGGAGGAGAAGGAGGAGGAGCTGGGCGCAAAGCACAAACGCACAACAGCGCAGAGGCAAGAGGCTTCTTGGGGATCTAATAACTATTATCAGGTATTCCGTCCTGTCTTAATTTCCCATCTCTATGTCTAGATCTATGGACGGATGTACCATTGTACCTAGGTACCTAGGTACCTAGCAAATGGTTCGAGGAATCCGTGTTTTCACACGCCCACGCATACGTCAGATGGTGTCACCAGTGTGGAATGCATAATATAACTAGGTATATACCATGGAGGATGAATGTGTATTGATATATTTTTCTTCCTTTTTATTCTATTGGCTGTATTGGTGGTTGTGCACGAGGATATTTCCCACAGTGCGCACATGCTATGATAAACACTCACTCACTGACTCTTGTCGAATAGTCGCATCACTCCTCCCCTGACGGAGACATCCTCAGGTACAGTTGACTCTAGCCTCCCACATGCAGAATCAACTTGTTCTTCAACTCCTTCGAATCCCTCCCTGTCCCATTCGTAACCCTGCCACTGCTGCTGCTGCCACCGCGGCTCATCCAAACCCAGGCGTTCGGAATCACATCACTCCCATTGAAAACAAAACCCCAAAGATAAAAATTGGTAGGACATCGATACGGAGGCGGACAGAGAAAGGCCCCACCGAGACAAAACGCCATTGCTATGCTCAACCCAAGAAGACCAGGAAAGTTATTCACACGAAGCGAAAAGCCCCATAGGCCAGCGACAGGAAGCCGTTGGCCCGTATCAAATATTGTCAATCATCTCCGTTGCTCGGGTGGCACCCACATTTGCGTCCTCCTCTTGTTGTTGCTTGCGGAGCTGTCGTTCGAATTGCCGGTCGAATTGGTCGACATGGTCGGACTTCTCGAGTCGGCGGCGCTCGTGTAGAAGTATTCGCCGTCCTGGTATACCGCGCCTGTGGTGAAGGTCGTCCGGTTCTTGCGACGCGCGTATTTCTGCTCCAAGCGGTAGAGCTCCAGTTCTGCCACCACAAATGTCAGTTTGAGTACTCTGCTGTCTAAGATTCAGTGGGCAGAAGGGAACAGTTGATTGGCAAATATGTACGGAAGATGGGCGTTCTTACTTGATTGTAGCTTGTCGAAGAGCCCCATTTTCAAACGTGGATTGGCCTTTTCCAACACGTCTGCGAAAAGTCGGGGGATGGCAGTTCCTTTGGGAGACACAAAAGAGGGCGTTGAATATAGTCGTGAGCCTTTCGTGTAAGCTGATCCACGGCAGCAGCCTTATCTGCGCCCTCTTTCTATTTTCAAATCTGCTGGCCTGGTCCTCGGAGGTCTAAATCCTCGGGCACCTCAGTTTCTAGGTCGAACCGTGGAGGACAACTTTCTGATCGTTCGAGGCTTGCAGAAACGCGCCTTGATATTCAGAACCAGTTTTCTTCGTTCCGGATACTTCGGTCCTCGGCGGGAAAAGGTTTCGAGGAAGGCAAGGCAATGGGCGGACGGCGGGCCCCAATGATGTCTTGTGAACAAGTGTGCTGGCCACAACGAAACCGGCTGACCGCGTCAGATGAGCAGTATTCTTCTGATTTTCCGGACTTCGTCACAGCGCAGGCGAGCAAAAATTATCGCGAGAATGCGCCTTGAAGTTCCAGTTTCCCCCGGGGTTGGTTTTCTGGTGGGGACGGCAGGGCCTAATGCAAGCTCTTAGGTAGAATTCTGAAACGAGCCGGGTGCACCAAACATGCAGTAGAATCGAAGGTTATTCGAAGGGTCGCGGAAAGATCGCGCGGGCGACTGAGCGAAAAGGAAAAGATTGCGATTTAAGGAGTGACTGTATAAAGTAGTTGGATGAGTTTGGTCTTGAAGGAGAGTGTATGTAGGGGAGTAGGAGGATCTATGAGATGAGCGTCGCTGCCAGCAAGCGGTAGACTGTCGGTCGCAGTGGGAGCTCCATTTGGATTTAATATCCGCAAATTTGAGCGGAAGCTGGAAATGGACGAGCGGAAAGAGGAGTTGGAACGTGGCAGTGTGGCCTCGTTGTCCCGAGTGCAATCTCTCCGGCATTCATGGTCAGTGAGTTTAGCTAAACGTTAGGGCTAGTGGGCTTGCTTGGCCCGTTGGAATCGCCCATCGATGGTGGCTCTTCAGCGGGCTTAGCGAGCCTGGCTACTGGGAGTAGCAGCCATGGGGGGTGGTTTTGCTAGGTAGGTACCCGGGTAGGTACCTTGCCTCGGGCCCATCGAAGGGGTCGAATACCACAAGTTCTAGCGCAGAAACTGTTCATGAAACGGAGAACGGTCTCGACTTGTCTACTTGTGCTCGGTAAAGAGATGTCTCTAAATGATTGATTGAAGGAGCTGCGAAAGTCCTGCCTACCTTTGCATGAGATGGTCATCAACATGGTCGTATTCTAACTGTACCCTGGCCTTTTCCTCCTTTTATCATTCCATCCCCCGCGAGCTCTCAACGCAGCCACGCCCGTTTGACCTGCCCCGCTGCTTATCCAAATCGCACACCGTCGAGGGATCGGCGCTCGGGGGCTTCTCGCTAGACTGCATGAAGTCGTGGCCGTTCTCTAGATGTGGATCTGATGCCACAGTCTCGACGCCACGTGCGAAAACGAAATTCGTTCACCCCCTGTCCCCTGTCTCTGCCCAGCTGTGTCTATCATCTCGCTCCCCTGGTAACCTGATAGATGCTGAGAGTTTGTCCAAGTGGGCACACTTCTCAATAGTCCGTCCATCTTCGTTTTGAGATCATCATGTCTCGCTTGGTGTTCTCGAAGAAAAGGTGAACGAAGAATTCTCTGCCTCCAGAGACCGCCGTTCCCCTTTTCTAGCATGCGAGACATTCAGCTCTGTGCACGCGTGAACCCAAATGAACACGTCGGGACCCCGCGTCTGGCTCCGTGGAGGGACCCAGGAATGTGCTCCCTTTCTCAACCCTTGTCCAAGACAATGTCGTCAATCCAACCGAAATCAAATAAATCAACTACCTTTCGAGTGGCTAAGGCGTGCAAGGTTGAGTCCTTGTGCGGTCAAGATCGGGTCTCCTTTTCGTCGCTCTGACGCTGTTCTTCCAAGTTTCGTTCAAGGGTCATGTCTTGTCCGATTGAAACTTCCTGTGCTGCCCAGAGATCGGCATATAGCCCCTTGCGTGCCAACAGCTCGGCGTGGGTGCCTTGTTCAACCACTTGGCCTTCTTTGAGGACGAAGATGATGTCGCTGTCAAAGATGGTGCGGAGTCGATGCGCGACAAAGACGCTAGTCCGACTCTTCTCCCTCAGAATACTGTTAATGTTCTGCAACAGTGTCTGTTCCGTATAAGTATCTAGCGCCGACGTTGCTTCGTCGAAGAACAGGAGAGGAGGATCTTTCAGAATCAGTCGCGCAACAGCAAGCCGCTGCTTCTCCCCGCCAGAGATCATCATGCCCCGTTCGCCGACCATAGTATTCCACCCAGCTGGCAGGCGCTCAATGAGGTCGAAAATATGCGCTCGCTTCGCGGCACTCTTGACTTCATCCAAGGGTGCATCAATATTACCATACCTGATGTTGTGCTCGATTGTGTTGTTGAATAGCGGTGTATCTTGTGGGACCACACCGATACTCCGTCGCAAGCTATCAAGGCTCACATCCCTGATATTTTGTCCATCAATCAAGATCTTACCAGAGTCGGCATCATAGAATCGGAACAGCAGTCGAAGGATTGTCGATTTCCCGCATCCACTGGGTCCGACTATGGCAACCTTCTTGCCCGAAGGTATCGTCATGCTCAGATTTCGGAGGATCTGTCGATCAGCGTGGTAGCCGAATGTAACATTTTCGAACCTGATCTCGCCGCCCTTTGTCAAGGCTAGCGGCCTCGGATTCGCAACCTCTTTGACGGTCACATTGACTTTTTGCAAGTTGAACAACGTCTCCATATCGAGGAGGGACTGGCGAAGTTCTCGATACACTGAACCCAAGAAGTTCAGCGGTACTGACAGTTGAAAAACAAGTTGATTGACCATGACCAAGTCTCCGACCGTCAATGAGCCACTTGCTACCCCATTCGCCGCCATATACATCATGGCTGCTAGAGCGCCCGAGAAGATCACATTCTGACCGGTGTTTAAAAATGCCAACGACGTTGTGACCTTAATTGAAGCATCCTCGTACTTCTTCAAAGCGGCATCATATCTATTGACCTCGAATTTCTCATTGTTGAAGTATTTGACCGCCTCGTAGTTGATCAGCGTATCGACAGCCACCGTAGCTCCTTGATTGTCAGCTGCGTTTGCTTGCTTGCGAAATTTGGTTCTCCACGAGGTCGTAGTAATAGTAAAGGCTGAATACGCAACCATCGTAGCTGCTGTGATCGCAGCGAACTGAGCTCCGTACTGATATGTTAAGATGCCACAAACCAAGGAAATCTCCAGCACGGTCGGGAAAATGTGGAACAACATGGACGTCAGCAGGAAGCTGATTCCCTTTGTACCGCGATCCAGCGCCCTTGTTAAGCCACCCGTCTGTCTTGACAGATGAAAATTCAGATCAAGTCGCAAAAGATGCTGAAAGACGTTGCGTGCCACATTCCGGATGGCCTTCTGAGCCACACTGGCAAAGACAGCATTCCGTAGCTCTTGAAACAACGTAGCGCCAATGCGAGTTGCGCCATATGCCACTATCATCGATCCTGCTACTGTCCAGGCAGTGCCGCCAACAGCCAGAAAATCAATGTTCATAGAGTCCACGATGCTCTTGAAATAGAAGGGAACATTGACGTTGAGGATCTTGGCCCCAACCAAGAGGCCTAATGCGGTACCAACTCGCAACTTGGTCCCCCAGTCTCCCTTGGGCCAAAGGTACTGGACCATCTCCTTCATGATAGCCAGGTCAACTTTGCGTTGCTCCTTGTTGGAGACTACTTTTTCCGAGAGAAGAGCCTCTTTCTTGGTTGGCTCTGGTTCGGCTTTAAGAGTTTCGTTCGGTTGTATAGACTCCGGTTTTGCAACTTCCGTGCTGTCAGACCGACTTGGGGGTGCTTCTGCAAACTTGGTTGCTTGCACTGCCCTTTTCGAGCCATCGTCCCGCCTCGCGAAAGCTGACTGCGAAAAAGCATGAACATGCTGTGGCGGATTGATCCAACTCCTGTACGAGAATTTGATCGCAGGACGACCAAACGCCTTGTAAAGCTTGCGCTTCCCACAGGGGAGGAGCGGACGTGGTAGCATGGTGTGATCTGATCCTGTCTTCCACGCAGCCGGTATTGAGGTGTCAACGCCACTCTCCCTCCTCCCCTTCTGAATCGGTCGCCAGCACCTGTGATATTATCCAAAAGAGTCGTGAACCATACATGGGCTGAAAAGGTAGAATTATGGCATGATTGCTAGGTAAAAGACGCAATCTCTAGCTGGCGACCGAGGAAAGTCCTCGAGCCTAGACTGCGCTTATCGTCGGCATACTCCGCCATATCTCTTCGGTGGAACTTTTGTGCGGGGTACGTTAGGCTTGATAGCAGCCTGCCAGCCTTGTTCCGTCACCAGAACTGCAGTGCCTTCCTTCCACTCTTCTCAAGGCCCATTTCGTGGACATACAAATGCAATACCACAGACCGCCTATGATCGACATGGATGACATGTTCGTTCTACGGGGATGCTACTGGACCCCGGCCGAAGGAAAATGCCGAGGATAAGACCTCCTCCGACACGCCTCCCTCAAGAGAGCCCGTCAAAGAACCATGTCCAGCCAGCGTGCCTTCCCGAACGTTGTTGTGAAGGCGGACCCCGCTCTTTGCGAAGACTGTCAGTTGCTCTTCAAAGACATCATATCAGGTCCCGATCTACTAGACAGCCGGTGGGAGACGGTACAGTCCGACCACAATACTCTTACCCATTTGAAAACCCATCTCGATAATTACTTGGATTCTCTTCGACGATCTGCCAAGGGCGGTTGCGGTCTTTGCAAAATTTTGACGCAAGAGCTCGGTGCCGGTGTTGGAACTGCTTCCACGTCTACCTATAGCATCTTTTTCTGGGGAACAATCCCTCAAAGGTGCGAGTTCAAAGTCGCTCTGGGTACGGCGAGCCACTTCGTCAGACATATCAAAGAATGGGAGCATCGGCCAGTATCAATCTTGTTCTTCCGGAAAAATGGAATTTACGACAGCCCGTCCATTCCCAGCAATGTGCAGACTGCCCGGCACTCAGCCTTGCACGTACTCCCAGATCCAGACCCGGGATCCGAAGCAGCTTTTCAGCGAGCGAAGCATTGGTTAGACAACTGTATGAACAGGCATGAAAGGTGTGCACGGGCTCCCAGTTCTCTTCCAAAACGTGTGGTGGATCTTGGAACGTCAGAGGATCTTTCGAGCATTAAGTTGTACGTCACCCAGCGCGAACCTGCCCCTTACATGACGATTTCCTACAAGTGGGGCGAAGACCACCCGTTGAGAACGCGGAATAGCAACTTAGAACAGCGATGCGAAGGAATCCCTCTCGAAGCTTTCCCGCGGACGCTAAGGGATGGTGTTGTCATCGCAAAGACTCTTGGTTTCCGATATATCTGGATTGATTCTCTCTGTATCATTCAGGGAAACAAGCTTGACTGGCATCAGCAGTCCGGAGAGATGACTGCAATTTATGGCAAGTCCTTGTTAAACATCTCGGCGAGCAGCGCAGAGTCAAACAGGGCTGGAATACTAAGAACGCGTCCGGAGCAGAAGCTCAGGGTCGGCTTCTGGTTTCATTCACACTCTGACGGACATTATGAGACAATCTACGGGGGCGGTCCCAACAAAACCCTAGATCTCGAAAAGAAGGAGATCTCCGAACGAGGCTGGGTATTTCAAGAAAGACTGGTTTCACCCGCAACCCTGCACTATACCGACGAGGGAATGCTTTGGGAATGTGTGAGCGGTCTCTTTCTAGAACACCACCAGAATGTCTCTCAAGTCAAGTGGAAAGAAGACTGGAAGATTGCCATAGATGGCGGGCATGCTCTTGTCCCACAGCCATCGATTGGGAAGGGGAAAAGAAAGACGAAGGACCCTCACAGGAGTTGGAAGGATTGGCTCTGTGCTTACTCTGAAAGAAATCTGTACGAATTTGAGGACAAATTCCCGGCCATGGCAGGCGTTGCCAAAACATTCGCCACTACATTCGGTCTGCGATATGCTGCAGGCTTATGGCGGGAAAACATGGTCTCTGGGTTGATGTGGAGACGGTTCAACCGCACGAGTAGCCTGATTCGGTTCAAAGGTCGGTACATTGCGCCGAGCTGGAGCCCCTTCTCTGTAAAGGGCCGACTTGAATATCGGCATGTCGACCTCTTCGCGTCTGAGGCTGGTCCTGTGCTAGATATCATCAAAGTCATGGTCGAGGAAGAAGACCCTGGCAGCTGTGGCCAGGTTATGGGTGGTGAGATCGTCGCCAAGGGCCTTTTACAACCTGTCGTTCTGGACAGAAATCTCCATCCGTATGTCAGAAAGAGGGACTTTCAAGAGTGTGGCGTTGTCGAGGGCTTTAAGAACTGCGTCAATGTCTATTGCATGCTTGATGAGTATGATGACAAGACCTCCGATCCGTTATACCATTGTTGGTGCTTGAGGCTGGGGTCGTTTGACTCTGACGACCTAGTTGCCGACATGTTCTTGTTGCTGAAAGAGGAAGACTTATCCAAGCACATCTTTCGACGCGTTGGTCTTGCAGAGACTGATGCTCGGACCGATGTAAAGAACGTCACCCGGCAGTCTGGTTTGCTGTCGCAGCCGGTGTTTACAGAAGTCACTTTGCTCTGAGGGTCTGCAGGACGTGCAGGAAGCATACGAGGTCCATAGCGCCCAGGACGATGATATATAAGAGGGCTAGCTTTCTCCAGTTTTGACATGTTGCTTCTTCTATCCTCATATATATGAAAGATGCACGAAAACAACAAGCTAGTGCCCGAACCGCACATACCTCTGCCCCTTTCCCTGGTGTGTCTCCTTCCGGTGTCCCCTTCCTCTGCATCAAAGTCTCAAATGCCAAACCTGCTCTGGCAGAGCCAACGCGCCGACGAACCTCTGGTCCAGCTCATAATTGAGCGCATCGCCATCCGTGTGCCAGGGGTTGCTCATCTCATCCAAGACGCTGCCCGGAGTAACATACGGGATTGACTGTGCCGCCGTTGCTGCAGCGGCCCCGGGCCGTCTGTTCCAGACACGCCGGAGGAGACCCTCCTTCATCTCTTCGGGGAGTTCCGGACCCTTCAAGGACGCCAGCGCGGACCAGTTCATGAATTTCTTGTCCAGGACGCGCACATTGACGTTGCCGATCCTGCGCGCCGAGAAGACTTCTTGTGGTTCTGCCCCATCTCCCACTGCTGGTGGTTCTCGTGGGGTCCGTGACTCGATACTCACGAGCATCCCCGTCGCAAAGCCGTCGCGGTGCAGCTTCTCGGCCTGGCCCGGCAGGAACGTGATCGCCGGGTCGGGCACGCGGTGCAGCGCCAGCTCCGTCCATGAGAGTGTGTTCTTGACGTGGACCGTGTCGTAGCCGACGTCGTAGAAGACCTCGTTGAGGTCGTCCACCATGACGAAGTGCGGCGGCTTGGGGGGCTGAGAGAACGGCGTCGGCGGCGTGAATAGTTCGAAGCCGTCGGAGCGCAGCTCGAAGACGCCTGGCGCGACGATCGGTACCATTCTGATTGAATCTTCCCCTGGATGCAACACACACGAGCTTCGTGGCTTATTCTTGCTCTTGTCGGGAAAAAAGCCGTGAGCGAGACTGAAGGGCTTTGAGCCTTGCTGCCGGTTGTTCAGATCAACTATGGTCAGCAAATTTCTTTACGTGTCTGCAAGGGAAATGAACCAGAGAGGCATCATTATCAAGCGTGAAAGTCAGGGAAGAAGGTAAGGAATCCTCGATCAGGCTGAGCGGGGTAAGGGACTCGCCAGAAGCTCCTGCTTCTGCCTGTCCAGCAAGGCTGAATATGGTTGCGCCCAGAGAGGCGTCCGGTCCAGTCCGGTCAAGGCCTGAAATCTGGAATTGATTCAGTTCTCTGCAATGATATATAGTTGTTGCGGAAGTGAGCATGCACTCTTGACGACGGCGGGGGTCGAAAATGATACAGTGGGCGAAGACAGATAAATATTAGCCTGAGTCACACCCACTCGCAGCCAGCAATCTATCTATCCAGTTTGGGGGTGATTGAAAAATATCCATAAACTTTTTCATCAATCGCAGAAGAACGACAGCGACCTAGCTAAATAACCATTACTACTCTTCTCGACCCCGCGCCAAATCAGCCATGGGCGGCTGCACGTCGACAGCCGCCGTCGAGACTCTCCGCAATATCGTCTCGTCATCGTCCCTCGGCCGCGGGGAGAAGTAGAACTGCACCACCCCGATGATGGCCACGACGGCACAACTCCACCACGCCCCCGCCGAGCCCAGGCTGCTGTAGAACACGCCGACCAGGGGCGGTCCTACGGTTCTGGCGGCGGAGCAGGCCGACATGGCCAGCCCGTTGACTTTGCCCAGCACCTGCGGCGAGGGAGTGGCGTTTTTGAGAAGGATCAAGAATGTAGGAAAGGAGACGACGCCCGTGAAGCTCTGGAGTGCGAGTACGGCGTAGATCCCGACGCCCGGTTTCGCGAGAAGAGAGACGAACGGCACCGCGGTGTGGATGAACGGGCTGAGAAGCGTGACTGACAAGACGGCCTTCCAGACACCCAGTTTCGCCACGAAGACGGGGAACACGACCGCTTGGAAAAACAGGGACATGATGCTGCTGGCGGCGAGGTATGTCCCGACTTCGTGCAGCGTCATGCCGAGACCTCCCTTCAAGTCAAGCTCGCGTGCGGGTCGTTGCGGGTCGTCGAGGAGGTAGATTGGGAGAACAGATCCGAAGGCCATAGAGTGATAGGACATGACCACCAGAGCCACGGTCCACATGATAACGGGTTTGGTAAAGGCCTTGATGTGTTCTGGCCTGATGGTGCGTTCATCGTCTTCGTCTTCGTCAATGACGGCTTCGACTTGTGGTCCGACCTTCACCAACGGCTTGAGGGAGCCAATCGAGGCCACGGAAGACCGCCGAAGGTCGAAAGTGGGATCGATGGCGACGGGCATGGATTCCGCGGCGACATAAGTGAGTCCGCCAGTCCCTGTCGAAAATGCACTGAGCGCCGATTCCCTCCTCCGTCGTTGCCATAGGGGCGTCGTCTCATTGACCGTATCCGCACTGCTGACTATGGAGGGCGTGCCTGATGGTCGCGACGACACTGGATTCGTCTCTTCAAGGAAGATGCAGCCCTGAACAATGGCGATGACGATGATCGCCACGGCAACCAGGTTCGGTAAGAGGTAAGGATACTCGCCGAAAATGCCGTCGGGGGAGAACAGATGAGGATAGAATCGGGCGGGTTGCGCCGTGAAGCCTCCCAGCGCTGACCCAGCAATAGATCCTAGACTCCACACGAAGGGCTGAACGGCGTATGCGGTGGCTAAAAGTCAAAGATCAGCTTTCGGAACGCTTTGCACCTTTCCAGCACACACTTACGCTCGTGCTCAGGTCTCTTCACCATCTCCGCCACCATAGTCTGCATGACAGCCACGTTCCCGTTCAAAAGCCCGCCCACCACTCTCGCCAGCAAAGCAACCCAGTAGCTCTTTGCAAACCCAAAGATCAGACTCGACAACGCAACTCCCGCAAGTCCCAGAAGCACGATCGGTTTCCTGCCGTAGCGGTCCGAGATGTGTCCCCAGATCATGGCCGTACAGGCCTCGGCCATGGCAAAGGCCGAGATTAAGAGACCAGCGTAGAATGAGGCATTTTCTTCGCCTTTGATGTCGACGACCATTACAAAAGTGTAGGCTGTGATGGAGCAGAAGGCGATGGGCTCGGCAAGGCGGCATAGCGCTGTTTACGTCGTCAGCGGCGGTTCTAGGGGGTGAGCAGAGCGAGACGAGGACATAATATACGCACCCAAGACCGTGAGTTGCTGGTATGGATATGCATCGTCGTCTCGTGGTGGACGATTAGTCTGGTGTTGCTGGTTGGACATCTCTCCCTCGCTCGCTACAACTCCACAATGATCAAATATATTGCTCCTAGGCCAACGACGAGGCCCACGAAATCAAAAGATACTCTCCGATAAAATAGAGGAAAAGGAGAGCAGGGATTGGAAAGGGAAAATAAAATGAAAACAAACCGTCAGCGGAAAGAAAGTATCTCTTAGCTTTCGGGCATGCAACCATCTTGCATCCAGGTCGAAGAGTGGCGGTGATCTGCGACCCTCCATTATAAAACCAACGGCACGGCGCTCGCGACCGTAAGATCTGAAAGTGAAAATGAGATTCTCGATGGCGAAGTGAGGGGAAACTCTCCCCGGGAGGCGCATCCCAGCGATGGCTAGCCTGGGAGCTACCTGGACGGTCCAGCTGGGCAGGGCTGATCCCTCATAAGTACCACTGGATCGACGTCGATTTAGCAGATCTTGGGCAGTTTTCGCCTCCAATATGTGTGTCATGGGCGAACTTGACGCGCCATCCCGTGCGTCGAGCCGTTGGTTGTGGAGGAGAAAAGGAGCTACCCGAGTCTTTTTTAGGCTGATCTTCGGTTGAATGCCCGCGCGGAGCGAAACTCTGGCTCTGCGGAGTGTCGGAACCGCACTTTACTTGTACAACCCATATTGTATGCCACGCATGGGTACTTGTGGATACCAGTGTCTGGAATAGGCGTTGGGACGCGGGATGCCGAAGGGGGAATTCGGCACGAATGGACAACTCATCCACTTGACCTTGGTCCGAGAGAAGCGGATGACAGGCATGAAGATGCCTTTAAGCGGAGAGACAAGGCCGTGTCCGTTCGTACCAGTCAGCTGCGGCGGATCTCACCGCCAGAACGAGAAACATACGCGGACGGGGTATAGACACAATCTCGCCCGAGTATGTTATGCATCTGATCGGTGGATTCACCCTCCGCTGACAAAGACTGATATTGTGATCGTGGCTGATCCGAGTGAGGTGAGTAGAGTAAGACAAGATGCTATTGCTTGGAAAAAAAGAGGCCCAAGACAGTTTACCAGCTTTCTAGGCAAATTGCACCAGTATCTTGCTCCTTCTGGTGAGGGATATTCACGAGAAGCTATGCCCAGTAGGTTCCTGCTTTCACTATGTACAGCCTAAAGCAAAGACAACCATCAAATGCACCAGATCGAAGCAGATCTCGGAAGAAAATGACAGGGTTCACCCGGCGGTCCTGTGCTAGACTAGTTAGGGTAAATTAGGCCGGGACCGAAGAGAGTCATGTTCGCAACCTCATTGGCATTCGCAAACGGTCCGGTCGAGTTGACGACCGCCGCAATTGTAAGACCGTTCAGCGAATTCTGGCTGAATGGAAAGTTGGCTGAGAAAGTGGTCACGCCGTTGCTGGTAGACGGGTTGGTGATTGTCTCAACGATGGGCAGATTCTGTTGGTTGATGTATACAAGCCCGAGACCTTGGGTCGAATTTCTCTCGATGCTGAAGGTGAGAACCTGGTCGACCGCTTGGATGTTCGTGGTCAAGACGTTCAAAGTCCCAAAAATGGGCACATCAATGGTATTGTCGTTGGGACAGGTGCCAGGCACTATAAAGTTCTGCTGAAGAGCCGAGTACGCAAATTCACGGGTTGATCGGGTCAGAAATGGAAGCTCCGAGGGGACAAGGTCATTGAGAAGCGTGCGGTAGATGCCTTGCTGTTCTCCTTCCTGGCCAGCCACAGAAACAATTCCCCCGATTGCAGCCGAGTCCCCGTTTTGTCCAAGTCGGGTAGCGACATCTTGAAGGGTGCTGATCACAACGGCGGTGAAATTGGCAGCAATGTGGATGGCACTTGCGAGGTCGGTCGCAGGAGACTTAAAGACGCACGGCTGAATCTGTGAAACATTGAAGTGTTGTAAAGTCCCACCGGCATTGAGGGCATGCCACTGCTCCTGACCTTGGATGACCGTCAGCTTTTCAATGATGTCTTGCTTCAATGAAGGATCGCTGATCTCGAAGCCGGGGACGTTGTTGGTGATGTTGAGCAGTAACTGGGTGAAGTAGTAGGCTTCGAAAGTCTCTTGGATCTGGATAACCTTGAGGCTTCGCAGGTCATCTGCTGCAAAGGTCGATGGAGGTGGAGCGTTGGATATAGAGCCATGGGCTTGGACCGTTAGCTGTTGGAAAGCTGGCGTGCCGCTGATGATGTTTGGGAATCCATTTGACAGCGGGAACACGACTGATGCGTTTGGTCCATTTGCGCCGACAGGGAACTGAATGGTGGAGGAAGACGGTAGGGTTGGCGCAGAGCCGTTGACAGGAGCAGCTTGGGCTGGCGAGACGAAAGCCAGACACCCAAAGGCTGAACCAAGAATCTTTCGAATGCAATACATCTTGATCTTTTTACGTTATTTAAACTGCCTCCTATGAGCAAACCAAGAGAACAAGATCTATGGACGTTGCAACAGAAATGCTTGCATTGTGCCAGGCCGGCTTTTTAAAGGATAGATGACTCTGTGGCAAGAGGCTCTCACGACTCTCACGCCATCATGGCATATGGAGTGGATTGTAAAAGAATAGATCACAGCAAGATGTCTCGGGTCCTGAGCCGCATGTGCATGATGCCACGAGATTGGAGACCAGAATGATGGGCGTGTGTCAGACAGTGTGCACTCAGAACTTTAACTTCGCTCACCATTGTCGAGACTCACAGGTTTCAGGCCTAGGTCTACCTGATATTTAGTAGTAATCCGCGTATCTCGACCAAGACGAGCACATTTCCCGGGCATGCTCCGTCATGAGAGCTTCAGTCGCATCGTAAACCATCCCCAATCCACGGCAGAATGACGGCATCCTTCTCGCAAACTCTTCTCTACTCCTCGCATACCATCTTACGAAGCACGCTGCCAAGTGCCTGGAACATTGACACATGAGATGAGCTGTACCCGAAAATAGAAGATCCTACCAAGTATCTCGACCAAACTTGCACCCCACGGGGTCCAGGCACCTTGCCGAGGAGAGTATCCGAGGATATGATGTCTTGGTGCACCTGCGATGATAGAATAACAAAAAGCTCTTACCGTCACATGCTTTTAAGCGCACTATCTCCAGTTCTCAAGTAGTCATTTTGTGGGGTATTGGCATCCCGGGTCCAGGTTTCCGTAGTTCGTCGTCGCTAAGCCACAAATGTTTACGCTACCCGAAAAGGCCACAGGGAAACGCAGCCTCGAAGGCTGGAAACGCTGATGTAAGAAATATGGCCGTTTCGGACCAGAGTGAATGCCTTCTGCGCTAATTATTTGGGTACCTGGCGAGCCAGATGACAAAATAAGTGGCACACTCTAGCCGTCAGACAGGATCACTTTCCTTTCTCTATTATTTTTCAAATCATTTTTACTACCATTTCTCTATAATAATGACAGAAAAAATAAATATCAGTAGATAGCCTAGACTTAGGGCTATATCTAGAGATCAAAATATCTAACTATTACCTATTTTTCGGAGGAGAAGGGAGGGATTATTTAGACGCGTTTTTTCGCTGTGCCACTAATTCTGTCATCTGGCTCGCTGGTCAGTCGGGCAAGAGGTTGGAGTGGGGGAACTGTGGGTGGTAAGTCAGCCTCGTTTGTACCTCGATCTACCGCTCTCTTGGCACGTTGAGATACTAGTAGCGAGCTAGGACCCTACATAGGTAGGCACTGAGGTAGATAAGTAAAAACTGCTCCTCACGTGCGACTCACCGCCGGCGTGCCTCTTATAACGACGTACCCTCCCTCTCACCTTGGCACTCACCCTTTCGTCCTTAACCTGCTCTACTGGGTCCACATCGTGAACTCCCCTTTGAGGTGTGACTGTGCAATTATGACCTCAGAGCCTCGGCGAGCCCTGAGTATCGGGAACGTGCACACGGCACTTCTTATAAATGTACAACTGCCGGCCAGACGTTAACGTTGCCTGCCCCTCCTAGGGAAGTTTTGGTACTCGCTGCCTTCGCCGCTTGTTCCGCCTGTTGTGCCGGTCGTGCGGGGATTCCGCTGATTCCCCGGCCGAGAGATTGACTCTTACTAATAAAACGGGGTCCCCAAATACCAAGAGATCTTTCGTACTCGGTATGAAATCCTTCAAGCTTGTCCCTGTGAACAAGAATGGCACCGATCAAGGACATTGAATACTTTCGCGTCCCTCCACGCTGGATATTCGTCAAGATCACCGATTCGGATGGAAAGACAGGCTGGGGTGAAGCGTCCTTGGAGGGTAATTCAGAAGCCGTGGAGGGCTGTTTGGATGGATTCAGGGAACGATTCGTGGGGATGGAAGCCAAGTGCGTTTGTCACCTTTACTGTTGTTTCTATCGGGGTTGACTTTACACGCGCAGTGAGATCGAAAATATATGGCAACATGCATATCGGGGAAGTTTCTATCGAGGTGGGCCGGTCATTATGAGCGCTCTGGCGGGCATTGATATTGCGTTATGGGACTTAAAGGGTCAGTAATGCATACCAATTCTCGAGCACAGCGAAGGCAGCACGTCAGATATTGATTCATGGCGTAGCACGCAGGTTGAATGTGCCCATATATGAGCTTCTAGGGGGGAAAGTCCGCTCGAAAATCAAGGTCTACACCTGGGTCCGAGGCGAGAATGCTGCTGCTTGCGCTAAACATGCGCATGTGTACCCAAACCCCAATATCAGACAATCGCTAACGTCTTGTCGTTCAGCCTGCTCCGAAAGGAGCAAGGATTCAAGGCAGTCAAAATGACGGCCACCGAAGATCTCGGCTGGGTGGATTCTCCCGCGGCTTTGAACGATGCAGTTGAGCGATTAAAAGCGGTCAAGGCGACGGGTGTCGACTGTGGACTGGATTTCCACGGCCGCGTCCACAAACCTATGGTGAAGCTGTTGGCGCGCAAGCTGGAGCCTCACGAACCCCTGTTCATCGAAGAGCCGCTGTTGTCGGATCACCCCGAAGGATTTCGGTCTTTGGACACCACGATCCCCGTCGCGCTAGGTGAACGACTACATAGCCGCTGGGCGTTCAAGCCGTTCTTGGAGCTGGGCAAAGTGGACATCTTACAGCCGGACATCAGCCACGCTGGGGGAATCTCGGAGCTTCGTCGCATCGCCACCATGGCCGAGGCCTACGACGTCTCTCTGGCGCCGCACTGCCCGCTCGGACCGATCGCCCTGGCGGCAAATTTCCAAGTCAATGCCGTGAGTGCCAACTTTTTCATTCAAGAGATGATTCTCGATCCGAACCAGACCCTGTCGGTGGGACAGGGCGACTTGAAGGGCTACACCAAGAACGCGGAGGTGTGGACGGTGAACGACGGCATGATTGACATGATGGACGGGCCAGGACTGGGTATCGAGGTAGATGAGGAGCGTGTAAGGCAGTCCGCGGTCGGTACCAAATCATGGAGATTCCCCACATTCAAAGGGCCTGGCGGGGAGCTGCGCGAATGGTAAAGTTGAGAGACATCGGCTGGAGTGGAATGGAAGGTGTGGACTGAAGAGACAGGAGCCGCCTGGGGATGGACCATGGTACGAGATATTCAGGGTATCGAGAACGGCTCTTAGGCAGCTCTGACATTCACCGAGTTACCATGAGCATAAGTAGCCAATTTCACGAGCTTCTTCGGCTGCAGATACCTAAGTACGAATAGTCGGATAGATATTGGTACAGGATATTATTGCAAGACGGCAAGGACGGCAGAGACACAGAGACTAATAGCTTTACTCAGTATCCTGATGAAATGAGGATCTTGGCAGACAGGGGGTCACTTGGGGGTCTCCGAGGTCTTAGACGGTCCAATTCCCGCCTTAGTCCTCGTAGTTGGTCTGGGGTTGTCCGTCACGCTCCCTCCACGTGCTCCTCGGCCGATAGCCACAAGTCTACTCCACAGCGATCGCCCCTTGTGCTGTGCGGACCACGCTCTTGGACTTGCTCGTCGCTACTCCTTTCTCTTAGCCTCATTTGGATCAAAGACTCTGGCCATCGTAATACCTCCAAGTCTATAGCCGCTATCCGTCAACACAGTGAGTTGCACCAGAATCTATGACGCCCTTCAGGCGAGAAATTTCCGAAGCCGTCGCATTAGAATGCAGTCCTTTCCCTTCGCGATGCGCACAAGATGGTTGATAACCCATGTCTAACGTCCATGTTTGACTTTCTGAAAAGAAGTCACTACTTAATCCTTCCGGCCTTCCTCTAGGTTGCGTCCAGTATTGACTGCGGCACCTCCCCGCCGATGCTTTCGTACCGTGAATGTGGTCTACTAGGCTTGCTCAATCTAATTTCATCCAATCAAGTATGATGACCCAGCTTCACTTCCCTGCTCCCCATCTCATCGGTCGCTGCCAAAAGGGACCCCATTTAACGGTTGGTAGGGCTGCTGCCGAACCAGGAAATAGCGATTGAAATAAGGTTCGCATCGCGGCCATACGGCAATGCGGGCTAGTTCATCAGGGGCAGCCTACCGTACTACGGAGTAATAGGTAGTTGCCAGCGCTAAGTGCTCGCAGAGGTAAGTGTGGTCACATTAGATGGTCCCTCGTAGAAAGCTCATCACGCGGCCATCAGAAGTTCGGTTGGTTCGCGCCTTTCACTACACATCAAAGGTGCCTATGGGTGAGTTCGAGCAGTTTTTCAGACTCGGGCATTGCGACGTAAGTACTACAGATGCATCGAATTTCCTTGTCTCAGATGAATTCAGACTGTGTACGAGATATGTGGTGCTGTACCACTGCTTGGCGCGTAATTGCGGTGCCAAAGCAAACGAGGCTGAGGTGGAGCATTACACACGGCGACGATATGGACGATATGAGAAGCAGGTTACCGAAAACGGTTTCCTGATAAGGCTGGGCAAACAGCTGATATGCCCTAACAAAGTTATCCCATGTCTTGAAATGCTGGCAGAAGGGCGTGCCCAGCTCCGGTCGGTCGCCTCCTGTAATCATCTATAAAGGATGACTAGAAGTACCTTCCATCACAGTAGACAAGTCAATCCAATTCAGAGACCAGATAAACTGTACATCATACGTCAAGTGTTGGCAAAGGAAAGCAAAATGTTTCTCTCTCTTTTACTACTCCCGTTGACGCTCATGATACGCTCCGCCTATGGTGGACATGTCCTGTTCTATGTCAACCAATTCTGTACCGCGGACATCCTATCTCCATCCCAGGGTATCAACGAGCTTTACGTGGACGGGAATACTGGCTGTGCAAATATGGCCGGTGTTAAGAGTGTGAGAGGAGGCTTCCTCTTAGGGCCCGCGTGTACATTGGACTTTTATTCATCATCAAATTGTGCCGGGCCAATTGCGCACACCATCAATACCGGCGCTACGTCTGGATCTTGCCTGGCAGCCCCGCAATCACAAGGTTATCTCTCCATGCATGCATCTTGCAGCGGAAGTACATCCAAGAGGAGTCACTCCCGAGATATGAGTGTGGAACTAGAGAAGAGAGCCGGCCCGGACGGTGTTGCAATCTTCAACGATGAGAGATTCTGGAACATCCAGACAGGCAATGGACATCGCCAGGACTTCTTTGATTTTCTGGAGATCGACAACGTGGAACCTGAAGGCGACCCCATGAATGTCGACAATTCAGCAACAAATGGGGCACTAGCGGAGGAATCTTCACGAACAGTCATGAGTCACGCCAATGAGAGTCCGAACTCGGATATAGCTACTGGGGCATCGGACCTTCTCAACGGATGGAGAGTTACAACAAGTATTGTTACAATACCATTCACCGATGCCAATAACGTCCAAACAACGTTTACGATGGGCGCTGCGGCGCGCGCTGTTGGTACGGAAAGGCTCTCGCTCATCATCATCGACAGTGCGGTGGCTGCTAGGAACTTCCAACGATCGCAAATCGCTTTCGGTTTGCGCTTTCGCACGCCCACCCTTGACTCCAACGGCAATGTGGCGGCTGTTGTAGTCATTGCATTCTCACGCGACTAAACAGCACTACTTTATGGCCTGCAGAGCCTTTGGAGGAGCTCAAGCGCCCTGGAGCTTGTATATCGTTTTGATTCTTTGAGGAGGGTTGAGTATAGACGAAGGCTGATATTAATACCAACGGTTCTATGGTGTGATGTCCCGGCGTGTTGGGTGACAACCCTCGTCTCCTTTGTGAAGACCAAATCGGAGGCACTTCTGGCCCTAGGCAAATGCTCAAAACCCTATTATGGTTGTGGTTATCTCTGAATTTGCCTTCTACCACCTGTTCTTTGATTGTGTCGGTCCTGTTCCGTGTATTCCTGTAATCTCTCTTCTTCTGATTCCCTAGGCACGAGGGAGGCTCGAGAGACAGCCCGGTGGTAAGGAGACGTTTGTGCAAATGAAAATGCCGATTTGAATTGAAGGCTTTTCTTCCATTGAGCGACCCCGTACACGAATGCCGAGGGCCCAGGTTCGACTTGCTTAAGCGAGCGGTGTCAATTATCTGGTGAAACTCATAGGTAGAACTCACACTCAGTCTTGTGTTCCCTTTTTTGCAGCTGATGAACGCGTCTTTGTCAAAAGTGCAAACCCTGTCGAACTCCCTTTGAGAGAGCACGATTATCCGTGGTCGCGATTATACTAATAGTCTCCACTAAGGTGAGTAACGCTAGAGTTATATTACCTATTAAGACACTAGGCTATGTGACCCTACCTCCCCAATTTCTTAAGTACCACGCCCCCTAAACACGTGACTGAAGGACCACCTATGAGCATAGACCTTATAGGCCTCGACAGCCCTAATACTTAGGCTCTTGAGCTAGGGACTGAGTAAGTGGACCATCCACTAATTGGGCATTATAGGCTTCGGTCCCCTTATTATTTATGAGGTGCATGTAGTCCATCCCATGTTCCAGTGATCGATACAAGATCCTTTTTGAGTCATGTCCGTTAAAAACGTTGCCAATCCTGCGGCATGTTTCCAACTTCCGGAGCCAGCCAATACGTCAAATCCATGTCCACCATGCAGTCCGGACCGCCGATATCGTTTCCAAACAGATTTGGCTCCTCGGAACTTTGAGGTGCTTTGCTTGAGATTCCAAAAAAAGTCAAATCAAGCGGACCCCTCCCCTGAACTGTTGGCTAATTAGGGATTGAGCTTCACAAAAAAAGAAACCGATGGGATACATACCAAGGTCTGGATTGGGAGAACTTCCATCCATTTTGTACTGTTTCCTCCAGATCCACAGAGCATCATGCAGGACACTCGCACCGAGCCTTGTCTTGATACGAAGCGTTGGTGGAGCGGCCTTGATTTCGGGCGAAGATTGGTGAAAGTGCCACAGCTGACTCAAAATCCGGGTGTGCAATCCAAAATTGTCGTTGTCTTGCAAGGAGCAGCGGCGCAAGAGCTTGATGATAGCATTGAAGTTTCGCTTGCCAGCATCATAGTCCACCAGGCTGGAGTAGCTGGAGTTTAGAATTTTCAGAATCGTAATTCCCGCGACAATCAACCACCGATACAAATGGGTCGGAGCACAAATTGGATAATTCGACTTGGAATCGGCCGAGACAACGCATTCGACCAGTCTCAACGCCGACTGGAAGGCCTTTAACAAACCAGTCTTGCGGCGATCTTCGTCCCCCATTTCGAAGAAGTGGAAGACACGGAGCTGGAGCCGAGTAGAGAGCCGCTGCACACGGTTATAATCTGTATCGCTTCGTTAACAATGAGATCAAGTGGTACAAGGGCCTCTCTAGACTCTGACCTGTAGCGTTGGGCGGTAGTTGACGATCGAGATCATCTAATCCCGATTCAAGCTGTTGTATGACTCGGTCATAATCATTCTCGGCAGGACACCCAAACGGAGTGTTGGTGTTCTCTGACATGAGAGCGCTGATCCGCACCGAGAAATGCGCCATTCTCAGGGTGTCGTGAAGGACTGGAGGCAGCGCATAGATGTTATCCACCTGGCTGGCGCGATTGATGACTCGATCTGGCTTGAAGATTGATTCCTGGCCAAAAGCGGATGTGATGCTGGCCCTACATTAGCACTTTGACCTCTCCTTATAACAATGGAAGCCGTCAAAGAGACGCACTCACCGTTGGCTTGCAATGTAACAACTCGCCCATAGCTTGACCGAGTCCTGGATGCCTTCAGGACTCAGTGATCTTTCATCCCGTGAGAAATCCTGAATACACTCCGGCCGGTGAATTCCCATCTGCATCGCGGCACTTTTGGCCGCCGTAATGAGCATGAAAGATGCATCGGTCCACATAGATGTCGTGGGGAATGGCCATGTACAGACTAGAATAATCGCTTGAACCACGAAAGGTGTGTGAGGTAGCGCCTCGATCGATCTCCACGCCAGAGCCAGCACCGGCCGAGAAAGGCTCCCGAGAAGTGAAGGTTCTTTGTCATATCGACGGCTGGCAACAATGATGATGGCCCAAAAGAGAAAGCGTGAACGAGAGTAGTAATGATTGGGTGTTGCACTTGGATCCAGGAAAGGCATTAATGGATGGTAATCTGAGAAAAATCTGTACGACGACGATTAGCACGTGTCCGGGAAGACGGTGACGAACGATGTCTCCTCGGAGTGGTAACAGAGAAACGGACATTTGGAACAGCTCGTCAATCGACTCTGCTGTGAGCATAACGGTGTCAATTGTACGAGTCAAGGTATCGCTGCGTATCTCCGCGGAGGGTGGTTCACACGACGGCAGCTTCGAAAGAGAATAGTTCTCTGAAAGAAAACTGCTCGGCATGGTTGGATCCTGGATGCCGAGCGTATCCGTAGTCTCTATGAAGGGGACACGGTCGGCACTTTTGAGGAACTGGCCTGTCGACGGCGATCGGACCGTTTGTTGTATCTGCAGGGCTTCGTTGTCCAAACCATTCGAGCTGAGCCAGTTCAACCCAGCAACTCCCACTTCACCCTCGGCAGCATTGGACGAGATAGGAGGGCTCCGGTTGGATTCCAGAATCGCCGACTGCAGTCGCTGCACTTGCTGCAGGAGGTCATCATATCGACTAGAATCTGAGAATTAGCAGCAGTTTGGGCTTCCAGGTGATCGGTGGATTCGTATACGCTCTCTTTGCATGCCTCTTGAACTTGACGTCCACTTGGCACTCCTGGGACAATCTCTCACACCGAGAGCAGGGAACTGAACGGCCATCCGCATCGCACCGCGACTAAGACAAAAGGTCAGACCTGGTAGAGCGGCAAGAAGCAGACTCCAGAGATACTCGACGCGATGTATCTACGGATCATTTGTGAAGCTGGCAACACAGATGCTCACCTTGGCCTGCCTGCATGCTCGACATGCAACCCGGGCTATCTTCCGCGGGCCGCTTGTCTCCGTGAAGCCCCTGGCGTCTGTTGAATGGGGTTGTGGTTCGTCGTCCAAGCATTGAGCGATATCCATCACGGCAAAGATACGAGATACAAGTTACAAGTTACAACAAGCCTCTCTCCGGGCCGGTCGGAGTGTGTACGGAATGCGCTGGGAGGGAGGCAGACTTTATACCCACACTCGCCGGCCAAGACCAGCAGCGAGCTGCGAAATCTGCGAACTTTGGAGGCCACGAGTCAATGACCCGCTTATTGCCAATTACTGACGTTACGGAAAACGGCACCTTTGAGTTTCGCAGACTGACTACTGTATAACCTAGGTACTTGTCGTATGGGGTGCCCTCCACACTGATCTCCCCACACTTCTCAGAGACCTCCATTCGTGCTAGCACAGCTGTGCCCCAGAATCCGCCACAACCCATCCGCACCAAGCCCCTGGGTCCCGGCATCAACTGTAGCTCCGTGCCGCTCGGCCATTTTGGCAGAGAGGCCCGACACGCCGGACAGCATCGACGAGCGGAGTTTAGTCATCGTTCGCCGGCAAGAGCTCAGCCTGATCCTGATCCTGCCAGTCCTGGACACGAGATAATGCTCCGAAGAGGTCGTGTGCTCGAAGCGGCTTGAGTCTTAACCCCAGGAAACGAAACGACGTTCTTTGCTTATTTAGGGCCGGTCTGCTACTGTAATCGATGCGATGCGCCACTTTCAAAGACTGTGGAATGGGGAGGTGCACCTTTGTTAGCGTCGCTGTTTATTGCTTGAAGATTGAGCTCCAACGTGGCATGTATAACTTCAGATAATTATTCAACCTATTAGTAGTAGCAATGCTGCAGACCATTGAAGCTGCGCATGAGACAAGTTACAACCAAGGATAATGGCCATTCAAGTGCTATAGTAGTGGTAATGAAGGACCCATGGTCAAGATCGTGCTCATTTTCTCTACATATAGATATCTTATTTCTCTTCTTAATGCTAGGAAGCAAAAGCAAAAGCTCCATTGAGCACTGTTCTACCATTGCAGCTCTTCTACTGCCGCAGACAATTCGGGCACTTCTGTCGTTGGTCTTTCCGCGACCTCGTGGCCCTCGTTGCCCAAGGCCTGGAACAGTCGATTTCCAAACTTTCTGTATGCCTGTAGCATCCCCTGATTTCGCGTGAGCGACAATTCCATATCTGTTAATGAAAAGCCGAACGCAGAGCCCGCGACCATGATCGTCCTGTCTTCTAACCTGATCTGGATGTCGACGTCGTCCTTTGCGAGATCATAGAAATGATCGTCCGTGATGGTGATCCCCAGTAACCCTAGATTGGGTTGATTGCGGCCATAGATGAAGGCGAAAGAGCGTGCAATGACACATTCCACGCCGAGGCCTAATAAGCAACTCTTTCATCAGCCTCCGGGAATATGTTACATTTAAGTAGACATTGTTTATCGTAACTCACCATTGAAAGCTCTGACCGCCGCCTCACGCGAAGAACCAACCCCAAAGGCCTGTCCTCCGACAATCACACGCTGGCCATTGCGGACCTTGTCCCTGAATTCCGGCATGACATACTTCATACAATGCTGCCCGAGATCCTCGTCGGTGATTGCTGTCACAAGACTTTCGGCCGGGGCAATCTGGATTTCCGAATTAGAATTTGAACCCAGTTGTCACTGATCTGCAAAGGTGCCAATGGCGACTGGAGGAACTCACCGCATCCGTGTCGATAAAATCGCCCAGTCTAATCACCTTGCTACAAATCGAGTGATGGAACTGAGGCTGTTGGCCGTCATTGGAGCCTGGTATTGCATCTCCTGCCGTCACTTTTGCTGGTCCCTCCGGTAATACTGAATGAGCATCATCCACTCTGTTTGGAGGTTTGCTCACGAAATTGGGCTCGACGTAGGCCAATGGAGTTGTTGGCATTGGAACGGACTGAGAGGACTTCAGGCTCCTTTTTCCCGGCTTCCGCAGATCATCATAGCGCCTCATGTCGACTTCTTCCAGGAATTCCGCTGGATCTGTGACCGTCATGCTAAATGAAGATGCTGCCACCGCTGCGGCCGAAGCGAGGTTCCCAATCGATCCTGTGCGAATCGTATTAGCATGCATGCATGTGGCGATGAGATGAGCCCGGACACAGAGAACAGACCTTTTCCCATTCTGTTCTTGAAATTGCGATTTTGGGACGAGAGCCACACCTCACCCTCTTGGGCTTGATCGGCGCCCATGCCGACACAGAAGCTACATCCGGGCACCCCAACAACGAACCCAGCTTCACGGTAGAAGTCCAACAACCCTAATTTGTCCAGGCGCTCGGTGATCGGCAAAGAGCCAGGGACCACATGCTTTTTGCCCCGTTTTTTTTTCAATCCCTTCCGCAGTCCAACTTGCAAGACGAGCGCACCTAGAATCAAGTCTTCTTCGGTGGTGGTGCAGGCTCCAATGAAACAACCGTCCAAGGCTCGTCCGACTTGCTGGGAGATCGGCACGACATCATCCGGTGATGGGTAAATGGCCATGTACGATTGAACCTTGGAGAGGTCGATTTCAAAGGACTCGGCGTATTGGCAATCGGCGTCGGGGCGGAAGTAGAGTGGAGACGAGCGCCTGTACTTTTGCTTCCGACTGTCGATGTAATTTTTGACCAACGCATCAGGAACAAACACGCCCGTAATGGCACCGAATTCCTAAGTTCGCACATAAGCGTTCATCTAAGGGTCAGGCGGGGGGTTGAATTGACATGACATACGGTACACATGTTCGAGATTGCAAATCTCGCATCGACGGAGAGATATTGAGTTCCCGGGCCGGAGAATTCCACAATACGGTTTGCCGCGACAGTGTTTCGCTTTAATTCTCCCAGGATATATAGGATGACATCTTTGCCACCGATTCCGAGTCCAGGTCGGCCGACGAACCGAATGTTGATACATGCAGGGACCTTGATCCAACTCTCTCCGGTGGCCAACGCAATGGCAACGTCAACCGCCCCGAGGCCAATGGCGAGGCATCCTACAGCTCCCGAGGAACAAGTATCTATATTAAACATTAGCCAGATTTCATCCGCCACGGGCCATTGTCGAAACTTTACGGGAATCCGCGCCAAGGACAAATAATCCGGGCTCTGCTCGTTGACGCACAAACTCGGTGTGTATAATGGTGTACTGCGAATTCAATGTCAGAGATGTTACGATTTCTGACATCTTACCACAAGTAATGAAGTTACTTACATTGGGGCCCTTGTAGTCGGTTAACTTGAAGTCGCGGGCGGCATTGTCCGTCGCATCGAGCAGCCGTCGATTCAAAGGCGTTTCATACGTTCTAGGATCCACGACGTGATCGGCGGCAAGCCATAATCGATCATTGCGCCACGGTTTGAAACCAGGGAGATGACGCAGTGTTTTACTCATGCCCTTGAAATATGTCAGTCTCTCTCGTCCGTGTGATAGGATACATCAGAGCCTTTGGTTTTGGCAGAATAGAACTTACAAACCACGAGGATTCCGAGGCGATGATCCAATCCACGGAGAGTCGAACAAAGTCCCCTTCCTTGACGCCTTGGAGTGGGAGCGGGTCGATCGAGTGATGAGCCAAGATCTTCTCGGTCAGATTCATGGGTCTTGTGCCCGTCGACTTTGCAGCCAGTGGTTTCGGGAGCCGTCTTGCAGTTTCGACCGCGTTGAGTGATTCCAGCCAAGCCTCGACGGATGCCAACACCTTCTCTTGGGATTTGGGATCCAGATCCTGCGTGGTTTGGATTCCCAGACCACCTTGCATGGTTGATTCAGCCGCATATTCCGCCGCCCTTCCTATCGCCTCGGCCTCATGGTGCTTGTCCATGTCGACCAAGACCCTTTTCACCTCTTCCAGAGCGGCAAAGTAGTCCCCAAATGCTGTCGAGTGCTCGGTGGTGGCTACAGAGGTCAGAGGTAGTTCAATCTTGCGTGTCCGACGCAAGATCTCCAAGGTCTGATCCAGCAACGACTCCATGCTGTTGTTGCTGTTGTTCTTCGCCATGATGATTTTCTCACGCGAAATAGTATTTTGTGGTGACCCAGTGTCCATGCTGTTACGAACAGACCCTCTCATTTTCTAAGTTCTTGCGTTCCACCCTCCGAAGCCATCTTCTCCCGGAGCGTTCTGGAAATGACCATCAAAGAATTATTATCGGACCTTTGTCGGAAGCATTGTTAGCCTAATGAGCTGATAATAACGGTGCTCTGCTCCGCAACGGAGTTGGCGACCCACTCGCCACCACTGACTGGTGCCAGAATCTGCGCACGGGTTGAGGTGTTTCGTGAATATACGGTAACACAGCGCAGCGGGGAATGCCTGACCCTGAGCGGCCCGTCGGCCGTGCGGCTTTTGTCTTGACCAGCAGATGTGATCTCCAACGGAACACCATATGTACTTTCGCCCAAGGTCTCGACTCTCTAGTAGGCATTGACCCAATGGCGTTGAGCGTTCTGTTCTGTCTGATAACCGACAAACACTACCACAAGAGCATCAATCATGGCTGCCATCAGAACAATTACCCCAATGACAGCAGCAGCCCGACTTCGGGGGTATCTTGCAGACCCATCCAAGACATTGATGTGTCCAGGCGTCTATGATGGGTTGTCAGCAAGAATGGCGTTGCGAGAAGGTTTCGACTGTTTATACATGGTAAATTGGGAATCGGTATAGCTTCAGCAGTGAGACTCGCTGACTTGAATTCATTATTCCTCCAGACGGGATCCGGTACCTCCATGTCAAGACTGGGAATGGCAGATCTAGGACTCACGACGTTGAATGATATGAGAGACAATGCGGCAATGATTTCCAGCCTGGATCGGAGTGTCCCCCTGATTGCTGATGCCGACACGGGGTTTGGAGGCAAGAGGCCCTCGCCAATCCGCCTTTCACTCGAAGTCGAGCTAATTAATTCTATGTAGGAGCTGTCATGGTCGGTCGCACCGTGGCCCAGTATATGCAAGCTGGCGTTGCAGCCCTGCATCTCGAGGACCAGGTGCAGAACAAAAGATGTGGCCACCTACGGAACAAAGAGCTGGTCTCGGAAGAAATCTACCTGTCACGGATCCGAGCGGCCGTGAACATGCGTGAGAAATTACTGGGAGACATTGTGATCATCGCCCGCACCGATGCGCTGCAGTCCCTCGGGTTTGAAGCATGCATTGAGAGGCTACAGAAAGCGGTGGGTGTCGGAGCAGACGTGGTCTTTCTCGAAGGCGTCGAGACCAAAGAGCAAGCCGCCGAACTGTGCCGGCGGCTTCATCCCACGCCGGCATTGTACAATGCGGTATCAGGAGGAGTCTCGCCCAACATCTCCGTGGCCGAGGCACGAGAGCTGGGATTCAAGATAGTCATTTTTCCGTCCGTGTCTACACGGCAGGTTGTCGAGGGCCTATCGCAGGTCTTGAGAGATCTGAAGGAGAATGGTGCTCTTCCCAAGACGTCGACGACACCCAAAAACGTATTTGAACTGTGCGGCTTGCAGGAAGCGATCGACTTTGATACGGCGGCCGGAGGCAGTATGTATACGAATGGTGTATAGAATCAAGCTTGTTCTCCAGTTCACCAGCACACCATCGCGTATCCCATCTTTGACATAAGGATATCTTGTGTACACTTCCCCATTTGATTCTGCTAGCCGTAGTAGGCTGGAGGCAGCGGGAATAGTAAAGCCGAGGAAGCCAGAAGAAAGCAGCGGAAATGTCTGTCACTGGGCCAGGTAAGGTGAATTTTCTATTTTGCAGACCATGATCATGCTCGATGGTGTATTCTTGTATCAGGCGCATACTCATCGCCTAGTCCAGGACGACATTCACGCTTTTGATGTGTGTGAATGACAACAATTCTTCCACGCTCTCCTCCTTTCCCACTCCCGACTCCTTCGCTCCTCCAAACGGGACGCCCATGTAGTGTTTAGAGACGTGGTTGATCCACAGATACCCGGCCTCAATCTTCCTCGCCATGGTCGTTGCTTTGGCGATGTCTCGTGTGAAGATCGATGCCGTTAGGCCATACGAGGTATCGTTGACTCGCCTTATCAGATCCTCCTCATCTTCCCATTTAAAAATCGACATGACCGGTCCGAAGATTTCTTCTCTGGCAATCCGCATGTGTGGTTCCACGTCTGCAAAGATGGTCGGCTCGATGAAATAGCCGCCCTTGATATCGGGATTGTCAGTTGGGACTTTGCCCCCAATCACCAAACGAGCCCCTTCAGTCTTTGCGGATTCAATGTAAGACATGACTCGGTCGTGAGCGGCCTGACTGATGACCGGACCCATGGTGGTGGACACTGCAGTCGGCACCCCCGGCGCAAACTCTCTTCGAATCAACTTAACCACCTTCTCGAGCACTTCATTGTAATGGGACTGATGCAGATAAACTCGCGAGGTGGATCCGCATGATTGACCCGCCCAGGTGAAATTCATTCCCCGTGCCACGCCCTCTGCCAGCTTATCGATGTCGGCGTCGGGAAAGGCAAGGAGAGCGTTCTTTCCCCCCAATTCGAGAAGCGTGGGCTTGAGTGAAGCGGCGGCGGCCTGTTGAATAGCTTTGCCGGTCCGCACGCTCCCAATCAGGGTGATCTTTTTCACCAATGGATGTGTGGCAAGAGCCTTTCCACATTCCACGCCCCCCGACAGAATGCTTACTACACCGGGAGGAAATATCGGTTGTAGGATTTCGGCCAGGAGAAGACAGGACAGCGGCGCTTGCTCGGGACTTTTGACAATGACCGTGTTTCCCGCGGCCAATGGTGCTGCGAGCTTAGCCCCAGCAAACTGGATAGGGTGATTGAATGCAACAATCCGTCCGACTACTCCCAGCGGCTCTCGCGTAGTGTAGTGGAACGTCGCGTCACTTTGCGGAATGGTCTCCCCTTTGAGCATGGGGATGAGACCGGCGAAGTAATCCAGGCTGGCGGCGGCGACATTCGCGTCCGACAGCATTTTGGTTATTGGGTTTCCGGTGTTCAAAGAATCGAGGAAGGCCAGTTCTTCCGCGCGCTGACGCAGCGCACCGGCAGCGCGGCGCATGTACGTTGCTCGTTCGACGGGGGGAACAGAACGCCACGTCAAGAACGCCTCGTGTGCCGCTGCCACCGCGGCGTCGACGTCGGCAGCTGACGCGACAGCGACCTTGGTGATGACCTGCCCATTTCCTGGATTGAATGTCTCTTGGTATCCCCCTTCCGTCGGCTGGTGCCAGCTACCTCCATAGAAGAGCTCTTTATGAGGTGGGAGAGGGTAATTGATGATGGCCATGGTGGTTCTTGATCGTACTTGGGTAAGACGTAGTGTCAAAGTTGTATAGGTTCGGCAGTTTATTTTTGATATTCTGCTCAGAACTAGGTACTCATCTGGAAAGCGGCCGTTCATCTGGTCAAAAGAGCGTCACACCACGCATGCCTAAGAATGAAATGCTCTGCAAAGGACTCTAGAAACCGACAATGCTGGCGGGCCTAATCGGGCACCGGGGCGGCCTTTGCAGCCCGCGCCACAGACCTGTCCAGCCTCTCCCCGATCTTTCAACTCCGCTGCGCGCCTTTCAGGATACCTTGTAATTCATACCTTGTCGAGTTACACTGTTCTGATTCGTAGGTAGGGCTACTCTTGGAACGTAGGCTCTGCAGGTCGAAAGTTGAAATCTTCCATCCAGCCAATGATCGGTCCCGTTTCACCTTGCCGTGGTTGGTTCCCTAGTAAGGTCTGATCAGTCGATGCACTGAGAAAGCTCAGAAAGCTAAGGTTGGTCGTTCTTCTAGTTCTTCTACGTGGAGTAAATGTGTACCTATCATCTATGTGACTCCCTGTTTACTCCTCAAAACCACCTTACGGACGCCTGTTGTCATGACATCGATTATCTCTCCTGGCTCCCTCAGCAAGGCTACTCCACGGGCTGCCTAGACATGGTCCTTTCTTGCTTTCTCTTCAATTGGGCATCTATCTCCATCCCCTCTCTCAACCTCGCCTTGACCCACAGCTCCATAGGCGTGTTTACTACGGTCTCGTTGTATTCAATCGGCTTATCTGGGTCGCTCAGCTCCCAGTCAAAGGCCATTACGAGTGCCGCAATGGCGACCGAGAGGTCCAAATATGCTATATTGCGGCCAATGCAAGCTCGGCCGCCCATGCCGAACGGCTGGACATAGGTTGTGAGGTTCGCACTTTCGGCCGCGGAAGGGATGTAGTCTGCGTCCGAACCCTCGAGCCATCGCTCCGGAATGAACTTCCAGGGATCTTTGAAGAGTCTCTCGTCGTGATGGATCTCATGTAACGGTGAACTCACGACCACTCCGGGAGCGATGTAATGGCCGCAAATCGTCATGCCCGGATCAGTCACCAGTCGAGGGAGGCCGAAGGTCACGGGAGGATTGCATCGAAAACTCTCGTCGAGACAGGCTCGGAGCATGGGAACATTCTGTAGGTCGGTGTAAGAGGCAACTGGTCGGGACTCGGGAGGGATCGCGCCGTAAAGACATTTCCGTAATTTGTCTTGCTTGTCTGGATTTTTGGCCAGATGATAAATGCAATTGGTGAGCGAAATTTGCGTGGTCCCCTGGCCGGCGAGCAACATGGTTGAGCACTCGGCGAGGATCTCGTCGGCAGACAAGGTGCTCTTGCGCTTTTCGGTGGGCTCCAGCGGAAAGCTTGAGAAAAGATCTGGTTCTGTGGGCGGCTTGTCTATACGCTCGCGGACGATGTAGCGAGCCATGGATCGGAAGTTCTTCATCGATTGGCAGCCGGGAGTCTGGCTGAAGACACGCAGGGCGAGCTCCCACCACCTTTTAGAAAGTTGAACGAGAGGAAAGGCAAAGTTCCCACTCCTGTGCTGGGTCTCGATTGCGCGGACTTTTCGGGCTTCACCCGACGCAGTCAGCGCCATACATTCATCGTTCCCGGTCTTCAAGAATCCATATGGTTTAGACCAGAAGACTGAAGTGATGACATCGTAAGCGAACATGTTCATCCATGGACGGACGTCAAATGCTCCCTGCACTGTTGGGTATTCGTCGGTGGCTGCAATCTGGCCGCCCGTGGATTTAATCTCAAAGGCCCGGCATAGCTGCATGACCAATTCCGTGACTCGAGGTTCCTTTTGGTTGATTTGTTTGGCCGCAAAGACATGCGATAATAGCTTCCGTCTCTGTCCGTGGGGCTCTTTGCCTATAATCTGAAACATCGACGGGTTTCCCAGTCCGAGGTTGGCATAGAGTTCATCCTTGATTACTGGGGCACTGTGACCATAGATTTCCTTGTATGCTTGTGGGTCTGCGAACGAGAGATGACGAGGTCCCAGTCGGACAATGGGGCCCAGCCTCTTATGAGCCTCGTGGACTGCGACAAAGCGTTTTCGGCCCAACGAGTGGTAGATGGACCATAATAAACTAAATCCAGCAGTGCTGGGTGCGGGAAATCGTCGCAAGTGTAGGGGATCCCTGAGGTACACAAACAGGGAATGGAGAAGGACCGCCACGATGATCCCCACGCATATGTACAGGGGGAAGTAGTCTTTGAGAAGCTTAGCAATTCAAATTGATATTGATACTCATGGGGAGAAACATACCGTTCGCGGTCAACGCAGAGGTGAATGCCAGCATCTTGTCTGGATGTAACACCAAAACTCCTCCTTTCCGTCACAGCTTATTACTCAATACAAACAGCGGGAAACAGGAATGATCGATGCTCACGGGGATATAATAGTCCACGCATACCTACCCCCATGCTAGAAAATAATCCTCACGGGCCTTGAATCGGCCTTCCCCGCCAATACCCCGGAGAGTGGGCCCGCTCGGAGGACTAACCCAAAAGGCCCGCCCGGTCTTCGAACGGCCCGCTCCCCACGAATCACCGCTGAAACAGCAACTGATGGCTCCCCGCTCCGGCGGCCTTTAGAACACACGAGCATGATCAGCCCATGGCACTTGCCTGGACACATATCCACCATCTATTTGAATCGGCTCAATCCCTTGTCGAATTGTTGTGAGTCTCAGTCTCTCTTGTTGCTTTACTTCCATCTACTTGTAACTTGACGTGGCCCACAAGCAGTAAAATGGCAGACAAAACCACGATCGAATACCTTGAAGACGGCCGTCCGCATGCTGAAGTCAAAGCCGGCGTGCTGACCAGCCATGAAGACCTTGACGACGCTACAATCATACCACAATTCGACGCTCATGAAGAGCGACGCATTATTCGCAAGATCGACGTCCGCTTGCTCCCCGTCCTGGCTGTTCTGTATCTGTACGGTCCATCTTCTCTTGCAATTTTTCCTGATGCCTGATTACTGAGTTTTGATTCAATAGATGCTCGTACCTCGATCGATCCAATATCGGCAATGCAAAAATTGCTGGCATGTACGAAGATCTGGAACTCTATGGACTGAGATACAACACCGTGGTGGCAGTGTTTTTCGTCACCTATGCGCTGTTCGAAGTCCCCTCGAATATCATGCTCAAGATAGTCCGCCCCTCGATCTGGTTGGCGATTCTTAGCTTCTCCTGGGGCACGGTCATGACGCTCATGGGCGTGGTCCAATCATACCATGGAATGGTGGCTGCGAGATTTTTCTTTGGTCTGACTGAAGCGGGTTTCTTCCCAGCAGCAACCTACCTCTTGTCCTTGTGGTGAGTTTGGAAACGAGAAGAATCAAAGAATCCCCCGGAACGCTGGTCACTGACCGAGATTGATTGAAGGTACAAACGCTACGAAATGCAGACGCGTATGGCCCTTTTTTACTCAGCCGCATCTCTCGCTGGCGCATTTTCGGGATTGCTTGCATTTGCCATTGAAAAGATGGATGGAGTCGCAGGGCTCGCCGCGTAAGTTTTATCAATACATGCCGCCAGATTTGTACTGACGAGCTTGACAGGTGGAGGTGGATTTTTATCCTCGAGGGTCTTGTTCCCGTCGCCATATCCTTCACGTTGTACTGGGTTTTGCCTGATTCGCCCGCGACGGCGCGTTTCCTGACCAAAGAAGAACGTCTTTTCGCCACGAACCGCCTGAATATAAACACCATCGTCGGTCACGCCCAGGCGATTAATTCCGACAAGATCGGAATGCGTCACATCAAAGCCGCGTTTGGTGATTGGAAGATGTGGCTTGCGATTATCCCATACTGGTCATGCTCCATCGGCACCTACGGCTTCACCGCGACCGCCCCGACTGCAATCGAGCAGTTGGGCTATACCTCCGCCCATGCACAGTTGATGACGATCCCGATCTACGCATTCGCTCTCATCGTCACACTTATCTTATCGGTGTGGGCGGACCGCCACAAGCAGCGCACTCCCTTCATCATGATCGGCGTGGTCATGGGACTGATTGGTTTCCTGGGAGAATTGGCCGTTCCCCATCCACGACTGCCGGGGCTCACGTACTTCTTTTTCTTCTTCATCGCCGCTGGTGTGTACGCCCCACTCCCGAGTCTCATCACGTTTATCAGCAACAACACCGCGCCGTCGTCCAAGCGTGCGGTAGGCATGGCACTTCTCATCGGCATGGGAGCTCTGGGCGGGATCTGTGGAGGCAATATTTTCCTGGCGAAACAGGCTCCCAAGTATCCTGTGGGCTATGGTGTCCCTCTTGGAGTTAGCATTGCCGGACTCATCTCGACTTGGATTCTTAGAACGGCCTATGCCAAGGAAAACAAGGCAAAGGAAGCACTCCTGCGATCCGAGGGAGAGGAGAGCCTCCGGCAGAGGTATACTCCGCAAGAATTACTTGACCTCGGCGATAAGAGCCCGTTCTATCAATACACCTTGTAGTCGGGGCTGAGTGGAACGCACTCGTAAAGGAACACACTTGTACAATGTAAACTGAGGAAGAGTTGTGTACGAAGGGGAATTTGGGAAGCAATGAAATAGGCAATGATGTAGTCCCACGTCGCAAAACCAGCGAGAGCTAGGATATCACCGGCTAAATACTAGTAGGACTCAGGAGTATCTCGTATGCACGCGGTCTCTCTTACGGTCAAACCCCTCTCCCTCAACAGCGTCTTCCACATGTATTGACAGACTACTTAAGTGCTGCAAGCTTCCCAAGAGAATAATTCACCGGACAGAGATCCACGTTAATAAGAGGTTTCCTTCTTCTTTGACGACAACGATAGGCGCGATTTTGATATATGGAGGCCGGTGAGGTCCCCTTTACCTCTTATGGAAGCGACCAGTAACCAGGCTGACAGTTGTCTCTGGAAGTGCTTCTGCCTTCTGGAGTGTTGGGGTAGCGAGACGTTCTTGTTGTGTTAGAAGTCTTGTATCGCTCACGCGGCTGTCGCGAGCTAGGGGTGAGCAAGGGCGGCATCACCCATTTTCCTGATCGGGGGTGAGGCGCGAGCAGTTCGACCACACCTTGGCATATTTGTCTTATTTGGAACTGAAGCTTGCCAGCTTCTATGGGCGTCCTGGAAGCTTGAAACCGCATTTTCTAAAGTACTCCCAGTTCATGAATACAGTCTCCAGAGCCTGACTGTCGGATTCCAGCATCTACCAGCGTATCAACGCCAGGATGCCCCCAATTTCGGCTGACAGTCTGCGGCGTCTGAGCAAGTTTCACCGGAAATGGGCGTATCCAGCGCACCTGGTTGCTGGACGGAGAGTCGGCGGATACAAGTACATTTCGGTGCAGGCGACGCCTGCGACAGATACCAGCAGAATCAGTGTGGCGGGCAGATCGCTGTCGGCCGCATCGCCAGGTCAGACAAACACCTTGCCCTGAGGGAGCACCTACTGACTGATTTTAGACGCCTCATTCGAAGTCATTGGAAGCCCATACTCTCTCCTTTCCGTCACCCTATCGCCTTCTCAAGAGCTGTATACTCGTAGAGGAACACTGGTGGCCTTTGCCGGAGATCCCAATGGGACTGTCTCGACCTTGCGAATCCTCAATCCCATCCGCCGTGCCCTCATCGGAATACCTTTCCTGTATCAAAAGATCACATCCACATCCCCTTCCAATGCTCTGATTGCGACGAGGTCGCCAACGACCACATTTGCCATTCTGCAGCTGGACGGCACGATGGATTGGAAGTTGGCTCAAAGAAAGGCGCTCTTGGCTTGGACTGGCAGCACGCTCTCGGTGAAGCCAAGTATAAGCACAAGATTTTCTCTCGCATACTGGGGGAGTTCCAACGTCACCGGAAGAGGACTGCTTGCACTCGCAGGTCAAGGCCAAGTTTACTCCGTCGACCTCGCAGAAGGGGAGACATACATCGTTCATCCTTCCAACATACTCGCCTACAGCTCCTCCTCACCTTCTCCAGCACCTCAGCCCTTTCGATTCAAGTCATCCAGTGCACGATTCCAAATCCCTCTTCAGCTCGGCAACTTCTTTCCCTCGTCGAAATTTGTTGAAACCCTGAAAACCAGCAGCACTTACAAATTCGTTGCCAATATGCTATACAGGATCCGCACATGGAGCCGACGGACGATCTGGGGGGACCGGTTGTTTCTACAGTTTAGCGGGCCGACAACACTTCTGATCCAAAGTCGAGCTGCGAGGGTAAATGATGTCTTGACAACACAGGAAGTGAACGAGATTGCAGACACCCCTGCAGGAGCTGTTCAGGAGGCCATCTCCAGTGTTCGCTCTACAGGCCCTGAATTGTCCAAACCAGGCTCAGCTGTACCTGTGTCTTCGGTGCCTGTGCCACCGAGGCTGTCAGTGGCAAGCGTCAGCCGCGATGGGAAGGTTACTTTCGACACCGCGCAAGACACTACTCAGAAAAGGGGCTAGGCCAATGTCTCTTGAGGACAAACATGTACAACAATATCATGAAACGAATTCTGACATCCATCGTGCTTGATTCCACTGGTTGTTCGATCGCCGTGTTCAGAGGTTTTAGAGAATCCCTTCTCGGGCTGTCGCAAACCCCCGGATGAATTCACTGCACGTAGGAATGTCCACGGTCTTGTCATGGGCGTGGCCTGTATAAGCTCCATGTCCCCAGGACTGGTTCTCCGGACGCTCAGCGGTTGGTCGTCTGCCCTCGCCTTCGTCGCGTGAAATGAGATGCTCTATCACGCCGAGTTAGCATCCCTTTCAATCTGTGCCAATTTGACAGGATATAGACTTGATATCACTGCGGCATGCACGCACATCATTTCCGCGAGGGCCGTCGCCTTCATGATGGCGATTGCTTTGCCGTCTTTCCTTGGACAAGTCAAGCCCGATCGGAATACATGACTGCAGGGTGAAGTGTCTAATCATATCACGGCGGCTGTCGTCAGGGAATTTTCAGCTCCATTTGTGGCCCGGCGCGTTTTGGTCCTGTTTCGAGGGTTTTGGGCCCAAGGAGGGACATCTATCGTCGAGAATCCTCCATGTGGATTAAAAATGTGTATTTCGTCCACTGCAAATACCATAAATGTAACAATAGGAGGCACCGGGAAGCTACGCAGAGGTCAACCCTCACGAATGAGTGCAGCGTTCGAATGACCATAACTAGCCCTTTTGGAACACAAAGTCTCATCACGTCCGGGACTCGAGTGGAGAGGGCCGACTAATGAAAGAACGGAAAGCTAGCGATTGGGTGGGAAGAGGCAGGGGAAGCATGCGAGACGATGCGTTTTGCCTTCTTAACCTTGATCGTCATCTCAATCTCAGCTCATTCGCGAAGAGACTCTGGCGGGGCCGGAAGACTGCAGAGCTTGGGAGGCGTAGGGAAGTTCAAGGAAGACCCTGAAGAGGAATCAAGGGCTGTGAAGAAGGAGCGAAAGATGCGAGCTCATATGCTTGCTCGTACGGAGAGTCATGAAGGTGGTGCTTCCCGTTTTTGATTTGTTATCCGTTGAGTCTGCTCATCAATCGACGTCAAGAGGGTTGGTACTGTATCCTGCAGCAAAACATATTGTCCAGCTCTCCACAACGAGTTCGCATCCCGTAATGGGGATCTTCTCAGCATTTGCGATCCTCTGCGTCCACGATCCATCGCATTCTTGTGTCTACAATCGCGAGTTTCCAGCCCTCGAAGCTCGTCTCCTCGCTTTTGGTCATCCATCTTCTTCAGTGTTCGCTGGATCTCTTGCCTTGAGAGGTGTGCCATGGTCATCTCTGACAACGCACGTACACCTTATATTGCTCCTCTGTGTGCTCTGCGATTTCCTTGGTAAATGATCGCCCCAGCACATCGAGACTTGTACACGGTGAAACTGTGCTCACGTGTCGTCTACCCAGGTAGATTCGCAACAGGACATTTGATATCTCCCCCATGAGCATGGTACGTGCATCCCTTGCTTCCAGGCGGATCGTAATAGCCATCGTCGAGGAAAGGCTTGAGTAAAGCGAAGTGCAAAAAGTTCGAGAGGGGGAAGTCATGCCTGGATAGCAGCAGATCGAGGTCTTGTACCATTTCCGTTTCTCCGTCCTTGAAGTACCTTGGCGGAGATTTTCTCATATCCCACGCAAGCCGGTCGATCGCTAATTTGGAGAGTGGAGTTTCGGAGCTGACATTGTCCAGCACCCAAGCGGCATTACAGATGGGTATGCCATGGGGGATCCAGTGGTCCATAAGCTTCGTGATGAGCTGGTCTTGCCACATTGGCACGCCATATTTGTCCGCCAGCGCCCAGCATTTCATTATCATCTTAGAGTTGTCGTCGGTGCTCTCCGTATCGTCTTGTCCATAGATCCAAGAGGCAAATCGTTCAAAGGTCTCAAGGTCGTCTTCTGGCAAGGAGACTTCGTGTGTCTGCGACTCCATCATGCCAGAAGCAAATATTTTTGCAAAGAAGGTCGATTTTTTGACCAATGTAGCCTTGTGCATTCTGTACGTCACCTTCTCCTTGCCAACCGATATCATGATGATGGGAGAGGCCGCAAAGCTAAGAAAGAGTTAGGATCATGGCGAGAAGAAGCAAGTTACCATACTGACTTCCGCGATTCGGCTTCCTTCTGAGCTTCTGTCTGAGCTTCTTGTTGGACTTCATCAAAACCCGCCACTGAGGCGTCTTGTGAAAGAACTCTTTTCGTACAGTAAGCTGAGTTTGCTTCGTTCGAGTCCATGATGTAGATTGAGGGAAGACAGCCGAGGCTTGGAACTTGGCACACAGTAGCGAGTTGAAAGGGAGATGAAGGATAGGAGCTTGGGAACAATCTAGCATGGGAGGCAGGGAACTTTTGAGAGAAAGGACGGTGATTAATGTACTCACTCACTAGAGTCTGAGACGGGTCATTCCTCATTCACTACTTCACTGCTCCACCTGCAGCTCATTCTGTGAAAAACAGATTGTATTCCTTACCAGGTCAGTTTTAGCTCAGACACACAGCGTAAAAGTTTCACTGTCACGGGCTCATAGGGATCATTCTAGAGGAGGCAGGCATCACAGAAGGCAAATGCAAATAGAGGAGTATTTGCTATACCTGAAATTCGATCTTCTCCGTATGGACCACTACTGCTACGGGGAAAATGAAGATGAGATGAAAATGAAGGACAGGAAGACCAGGGAGATGAAGTGAATCAAAGCTAGTCCCAGGTCAGACTAGTAGTCTCTATCATGCGGCACAGTGCCTCATTTGAGCCTTGCCCTCTTATTTACCACCACCTTCCTTGATTCCCGTAGCAATATCCCCTTCAGAACTCCGTCGCAGTGGGAAGGGACGATGTTGAAGCTTTCAAGATCTGTCCAGGAGAGAAGTGACTCGCTCCTATGTAGCTGGCAGTACACCACTAGCCAGCTCAGCAGAAATAATACGAACACCCTCGTCGGTTTCTGCATACCTCAACATGTAATAAGAAAAGAATCAGCCTGTACAGCCTGATGGTTGTTTGTCCCCTAAACTCGAAGACCCTCTGAATGTTGCTGGTCTGGCTGAGCTACGGCCGGTGGTGCGAAAAAGCCCAAGCACGGGCGCCCCCCATCGCTGGTGAATTTGAAGGATTCATCGCCTCGCCCCAAATCCGCTCCAAGAGTTGTGCCACAATGAGCTAGTTCTGGCCACGACCACGAAGCACCGAGTCCTGCGAATTTGTCGGTAGTGGGTTGACGCGATATCTGTCCGCCTGGTCGAAGGGGTTCTGGAAATTCTGATTTCTCAGCTGCTCCATGGCAGCGAGCACAACCTCCCAAACGAGGTCTGAGTGTTTTTGTCTGAGTCTTTGAAAAGTGCTTCCAAACTTGCCGTCCGCTCCATACAACTCGTTTTTGCTACCACGAGCGAGAGCGAACCTCATCTGGTCTCTTGCTGCGTTGAACAGGGGACTCTGAGCTTCCAACTTTTCAATCACCCAACCGAACAACGCCGGGTTCATCTCCCACTTTTTCCAATAACCCAGAATGCCTATCATGACATGGTTCTGGAGCTGGGGACAACAAATCTTGTTCCCGAACACCCACGCATGCATTCGTCCAAGGACGTAACCGTCATCGGCAATTGCTGATCCGAAGTTAGGCTGGCCGTATAGCAACCGGACAAAGTGATCAACTGCGACGGAGTTGTCTTCGGGAAGCTCGATCCAGTCCTTCATTGGAACGGAAAGGCACTTCGGGAAGAACGCCCCCGCAAGGCTGGGATTTTTCAGGAGGACTTTGTGCAAGTGGTATTTGCGCTTCTCTTTGCCAACGACGACAGTCACTATAGATGATGATGCGAAACTGGATATGAAGCGAGTTAGCATCAGGAACATCTGGACCCTGTTGTCTATACAGGAGGGGTATGTTACCTGTACTGCTTGGATGTTTTCCTCATGGCGAGTTCCAGCTCCGCAAAATCGTCCGGCGGCGGGGATGGAGGTAGAGGGTTTGATGCTGCGCCGGTGGAGGCTTCATTTGTCGCATGTGAGTACATGATGGTTCTTGGTGTGGGAGGTGATGGGTCGGCACAAAACTGTGGCATAAAGAAGGTCGCGGTATCTGAAGTTAAGAAGGCCGGAGATGTAGGCCTTTCGTGACATGTTGTGATCGGTGCAAGCAGCACGTGGTGAAGGCCAGTGACACTATCATTCACCATCCAATCTTGTGCCGGACCTCGTTCGCATCCAAGTGATTCTGCGAGGCGGGCGATACCAAGCGACGCCGCTGTCGCGAAGGACGTCCTATCGTCATGGCCTCATGCTGAACCCAACCATATCCGTTGCCGCAGTGAATTCTTACTCTGGATGTTCATTCATAGGGTACCTTGTCAGATTGCGTTGGAGATAAAAAGTCTCTTTGACGATGAGACGCTCTCATCTGTTGCTGTTTTCCAAATCGCGGGTCCAATCTTGTTGATCTTGTTGCCCTGCGTGCTGCCCGGAGAGCAAACAAGTACAAATGAAAACGCACGTTTCCTAAACCTTCTGAGCTTGTCTTTTGACTGATGCAGCTCTCGCCCTTCCTGTCAAGGTCGCCAACACCGCTCTTTCCCACTCCATGGATAAAAATATATATAAGAGAGACTTTTCAGTCCGCTCAGGCCTGGCAGCCCGGGACGAATGGTCAAAGTCTTTGCTCGCTTTGCTCGCCAGAGACAACGTATGAATGGACATTTATTGTTTGAGGTTCCACACAAACTGATTCACCATGAGGTGGTAAAGTAAGCTCCCGTCGGGTAGATGCACGCACACCCAGGCCCAATGTTCAAGGAGTAGGTCGTTCACGTGGTCGTTGACCCCGTAGTAGAGGTAGAAGTTTTTGAGAAGCACTTCCTGTAACTGGTCCATGGACCACTCATCCGCCTGGAGGTATGCATGCAACATGGGGAGGATGTCATCGGATGAATCTGGTGTTTTCACCTGTTTGTTCCACATCATTCCAAGGCAAGGTTGAAACCGAGACAAGTATGGTCCGGAAGTCTTAACACATTTTTCTGCGATTCCATGTCAACGCTTCTGAGGCAGGCGGCACAGAATGTGGACTCTCGCAGCAAAGTTTCTCTGTCGACATAATACGCCCCTGCCTTTTCGACAATGACTTTCACTATAGGTGATGCAGCAAAGCTGTGGGGAGAGAATCAAAGCCAGCATTGCAGCCTGAAAGCTACTCAAAGGCAGTTTTACCTGTTGAACTCGTCATCTCCGTCGGAAGTAGAGCCACCATGGGATTAATGTCTGCGTTGTTAGCCGTTGCCGGTGCTTCGCGGCCTGAAACACTGCTGTTAGTCATTCAAATGGTCTCACAACACATCAGGCAAGGAAGTCGTTATATCTGCATGCCAAACTTTGTGTTGATGACAAGCCAGGTGAAAGGAAGGCAGAGATTGTGACGTACGCGCCGGGCATGGAGGATGAAACATCAAAGGAACGATGAAGGAAGGGAGTAAACAGGACAGGACGACCGGCAGAATATATATAGCAACATCGTGCGACAGCGCTTGACCGTCCCTAGACGCCACGGCGACCGCGACGACGCCTCTGAACGGCACGGTTCTTCCCAAATCTGGCACCGCTGTTGTGGTGCATACGCTCCGCCAGATTGATCAAACGACAAGACGGGGCGCAGATAACTCCCAGCGAGAGGATGCTGGCTCATTCCTCTTGAAGTCACCCGGCTGGATACTGGAGATTGAGCCTTGGTCCACCTGATCCATCGAGATGACCCCTGGCTCGAAAGAACCCACCTACTCTTGCGATCCTGAGGCCCACTTGCACCACCCAGCTAGTCCGGCGAATGCTCTTTTCTGGACCGAGCCTGCAATCCGGAAACAGTCGAGGTGCTCTGCCGTCCGTCCCAAGAGTTGATTCTGCCTCATTCTCGGACTTCCCCAAGCTCAGCCTCGTGGTGGGAACGCCCTTTACAGGCTCCCTAATGGTCAAGCAAGATAGCATGATGCCTGACGCATATATCGACGTCTATTGGTCTGCCATCTTGCTGACGCTTCGCCGTTGTTGAACCGTCATACCCAAGACCCTGGCCTGGTGTGTCATCCCCTGGCTTGGGAACACAAAAGGAGAACAAGTCACCATCCTCCCTGCCTGAGCGGTGGCGAGTCCGCGCCACACCCAGGAAGCATCGTGATTACTTGTAGCAAGGAAGCAGCCAATTGCAAGTCGACTCCGGGTAGGGAGGAGATTGAATCTTTCCGGCGTAGGTGTTGGTGGAGAAGGGAATCGTGTCAGACAAGATGGTATTGTGGCTATTCCACTGGAGTGGGAAGAAACAGCATAGAAGACTTTTGTCTGAGAATCAAGATTGCCGTGACAGAAGAAGGAAAAGCACGGCTGCTTAAGGGGCTGACATAGAAGTATGATTCGGTCTCCTACAGAAAGATGGCCCTGGAGACGCGAGTACCTAGGTAGAATTCGACGCAATTGTGGTTTCATCCTGATCCTTTGAAACTCAAGACAGTCCAATGTGTGATGTCCTTGCTGATTCTCTGAGAAGTCGTCCAGCACTTTTGTTTCATGGTAAATGGCTGATTTATCTGCCTGAAGCGTCCATCAGGTTGATTTGGACCATTTGGCTTAGCTTTGTGCTAGTCAGCCTCTTCGCACCTGAAACCATGCTTGGGGATTGCATGCGACTCTTCCACAGGGTGGAATACACAACCTCTTTCCATGACTTATTTTTTCCCTGGCTTCTCCTTTGAGCAGGTCTCACCTTGTTCATGAACATGATAATAACATCCTCCAGAGGATGCTGGGTCAGCTCCTCCTCTTTCCAGATTGTGTGTGGCCCAGAACAGCTTTGAACCGATCTCTGGGTGGGCTAGCAAGTCCTTAAGTGGCTTCACATAGATGCCTTCACCCGCAGGGACCACTTTATCCGCAGAGTCCACCCAGTCCTCGTCATCCTTACATCTGTACGGGTAGGGGCAATTCACCAAATCGTGAATTAGTTGGTCGCAAACAAGCTGGTGGAGAGGAGTCTCTTTTTTGGTATGCTTGACCACCCATGATAAGAATTGAGGATGTACATGCCACTGGGTCCAATATTCCTTAAGCTCATCGATCAGAGCATTCTGGAATTTTGGGATGCAATACTTGTCGCCCAATGCCCATGCTTGAATGGCAGACATTGCTTGCTTGTTGTTTCCGATGTTCTTGACCTCGTGCGTGTGAACCCAGACTTTCAGCAAGTTGAAGGCCCGGCATGGATCCTCGGGAAGAATGACTTCCTGCTTTTGTTGTTCGATCATCCCTGCCGAAAGGCAAGCTTTGAAGAAAGGGCTCGCTTCCATCAAGGGGGTTTTGAGGATGTAGAACGCTTGTGCTTTGGACCCTACAACCACCTTGATGAACGGGAATGTGCTTGAAAGCTTAGCGGCTTCGCAAAAGTGACCAGAGCAATAGCTCACCTATCTCCTTCGAAGTCTTCTTCCAGATTATTCCCCTCCCCGTTGTCGTTATCTGGCATCTTCACTTCTTCGATAAAGTATGGTGTCAGTGATTTCTGGCCTTTCGAACGATACATCGTGTAGACTGTGGAAGGTCTAGCTTACTCTTCGTGGATGCGGAGTAGGTCACACCGTGGGTTTATTGAGTGAGACAGAACCTGGCTATTTGAAGTTTCTGTTTCTTGAATGCAAGGTAATAGAAGGAGCGGCAGGTGCAGATGTGGTGGAGGCCGAGTTCTTCTATCTTTCACTCCTAACTCGGCCTTGGAGAAACAGTGAGGTGAGGTACGTGAAGGAAGGAAAAGTGAAGTGGAAGGTGTGAAAAAGTGAAGGTCGAAACAAAGTCACTTTGTCCCCAAAGCATCTCGCTTGGGGCTGTTCACCTGACACAAAAGGGGCGTTGACGCTGTTAAGTACCGATGGAATTTAGTTCGACGTCAGTGAGCAGGCAACGGCGCATTCTGGTCATAGAAGACTGGATGATTTTCGAGATATCATCCAGTAAGTCGTGTAGATGAAAGGGTTGAAGATTGCACTTAATACAACGAAGGCTTCTCCTCGAAACCACGTCGAAATATTTTTCACGACGTACATGGGTCATCATTTCAAGAAATGTCAGCCACCAAACGCCGTGCGATCCTTCAACTTGAGGTCAAATTCCCATACCACGCTTTATTGCAGATGTTCATATTCAATGTACCACGTTTCGTCCATTCTGACCCTAGAAATATTGGTTTATCGGCTGCGCTGGGGCCCACAACAAGGGGCCCACGCTTTTCGTCATGTCATTCGGCGGAACGTACCACTGGTCTTGAGAGCCGGTTGGGGGCATAGGAGCAAATCCCAACAATTTCTGGTGTGCATGCATCTCATTGTACCTCCTCTTGAGGAGTTCATTGCGCAGCTGACTCGGAAGCTGACCTTGTCCCAAAGTTTGCGGAATTTTCATGTACTTTGGTATGTCGGAGTCGAATTCCGGGTAGTTGCCAAACATGTCTTTGTCAAAGGTGAAGGATGTGAGTTCGTTGAGGTGACGTTTGAACAAATCTGACAGTTGGTATCTGTTCGTCGATCGATTGTGCACATAACAATCACGGAGATCGTACGGCCAGACGAAGCGGAAATGTTGTGCTAGAAGTGACCAGAACCTGTTGGAACAGTACTTGTGATAGTGATAGACAAATCGCTCGCGGATGCCCGGCCTAGGGAAGAAAAGATCAGACAATCTCGGACTTGAGGGTAGTTGAGGGTGGTTGCCGGCTCCTCACATACCATACGAAGAAGTCAATGGCGTAGGCATGTTTCTGGGCCACTTGCGACGGTCTAGAGCTGGTCAGTGCTGTTGTGACCAGCGGGAAACGCGCGAATGGGGTGGAGATGAAAGTTACCTTGGCCTATACCAGGCAGGGAGCTTTGCTTTATTTTCCTCTGTCGGGTTGAGGTGGCACTGTATGCTGAAGTCAGACATGGGGTTTGATCGCATTGTGAAGGAGGCAGCACACCTGAAGCAGCAAATGCATGATGCAGAGAACGGCCAGGCGATCGACGTCACGAGACCCGGCCCATACTTTCTCGTCGACTTCGCGCAAGATGCGCCACAAGTCGCTCAAGTTAGCTAGGCTGGGTTCATCCCAGCCTTCTATGACAGCGCGGACGGCAATGTCGTCGGCAGTGTTGCCATTTCTGAGTTTGGGCCAGTTGTGCGTCTTCCAATCCATCAACGTCTCGCTGACATACGTCCACATGTTGGCCTGCTTGTGAGGGTGGGTGTGGTGAGAGCACGTGCACGAGGACCCACTTTCGGGAAACGAAAGAGGGATGGAAGTGGTGGCTGTTGCGGTGACTGTGGTATTATTACTGCTGTGGGGGCCGGCCATTTCATCCATCACAAGTGGTGTTGGACCTAACCCCATCGGATTGAAGGTTTGCTCATCGAACATGGCATCCGAAAAGTTTAAATTGAGGCTACCGTCGAGAGCAAAGCCGAATTCAGCCTCACCGTGGACGTTACAAACAGGCCCACGCGGCTGACGGCCAGCTTCGCTGCTGCTTTCTGTCTGGAGCTCGTCCGCCACCAGGGGAGATGGTTTGGACGGCGCGAGCAGAGCAACAGAAGGAGAGAAATCGGCGTGTTCTGGCAATCCTTGGTTAGTTACTCACAAGATGTCACCCAAGGTGCTGCTGATGGCAACCTACCCTTCTCCGCAACGTCGAGACGTCCCTCGGACACGTCGTCCGGGTTGATGTGGGCCAGCGAATATATCGTCGCCAGTTTGCGTTTGAGCGAGCGACTTTCGGTGCGCGCGATCTCGAGCTGCTCCCTCAGCTCTCTGCAGACCTCGTTGCCGGACTGGCTGGTCAGATGGGCGACCAGAGACTCCAACTCGGCGATCTTGTTCTTTGTGCGGGCTCGAGCCTGGCGTTGACAGTGTCGGTCGGCCACTCGTTTCTTGTCGCGTCGTTTGTCGCTGATCTGCTTGGGCTTGCGACTCGGCGGCGGAGGGCCTGCCGACAGGTGCAGGGGCAGCATCACCTCGGTGCCCATGTTCTCCATGGTTGAATGAGTGTCACCAGAACGGTTCCTCGTGTGTTGTGCTCTCGTGATGCTGGAGAGCGTACGGACGACGGGATACTAAGTGAAGCTAGGATTTAGCACACGGGGGGAATTCTGGAGAAGTCGGAAGAAGTACGCGGGGCGGTCAAGGCTTGGCTTGTTGCCCTCGGCACATGCCATCATGACCATCATGGCCTTCCGTCACCCCCCCTTCAACCCTTGGCCCCTCTTCCCCCTCGTCTCAACCTCCATCGCTCGCGTCCAGGCCCCCATCCAAGCCCGAAGGGAGCCTGCGAAACCAAGCGAAATTTTGAACGGGGCGAAACCTGCCGCTCGACTCTTTGGGAACATGAGGCGCACTAGTTGGAGTGGTATTAGGCTGTTGTGGGAAGTTGTACGAAAGCTCAGCTGGGTACCCAGGTATCTATCGCCGATCCCTGGTTACCTAGGTCCCAGGTACGCAATTATTGGGTGCTTTGCGAAGCAGGCTCGTTGGGCCGTTGGGGCGCCTGTGGGGGTGCTGATAAGGACTTAGATTGCATGCTTATAGGCATGGTTATTGGGGGGCTTATAGGTGCCAATCCCGGGCGGTTGGTGAGGGCACGACCTGCCGGAGGTACCTAGGTACATGCTCACCAGCCTTCTTCTTATGGAGCTGCTCTGCAACGAAGTTTGTGTCTCCTAATTATTCTATCTGTAGGGAGTAATACTCAGTGGACTCTCGCAGTAAATTTCTCAAGGCACCTTGGTATCTCTTGAGAGCGCCATGCTTGTCACTGTCCTTGCGGTACGAGTGACTAGGAGAATCAATGACGCCTTGATTACCAATCTATTTACCGGGCTCACAACTTCTCGATCCGTGCAACATACTCAAACCGTTCTGTCGCAGGTATCCCCCACTCCTTTGCCAGTTCATGGTATCTCTTCTTGTACCCGAGATGTTTCGACCTGACCGCAGCTGCAGTCTTCAGCTGATCTCGCCCGACTTGGTGCTTGTGTGCAGCGTCTGGTCCGTCGGCGATCCGAGCGAATCTGGCGTACGTCCACTGCCAATCAATCCATTAGCTTGAGTCGAGACCGCTCTTCGCCAAGTTGGGTCACGAGTTGTTAGGAGGGGGGCAGGGGGCCTTACAGCTTCGGGGAGGAATGTGTGCTGCGTGAGTCCTTGCCCGGCGAACATTTGCATGCACTCATCCACGATCTTGGTCACTCCCAGAGGCACCATAATCTTCGCCTGGGCAATGGCATATCTCCCAGCGACATTGCCCAGAAGATCCATGGTCTCTGCGGCGTTGAGGACAACTAGGCGCAGAGCGTCGATCTCCATTCGCATGTCCGCAAGCCGCTCGATATTACTGTCGAACTCACCAATCAACCTACCGCGGGGCTTCTTTCTCGCATCCGTAGCTCTGATGAGTGCATGTTCATATGCGCGCTCAGCTTGACCAAGCAGTCGCATGCTCCAATGACATTAGCTGATAGGAAGCATGCCTTTGGGGAACCAACTCACCAATGGTGTATCCTTCCTGGGCCCAATCGACCTTGAGCGATCTCAAACGCCCGGCCCTCTCCCAGAATGATGTTTTCGACCGGGACCCTCACGTTCTCATACACATACTCACCGTGGCCCTCTGGAGCACAGTCGTAGCCCATAATCGTCATGTATCGAACCGCCTTCAACCCCGGAGCGTCCCTGGGCACAATCACCGTCGAGTGCCGCTTCCAAGGATCAGGATTTTCTGGATCGGAGCATCCCATGAGGATGTAGAACTTGACATCCTCATTCCCAAGCCAGTTCCCATACAACTTCCGGCCGTTTATCACGTACTCGTTCCCTTCGCGTCGAATGCGGCACGAAATGTTTGTTGCATCCGAGGCAGCAACATCCGGCTCTGTCATCGAGTAGGCTGACAAGCACTCTCCGTCCAGAAGAGGCTGCATCCACTTCTTCTTCTGCTCTTCAGTGCAGTATTTGGCCAAAAGCTCAATGTTACCGGTATCCGGAGCATGGCAGTTGAGCGTCTGGACGCTCTGTTAGCACTCCTCTTTGAACCCTCGAGCGCTTTGCTACCCACCATAGGAGCCCAGTAAACTCGCCCAAGAAGCTCACAGCAGCACGAATACTCCAGGATCGTGAGTCCGGGGCTCTCTTTGAAGTGGTTCGGTAGGAAGAGATTGAACAATCCTTCGGCTTTTGCCTTCTTTCTCAATTTCTTGATGTAGGGCGGCATTGCCCAACGATTTTCTTCCAGTTGCGCCTTGACAATGTGATCTGCCGGAATGCATTCATTTTCGACCCAATCGTATACTCTCGCAATGATATCGACCGCTTTGGGGCTCAGCTTTGTCCTGTACCCTGGGGGGATCCGGGCAAGGGATGGGTGATCTGGTATGGTGGTCATGGTGTTGGATTCCGTGTTGCCGTACAAGCCCTCGTGGTTGTGAGTGTTAGAACCCACATGCTATGAGGCTGCTGTTGGCCGTTTTGAACCAACGTGCCAGGCCCACAGATAGCTAAACACCGGTTGCTGCGAGTCCCCCAGAATGGAAGGCCGAGGTAAACAGCTTCCCTCAGTTGCGGAGAAGGTCTCCAGCTCTCCAGCACGGGCCACCGCTGAGTGACCGCGACTTCGATGCAATCGACGTCGTTTGAGTGACCTGGCGTGCTTCTTGTCCTGCGTCCATACTGCTGTCTATCCAACCATGTCGTTCTCGGCTATTGGTGCGTTCAGCATGGAAACAGCCCGCGCCAGGCGGGTCGAGCCAGCTCTATGGGATACGCCTCTTGATATAGACCTTCCATGCTCGTTCCCCGAGCGTCCTCGTGCTGGAAGGCGTGTGAGACGTTGATCCTTGCTTTTTGGTTTGTTTGTTTGTTTTGTTTTCGCCCAAGATGCCTTTCGTGTCTAAGATCGAGTCGCTGCCCTTGCAGAAATGCAGCGTCCTGGATTTTCTGTTCCCAGCCGATCAACCTGTATCCGATAAGCCCCTGTGGATCGATGCCGCCGACACATCGCATTGGAACTCTCCAAAGAGTGCTCTGGCTTTGGCCAAGCGGTTTGGGTACGGCCTCCAGCAATTGGGCGTCCAGTTCGAGGATAGATGCTTGCTCTTCACACCCAATCATATCATGGTTCCGGTATCGTATTTTGGCGTGGTGGGCATTGGTGCTGCTTTCTCTGGAGCCAACCCGACATTCACTGAGAAAGGTGGGTAGATTCTTCGGGGGAAAACAAAGCATGGTCTGTCGAAAAATGAGAATGAACATCGAAGCTCATGGTTTGCTGGCCAGAATTGGAATACCAAATCACAATCTTGCAGCCGAAAATTCTGCTTGTGCATCCATCCCTGATTCCCACCGCGAAGGCTGCCGCCGCCAAAGCAGCGGTCCCGGGTATGAGACTGTATGTCTTCTCAGACCGTGAGACAGGAACTATCGACGGTCTTCCAGATTGGAGAGTCATCCTCGGCACTCCTGAGCAAGGTGAGCAGTGGCAATGGAGGAAGCTCCCTGGGGAAGAGGCCGTGAACACTATTGCAGCCATCAACTTCTCGTCCGGGTACGTGGCTTGTTGACCCTTGACATGTTTGTATGTGGAGCTGACGGAAGTCTCAGTACCACTGGATTGCCCAAGGGCGTCTGTGTGTCTCATTTCAACGTGGTGTCGAATGTCATGCAGATCAAATCTCTCTACGACTTCGAACCTTCGGAGAAATGGGCGGGATTCCTGCCACTCTACCACGCCTATGGACAGTGCTACGCTATCCTCATGGCAACAATCAACCATATTCCCATGCTCATCATCAGCAAATTCGAGTTTGTCGAGTATCTCCGCATCATCCAGGACCACAAGATCACCCGCTTACAGACCGTTCCACCGATTCTAATCATGCTAAATAAGAGGCCAGAGACGGCGAACTACGATCTGAGCAGCGTCAAGGAGATCCTATGTGGAGCCGCACCCGTCTCAAGAGAGCTCGAGGCCCAGGTGTCCAAGAAATTCAACGTTCGCATCACGCAGGGATGGGGCATGACTGAGACGACGTGCGCCGTGTCTGGAGTGCCGTACTATGAAAAGCACCGAACCGGCTCCGTGGGTGTTGTCATGCCGAACACCGAGGTGAAGATCATGACAGATGATGGCAGGGAGGCAAGTATAGGGGAAGCGGGAGAACTCTACGTCCGCGGCCCGCAGGTTTGCCTGGGGTACTGGAAGAATCCACAAGCGACGCTCGACTCATTCGACCCTGTGACCGGGTGGCTAAAGAGCGGTGATGTAGCAGTGATGAACGCTGACGGACATATGGCGATCGTGGATCGAAAGAAGGTACATTACACGCACACACGCGTCTCCCTGATCTCAGGGACCATTTCAGCTAACTCGGCCGCGCGGTAGGAATTGATCAAGGTGCAGGCTCTTCAAGTGTCGCCCGCGGAGGTCGAAGCGGCCCTGATTGAACATCCCGACATTGCCGACGCCGGCGTAGTCGGCATTACCTTTGACGACAGCGAATGGCCGAGAGCGTACGTGGCTCTCAAGGAAGAGTCTCGTGGGAAAGTCACGGAGAGGGAGATCCAGGAGTGGCTGAACGTTCGGGTGTCGAAGCACAAGCGTCTCGTTGGAGGTGTTGCGTTCATCCCTGAAGTGCCTCGTCTGCCTAGCGGCAAGATCCAAAGGAAGGTCATGAAGGAATGGGCCAAGCGGGACGCGATGACAGTGTTCAATTCGAGGCCCAAGCTTTGATGCGACAGTCCCTGAGTCTGTTGACAGCAAGAAAGAGTGCAAATGAAGCGTGATTCTTTATCTTCAGTCTTAGATACGGTCAAGAGGTACAACCTTGCTAACGGGGTAGTTTATCATGGTTATTGAGCGTGAGTCAATACATTTGAGCAGTTTTATGCCATATTCCCCAGTTTGTAGGGCAAGCCAGAGCTCAGTCCACCGTCAACGGCCCAGACTTGGCCATTGACATAGCTGGCTTCATCCGAGCCCAGGAACAAGGCGACTCTTGCGATCTCGTCCGCCACTGCACCGCGGCGGAGAGGACACAGCTGTCCGACTTTGTGCAGCGTGCCCCGTTCTCGGGCGGGACCATAGAAGACCGGCTCCGTCATCCCAGAGTGCGTCATGCCCGGCGCGATGGCATTGCATCTGATGTTGCGGCCCGCGTACTGGAAACAAGCGGTCTGCACGAGACTCACGACAGCTGCCTTTGCGGCGCTGTAGTCAGTGCTGCCTCCGTTCGAGCGGAGACCGGCCGTCGAAGAGGTCGCGATGATGGAGCCGCTGGAGTAGGGTTTGTCCTTGCTGGTTACCTGCATTGCCGGGCCAGCGTGTTTGATGGCTAGGAAGACACTGTTTCCGGGGATCATTATTCGTCGGCCCAGTATGGCAGCAGATGCGTAGACCTACCTGGTCAAGTTCGTCCTAATGGTCCGCTCAAACTCGTCGACCTCCATATTCCAGACCTCCTTCCAGGTCCCCGAGTTTGCAGCGTTGGCAAAGAAGACATCGAGTCGGCCGTAAGTCTCCAGGGCATGGGCGACGACGGCCTTGACTCCAGCTTCGTCTCCTGCGTCAAACTTCCGGGCGTGGACAGCGACCTCAGGGTAGAGCTCGTTCATCTCCTCCACATGGAGATTCAGGTAGTCGTCCATGTAGTCACAAATGTAGACTGCCCGGGCACCATTCCTGGCGTACTGGTGAGCCGTTGCTCGGCCCATGCCCAGTGGTGAGTTACAGCCCGTGATGATGACCACTTTGCCCTGTGCGCGTCTGGCATTATGCGCCCTTGTGTCAGACCCGTCCGTCTCTCTACCAGTTGCTGTACAAAATGAGGTACTTGGGTCATGCAGCTTGGAACTCACTGTCCTACCGAGTCTCCAGCCCGTCGGGCGACGCGGGGCATGCCTTTATATGTCCCTCCATCGATGATTGGAGGTTGTGCAATCTGGCCGGTGAGCTGCTCCAGGCGCCTTTTAGGCGTTGTTACTGTCGACATCCTAGACACGACAAGACTGGGCCTCACACAGGCGACGGCGACAGTCTCTCAGATCATGGGCATACACCCCTTCATCCGACGAACTTTGACAACCACATCCTCGGTACCTGGGGCAGCGAGTCCCTTGGCATCTCCTCATTTTCAACCTTGGTTAAGGACTGACTCATGTTACGCTGACGGGTTTTTTCTTTATTTTTTGAGTTTTCTCGAGTCGTACAACTAGAGAATAAAATTCGGTTTCCAGGCTCAAGCGAGCCCACTCCGGAGGATTGTTGTCTTGGTCCCCGTGCGGCCCGCTCCTTAGGTAGAGAATAGGGGCACCAGGGAGGTGGAGAGGTGCCTACACTGCCTAGAGTACCCCGGACGGGTCTCGCGATTTTCACTTTTGTCCCCCAAACCAGCGTCCCACAATTAGCCACCAAACAAAGTCTCTTTTCTATCATTTTCTAAAGGATGGACACTTTGATTTCGCTAGGCCTGGTCTACATGGCCCATCTCAACGTCAATGCTCCAACGGCCCTGCTAGAACACGGCTATTGCGTTAGGAGGACTTGCAATCCCTCCAGGTGTATTCAGGGGAGCGCTGGTGATGAAGAAGCTCCATCTTTGCTGATTCTCACACTCGGCTGCCAACGCCTCCAAGTCCCACAGCTCCCCCAGTGGCATTCCCCAGAGCGCCAGAGTAAAGTCGTGCAGACCTGAACAGGACCGTCGGAGTCAGCGGAGGACACAAGGAGTGAGGCGTGCTGGAGTTGACTTACACCATGGTAGCTGCGGTGGCCACGCTTCGAAGCCAATGGCATCACCACCAACGGCTGCGAAATGGGAGTCCCAAATCCACTCAACCACCTCCTCTGATCCATCCACTCCCACGTACTGGGATCCATTCTTGACCTTGGCCACGCGCTCTTCGGGGCTGTGTTCATTGTACCATTTTATCCAGCCCGACCTGACGAGCAAAATATCCCCGGGACGCAAGATCACGTTTTCTTCTTTGGCAATGTCCTTCAAAACGTCCAGGGTGATGCGGTGCCGGGTCATGGCATCGTATGTAATGTTGTGGCGAGCTGCATAGGGGACATAGTCGAGGAGGACGCCTCGACCGACGATGCCTCCGCGCTTGCTCCAGTCTTTGGGCAAAGGTCAAATAACATGGCTGGAAGACAGGGGTGCAAAGCGTTACCTACGGTCGATCCCAATGCGGTCCGTTTTCAAAAGCTCGTCGTGGTGGATGCGATTATAGTACAATCCCGTCCCGCTATGGCCCCAGTGTCCTGTGAAGACAATATGAGTCCTTGCAGCTGGCAGTTGTGGTTCCGTGGTGGTATACTGAGACCATCCCATTGACTCCCAGATTGGGTGTTGATGCTAATCTCATCGTCGTATGAGTACCAAGGAGACCCTTTTGCTCGCCAGTCGGTGATGTTTATGGTAGGCTTGATGCGGTCAAACCCTGGCTCATGAACGTGGTCAATTGGCCAACTATGCGAGGTTAACGGGTGGTCATCAGGCTTCAGCCCTACGCCAAAGGTAGGGAACCTTGACGCACTTGAGGACAACGCTCTTCCCGGACTGGATTTCTTCCCGGGCCTTGACCACAGCCTCGGGCGTAAGGAGGTTCAATGTGCCTATCTCATCTCGGACACCATCCTGGTCGAATAAGCCCCAGGCGCAGCCATGTGGCATACCCTCTACAGGTGGCAGATCTTTCCACGACGGGAGTTTGAGGTCTGACATGGCGAGTGGCTAAGAGCGCGATATGTCCGGGCCGGAAAGCTTCACAAGTTCAACGCGTTCACCATCCTCTTCGCCTTCCATCCTTACGCTTATGAATCCCTGCATGCCAACCAGCTTGTTTCCAGCGAGTCGTACATTGGCGATGTCAACCAGCAGGGGTGTCAGGACGCCTTGACACTGATAACAATATGCAGCTTGCTCGATTCCTCGACGCGCCGCCTCTGGATACCCAAAGGTGGCGGATCTTTCTGACTCGCAAAGGAAGAGTAAGACACTGGTTTCCCCACATGTGTCCGCACCCGCGGATGCATCTAAGGCAGCACCACGCACGCACTAACAAAGTACTATGTGGAACCGCTAGGCCGGCAACTCCTCTCGCCTGGGGGAAGTCGTCCAGGTTCATATACAGCTCTAGACCTCGGGCAAACTCTCCCTCCATCTCGAACAACCTGCTCAAGGAACAACAGCAGCGCAGACTCATTACAGTCCCAGAAGCTGTCAAAGATGCCGCACCTCGAGGGCGTTAAGAAGCAAAAGATCAACGCATACAATGTGTTGTTGCTGTGTTTTATCGGCCTGGGGTCGTTGACCTATGGTTACACAGCCTCGATCATCGGCACGACCCTGGGTTCGTACCACTCGGCCGAACCTTGACTGTCCTAGACTGACGTTCTCAACAAACAGGTCAACCTTCTTTTATCGCATACTTCAACCTCGCCACCAGAAGCAATGGAACAGACCTGATCAGTACTATGAATGGCCTGTTCCAGACCGGCGGCGTTATTGGAACCTTGTTGCTCCCCTACGTCGCCGACCGATGGGGTCGTAAATGGGCAATCGTCGTGGTATGTGGAGCTTTCGCTGATGGTATTTGTACAAGCTGACAGTTTGATCCAGCCGGCAGTCATTGCAATTATCTCGGGGGCTTTCTTGGCTGGCAGCACCAATGTCGGCGAGTTCTTGCTCTTTCGATTCTTCGCGGGCGCCTCGGCGTTCATGATCCTTGCAGCTGTTCCGGTCTGTCCACCCTCCTCTTCCCTGGTGGTTGTCCATCACTCACGCCTGGTAGATTTGGATGTCGGAAGTCGTGCCAATCGATCTGAGAGGTGCACTGGTCGACGTTCATGCCGTCTTTCTTATTCTCGGCTATACCATCCAAGGATGGGTTGGATTTGGCTTCTTCTTCTGGCATGGAGGCGATGACACGTGGCGACCTCCTCTAGCTCTTCAATGCGTCTGGCCTCTTCTCCTTCTCTGTGGTATCTACTGGGTACCGGAATCGGTACGTCATCACCGACTGTGCAAACACGTCGAGGCTAATACTACGGGAATAACTAGCCTCGCTGGTTAGTCATGCAGGGCCGCATCGATGAAGCCAAGGAGATTCTCTTCAGATTGCACTCGGATCCCAGCGACCCCGACAACGAGTTCGCAAACGCAGAATATTACCAGATCCAAAAGCAAATCGCCATCGACAAGACTCTGGGCAACTCGTGGATGCACATGATCAAAAAGCCATCCTACCGCAAACGATGCCTGCTCGCAATCGGAACTACAGGAATCATTCAGTGCTCTGGCGTTTTGGTTATCAACAGTAAGTACATGTCCTGAATGCTTTCGATCAGAGCCAACTGACACCGCGTAAGACTACGGACCGACCTTGTATAAAAATCTCGGATTCAGCCCTGTCAAACAACTTCTCTATCCGGCAGGATGGCTCACCCTGACCCTGGGTATCAACATCATGGCCATGGCCCTGGTCGACCGCTTCCCACGAAACCGATATATGGCATTCGGTGTGCTGGGCTGCATGGTCACCCTGATCATCGAGGCCGCTTTGGTTGCCCAGTTCGTGCCATCCAACAATCATTCAGCCCTCCTTGCGGCTGTGGCCATGTTCTACATCTTCCAGATCTTTTATGGATTCTGCCTTGATGGTACGTGTAAGATCGTGGATGGCAAACTTGTACTAATTGCTGTCTTTAAATCAGGCACCCAATTCAGCTACCTCAACGAGCTGTTCCCCAGCCACATCCGAGCCAAGGGCGTCTGCTTGGGCGTTTCGATGATTTCGCTCATGAACATTATCTGGCTCCAGGCCGCTCCCACCGCTTTCGAGTAAGTTTCTCTTTTCCACTCCCTCCCAGAGGATCTCGTAATACTCACCACAATTAAACAGGACCATTGGATGGAAGTTCTACCTCTGCTTCATCATCCCCGGGACGATCGGTGGCTTCATCATGCTCATCTTCTTCCCGGACACCAAGGGCATGCCGCTGGAGGAAATCGCCGCCATTTTTGGCGACGCCGACGAGGTGGCCATCTACCAGCGCGAGATTGAAATCGACCACGTCACCCACACCGTCGTCACCCACGGAGATGGCGGGGAGAAGACCACTACGCCCGTAGTCACCGAGAATCTCAAGACGGCCGATGATACTGTTTAAACTGGCCAGTTCTGGAAAAGTGGCCAACCAACGACCTTTTCCCCCCCGACGACTTTGAATGGGCATAAGATGCAGGCCACCAGGACTCAAATCGACTCTGGTGGTTCCAACGCTCAAGCTCGTACGAGTAAGATACCTAGGTGCGTAGGATGGATGGAAGGTGCAGCATTTGAGCGGTTTGAGCACCTACATAGTATTTGGGTCTGTAGCTTATATAAATGCATTAATTCGTGCTGGAGGGGTCATTCTATCCCCTGCTCCGTAGCAGATGCAATCGATAACAAAAAGTCTCCTGCACCTGCTGTGTAATTACCGCATTCCCAGAGCACTTGCCATCTCACGCATCTATCTATCCATCTACCTAGAAAGGTTCTGGTAACCCTCACATCCGAGGCATTTCGCCTAGGAATCCTGTGCGTCTTCGTTCTGGCGGCGGGTGCGAGACGCCCCATGAGGATTCAAAAGTTTTGGTCATCCCCAGGTCTCCGGATTTGATGCCGTGGTCTTTTCTCGCGCTACTGTTTCCTTTCCACCTCACGTATTCTTACGTTAAACTATCCAGCCACGGACGGCTTCGTGTTCCCGAACTCCGGGCATTTCACTTTTTGTCCCATAACACAAGTCAAAGAGACCGCCGCCGGCGCGCCGCTCACAATGAGACAGCCGATCGACCAGGCGTCCCTGGAGGGCTATCTCGAGCGGCACGTCCCTGAGATCAAGGTCCCGATCACGATCCGACAGGTACGTAGAGAGGACGACCGGGAAGAGACACAGACTCTGCGGAGTCCCTTTCGTCTCCTGTTCTGCTATCCACATTTCTTCTGGCAGTCGTTGAAAGTCAGAGGATTCTATCCTGGTCACTCACACTCTCCCTTTCCACTCTCCCCCCCCTACCATCTCTGACCTGGTCCAAAGTTCGAATACGGCCAATCCAACCCCACATACCAACTGACCGACATCCACGGACGACACTTTGTTTTGCGCAAGAAGCCCCCCGGGAAGCTTCTCACGACCGCGGCGCACCAGGTCGAGCGCGAGTACCGCGTCATCAGTGCCCTCAACAAGGGGGCCACCAACATCCCCGTACCAAAGACGTACTGCCTGTGCGAGGACAGCGACGTGATCGGGACGCCGTTTTACATCATGGAGTTCCTGGACGGGCGCATCTTCCAGGAGGCTTATATCCCGGGAGTATCCGCCGAGGAAAGGAGGTTGATGTACGTTCATTCTAAACCTCGTCCATGTTCTTTTTGGACAGCCTGTCTTCTTTCCTTTTTGGCTCTTCCGGTCCGCTTCCTTGGCTATGGAGACAAGCGAAGGGAGCGGGGGCGGAGCACATGATCCAAGGCGCACACACAACACGTCCCAACCCACGTCGTGCTAACTCTCTCGAGGGAGGAAAAGGTGGAAAGCCGCCGTGCAGACCCTCGCGCGCCTGCACGCCGTCGACCCAATCTCAATCGGGCTCACCAACTTCGGCAAACCAGTCGGGTTCTACGCGCGACAGATCCGCACGCTGAAGCGTCTGGACGAGGGCTATTCCAAGGTGGTGGACGTCGCGTCCAAAGAGGCCGTGGGCCGGATCCCGGGCATGGACGAGATGGTGGCTTTCTTTGAGGACGAGCGGTACGCACCGCAGGATCGGGGAGCCATCACGCACGGCGACTACAAGATCGACAACCTGGTGTGGCACAAGACCAAGCCGGTGATTATTGGGATTCTTGAGTGAGTTTCTTTTTGTTTTTTTCAGCCAACCGTTCCCCCAAGGAAGAGTCAGGACATGTATCACCTCACAAGACATATAAACTAACCCAAACCGTCCCCCCGGGGGACAAACTTCGTTGTATATAGCTGGGAAATCGCCACCGTCGGCCACCCCCTCTCAGACCTGTCCAACCTAACCATGCCATGGACCGTGACCCAGAACTTCCCAGAGATCAAGACGCACTCGCACCCAGCGTTCGCAGTCGACGGCGGCCCGCCCGGCCTACCCACCAAGGAGCAATGTCTGGAGTGGTACAGCGAGGTGGCGCGGTGGGATCCGCGGCGCGAGATCGTGTGGGCCGACGCCTTTGCCATCTTCCGCACCAGTGTCATGATCCAGGGCATCGCCGCCCGGTACGCGGTCCGACAGGCGAGCGGCGAGGGCGAGTCGGCGGCCGCTCTGGCGCTTCAGAGGTTTCCCTACGCGCGGGCGGCGCTCAGAATGGTCAGGGAGTTGAGTAACGGCGCCGGAAGCGAAAGGGGCGACGAAAAGGCTGTAGCTGTGGGGAGTTCGAGGTTGTAAAAGACTGGATTTTCAAGAAGCTGTGTGTGTGAAGATCGGTTCTTATCTCGGCATGAAGGGATTTTCAGCGAGGATTGAGAATTAGCAAGCAGGCTTTGTGTACTTCTGTCTGTCTTTTCTCCTTTGATCAGCATCCGGAGCACTATCATTGGCATAATGCTATTCGACTTATCACCACACAGCATCCCTATACACCAAGAATCCACGTAATAGTCACACTGGCTCTCTATCCATCGAACAATGTGCTCAGTCCAAGTTTCACACCAAGTCTCCATACAGTCCGCAGCTCACTTCCCCCAGCCATCGTCCTTGTCTGTTTGGCTGCTCATTCATCGGTTGTTGACGGGTAGGCCGGGTAGAGAGAGAGATATACAGGATCCAATTCACTTTCTCCTCAAGGCGAAGTTGGTCATCCGTCAGGTCAATTTCGGCGTCAAGTGCATTTGTTCCCATCCTCGTGGACATGATAGACGCACCCCTTCATCTTCGCCGGATCCTTTGAAGGGCGTTCTTTCCTATCAGCAAAGCGCCAGAACAAGGCCATAACGAGCTGGGTCTTTGCCATGAGTCGCTCCAGTTGCACAGCGTAGAGCTTCGGCATCTCCCAAGGGTCGGCGCTGGCGTCCTTCTTGTATGCAGACGGGTCCTTCGATATGTGGTAGTAAAACAGGTCGAGGACCAACTGGCGCAGCTGGCATCCTTCAGCCGTGCTCTTCCAGATGTACGACACCCACTCCGGACTGAGCGAGGAGGGCACCATCTGGGATCGGAACAGGTCGACGAGCGCGTTCTGCAAGTCGGGCATACAGAACTTTTGGGCGGCATTGTAAGCGCGCAGCATGCAAGACCACCCAGACTTCGCGGGAATTGTGCCTGAGTACAGCCACTCGACGAGGATGACAAAGTCTTCTGGGGTTTCCTCGGGCAAGCTAATGGCCTTTTCGAGTTGTTCTCGCATTCCTGAGTGGAGACACTTCTCGAAGAATGGGGCCCTGCAAAGGACGCTTTCGTGCACGAGATGTCGCACCTTCCCTGGGCCGACGTAGACAGTTATGATATCGTCGGAAGCGGCAAAGCTGCACTCTCCTTGTAAGCATAGATCTCGCTCATATACTCCTGGATCGTGGGCCTTCTGGTCTCCACGTACCTTCTCTTCTTGGCTCTGCCGTCTTCATGTTCGTCCGCAGAGCGCTTTGAGACCATGTTGATGAAAATTGAAAAGGTATTGGAATCAGACGGCTCGAGAGATGAGTATGCACAGTGTATTCTTGACTGAGAGGCTTCGCCTGTGGTGGAAGAGACTGGCAAGTAAAGGTTGGATGAGCGATGTGTCACGGTGAAATTGACTGTGATGAGAGTAAACCTGGTCAGACGGCTCAATAGATGAGCATGCCCAGCTTATCCTAGACCGAGCTGCTTTGCCTGTGGTGGAAAGGAAAGGTTAGTGAGGGTTGGATGAGCGATGTCTCAAGGTGAAATGGACAACGATGAGAGTCTCGCTGTGGTGAATGAAGCTATTTCACTGCTTTCGTTTTTCTTTCCTGCTGCGTCAACATGTTTACTAGAACAGGTCCAAGAGCAGAAGGTGCGAGCTCTTACTTGTGTTACCTTGGTAGATGCTCGAAGGTGAGGCTGTGGTGAGTAGCAAGATGGCTACAAGAACTTTCACGAATGAAATAGCTTGCAAATGTCTCTGTGTTGGTATCAAGTGTGGAAGGACGCTGTGATAATGACCACCTCTTCTTCAATTTGTCACTTCTCCAGCTCTTGCTCGGGGCTGTCACAGCAGCAATGTAGATTGCCAAATGGCTCAAGTAGTTGAGAGGCTTTTAAGGTTGACAGTGCCGAAAATGCGTGCCCATACAAAGAACCCCGCGATGTGTGCATTTTACTCCTTGCTCCTGGAGAAACTGGAATCTCGTTGCATCGTCCTTCATTTGCATTTCCTTCCGCCTTGGTGGATATGGTAATGGCAACCAACGAGCGAAGCTGGATTGGTAGGAACCCCGACATAGCGGTAAGAATCAAACAACTTCCATATCAACGCAGTCGTCAATGGAGCATTTGTCTGAATAACCTCCTCCAAAGTTGCCGCAGCTGCATCCAGCTTTAGTACGCTGTCCAGTTTGTATTGTTCTGGAAACTTTCTGATCTGAAAATGCACCTTATCCACAAGCAGTTGGCGAAGGGGAGAGTTCTCTGGCAGCCTCCCATATTCTCGTAAGGCTTTTCTCAAATTCGGATGGTGACCAGCCCTAAAGACGTCGGCAATTGCATTCTGAAGAACCGGCATGCTGTACTTGTCGGCGAGAATGTATGCTTGGACGAGGAAATCTCCCCTTTTTCCAAAACAGTCCAAGCGGCCAGTATACATCCACTCGACGACCACGTCGAAAGCTTCCGGGTCATCATCTGGAAGGGTGACTGCGTTCTCGTCTGCTTCTCTCATACCTGCACCAAGGCACTTGTCGAAGAACGGGCATTTCGAAACCAAGACTTTCTTATGGATACCGAATTTCACCTTGTCCTTGCCCACAGTGACGAACACAAAATCTGCCAAAGAGTAGATAATGAGGCTGACACGTTAGCTCTTCAAAACTTCTGGCAGCAAAGGTATTGGAGGAGCTTACCTGTCAGAACTGTCCTTCCCAACTTCGACTTTGGGCTCCTTGCCTGAGGGTCCATCAACACCACTGTTGCACGTGGAAGTTGCGCTTCCAGACATTTTGTCGTCGTTTCAACTTTCGGCTGATCTGTGGTCACCCCTTCCACGCCGACTTCCTTTGGCAATTCCAGCCTGGTACCAGATAGGACGCCTTCTGCTACCGATACTGTAGCCAAGCATGAAGTGAGGATGGATCCGAGAGGAGAAATGCCCATCGGCGTTACGTGGCAATACCCAATATTCAACAGGCAATGAGAAGCGAAGAAAAGATGGCTGTGAGAGAGGCAACGCGTGAATCAGTGAATGTTTGTGTCATCGCCAAGAAGATTCTAAATTGAGTGAACAGTGAATAATTCCAATTCCGCAGCTGTCACAAGCCAAAGTACGCTGGAGGTAACTAGAAACGGACGATCTCCTGATATTGTGAACAGGATGGAGTACCTCTCTGCATTTGGCTGACAGACTGTGTCGGAGGATTGATGCTCACATGATTCTCAGCTCATTTGGAAGGTAGACAAAAATTGTATGCCACAGGTCTTTGGAGAGCCTGGGTTGAGTTTCCAGGTTAAAAGTAACAAGTTTCATTGCACGACTTGCTCACGCTTCCTAGGACCAAGTATACTCGCAATGGGTCAGCGCGAGAGGCCCTGTGTAGATTCAGTTTCTTGCGGTGTGCCAAGCGAGCTCTTTCTTGTTGCTGTGAGTAAACCAAAGACCTTTCCTTCTGTGTATTACAAGATGGTACTTCTGGAAAAGCCGCCCAATGGCACATACAGACTCGGCGCTTTGGTCGTCCATGAACTTTTGTAGTCCTTCTTCAGGCGATCCATGACAAAACCCAGTGTCATAGCAGGAGAGGCGTATCCATCTGGAGAAGGAACCATTCAGATGAGATGCTTCGACCTAGATAACAATTTTCATAAGCACTGAGCAAAGGCAACCCGCGCGACAAACCACAAACACGGTCGCAAAATGTGAGCAAAGGAAAAACAAACCTGAAGTAAGCCCTCAAATAAACGACCTGCCACGCTCCCAGACCCACCAACATTCCCATCGTCCCAAAGGCAAACCACTTGACCCTTTCATTCGTGCTCTCGTTGGTATCCCGCAGCTTTTGCTCTCGGATCCTGAGGTACTCCATCTCTTGGACAATCTCATTGACTGTCTCCTCTATTCTTCGCAGATCCGCTTCCACGGGTTTTAGCTTTTCGTTGGCTTGGATAGCAGACCAATCCCGCGCATCAGCCCCAATATCAATGTCGAGTTCAACATGGCGAGAGGGATTGGGTACCGCGGCTTCATTCAACTGTTAGTACTGATGATCCAGTTCCACCAGAAATAGTCGACGTTGGGCTTTTTGTGGGAGGCACTCACATCGTCCTGTCAACGTATTCTCGAAGCATACATCGAACGCGGTATCCGCCAGACTTGTGAATGCCATCCTCTTCTCCCCAGCAACATCCTTGGGTCTACCGTAATCGTTCCCTACGGCATCCTTGATGTGCATATTGACCATCTGCCCATCGCCTCTGCTCCCGCTCACAATTGCCGTAACCACAACCAAGGTATCTTTTGTGACAAAGTTCCGTATACACCGTTCGTTTTTGGCGCTGTGTCCCGGTTGGGCAACAAGTTCAAATTTGAGTGCTGAAGAAAGGAAGGGATACAGGAGGAGGGAGAGGAAGAAGACTGCAAGGCGCATCATCCTGTGGACTGACAACCACTCCGGTCGTCGAGGAAGTGCCCAACGGGATAGTGGAAAGGAAAAGAAACAAAAGCCGCACCGCGGCTCAGGTACGGGAGAAAATGTGGTAGTGTAACGAAGGCAGAAGAAAGCGTGTAGCTAGTTGTTCAAATTGGCAGATGCCGCAGACTGAAATTCAATGTTCAGGAGTGGCAGAAACTGTGTACAAAACTGTGGTCACGTGGGCGGTGAGAAACAGCCCCTTTTCCGAGCCCCTGGATTTGGGTGGCACGCGACCTGTGATGAAAGGGAGATACTCTGTACCGACTACGAGGTAGATTTTATATAATACATTGTAGGATGGACCATTTGGTTTATATTAACAATCTCCCAGCGCGCTCGACGCTAATCTACATGGCAGAACAGATTTGCTTGGGTATCTGACTATCCAGCTCCAGCGGAGAAAAACACTCTCTTGACCATTGTGACATTCCCTCCTATATAGCTCCTTAGCACAGCATAGAAGGCCATTATCCTTTGTCACATCCTGGGCACTCAATGCTCATTTAGATTCCTCTGGACCTTCGTCACATCATCCTCCACTTTCCTCATCACTTTCTCACACTTCCCCTTCTCTGGAAAAATTTCAGAAACCCTGCCTGATCCTTCTGCACCGCACCTCCATTCTTCTGTGGGGGCTTTTCGATCACACCCGGCGGTGGTCCCGAGCTCATCAGGTAGGCAGCTAAGTCTGCAGTACCACCACCATTGGAGGTCGTGGTAGCATCTCTCGGTTGAACGCGCATCTTCTGTCTGTTCCGTTCTACATGCGGCGCATGTGTAGTTGTCGTAGGTCTGTATTTGTCCATTCGCGAACCTACTTGTGTTAAATGAGGAGATTCTGCACGTGCAATATTGACTGGCCTTGTATTGGGCGTTGCAATATTTCCGCTTGCTTGTGGATTATTTCTGGCTGCTGCAGCTGAGCCACCAGGGAGCAAATCTTTCAGCTTGGAGCTGCTTGTCGATTGTCTCACCATGCTTGCAGGATCTGGCTGAGTAGGATTGGGAATTGCAGCAAGAATTGGTTGAGTCGTCATGCCAGGAGGAGGTGCGGTGTTCCTCAGAAAATCGACAAGCGATTCTTCGTCGGTTCTTCGCTTCGGCGGCTCGTGCTCCTCCTCCATTTCTTCTTCCTCCTCATCAGAGTAATCGATCGCGTAGGGATCTCGGATTTTCGGCCGAGTTCTCTTTGGCATGCCATCTGTTTCCGGAATGACGGGCTGTTTTGATATCGCTGTTGCAGAGGTTCCAAACCCATTCGTGAATTTTCCGGCGGCACGGTTCGTTGATTCCAGTAATCCAGTGCGTGAGTTCATTGATGAAGGCATTGACTTGACCGTCACTGCACTCTCTTGAGCGCTGCCATCAGAGTTACGTCCCTTGGTGTCGAGCTCAGGCGGAGGCGCCAGCGCATTCAAATCGTCAGAATCCATTGTTGTTCGAAACGGTGCCACATGCCGGTCTATCCGATGCTCTCCGGGGGCTCGTGGAGGGCCTTCCCTGATGAAATCAATCAAGTCTGAACTTTCAGCCGTTCGAGGGCCCCTAGCATCTCTGGCCTGGTACTTCAACCGCGAGGGCTTGCCAGATGTTGTGTTGGGACGGTTCTCACCGTCCACTCCAAAGACCCTCTCCCTGAGAGACAACTCCGTCCTGGCGCCTTGCGCAGTAGCAGGTCGCGCACTAAGCAATTTTGGAAGCTGTGCCTCATTTTCCGGCCCGGTAGAGCGTGCATAATCAGCGAGATCTCGGGTATTGTTTCGCACCATCCGAGCCTCACGTGGTTCACCAAGACGATTCTTAGGTTTAGAAGGTGAGGAAGTAGATTGCTGCCCAGCCGCTGGGGTGGGAGGTGGGTTTGCTCGGAGACCGTCTTTCGCAGAACGAGACGACTTCGGACGGACTTCTTCTCCCGGAGGTGCAGTCGTCCTGAAGAAATCTGCCAGTTCCTGAGTCTGGCTTTTCACCTTTATCTTTCCTCCCTGTAAAAGATTGATATCAGCGCTTTGCAAAATAAAAGACGAATACTTGCATACCACATTGGCAGACGCAGGTGTCAGAGTGTAATGGAGCGTCTCGTTGCTGTCAATCAAAAGGTCGAGACTCTTTTTCGCCCTGTCCAGGTCCTCCCGCGGCCATGCTTCCTCGTTGTCTGAACGAAGCCGAATGTGTTGCCGTCGGCCTGTCCCAGAACCTGATGTTGATGGCCTTCCGTCCTTCGCACTTCCGCTTATGGGCCGATTATTCTGCGTAGCCAGGGCTGAGGTCCCGTAGCGCGGGAGGAACTCTTGTGGATTCTCTGCCGCCTCCAGCTGTTCCGATGTGTGGTAGGATGGTATGTGCGGAGGAACCCGCATTTCACTCTGCGAATTTTCAGGCTTCTGACGGTCCAACGAGGATCTTCTGTTCGGAATTACTGCTGGCCATGCAGATGTTGTGCTTGGTGTCGTGTTATTTGAATTAGCACCGGCCTCGTTGGAGCGAGCCATTCCTTGCACAAATGAGCGGGTAGAATTTGGATTGCTATAGCCTGAACTTGTATCTGGCGTTTGGAAGATCGTCGCATATCCCAGATTCGAATACCTCGAGCTGCGACCAGCAGCTCCGCCTTCCCCCTCGGCCTGTTCATAATCGTCGTGATTTGCGATCTGTGGTTCCGTTTCGTCAGTGGCAGCCTCTTGCTCATCCTCAGGAATATCGTCCATGGGGCCAGCAACGCTGAATCCAGAATCTCTGAGGTTCATGTGATCATTTCCGACATCGCCTCCTTCTCCATCGCTGGAGCTCAGAGCCAGGTCTCCAGGATCGACTGCACCTTCGTGAGATTCCGCCTCCGCAACGTCCATGCTAGTGGCTGGCGCTGGCACTGCGATTTGTGTCCGTTCGAAACCATCCGCTGTATTATTTGACAGTCGTTGCTCTCCACCTTCCTGGGAGACTGGTGAGGTCAACTCGAGGCTCGGTCGTTCTCTCCGGAAAGCTTTTGCTGCTTCTACGTTCAGTGCGCCAGCGATGGTAGCAACAGTGGCGCCGATCGCATTTGAACGCAGAGCAGATCTGTCTTCCTCTTGAGGGCGTGGAACTTCCTCGTCCCTTACGTCCTCCGTGGCTCCCGTTTCGCCCCTAGATCCATGAACAGGCAAAGAGGGAGAGAGTTCTGATTGAGTCGCCAAATGTGCACCGGAAGAAGTTTTGGTCGGAGAAGGTACCGATCTCGATCTCCTTCTACTCGGAGACGGCCACTCTCGATGTTCATCGTTACTTGCTGAAGATGGGAATTGGCCTGGCATAACTAACATGCTCGTGGGCCTCCGGTCTCCAAGACCAGGGCGTTGCTCATTGGTCTCAACTTCTTCGAAAGTACGCGCCAACCCCGGCACCTCTATTTCGTCAACGTCATTTTCGGTCATGGGTAGAGGTATGTTTGCTGGCGTAACGGATCTACTTGCTTCTTCCTGTATTGGTGGGATCACTGGAGCCGAAGGAAACTTCCAGTCCGGCATGGGAGACTCGGGCCCTATAGGCGACATAATGTTGGGTGTTGTAGGACGAGAGGACATGCTGCCGCCAGTCCGGACGCTGCCCTTCCATGACCGCCAGAGTCGGATCAGAGGTCCTTCTTTGCCGATACCAGACATATCTATCTCTTCCAAGAATATCGCATCTGGGTCTTGGTGATGCTGCATGAGAAGCGTTTCTCGAGCTGTGTCTTTGACGTACATCGTTCGTTTCCTCGCATGCTGCGCCGCGATGCACAGGGCTTGCTCGGCGATGAACTCAAGGATAGTGGATAGGAAGATGGCAGAGGGTGGAGAGATTCTTGCGGAGGATCTGTAGGCCTCTTTGACTTGACTCAGATGGTCCCTCACGTCGTTGCCTTCCAGGTAATCCTCCTCGTCCTCTTCCTCCATATCTCCAAGTTTAGCATAAACCATACAGCGCAGCCTGGTGAGTTTCCAAGCAAGGTCGACGTCGAACTCGGCTCTAGGATCAAGGACAGCTGGGTGGGTTTGGATATTTTCCAGTTCATCTTCATCCAAATAGTCTTGTAATTCCTCGTCAGCAGCCTTTATCGCTGCACGTCCCAATCTCTGTTTCAAAACAAGCGGGATTGCAGCTCGGACTGCACCCAAAGCGGTCGACTGCGACTTGTTTAGAATGTCATAGAGAATTTGATCCAGAAACCCATTGAGCATGTAGACCGCATTGTTTGAAATCTTGACCAGACGATCAATCTCTGCATAGACCAACTTCTCGGCTTCGGCAACTGAGACGTATGAAGGAGGCGCTGCTGCGTGCGGGAGAGTGGCTCTTGTAGATTTTGCAGACATGGAAAGGACGTCGGTTCCCGACCCCATGCTCCGTAGTTGCGCCATGTTGGTGAGAGGACAATGTAAGGAAGGGAGCAGGCAGTGAGATAGGAGGTCGCTGTAGGTAGGGCAAGGGCGGTCGTGATGGAGCGATCAGTGATCCATTGGACTACCTGGGTTCATGCGAGATCGATTCCGAAATCAGTTTGTCAAGAATTGACTCAAACTTTACAGCAATTGAGGACCCGACAGAGCGACGTTTCAGTATTGAGGCAAGACTCCTCTGTCGTCACTACGTTGGGTTCGATTGAGATGTCTGCGAGACCTTTCTTGCGAGAGGAAGCGGCGGGCGCAATAATGGACGGACAGGGTGACGATCAATCCGGTTCCGCTCCGCAGTTGAGGAGTTGGGGGAATTTCGAGGCTGAACAGGTCAGTAACCCCTGTTAACACAAATGAAAGAATGAGCTGCGCAATTACGGGCAGCTAAATGATTGTTTTGACTTGATCAAACGAAGATGGTCGGACGCAGCACGAGGTAGAGATGTTAGACAGCGACTGTGAGGACGGACGGAGCAGGGACGACGAGACGAGTGAGTGTCTGCTTGATCGCTGGATGGCGTCGAGTTGCTGGGCTTTTTCAGGGCTAGTGAGGCTGGTGTTTCAATTGGGACATGGGGTGCATTTTTCACAGTCCTACCCCCATCACCTAACATCGCTGTGGATGTTGCCCATGACGGCCCATGACGGCCCTAGGCCCGGCGCCCAATTGCATCTGGTCGGCCCTGAACTCTGGGGGTGCTTAGCAGCAGCTTAAGGGGAAGAAATCCGGGCATGCGACTGGTCCTCGGTGACAGCTGCATGATATCCCTACTAGCTGGGGACAAGCCCACTGCCTGGTGGACACAGCGAGTTGCAGGTGTCCGAGTTTGACTGCTCTTTGACGGCTACTAGTAGGTAGGAATGCAGAAAGAAGCTCCGCCGCCATTGGCCTTTGACAACGGCCGGCGACCTGCATCCCCTGCTCTTCACTGGCACCGGAACATCAGGCCTCTTGAGACGCCCGCAGATGGAGAATTTAGTTAAACTGTTTATCTGTAGTCCATGCCCATACTATACCAGTTCTAGGTACTGAATACCTAGCATCCACCTACTAGGTATGTTGGAAAAGAGCACCTTGCCCTTTTCGTCACCTGGCTCCCACGTCGAAGGCAGTGCCCCTGAAGCATGCATCCCATATTCTATCGCGCACGAGCACACAATTAATGTTCTTGAATGCTTGTTCCTCCCGCAAGCTTACCACTTTCAACCTCTCCAGTCTCTTAATACTCTAAGAATCAAGGTTTGGCCCGTTTCTAGACCTTTACCTATATCAATCACACGCAGGACCGAGTGTCGACAAAACCAAAGACTAGATGCCCCACCAAAGAACTGTGGCTTCAGTAGCTTCTGGTAGCCACATGCTACCAACTATCCGTCTTGACTTGAGTAGAAAGGTGGAGTCAGAGCTTCGAAAATATTGAAAAGGAGTAGAGGATTTCTCACAAGCGAAGATGGCGTCCATCTTGCTTCTGACCGGCGCGACGTGCCACGTACCGTCAACGCCTGTCAGCTGGTGTCCGGCGAGGCGAAATTGTCGCGGATTGTTTGACTTCCTTCTTTGTAAGGGTCTTGATGGACGAGGTGATGTATTAACTCGTGTCATAGAACCCACGCTGGAAGGGTGGCAGCATTGAATGTCTTGAGTCTTGACGTCTTGCTGCTTACTGCACCGAGATAGCTGACACTCGGCAAATACAGTTGGCATTGACACGCCAGGCTTTTCGAAGAGTCGCGAGAGTTCCGAAAATGCGTCCAGCTTGACAAATCGTTAGGATATGACGGAGATGTCAATGGCACACTGACCTTTTGCTGTAAGCTGCAGTTCGTCGGTCGCCTCAGGTAGCGCAGTTGGCTATGCGTCCATCATCTCTTCTGTACCTGTTCGGCCGAAGCGCAAGGTTGACGCCGTCCTGAGCGAAACAATTGCTCAAGAGAAATGCCGGGCTTCGAATTGTCCATCCTCACTTGAGAAGCCCGCCGAGGTCTCTTTCCAGGCCGGAGACACGCTCTTCCAAGGCCTTCTTTTTAGCCTCCAACTCGCGGATTTCCTCCTCTTCTACCTGGAAATCCTTCTCCATGAGGCCAAGCGCATCATTGTGGTTGATTGGGTCTTGCTCCAGATCATTCTCATCCCCTCTTTCTTCAGAGTTCAGCGCCCAGTTTGTTCGGTCTAATAGCGACTGTTGCCTGGAGACTTTGTCCTCGAGCATAGCTATAGAGCTAGCGACTTCTCGGTGACGGTTGCGGAGGGCTCGAATTCTTTCTGTTACTCCCACCACGGTGTATACCTCGCAAAGTCTTTCTGCCCCGCGAAGGAGGACTTCCACGTTGACTCCTTCACGAGATCGTCCACTGCTGGATTGTCTGATTTCCTGGAGCATCTCTTTGCCCAGTAGCGCTGAGACCGCGGCTTGTTTCATGGGATGCGCGGAAGGATACACACTTTTACGGCCCTGAAGACCATTTTTGGTGTCTGTCGGCCGGAACCCGTTCGAAGCGGGATTCCTGTTGATAGCATTGGGATCGACGGAGAAGAGGGCACGCTCATGAGGTTCTGTGTCGCGAATTAGGGTTGTAATCTCCTGATTGTTAAGCAGAGCATTTGTGAATATCCTGGGTGGAGGGAATCTGCGATGCGGTCAGTGACGGAGAATATAAGTGTCCATGTTACACGCATACTCCAGCTCGGATATAGACTTTGCAGACAGTGCAATTTGTTCCAGATGGTTTGCAAGGAGAGACATATTGCTGCGAGATGTGGAAGCACGTGTCCCCGTTTCGATCCTCTCACCTGCGTAGATTGCAGTTACGGACTGTAGGAAGCGTCCATGAAGTCAACAACAATTGAGGTGCCCAAGAAGATACAGAGCACAATATTCACGTCGTCAAAGCATCTCGTAACCGCGGTATGAATTCTGTGGTGATTTGTTGGCGATTAGTTTGTGGCGTGTGGAGAGAAACCGAACGCGTCTGTCTGTTGTGCCTGGCAAGCTGCGGCTGCGCTATGGACAGCAAGCGCCAGCCAAATGTAAGAATTAACGTCTCCATCTCCAGCCAGACTTCAGTTGCTTCATCCCAGCCCTTACCTCATCCCAAGCATTCTCCTCTCAAGTCCGACCTCCTTTTCTCGATTTTGCATTGCGATCATATACCCTAGAAAGTCGATTACATCAACGGACTTGTGATTGGTGGCGGACGAAGCCCTCGAAACTCCGGGCATCTGCCAACTGAGTTGCCCGACCTTGCCTTGATATAAATCCTCCTTCCAACACAACAGAACTCCGTACAGCAAAACATAAACCATACGCTATCTCAACTCGACCCTGCCTCTTCAGTACTCCGATTCGTCTCCTAGATCGATACTCCTTACCCCTGCCGAAAACATGAGCGGCGATAAACCCCATCTCAACGGCACCGATCCCACCCAGAATGGCATCAACGGTTCGGATGACGTCGAAATGAAGGAGGATCCCAAAAACTCCAAGAAGACGTCAAAGCAGGTGAAGGAGAAGGACGGCGATGATGAAATGACAGTTGTCGTTCCGCCTGCAAAGGGCTCCAATACCCCGAGCGCCCCTCAGAAAGCTACTGAAGCCGATCTTACAAATGGAGCAATAGATGATGAGGGCAAAGAGGAAGCTGAAGAAGAAGTTGATCCTCAAGAAAAGGCAATCGAGGGTGAGTTGCACAATTTTTCGGCTGTTGAAGATACGTTACTGACGCTGATGCAGAAATCAAAGCCAATCTTCCATTACTGGAACGCGCTGTCAGCCAGTTTGATCCTCGATTCAGCTTGAGAGTCCTCCGTTCCATACCTTCGATCCGCAAACACCTGTCTGCTTATGTGATAGCCTCTGTGGTTACCAACACCTACGCAACACCTACACCGACGGCAATGTCCCTGCTCAGCGCCGTAAAGGATGACCCGTCCTTTCCAACCCAACAAGTTGAGGAATGGCATGGCAAACGGGATTCAACGCACCAAAAAAGCTCACACAAAGAGATACTACCTGAAATAGATGTTTACCTATCGATCTTGGTACAAGTCCACCTTTACGACAAGAAATCAATCAACGCCGGCGCCCAGTTCTCAAGCGCGTTGGTTGAACATCTTCGGACCTTGAATCGCCGCACATTGGATTCGCTGTCGGCTCGGGTATATTTTTACTATGCGCTTTTCTTCGAAGAGATGGCGCCCTTGCCTCCTTCACCAGCCGCTGCGGTGCTTTCGATCCGGAAGCCCCTTCTTGATGCTCTACGAACGGCAACACTGAGAAAAGACCAGGATATACAAGCGGCGGTCACGACTCTGCTTCTGCGGAATTATCTTTCCACCTCTCACGTCACCCAGGCCGACCTCTTGATATCCCATACCAAGTTCCCTCCCACCGCTGCCAACAATCAGATCGCCAGATATTTGTACTATCTTGGCCGAATCCGAGCCATCCAACTTTCATATACTGAAGCTCACGACCACCTGACTGGCGCGACGCGCAAGTCGCCAACGTCCTACAAAGCCAGTGGATTTTACCAAGCCTCGACCAAAATGCTTATTGTGGTTGAACTGTTGATGGGAGACATTCCGGACCGCGCAATTTTCCGCCAGCCTAGTCTGGAAAAGGCACTGCAGCCATATCTTCAACTTGTGCAAGCCGTCAGCTCTGGAGATGTGACGGGTTTCCAGACTTTGGTTCAGCGGTACAACGCCACCTTTAGAAAAGATGATACGTACACGCTTATTTTGAGACTGCGACAGAACGTGATCAGAACCGGCATTCGTATGATGTCTCTGTCATATGCCAGAATCTCGTTGCGCGATATGTGTCTACGACTTGGACTGGACAGCGAAGAGTCTGCGGAGTACATTGTGGCAAAGGCAATCCGCGATGGGGTCATTGAGGCCAGCCTTGACCATGAGCGTGGGTACATGAAGAGCAAGGAAGTGGGTGATGTATACGCCACCAGAGAGCCTGGTGACGCTTTCCATGAGCGTATCCAAGCTTGCTTAACGTTGCACGATGAGAGCGTCAAGGTATGTGAACTCTTAGCATTCTTAGTGAACCCTGGTGCTAACCTCGTCACAGGCTATGCGTTTCCCCATGAACCAACACAGACTAGAGCTCAAGAATGCCCAAGAGGCACGTGAACGCGAGCGTGAGCTTGCAAAGGAAATTGTGGAAGGAGAAATGGATGACGATGATGCGCCGGGCGGCGACTTCGATGGAATCTGAGCTGATGGATGCATCTTGTGTTACTTCCAAGGGGATGTTTGGGCGAGCAGCTAACGGTCAAACTTGACACGACAGGAAGCAGGGACTGGACTGATTGTCTCCAAAGTCTCCAAAGACCTGTGCGCATACTATCGGGAAAACAAAGGACTTGTACCAGGAGTTGGGTCAGCCAGGTTTTACTGAGGCTCAGGGCCTTGCTGATCTCTAGAGCGTTGTGTTCAGTGATGGCAGCTGTTTTCATAGCTTGGCCACAATGTAATAGTTTCATCAATGCCTTTATTCAGCCCTTAAGATTCTGAAGAGCCCCGTCCGCTCACCCAAGCATCCTGCTTCTATTTCTCCCGCCTTGTCAGCCTCGTCAGCCTCGTCAGCCTCGCCCGGAACAATTTAATATCAATTACGGAAGCTTTTTCCGAATGTGCGGAAAACTTTGGGTTGTGATTGGCGGACAGAGACACGTCTCTGAAATGCCAACTTCACACCAAGTCCCGTCCATCTACATAATATTAGGGAGACCTCAACTCAACATTGGTTCTCAATTAGGACCTATCGCTCGCCAGAAGCGATGTCACAACCTCGCACGATGTCTCAAATGCCTCTTCGGACGAGATCACGCTCACCCACTTCCAGGCCGACGACTCCTCTTCGTCCCGCGTCACGTTCCTCATTTCGTGCCTCCGTCCACCAAAACAATGGGGTGTTCACGGGGCCTGGACTGCCGCTCGACTCACTCGAGCCACAGTTCGCGGAATTGAGTGATTCAATGGCTGATCTGGAGGCAAATTTGATGCACTTGCAGCTCATGCACGAGAGTCTCAGTCGGTTTGGGGAGAGTTTTGCCAGTTTTTTGTATGGGTTGAACATGAATGCCTTTGTCGTTGATTTTCCAGAGGTGAGTTAACATATCTCCCACTTCTCGAAACTTGGCGCTATGTGGCTACCGTCGGGATGCTGCTGATAGTCACTTTTCTCCTGCAGGCTCCTATCACAGAGTCGATTAAACGCTGGCAAAAGCGTCAGCAGGGAGGTCAGGGAAATCTCGACGATCAGTCGACAACAATGCAAAACAATACCACCACTGGTGAGGGGAGTGCAGATGCCACTTTTATGACTACAGCAGATGCAAGTTTCGCAAGCTTGAAGGCAACTCCACGCCGTAAAAGCATGGCCCCATCTGTGACACCCGGAACTGCCTCAACTATCAAGCAAAGCAATCTGCCTGCCGGTCGTGGAGGTGCTGCCGCTGGGACGAGAGGAGCTAGAGGCAGTGCTGGCAGTCGTGGCTCGAGAGGAAGTGGTCTGCCACGGGGTAGAGCGAGGGGAAGCAAGTAGAGACGATGTCGTCGAGTGCCAGTCTCACGTTACTATGGCGTCTTGTTCTCGCCGAGAAGTCCCATGCGGGCTCTTCTGTGACGCCGAGATACCAACATTTCACTCCCACGGACCAGATTTGTGGACGAAATTTGTCCTGTGGGTGTTGTTCTTTCAGCTACCCGCTCCGTCATGCACAACTAGAACAGCGAGCTTCTCTTCCAATACCTGTCCTCTCTGGTGGTTTGCTGGCCATCCTTGAAAGTCTACAGGGCGTTCCATTCAACAAAAACTATCTCTCCTTAGGGTGAGCTCTTACCAACAGTACATGAAAGATTCCCTTTGCACACATCCCCGCAGGACGTTCAGCTCCGAAATTCCCGTCGCTCCACGTACGGCTCCCACGGCCTGTTATCAGTCAACGCCTCGCATCCCTAGCCCTTGCCTCCGTCTTGTCAACATCGTGTCTCGAAAACATGGAAGAGCTTAGACCAAACAGTAAGTACATGGCTGTTTGACCTGACACCAACAATCCAGTTACTAACTATCTCACCACAGTGACATTGTTTCATTACGAGGTCGTTCACGCTGGGTCTTGCAGTAACATATTCGACGAATTCATTAAGAAAATACATCGCGCCGAAGTATTAGGTTGGGCCATGACTCACAAGATTGGCTTTCGGCTTCAAGAGACTCTGGGAGTGGCCACGGGGGACTTTGGAGACCTGGCCCAGGCTCAAATAGAAGAAGCTATGGATGACTTAGCCTTGTACGTGGAATACCAAGACAAAGCCGAAGCGGCGCTTCGCCAGGCCCAGTCTATTGTCGAGGCGTGCGCAAAGCTATTCACGTTCATGGCGTCGGTTCCCTACACGGATGAGAACAGCGTTCGCTTGCCGCCTGAAGGGCCGGAAGAGCGTTACTGGTGGTCTTATGAGCTCATCGACTTGGTCCAAAAGGCCTATGAGGCAATGTGGGATGATGATATTATGGACGTCGCCTTCGACGATATCCCTGAAGAGGTCTTGTCTTACCCTTGAAGAAGGTGGTCTGCCTGTGTACAACTAGGGTCGAGGCGGGTTGCAGACAGTGACGGGCTAGAGTCACCTTTCTAGCTCGATGCCGATGAGGCATTGAGACTCAGGCAGGAAGCAATGCAGAAGGATAATGTTGGATGAAGAGAAGACGGACGCTATCCTCTCCAACATGCCTAAGGAGTGAGCTGCGATTGCGGGCGACGCTGTGTGGAGATTGCTCGGTTACCGCCCAAAGGTCTAGATCCCAATGTGCACGAGGCTGTGACATGTTGGTGGTGGCTTGGTCCACCGTAGTTCTAGTGTGAAGCATTAGCACCAGATTGCGCTAGAAATAATCACTTCACTTCCTAAAATGTTTCCTTGATTGTCGGCCATTCACCTCGGTTCACAATAGCCACGGGGTCTCTATTGTCCTTGTGTTCACAAATGGGAAATGGCTATGGTCACTGCTGACAGCTATTGAGGAGGCTCGCAGGACAAAGGGGGCGTTCTTATTGTGGGATTTTTTTGGCCCTTGAAAACATTTCGCCTCTTCCGATTTCTCCTGAACCGGAAATCTCCAACAACCCACTTTCTCTTATATACATCTACCTCATCGCTTTCTGAACCCATCACTTGTCTTCATCATCTTCCCAAAGAGGTTCTGCGGTAATCATGGCTTTAACGCAATATATGCCAACCGCGGGCTGTGAGCACCTCGACGCCGACGCCACCAGCAAAATCAGCGCCTTCCGTAACAACAGCAACAACCACCTGGACCCGGACTTTGCAACCTACTCGTGCGTCTCATGCTCCTTCTCCGGCAGCTTCGCCGTGCTTAACAAGCACCTCTCCAAAACCCAGCATGGGTTCGCCGTCTCCCACACCTCGGTGTACTGCGGGCACTGCAACGACCTGATCTACGACCCGGCCCTGTTAGTCAGCAGCGGCAAAGCTAGCGCCATCAGCAGCAAGAGCATCAACGGGGTCAAGCGGAAAATCTCAGAATCCAACGACGGGGAGGACGACTCGTACTTGACGGCAAACACCTCGCAGCGGCCGTGCGGCAGAACCGGTGTTCGGGGTCTGTTCAACTTGGGCGAGACGTGCTACATGAACGCCGTGCTGCAGATGATGGTGCACAATTCGCTGCTGGCCAGCTATTTCTTGGGCATGGGCCATCCGATCCACACGTGCCCGATCTCCAAGGAACCCGACAACAAGAAGGACAACAAGAACGACTCGGACGATGATGACGACGACGACGGATCTGCAGAAGGCTCTCAGAACAAGGAGCAGAAGACTTGCGTCGCCTGTGGCATGACGGAGCTCTTCTCAGATGTTACCATGGTGGATCAGCCTCTTCCCGCCCACGCTGTCAATCTCTTGTTTGCTTCGTGGAAAAACATCCCGGTAGGTTTTACTGTTCCGTCGTCATTCCCTATCACCCTTGCACCTCCTCCCGCGCCCTTCGTTTTACCTTGTCCAGTCCCTGGGGAATTCCAATACTGATGCCTACGCGCAAACAGCAAATGTCCGGCAAAGGCCAGCAAGACGCCCAAGAGTGGTTCATCTGCATCATTGACCGGCTGCACGAGGGGGTCGCGCAGTACATCTCCACGGCGGAAAACAAATCCCACGCGACCAACCAGGCCAATGGGATCGCCACGCTGGACAAGCAATGCGTCTGCTTCTTCCACAAGGTCTTTTACGGGCGCTACAACAGCCAGATCACTTGTGACACGTGCCACACGGTGTCGAGCAGGGAGGACGAGTTCTCGAGCATCTCGCTGGATTTCCAGAAACAGATGAAGAAGAGGAAGAAAGGGGCGACCAAGGACGCCGGTGGTGGTGGAAGTGGGACCAACAAAGAATCCGCCTCGAAAGAAAAGGACTCTGCCGGCGGCAATGAGGGAAGCAAAGACGACAGCAAGGAAAAGGGCAACAAGGACGACAAGGACACGAAGAAAGGCGGCGACACCTCCAAATCCTCCCTCAAGGACAAGGCCGCCGCGGCCTCTGCGGACCTCAAAATCACCATCCCGACCATCCAAGACTGCCTGCGCGCATTCACCGCACCGGAACCTCTATCTCCAGAGCAGTACAAGTGCAACAACTGCAACACGCGCCGGTCGGCGTCCAAGCAGACGCGCATCCGGAAATTGCCCGCCATCCTGTGCGTGCACGTCAAGCGGTTCGGCATGAAGCAGAACGCCGGCGGCGTGTTTGGACCGGAAAAGTACGAGGGCAAGATCGACTTTGGCTTGCACCTCGACATGGCGCCGTACACTACGCGGCCTCCGACCAAGGGCACCGCGACCGCCGAGGCGTCGGTCAAGAAGGAGAAGAAAGACGGCGAGGCCGGCGAGAAGAAGGAAAAGGAAAAGGGCAAGGAGACCAAGGGTGCGTCTGCTTCCGCGAAAGCCAGTACCGGAGCGAGAAAGGAGAGCGACTTCATGTACGACCTCGACTGCGTGGTCGTGCACCAGGGCGAGCACGCCCAGAACGGCCATTACTTTGCCTTTTGTCGCCAGGACAACAAGTGGTTCCGCTTCGACGACGAGATTGTCAGTGCGACCACCACCGAGGATGTCTTGCGACAGGAGGCTTATCTCCTGTTCTACAGCTTGCGCAGTCTGGAGAAGATCTGAGGCCGCACGACGCTGCCGTGCTTGGGTGTATGTGGCTTGGTTTTCGGGGCTCATGGACTGGGTTGGCGTTGGCGTTGGCGTGGACATGAACATAGCATACCTAGGCAGCCATAACATAAGGGGCGTTAACTTTCTCGGCTTGGGAGCATGTGTGATCCGTAGAATGTACAGAATAGTTCTGCCTTGTGGAATTGACTACGCGACAACTTCTTGGCGTATCTCGGTTAGTGAGTAGGCCGGGGCATATCGAAGCATTCCGGGGATTATCGCTGTCGCCTGTTCTCAAAACCCCCACACTTTCAATATCTCAAGGAGAGGATGTGTACCGACAGAGGGAAGATGGCTTGGCACATCATTCCTACCACGGTTCATAGGATCACGCACTGCGCGCATTGTGCTCCTCTTTCCTGGTGCACGATATACGAGACGAATACGCTACCGCGGTGTGGGAGATGCTTATCAAATGTCGTGATATGGCGCGGAGGTATTCTTACAATGTGCTTCTGGCAGGAAAACGGATTGATGGATAGGGATGCATACCTAGGTAACGATACCCTACCGTAGATTGATCAGCAGCACGTTGTTCAATTGCAAACGGCTTCCATCTTGACCTCTGTTCAGTTCCACAGAGTTTTGATCAAGGTTCAAGTATGGGGAGAGATCATCGATCCATGATGTGCATAAAATATTGTGCAGGGCGGTCAGCTGTAGCGCAGAAGCGGGAGCCAATGCGGGATCGACAAGACGGCGGCCTTGTGACCACTTGCAGCTTTGGCGAATGCACGAGTCCGTGGTACGATAACGCCGAAACATGCAGTGGTTGGGAGGAGGGGAGGAGGCGCGGGGATTTCGATGGTGTTTAGACGGATTGACTGAGGCCTAGACAAAGAATGATACGCTCCAAGGGCTCCTGGGTGGAAGAGAGCTGGTCTACAACCCTTTGCCAAGTGAGCAGCTAGCGGGTTGCACGGCATCGACACCCATACGAGGGTACAAACATCGGATCTTCGGACAGAAGAGTCGGCCGAAAAAAAGTACCGAACCTTGAAGAAGCTTTTCTGAAGTATTGCAGTAGCGACGAAGTGGATCGAGGATTTGACTCGATGATGGAGATGAGAGAACAAACTTTTCTAGGTCATTTTCTGGGCGACTTTGGGTGAATACTCGTCGAGCCAGCTGCCGGCCACACAGTTCGGGCCGGTGGTCGAGTTCGGTCCAGCGTGGGAGACAATGTAGACCGCTGCTTGGCTCGGGCGTTTCAGGTTGCTGGATTATCAAACCAGGAAACTTCTTTGGATTAGGTATGTTTTCCTAGGAGAGACAAAGTTATTTTCTATCTCAGGTTAGAGCGGCGGCCGATGTGACCGATGACCGGGTTTGGGGGGATACACCCAGTTGGGCAGTGGCGTGAGGGAAGTGATTGGTCGGGGACAAGTAGATGTGAGGATTGCGGGAGGAAAGGCACAGAAGTCAGCAGAAGGTGACAGGAACAGGAGAGTGTCGGCGACGATTCATTTGCAATCGATGATCTTGGAAAGGTATACGAAATCCGCGGTCAGCATTTGTAGTGGAGGATGGTCACGATGGATTCTGAGTGTTGAGTGAGAATGAACACAAGGTGGAAAAAGACAGAACTTGGGGGGGTCCTTGGGGGCCATAGATAGACGCTAAAAGGCATACGAGGTACAGTAGCAAGCACGGTAAAGAGGAACCGAACTTGGAGGGCAAGGCTGGCTTGCCTGAAATGTTCTATCAAAAGCAGCAGGAACAACGTCAGTTCGGGAAGCCACATCCCAACCATGTGCTGCCTCTCTCCATTCTCCATACGGGCTCGACGGGTATTGTCTGTTCGGCGGACGCTTCTCCAGCCACTGAATTTACGAGTGAGTTAATACTGTACTCGGTACGAGACTGACACTGACACCGACCACTGTCAGCTTCCTGCTACCCATCCGCTGAGTCACCGCTCCTCCTCCGCTGGGCGGCTGTTGTTTGCCGTTTGCGACCAACATCTCAATCTCTCAATCTCTCGATCTCGATCCCATCAGGCCAGTCATAGACCACATCTCACACCACACTCTCTGACCACTCGCCCGGTTGGCAACTCGGCATTCCCCGTCTCCATCCACAGTACTACGAGGTACCTTTTCACACCGCACGTATCGCACGAGTCCCGTGCCTGGTGAAGAATCCATTACCACCCCATCACCAGCTGTGTTTCCTGTGACTGGGGCCACGGAATGGCTCGGAAGGACACTTCATTACGAGGTATTCGCTCACAAACCCTACCTAGTAGTCGTCTACGTGATAATGACATCATTTGGAGGAGGCTTGATTGTGACGGCAGAAGACGTCAAGAGAGTAGAATTGCTGAGCAAATATAGGCAGCAGTCATTGACGTGAAAAAGAGTTACGACAAGAACCATACAAGAATCCGACTCGGGAATAGGGTCAAACTGAACAAATCCGGAGTGCAACAAGAGAAGATTGTCTCCAATCCGCGCTGATCGCGGCTCTGGACGAGCATCCGATCTCGTTGGCCCTTTTGTCAGCAGGGCAAAAAGTTTGTCAAGCTACGAGGGTCGAGGGTCGAGGGTGGAAGAGCGGCGGAGGCTAGAGAGGAAGTGTGCTTCCTAGTGGGGACCACGTCCTGGACCAGCATTGAGGGAATTTGAGCTCTTCTCGACAGTACTATATTGAGTATTATGGCGCTTCACAGAGAACAAAAGAGCGGAAAGCGAGCTCTGTTGTTGAGCTTGGACCAACAGCTCTGCCTCCGTACTCGTACATGACTCGCTTTGCCCCATAAGCGCTTCTTTGCAGGAAGCTGGGCAGTGGGCAGTGGCAGTGGGCAGGCTGGGTAAGCGAATAATTTTGCGGGCGAGGTTGCCTGCGATCTGACGTGCCTCTCTGCCTGGGCTGCAACCCCCTAGGCTTCTCCTGTAGGTTCCTAGGTACCCAGGTAGGTAGGTAGGCCCACCCTAGCTGGGGACTCCTCGCCGACTCGTCGCCGAGAAAAATCAATACGAGTAATGGTAATAGTAATAATACCTACGTCCCCGAGCCCGGTCGGTGCTGGGCTCTAGCAGCCCTTCGATGACCCTCGTTGGGCTGTTGTGGGCTCCTGCTGGCCGTTCCGGGCAGCCGCCAATGGGGACGCCGCTGAAGTCAAGGGCGTCCAGGGCCTTTGGAGGCAGCAATGGCGCTACTGCACCTGCGGGCCTTGTCACTGTCTTGACGCCTCGTTCGAATTTCCTCCGACCGGCGATAAGAAGGGCCAAGATGCAAGGTGGGCTGCAAGCTACAACACGCGCCACCAGCACCACTCTTTCGCGCATCCGAGAAATCCGGCCACCAGTCCCCCCAGTGGCAGAGATGCGTCCAACTGATGCCAACAGTCGATGCCATGCGCTGTGGGCTGCAAAACCTTTGCTCTGCTGACCTATTCAGTCCCCGTCCCTTGCGCGATGCCTGTGCAGACGCCCTCGTCCGATGACTCGCTCTCAATCCTTTAATAACCTCCCGTGACCGCTGCATGTGGAAGTCTGTGTTCGCTCTCTCTCTTCTCTATACCGAAACTCTTGTCCTCCTGTGAACCAACCTCGATTCCCTTGTGTGTGTACAGGAACCCCTAGCTCATCCTTCCCACGTATCGACCATCCTCGCCGTCCTCTGCCTCACTGTCACACCCTCTTCCGTCTCCGTCGCATTCCGTCCTACCTCTCCCAGTTGATTCCTAACCCCGCCCTCAATTTTTGGACGAGCCAAAGCTTTCTAGTCAGGTGGGCGTCGGTGTAACAGAAGGAGTCGTTAAGGACCATCCGAACAAGCGTGAGCCGAATGGATCTGTCGAGGTGGGCCGTTGCAGCAGCGCTGCTTCAACTCGCCTCACTTGCACTGGCTCATGGCCATGATGAGGAGCACCATGATATGGATATGAAGAAGCCCGAAGCTCCTCAGAATAACGGAGGAGAGGTCGAGCCATATGACATGCCCAGTTATGCCGGCCTAGGCCAGCACCAGAATGTGATTTTGGCGCATGTGGTCCTGATGGTGTTAGCATGGTTTTTCATTCTTCCAATCGGTAAGTCGGCAAGGCTGAAGTGGTGAAATAACTGTTCCTAACCAGAGTAGCCTCCATGTTCAGTATTGGTCGATCGAAACTTGCTCTTCCAGTTCAATTTCTCTTCCTGATCGTTAACGGCCTTGGACTCTTGTTCGGAATTGTGTACAACCTCAACACTCCAGATTTGTACGTGCACAATGCGCACCACAGCATTGGCTGGATCGCTACCTGGTTCATGACCGCTCAGGTCATTGCGAGCCTGTTATTCGCATACTCGCGGAGGGGCAAGCAACACCCTGCCCCAGTCGGTGAGAGGGCAGCGTTTCTCCCAGTCTCTGTTGAGAACATGGCCCAGCATAACAGGCGGCCGCCATATAGTCCTTACCGTTGGTCCGGCGACAGCGGTCAAGGCACCGATACCTCCTCGACACTGCACAGCCGTGATGGTTCTCCAACCGTCGTGGGTCGACGGGATACCTTTGATGATTTCGAAAAGCCTGAACCTGTCCCAGACTCGGAAGACGATGAAGACCTGCAGTTGCCGCAGCAGCCTAGCAAGCAATCCCGCTGGTTGCGCATCAGCTTCATCGACAAATACCTGTCGGCGCGAATCCCGCATCTGGTCTCATCTCAGGTTCTGAGAGTTGTCGAGATTGTGTACAATGTGGTTGACAGACTGATTCTGCTTCTTGGATTTATCGCCTTGGTGACTGGATTTATCACCTACTGTGGTCTTTTCGTGAGTTTTCCCCAAACTGCGCCCCTTCCACCACAAGGGCGCAGTTAGCAATCCGAGAGCTTACAGAGGACTGACCAAGTTTGGACAGAGAGCCAACAATGTCTTCACGGGCCTTGCCCACTTTATCAAGGGAGGAATTTTCTTCTGGTACGGATTGCTCACCCTTGGACGATGGATGGGTTGCTTTGCCGATCTGGGCTGGGCTTGGAATCTTAAGCCGACCCGCACCGAAGTCGGCCAATGGAAGTCGAAAATCCCTTCGGCTGAATTCACAGAATCCTTTGTCATTTGGCTGTATGGTGCAACCAATGTCTTCTTGGAGCATCTTGCTGCTTGGGGCGGAGAATGGTCGGCGCAGGACCTTGAACATGTTTCAATCACCATCATGTTCTTTGGCGGCGGACTGGTGAGTTCCTCTTGTTCTCCGCTTTTGTTTCCCCCAGAATCCCCGGCTAAATCATTTTCCCAGTGTGGTATGCTCGTTGAATCCAGCACCGTGCGCCGCTGTCTGAACACGATTGTCGACAACATGCCTGCCCGAACAGATGTTCATCCGAGTGAAGCGCTGGAGCTGCGCGAGACACCGAAACAGTACACCACATCTCTCAACCCTATGCCGGGCCTGGTCATCATCCTCCTCGGAATCATGATGTCCTCGCATCACCAGGACTCGATGGTTTCTACCAACGTACACGCACAATGGGGCACGCTGCTGGTCGGCTTCGGGGTCGCTCGTATGCTCACGTACCTGATCATGTTTCTCTCACCACCCAAGTCGGTCTATCCTACCCGGCCTCCCACCGAACTGGTCGCATCCTTCTGCTTGATCAGTGGTGGAATCATCTTCTGCGCCAGTGCTCGAGACATCGTCTACTATATGGAGACGACAGGTCTCATGGCCATGTTTGTGCTCACTGTCACGTGTGGGTTGACGGCATTCATCATGGCATATGAGATCATCGTGCTGTCACTCAAGGGCTGGGCCATGAGGAGGGAGAACAAGGGCGCGGCTCCCAGATTTTGAAGGCTGAACCACGGAATGTGCGGCGTTGTCCTACGTTGACTGTGTCAACCGAAGACCTGCCTCTAACCGTCAAGTTCTTGTCCCACACCAACCAGAATCTCGAAGGAGCTTGAGGCTCTCGACTCACGCACCACACCTGAACCGCGGATATTTCTTTTGCGTTATAACAGCTTCTTACGATCATTGACCTGCTGGACGGCTCCCCATCCATCAAGCATAGCCTTGCGGAAGAACGATACCCGACTATACCGATGAATTTACGACCACATCCCGAAGGTTTTTTTTTTGGAGAGGACCCTAATGAGGAAGCGCGAAAGGAGAAAAACGAGAATGGAGGAAGCAGCCTCATTATTATGCTTATCTGGCTTTTCAAAACGCACGATACCCCTTTTTACAGAAGACGCTGCGCGCCAGTCACGTTTCTGCGTCGCTACCCAGCACTGTCCATCGGCGTCGGCGCGCATCTGCCATCCAGTGATACCCCCAAACCCAAATCCATAGATTACTGCGGCAGCTGGCGATATAGGCTAGCTAGCTGGTTTATTGTTCATAGTCGGCGGTGGAAAACCACGGCCTGCCCTGTCCTGCTTCGTCCAGATAAGGGCAAACCTAATAACCAAACAAGATTATCCACATTCAACTTCCAAAATCTTCTCAATGAGCTCGATCAACCTAACGAAGTCCTGTCCAACTTTGGACGGGCCTTGGCTGATAAAGGTGAGGAGAAACTGCTCGGAGCTCAGACGCGACTCACCCTCTCCCCCACCGTCGCGCTCACCTCGCTCACCTTCACACTCACCCTTTGACCTGCAACACCATGGGAGAACCATGAAACTGCCACTTTCACGAGGCCAAACGCCCCCCTTCAGCCTAGCGAGCAAGGTTACAATTAAGCCAGGGTCGACGTTGGCGTATTGAGATCTTGCCAAATCCAATGCCCAATTGAGTACCTGGTTGTCCAAATCAGAATACCTACTTATATAAGAATTCTTCAATCATAGCAACGATTTAGACTCAGACGAGTTGCTCTGGCCAGCACTATTTTGTTGGATTTTATAAGCGATATTGCGTGGATGAATCGTGTCCATTTAAGCCAGCGGAAAAGGCCTCGAGCCTGGTCACTGAAAGAACCTGTGTCTGAGAGGACGGGCTGTAGCGGAGGTATCGAGGAAGCGAGCGCCAGACGGCGACCAGAATATCAGGATAATTCGAACGTAGATAGCTGCGACCGGCATAGACGAGGCTGTACCAAGTCTCTCGTAGAGGGGAGGCAGAGGTCGAGGCTTGACGAGGACTCTCCAGAGCAGCTAATTTCAGGATAGTGGGCAGGATCAACGTGCAATTTCTCCGCAGTCTGCAAGTCTGCAACCGGCTCCGGCGACTCCAAAATTCTCCTGCGTCGATTAATTATCCAAGGCACGAGACACTGCATTTCTAGTCTTATAGTCGTGTTCCCCCGAGCATGGCCTACAGCAACTTGGACTGTACCTCTACGCATTGAAGAGTCCCAACTCGTATCATCTCAATGTTCCGCATTTCCCCCTTCAACTGCACCCTCTGACAAAGCATTGAAGCGCCCGCTGGTGCCGCTGTCGACCACCATCTTCCTATATCGGGCGCCCAGAATGGCAGCACCTCGAGCGGCGCCGCGAATAACGACCAACAGCCTCCCTCTCCCAACCCGATTGATCCAGCCGTCGCGGATACGCTCCTACCTCCTACGTCTTCCGCTCTTTACTCGCCTGATTCTCGTCGCAATAGTCGCTTTCTGGCTGCTCGAACTGCAGACCGTCTGGAGCGTGATAAAATGGGGTTCGTTAGAGCCCAGTGAAATCAACCTGGGTAGCATGTATAGGCTGAACACATTTGTCTTGATACACACGGGGTTCTGGCACATGTTGATCAATACCATCTGCCTGATGCCTTTGCTAGAGAGGTTCGAGGCTGAATTTGGCACATTGAACAGCATTGCCTTGTTTATGGGCCGTAAGTCTCTCATGCGCTTTCGGAAAGGAGAAAGGGATCCGGATGGCTCGGTTTCGATGTGAAGGACGGCTGCTAATCCATATCACAGCGCTGGGACAAATTCCCGCAGTGTTATATTTGTTGTTGGACGGTGTCATCCTCAGAGACAACACGCCCGTCCTCGGGGCAAGGTAGGGAAAGCCACACGACTCGATAAAAGAGACAGGCTGACATGGGCGACCAGTATATGGGTATTCCTCCTTCTTGCGGCCGAGGCAATCAAAACCTATCGGGCGAATCCATATCTGGAGTAGGTCCAGGTCTTGTCCCTTCCTGACCCCAAAGGAAGCGACTGGGTTCTCTACAAGCTGCTGACAAGTGAACAACAGGATCGCTGACCAAAAGATCCCGACTTGGATATCACCATTAGTGATACTGGTGGTGACATCCATATTGATTCCCAATGCTTCCTTCCTTGGACACCTCAGTGGGTGTATAACAGGATATCTGTGTACGTATCTATATCCTTTGGCTGAGCCCCTGTTCACTACGTCGAAGCGCCTGAGTCTAACTACTATTCGAACAGGGGGCCTGGGCTATATTCGTTTCCTCGCACCTCCGGAGAAAGTCCTTCGCTGGATCGAAGGCAAACTCAATCTGCTTGGACGACTACCACACTATGTGTCTGTGGACCAAAAGACTTACGGGCGCTATGGCGTTCTACCCACTAGTTCGACCAGTGGACCAGAAGGTCATATGAGTCCTATTGGACTTGGTTGGATGGGCACCAGCAGTGAAGGGCAGAGACTTGGGCCATGACCGTCTCCCAGCTTTTTGGGGCAGTTTCGACCACTCGAAAAATGTGTTAGAGCATGCAGTAACCTTGGACATTTGGACAAATCCCGCATTGGATAATGGAGCGTCATGTCTGCGGACGGGCACGATAGGTTGCTCGGTGTACTAGTAGCCATATTTGCAGATGGTTTAATGAATACTCGAGGTACAAGTACGTGTATGACTTTGTAAGGGACTTCGCGTTTTCCAGTACAGTGTATCTTGTAGCCGTGCCACGCGTGGCCATTTGGCGGCTAATCTTCGGCATCGCGGGAAGAGACCAGATTCCTCGAACACGTCAAGCACCTTCACCTCGCACCTCGATGCATGTGTATGAAGGCCTTGCAGTGAAGCTATTGATGAGCTGAGCGAGGTCACCATGGGTCTCATCCGTAAGTATGCTCTCTGCTGCCTACCTAGGTAGAAAACCGCAAATTGGCTAAGAAGGGGCTCTATAGGCAACCTCGTCTCAAGCCTCCGTAAGGACGACCCCCGACTACTTCGAATCCCGCCGTACTTGTCCCTGCTTTGCATGCTCGTTGGAATTGCATGGATCCTCCCATTGCCTTTGCAAGAGTACTCTCGACAAACCTACATATCAGAAAACGCGCTCCTTCCTGGCCAGGTCCATACTTATTTCGGCGGTAGCGAACAGAATGTCTTTCGAGCATATCGACACGAGTTGGCTACGGTCCTGGAAGATGCTGCGACGTCTGCCGGCAACGAGACCCTGGGGAAAGCAGAGCAGAGAGCCCGGAAACAGAGGACAAGTGAAAAATTGGAAGAGCTTTTCCGGAACGCTGGCTTGAAGACTGCGAAGCAACGGTACTCGTATGTATCGTCTGGCCAAGTTTACGAGGGAGAGAATGTCTATGCTGTTCTACACGCGCCTCGCGGCGACGGAACCGAAGCAATTGTACTTGTCGCACCACTCAAAAACATCGACGGCGTCCCAAACGTGAATGGTGTGCCGCTCCTTATTTCCCTGTCGCGCTATTTCAAACGATGGTCTCTATGGTCGAAGGACATTATATTCCTGGTCACTCCGGACAGTGTCGCAGGACCTCAAGCATGGATTGACGCATACCACTCGACCCATGATTCATACAGGGTGCAAGACCTGTCGTTGAAGTCTGGTGCACTTCAGGCTGCTGTTTGCATCGATTACCCATTTGAACATCGCTTCGAGAACCTTCATATTGCGTACGACGGCATCAACGGCGCCCTACCCAACCTGGATCTGTTCAATACCGCCGTGTCGATTGCATCTGGTCAGATGGGAATTGGGACATCGATCCAGTTCCAACACACCTATAGCAAACATGAGCAGTACAGTTCGTACCCTGTTCGCCTGCAAACGCTCGTCCGCGGAATGTCATCCCAAGCCCTCGGCCATGCGACTGGTCCCCATTCTACCTTCATGTCGTATCATATCGATGCAATCACCTTGACAGCCACGAACGAGGGCTGGCAGGACGAGATGGCGTTTGGGAGGACGATCGAAAGCACGTGCCGAAGTCTCAATAATTTACTGGAGAAACTGCACCAGAGCTTCTTCTTCTACCTATTGATGCAGTCAAACCGATTCGTCAGCATTGGAACGTATCTCCCAGGTGCGATGATCATGGCTGCTGCTTACACGATTATGGCAATCTACCTTTGGGTGTTGAGTGGCTATCAAGTCGGCGAGAAAGAAGCAGAGCGCCCGGCGGTCAGCAAGATGGAGAATGGGTCCACAAAGACTACAAGCGTTTCGAAAGCGACCATGTCATTGCCGAAAGAGTCACCATCAAAAATCGAATTCAAACCAGTCGACAGGCAACTCATCCTCCCAATCGCCCTTTTAACAGCGATACACCTAGCGTCTCTCATCCCACTTTATCTTCTTACCTCACTGAGCTTCAGAGCCATGCCCTCGACATTTTTCCTGATAACGGTTGCCCTCCTTGTGCTCCCAATAGTTCTAGCATCAGCGCTTACCGAAATGCCGAACAACACAACCTTACCTGCCTTTTCTGCGCCCACGAATGAGCAATACGTTCTCACCAAGTCGCTCAGTCTTTTAATACTTGGCCTCTTCTTGACAGTCCTAGCGACACTGAATTTCAGTCTCAGCATGTTTCTTGGTATTGTTTGCATACCATTGGTCTTTGTGGATAGAACTCGCTCCAGGCCAGGATTCTCACTTGTTCAATATCTGATACTTGCCATCGTGAGTCCAATGGGGCTCGCAATTGGATTGAGCGCGTATGGCGTCTTGGTCTTGGGACGAGACGATGTTCTTGTGCAATGGCTACAGCAGCTCGCTCTGGGTTGGAACATCTGGGGTAGCTGGGGGGTTCCCGTTGGCATTCTGTGTATTTGGTTGCCTGCGTGGGTTGTAGGTGCGACTTTGGTGGCTAGCTCTTGGTTCACAACGACAGAGGCGGTCAAAGATACTCAAGGCGCCTGGAAGAAGGCGGCATTGAAAACATCATCGTAACGAGACGGCGTTGAATCAGCAAAGATTCAACACGAAAAGGATAAAAGAATTCCCCATTGAAGAGCTCCATTCTTCATAGGGCAGGACTTCTGGAGTTCGACATTTGTACAACTACTGCCCCTGGCTTACCATGCTCGAGACCTGAAGTTTCCAGGTCATAGACGTATCGACTGGACGCTTTTCAAAGGTAATCAATCATCCTTGAGGGCTGTCGCTCGAAGGTCCCGTCACCGCTCCAGCGCAGCTTGGAGTTGGTTCCGTCTCGTCTATAAACGCCCTTCCAATATGTCTCAATGCGTTGAGCACAAGGCCATGCGTACTCGGTACGGCTCAAGCTGATACGAGGCTGGAAGGTGTCATGCACCAATCGGTTGAGCTGTGTCACGATGGGCATCCTTGAGTGTCAGGATTTCCTGACTAATGACGCCCTCTCGGCCGCGATGGTCGAGGCTGATGGGGGGAAATCCTCCTGTGCGATACATGCATCGCGCGGCCTCGACTCCGGGTTTATTAGATTGATGTCTATTCTTTGTCCGCTCTATGGCACCGACTGTGCTTTCAAGGGGCTGGAAATTTTCAGGTCGTGGATTGCAACAACGAGGGACGCTGTCTCCGAACCATCTTCATGACCGTTTTATGTACAGTACTCTGTTCGTTAGAGCCGAGCTTCAATCCTATGCATTAACAAGCCGAGCTTGTCGCCCGGTAACAAAAAAGTAGTACACCCGTCCTTTGCAGTTGCTATTCTTCTGACCCTGGGTATTTTCCCCGCCTTTCTACTTACCTTCTTGGTTCTTAAATCTAAGTAATAACAACTGCTCAGCGTGGACGGGCATTGGCTTTCCTCTCTCTCTGTCCTTCCCTCTCCCTTCCCCCCTGCCTTTCTCCCTCCCTGTTCTTCAGTCCTCACCGTTTTACCCTCCAAGGACACCATCTCCATGTCCGTATCCAAAGACAAGTCACCGGCACCGGCACCGGCACCGGCAGAGGCCGACAAGGTCGACCACGGCCGCTGCCTCTGCGGAGCCGTGACGTTCACGGTCGTGGGCGAGCCTATTTATAATGTCGTGTGCCACTGCGAGAATTGTAGGTGCGTGGCATCCTCCTTCTTTTTTTCTTTCCTGGGCGCTTTTTGAAAACTCGAGGGCTTCTCTTCCTGCTTTGATTGGGTTTTTCTTCGCCCCATGGTCCCGTACTCGGGCTGGGAAATACAGAATGTGATTGTCGGGGGTTTGTTGCGCATGCGGTCGTGGTGCTGAAGCGATGGCCTTCGTGCCGCGTTTGGTGTATTCTCGTGTCTGGGAGAGATGTGGATGGATCTTGTTGGGTGATTTCTATGAGGATGTTATATGCTTGAGCGAGATGCACGGCGTGATGGTTCAGTTACAGCCGGGATCAAGGCATGAAATGGCGATGGATATAGTGAAACAACGGGGTTGTCAAGGCCACAACTGCTCCAGAGGACGGGCAAAAGACGCGATAACACATGCTGACTTCTCCATGCTACCTAGACGACAAGGAGGAAGCACATTGCACTGTGCAAGCATCTTTCCCAAGAAGGTGAGGGTCACTCCCTCCCCCCTCGCATTACTCATACATGATCATACCCTAACTAAACCCTTCGCCTCCCCCTCGGCTTCGGCAGAGCTACACCCTGCACACCGGCCTCTCCAACATAACCACATACACCGACCTCGCCACACAATCGGGCCAACCGCTTTCCCGCGCCTTCTGCAAGATCTGCGGCTCCAAGGTCTGGGCCAAGACACCCCTGAACAACGATATCATTTCGCTGCCTGCAGGCGTGCTGGACGGTGCTGTGGAGAAGTGGACGCCGCAGAAGGAGCAGTTCTGTGAGGTGCGGTGTAAGTGGGTGCCGCAGGATTTGGGGGGAAGTGGTGTGAGGGAGAGGTTTGGGAGGGGGCCGACGGCGAGTGGGGTTGGGGGGTTGACTACAGGTGGTAATGGGGGGAGTGGCAGTAAATTGTAGTATGAATGATGGAGGAGGTTCACTTGGAGGGGAAAGAGGGAAAGGAGGGATGGGAGGCAGAGTGAAACAGGAGATATACTGAGGTAGAGTAACGGCAAAGGGAGGAAGGGCGTGGGAGGGGATGGATTCAGGATTGAGAGTATTAGACGTATATTGATAAAGAAGTTGAAGGGGAGGGGGAAGGGGGAATGCGGTCGCACAAGGGATGGACGAAACTGCAGAGAAAGCAATGACTCGAGAACTAGGATATGGTTTGGATTCAGAGAGGAAGAGACCAAGAGAACAGGTTATGAGGACATGTATGTATATATTGCGGATCCACCGAGCCGGACTGGATTTGGACAGACAGACAGACCGCTACGCTGTTATGTTCATGGCTTGACATATAAGAACGTGATTGTATTTATACTCGTCATCTTCCATCTCATCAACATTTTGTCCTGTGTACCACCCATCGACCAGCTCGCGGTTTTGTGAAGATACGACGCACTGAAGTCGCCCGCTTCGATGATATTCAGACAGGTTGCCGATGTCCCACCATGGGTCAGCACAGCATGACGGCCAGGATCGGACCGGAGCCCAAGGCCGAACAGCCCAGTCCCGCAGGGTTGGTGCACACTCGGGTTGGTCGTGGTCAGATCATAGCTTGCTCGCTCCGTTTACATCTCGCTGTTTCCGATCCTCACGATTTTTCTCGGCCATCTTCAACAGCGCATACAGGCTCTGCATCCTGGGCATCTCGTACCCTTTCTCCCTGGCGAGGCGGATCGGGTTGCCCAATATGACCTCGAGCTCCATTGGCTTGCCGGCCTCCCAATCCAGCAGCATGCTAGGCTTGCTGCCGGACGTGTTCCTCCTTGTCGACCGCAGGATCTGCTCCGGTGTCGCGAACCCAGCGGGGAAGGGAGTGCCGACGACCTTGGGGGCGGTCGTTAGCACTTCGTCCATCACCCCTTTTAAGTGTCTCGAGATTTCGGGGTCGTTGGACATGGCTTCGTTGGTCGATCCGCCTGAGAGTACGGCCGAGGGGTTCATGGATGCGTTGATGGCGATCTTGTGCCAGCGCACGAGCTGCAGTTTCTCGTGCGTGTCGGCGATGGCGTCCTTGATCCCTCCGTCCTTGGAAAGGAGCAGGTCGACGAATGTCTGGTTCTGGGCCGTCGCCCTCGCCTTGTCTTTAGCTGGGGCAGGATTGGTGTCTGGGAAGAACGGCCCCACGTTGATCCGTGTCCAGCGGTTGTGTTTGATGTGCCCGTTGGAGGGCTGTGCACAGGACGCAACCGTCACGGCACTCAGGACGGTGGATCGCGGGAATCGTTCGCTGTACGGCTGCTCCACGCCCAGGCCGTTCTGGATCAACACGATAGCCGTCCTGTCACTGACCAGGCCCTCGAGCAGTTTCGAATCGTCCGACACGTTGGGCAGGGCCTTGGTGCTGACCACGACAAAGTCCCAGGTGACGCCGCTTTTGCGGGCGGACTCGGGAGAATCAAACGTTCGCGTCGGCGTCCACGTATAGTCCCCGTATTGCGAGGAGGTTATTTGGAAGCCGTTGGCCTTGACGGCCGAGTAGTTTGAGCGACACACCACAGAGACATTGGTATTCGCGTTGCGAGCTACCCGGGACGCATAGAACGCCCCAATGGCGCCGGCGCCGAAAAATAAGACCTCGAGGGGCATTTCTGTTGGAAGGAAGAAAGAGAGCAATGCTTGAGGATGTGACAGAAACCTCGTAGGGGAGTGCTCAAGGTAATATACCGGGGAGATTGAGGTCGAAGCATGATACCATTGATGCCGAGGAAGGACGGCGCCTCAATGATTTGCCGGCGACACTGCGTCTCCGACTCCACCAGCCACGAGCACCGCCTCGTCGTCAGCCTCGTCACCAGCCATACATCAGCCACATGTTTACGCCACTTCAACGTTCGTCACCATCCAATCCACCGTCAGCTTTGTAGGCAGACGGGAGTTTGACACAGCAGCTGAATGTCCAGCTTCCATATCACCAAACCGCCTTTGGCCACGTTCTGGGGCCAGTGAGTGACTACTTATATAAACCTCGCCTTCGAAAAAGGGCATGCTTTTCTTTCTCTCCTTCCTTTTCATTCTCCTTTCGTGCCCATATCCATCCTTTACCCAGTTCATCCCTCAACTTGACCTAGACCAGACTTACCATACAATAATGGGTGGCGGGCACGGAATCCGCTCAGTCGTGTATTACGTGAATTGGGCGCCCTATGCACGCAATCACCACCCCCAAGACCTGCCCGCCGAGAATCTCACTCACGTCCTTTACGCCTTTGCCAACGTCAAACCTGACAGCGGCGAGGTCTTTTTGACGGATCCTTGGTCTGACACCGACAAACATTACGACGGTGATAGCTGGAATGACTCGGGGACGAACGTGTACGGGTGCCTGAAGCAACTGTTCCTCCTGAAGAAGAGAAACCGCAACCTCAAAGTGCTATTGAGTATTGGTGGCTGGACTTACTCCTCAAACTTCGCTCAACCGGCCAGCAACCCCGGGGGCAGGAAGCATTTTGCAGAGACGGCGGTCAAACTGCTGGAGGACCTTGGATTCGACGGCATCGACATCGACTGGGAATACCCCAAGAATGAAAGTGAGGCGGAAGACTATGTCAAGCTCCTTCAGGAGACCCGCCACGCCCTCGACGCGGCAGCTGCCAAGCGTCATCATACGAGGTTTTACTTGACTGTCGCATGCCCTGCTGGGCCGTCCAACTTTGAGAAACTCAAGATCGCCGAGATGGACCGCCTGCTTGACTTTTGGAACCTGATGGCATATGACTATGCCGGATCGTGGGATCAGCGAGCGGGACATCAAGCAAACCTGTTCCCTTCGCGATCCCACCCTCAGTGTACGCCGTTCAGCACCGTGGCTGCCATCGAACATTACACCAGGCACGGGGTGCATCCGTCCAAAATTGTCCTGGGAATGCCCCTGTATGGCCGAGCCTTTCTATCGACTTCCGGACCCGGACATCCGTTCAATGGGGTCGGCGAAGGAAGCTGGGAGCAAGGTGTCTGGGATTACAAAGCACTTCCAAAGCCTGATAGCACCGAGTACCACGATCGTGATGTCGGTGCCAGCTGGAGTTACAGCCCTTCCTCGAACACCATGATAAGCTACGATACGCCTGACTTGGTAGCTCAGAAAGCGAACTTTGTCCGAGATTATGGCTTAGGCGGTGGCATGTGGTGGGAGAGTTCGGCCGACAAGGCAGTCGGACAGGGTAGTCTGATTGAGACATTCCTCAGGCAGAGTGGTGGGCCGAGTCGACTGGAAGAGATCAAGAACTGCCTTGAATACCCTGAGACCAAATACGACAACTTGCGGAACAAGTTCGAATAAGGCCAAAAGCGTCACCTGCCATAGTTAGCCGGAAGCTGAGGCGTTGACAAACAGCTAAATGCATCAGATTGAGAGGCTGTCGACAGTTGCACAGATCACTTTCTCAAATTTCAGACGCATAGTCAGGGACGGTTCCGTAGTCATGGAGCTTCGCTTCATTCTAATGCAATCGACAGGGTGTCGAGCCGCTTTTTGTGTAACCTGAAGACAAGATGGAAGGCACCCGCGGATAGGAATGGAGACGCCCCAGTCGAGACAGAGGAAAGCTGCCCGTCAATCATTGATGTGCGTCGTATTGGCAGCCCTAGCCTAGACAGTCTGAGCAAGGAACGAATCTGTACATGTCATCCAGGAGAGGAGTGTTCAATACGAGGTAGAATTCAGCTGCCTCCCACACCTCGCGCATTAGCCGTACCAATGGTTCCCCACTAGGTGAGGCATGCCACTTGCTTCTGTCAATATTACACACCATTGAGGATCTTTCTCTTACCTAATCCAGTCATTCCTGCTTGTCTGAGGCTGTCGCCTGGTTGGCTGCTTTGTAGCAGAGTGCTGTCGATGAAGGCCACGAAATCATCCCCTGGCGAGCCTTTGTCGATAGTGACCAGGGCCCTGGCACCGCGAATGGGACGACCAGCAGAGATCTGCGAGATTGACATGGGCCTTTCAGATTGCGTACTCGTCCGATCAGCATAACGCTAGATCATACATGCCACCGACCTCATCGTTGGTGAAAGTAGGCCAGGTAGCGGAAGGGCGAGCTCACAGTCTATCAATCGACCCGATTTTCTGCAGGCTGATGGATCCAGAGGTGCGGTATCTCCACAAGCCACTTTTGTCATGCCAAAAACGTGCTTCATCTTGGCGATGTACGAGGTAAAGGGGGTATGCAGGCCAAAGCCCGCCACTGACGCCTTGTCATCTTTCCTTCGAGCGCAAGTCCTCAGAACCGTCGGGAAGTTCCCGTAGGAAAAGGGTATCATGCTCATCGGCAGACCTCTCTCCGCGCAGTCAATCGGACAGAGATTTCCACCGTGGACTGATGATGAGAAAAGCATTACTCATGCAATACCAGGGTGGTTGGCCTGCAACACCTGTCAAGGCTGCAGTGAACAAGGAATCCAGATCCAGGGAGCCATCATTGGGATTCTGGGGTCTGGAGAAGACGAAACCCTGGTGTTTGAAGATGTGCCCCAGAGCAACATCAAAAGCCATCTGAAACTCGGACTCGAGCTCCAAACAAATCCCAAGCCTTTCTGACTTACCCCTGCACATGCTCCACCTCAGCTGGGTCACCCCTTACCTAGTTCGTTGGAGCTCTGGAACCCACAGATGGCGCTGCAAGACACTGCAAAGATACGCCTTCTCGAGCCCCGGTTCAAAAAGGCTTCATCTGCGGTGGCTGATCTAGACTTGCCAGGTTTCGTTTTTGCTAGATCTCTTTATGGCATACCAGGCCCATACAATTGCCATTCAAGCCAGCAAGACGAATTCCAAGCAACGAGCTATCTTTCAGTAGTCAGATACGCATGAGGTCCAAGCTCCCGGATACCAAAGTGCCCATTCTTCCTATTGGGTGGGTAAGCCTGACATTGGGCTGCCACGGCTTCTCTCCTTGCATGCATGTGGTTTTTTTGACATTTGATGAGCATTTCCGGGAGAGGATTTCAAGAAATTAACATGCCGGCCAGAATGAAATATCCAAATTTGCTAGGACGCCGAGGTACATTCTTGCGGGTGAGGATCAATGAGGGAGCAACAAGGATGTGCAGTGGGATGTTGATCGGCAAGGCTCAGGCTGAGGGCGTACGGAGTAGTAGGTAGATTTGCATCTGATCGTCCGTCCGCAGTCCGACTCGATGTACCCTAGAGTCATAGATGCTACTGTCTGCTACGCGAGAGAACATCTCGATTAGCCCAGAACAACCATGTTCACCGTCCCGTAACTTTGTACTCCTCAAATGGAATGCCGCCCGGGATCTGGAAGCAGCCTCGGGAAAGTCAAAGGGAAAGGATTCTGGGATGCGCCAGGGCGGTGGTGGCTTTCATGAGCTGGTCAGCGACTCGGCGTTGTTGGCGGTTGAAGGCTTGAAAAGGGCAGGGATGCAGACCGTTCATCCGGAGTCAGTTGACATTCTGATTTACCCCTGAGAGGCACAGAAGAGGAAGGGATGAGAGAGGAGGGAGAAGAGATCAGAGCCAACCCCGCCAAGCCACGGGCCGCCTAACCAGAGGTAGATAGGTCTCCTAGGTGCCTGGCGACGCCTAACGAGTCACCTACGAGTACGAGTTCAGCAGGAACCCACCCCCTCCACCCTCACTACGAGTACCTTAAACTCATAAGGCACTGGCATGCAGCCTAGTGAGCCTGTCAAAGCTGCATGAGAGACAAGTTCTCGTACTCCCATCATCATGCGCTACTACTGACACGCCTTTTCTTCTTCCTCTCGTTTGCTGCCAAAAAGTTTATTGCCAGATCATAAGTCTAAACGCCCCCTCTGGCCCCCTCCCTCCAGGCATTGAGTCCACCGCCTAGGCTTGACTGGGATGCACCCCAGGGCAGGGATTGCCAGGGCTCGCTCTTCCATTTCCAGGCACTATTACTACCTGACCATCTTGCCGTCCAATCCAGAGCCAACCGAGCCAACCCCCTTCTCACCTGCACCCTTCCTCCCTCTCACTCCTCGAACAGTTCCTATCCCTCGTCTATCCACACATCCACACTGCCCATCCATTCACAGTTCCAAAAATCCAATCCTCCATCAACACGCCCTGACGACCTGACGCCCGACACCCTCCTTGCCTCCTCGACCCTCTCCTCCCCCCTATCATTTCTGACCATCCAGCTGCCGTCCTCCCACTCCCCTTCATTCGTCCGCACGGCTGTTCCTGGTTCCTGACAGACTTCTGTCCAACATCACTCCTTGCCTTGCTGTTCGCTCGCTGCCACTTCTCTTATCTTCGCCCCGATCGCCAACCAGCGTCTTCCACGCATCCCCCCATCTACCACGTTCTCCGTTGTCACCCTCTGCAGTCGCATACTTCGAGCCGCAATCCTCCTTCTGCGCCGCCAGTCACAGTGCGCCTGCACACACCTCAATCCCACCAGACTTTCTCTTTCAACGCCCGTCCTGCGAACCCGCCCCCCCGCCAGTTCACTCACAACGCACTCACCTTACCGTGTTTCACTGTTCAAAATATCTGTAATCTCTGTCGGGTGGAGCTTTGTTGCTTGTGTTCGTTCGAAATCTGCATCTTGACAGGAGACGAAGGGAGGAGACATTATTTACATTACTCTCGCGCCGGTCGCATTGGACGTTTTCCTCCCCAGTCAAAACTTCAACGCAAATAATACCGCAATCTGCCTTTTCCAGCCCGATATTTCCAACCCGCCTGCGTCTGCTTCCCGGGAGGAAACGATTGTGCATCACCGATCCCAGATGACCTGCGGCCCGTTCTGAAACACGCCCGACGTTACAATATCATACAACCCCCGAGTTGCATATAGAGTTCATATCCTCCTTTGGATCCTGTTGCCCAGCCCTTAAAGAGTAGATGAGCTCTTCACTCCGCTCCGACGTGCCCAGGCGTGTCTCCAGCGCAAAGGACCGCTCGAAATCGCGTCGATCCAGGCAGGGTGCCGACATGGCGGTCGCAACCATGCTCCAACCGGCCTCGCGAGGCTCGACCTCGACCAACTCCTCCTTCGAACCGGTCAGCCGTACCAATACCTTCTCGAGCCACGATGGCGCTCGCTCCTTGCGACAAAGCAAAAGGGTCAGCATGACCGCCCTCTATGCGAGCATGAGCGCAAAGGACAAGGACTTGGAAATCAGCGATGAACTCGCTCGTGCACAACGCTCGCTCAGGGATTTGAAGGTCAAGATTTCAAATCAGTCCAAGAAGAACTTCGTCCTGGAAAAGGACGTCCGCTACCTGGACTCAAGAATTGCCCTGTTGATCCAAAATCGCATGGCCTTGGAAGAGGTAGGTTTGCACCACACAGGCCGAATCAATGAACGTTTGTACTAATACCATACCAAGCAAAATGAGGTTGCCAGTCACCTTGACGAGGCCGCTGAGCTCCAAGAAGGATCATTTCCAAACGACGACAAGACCCAGAAATACGGCAACCTATTCTTCATGCTTCAGTCCGAGCCCAGGCATATCGCTCATTTATGTCGTCTGGTCACCATGGCCGAGATTGATTCCCTATTGCAGACCGTCATGTTTACAATTTATGGAAACCAATACGAGAGCCGAGAAGAGCATCTACTGCTGACCATGTTTCAATCGGTCTTGACCCATCAGTTCGAGACAACACCTGAATATTCCTCTTTACTCCGTCAGAACACTCCGGTTTCCCGTATGATGACCACCTATACCCGGCGCGGCCCCGGGCAGAGTTTCCTCAAAGAAGTGCTTGCCGAAAAGATCAACTCGCTGACCGAGCTGAGCGACGTGGATCTTGAGATCAACCCCTTGAAAGTCTACGAGGCCATGGTCAAGCAAATCGAGGACGATACGGGCGTTCTCCCGGAAGACCTACCCCGGTCTGTCACTGCCGAATTTGCTGCGGAGAACGCACAAGTGCAAGCTATCATTACGCCACGGCTCAAGATGCTGACCGAAATCGCGGAAGGATTCTTATCTGCGATTATTGAATGCCTGGAGGAGACACCTTATGGAATCCGTTGGATCTGCAAGCAGATTCGGAATCTCTCGCGGCGCAAGTACCCTGATGCCCAGGACCAGGCGATTTGCACCCTGATTGGTGGCTTTTTCTTCTTACGCTTTATCAATCCTGCCATTGTCACTCCAAAATCTTACATGCTGATTGAGAGGGTGCCGGACGAGAAACCCAAAAGGACCCTAACCTACATTGCCAAGATGCTGCAGAATCTGGCCAACAAGCCGTCATATGCCAAGGAACCATACATGGCCAAACTGCAACCGTTCATCCAACGGAACAAGGATCGCTGCAACAAGTTCATGTTGGACCTGTGCGAGGTTCAAGACTTTTATGAGAGTCTGGAGATGGACAATTATGTGGCACTGTCGAAACGTGATCTCGAGCTTCAGATCAGTTTGAACGAAGTTTATGCTACTCATGCATTGCTCGAGAAGCATAGCTTGGAACTGGCCAAGGATCCTTCTTCTCACCTAGGAATCCTGCTGCAGGAACTTGGCCCAGCACCACCGCAACTGCCCAGAAAAGACAACAGGGCGATCAACCTGCCTCTCTACAGCAAGTGGGAGACAACCTTCGACGATCTGACCCACGCCCTTGACATTACTCCAGAAGAGATCCATTTTATGGAAGCAAAGAGCACCTTTGTGCAAATCATGCGAAGCCTGCCGCAGAATGCGGTGGTCATGAGGCGCCCTCTTCGCCTTGACCGGGTGGCCGAAGCGGCAGGGACTCTGAAGAATGACGCTGTCATGGTGCGGAAAGGCATCCGGTGTATGGAGCTCCTAACGCAGCTGTCTGAATGGGGGGCGATAGATCGTGCTGACGACTATGCGGTGCTCCGGGATGAAGTTGAGCAAGAGCTGGCCCACCTCGGCTCGTTAAAGGAGAAGGTGTTGGAAGAAACGGCCAAGTTGGAGGATGTTTATAAGACGATTCGCGACCACAACGCATATCTTCTGTCCCAGCTCGACACGTACAAGAATTATCTACACAACGTGCGAAGCCAGTCTGAAGGCGCGAGAAGAGGCAAGACGGAGAAGGTGCGAGAGCTCGGCCCGTACAAATTCACCCACGCCCAACTGGAGAAAGACGGTGTGATTACGAGAAGCAACGTCCCCGAGAACCGGAGAGGTAATATCTTCTTCATGTTCCGGAGCCCCCTTGCAGGTACTTTCGTCATCAGCCTGCATTACAAAGGTGAGCCGCATGGCGTTGGCGGGCGAGCAGTGGATTTGATACTAACATGGTAGCAGGGCGTGCGCGTGGTCTCCTCGAGCTGGACCTGAAACTAGACGATCTACTCGAGATGCAGAAAGATGGTCAGGACGACCTCGATCTGGAATATGTGCAGTTTGATGTCTCCAAGGTTCTGACCCTGCTCAACAAACGGTTCGCGAGGAAGAAATAGAACGCAACCTTGGGGCCAGGTCCATCCAGGCCGGGCCGCATGATGATTGGAGCACGAAAAGCACGAAGAGCATATTCAGGCCAGAAATCTCGGAACACGACGACGGGGATGAGCGACACGATCTGAATTTGAAGCAAACAAACACAACTCCCAGCGATTGACGAAAACAAGAAGTCGGCGAGCTGGGCGGGCGCCGCCCCATCGATTTTTGCACTTTCTACCCCCTTTTTGTTTTACTAGGAATCCAAAGCGCGTCATCCAATTTTGTGTAAGTCTAATATTTTTGCATCCGGGATTTGTCTCGAGGTTTGTTGTTGTTGAAGAGCGAGCAAAAGAAAGACTTGGGCGGGGGGAGCGCTGTACTGTGCTGGACTGTCGAGGGCAGCATCCAACGACTCTTGGTTCTGTGTCTGTGTGTCTGTATGACCGATGGAGTGTTTGTATCTGGACCTACGGAGGATGAGGAGTGTGTAATATATCAAACGGGCCTGGCCCCAGACAACCTGCAGGGCGGCAGTTGGCAGTCTTTTGGGAACGAAGTAAAATGAATTGAATTGTATTGGGAAAGACAGCAAGAGCAAGGACATGCGAGCAAGGGACAGTGATAGGGATAGGGGATGGGATAGGATGGGAAATACCATTGTACTAATAGGACGCACGCCCTGTTTTCTGTTTGGCATTTGATACAGAAGATTTTTGCGTACTTTCGACCCCGGCCAGAATTGGGTTGCACTCATATATGTCTAACATAAGATATATATATACATTATATATACCCCGAACTATACTTTGTCCCTTACTATTTTCGTTCAGGAAAGAGAGCGCGGCCGCTTTACTTAGGCACGTAACGGATTCCCGGCCGAGTAGCACCAGCTCGAGCGATTTGGGGCCCATTGGAAGAAAGCGCGAGATGATGTGGGGGCTGCCCAGCTTGATGCCTGTGTTTTCGACCTCGGTAGTATTCAGGACTCACAGCGTTTGTTGAACACGACGGCGTTCTATCCATTCTTGGGATACACACTCCAGAAGGCGTTAAAACCTTTCCATTCATGAGCGAAGATACAGTAACCTACTTCGGTTTAGAGGAACGCTTGAGGGAGTACGGTCAAGTTTATCTGTTCCTACGGTCACAAGGATTGGGGGAATAACAGTCTAATGTCAAAGACTACTGTCGTTATAATACAGTACCTCTGCTGACGCTTCCGATGTCACGTACACATGGCAATAAATGGCCTATGCTTTCTCTTCCAGGTCAGACAGTGAATGCGAAGGCATGGAGTCGTCAAAGTTGCCAGCTATATGAGACAGTCATAAAATAAAAAATGTCCCCAGCAATTTGAACGACCCAAAATCTGTGTAGCTTCAGTTGTCAGATCCTGCATATCTCCTTGATTGGATAGAGGTCAGGGTAAATGATATCCACCACTACCACCGCCTGTACCTCAAAGTGGAATTGTGATTGGAACAGGAGAGAAGTACCTAGGTAGCCACGAATGTTGAAAGTCGATCAGGTAGAAAACCAAAGTTCGCTGGGGGTTTCGAAAGATCACGACGTCGACGTCTGTTGGATCCGCCGGAGCGTACCACTTTGTACCCTCCAATCATTTTGTTTGGAGCTCCATAATTAAATGGATTTGATTCTCCGACTGAATGGGATTAATTCTCCGGCGGCACTCCCTACCAGGTACCTAGGTAGAGCTCGCTCGGTTACCGCAAGTCCATCTCACGATGCCGGAATCGAATTTTTGGCCACGAGGTGCTTACTGAAATGCGGTACCGCTTGCTACTACGGTGCTTGAGAAATCGGAGCGGATTGATATGGTATAGTACGTTTCCTTTTTCTGGTTTTTTGAATGGCCTGCAGCAATTTTCGGCGAGATCTTGAGTGTCTTGAAGTGGTAGCTTTGCTTTGCCGACCACGTTTTTTTTCTCTCCCCGATCCCCCTCAACCCACGGTCTCCTGTTCCACCCGTCCAAAGTGACAACTCTGTAAGTGAAAATAACAGATCGCCAAGCAAAGCTTAGGACGGTTGTTCTTCCCAGTGCCATAATGACAGGCTACAGCCAAGCCACTCAATGAGCCTTGTGGGCAAAGCTTCAGCGAAGGCAGTATACGCGTTCTTGATCGAGATTATGCATGGGCCTTTGAGTTACCCCTCAGGTTGGGGGCAATCCTAATCAGCCTCACATCTGACCCCGTTTCAAGCTAAGATCATCAATATTGCGAGGTCTTCAGGTAACAACCGAGGGTATTGACAGGAGATGGTCTGGAAATGCTCGGGTGCGGAGCGATACATGGTAAAAACTGCCGGGAGACAGGGACCCGCTTACTGTCTTCGGCCCCAGTTCCCCAAACCCCAGAAAGCTGGGGATTGATATACTGAGGCTGGCCTGGTCCATGAACCAAAATATTTCTCCTCTTCCGACCTGCTTGCACTTGCTCTTCCGCTGAGTACGTTTTGCTTCCATCTAACAAACGCTTAGACCGCCTTGCTGTGGCACCGCTGCCTCCGCCAAGATGGGTATCTTCAAGTCGAAGATGCACTTCAACAGCTATAACGTTCTTGTCGTTATCTTTGTCGCCATCGGCACTCTCTCTACTGCCTACGGTCTCGCCATTATTGGTTCCACGTCCGGCCAGCCGAACTGTGAGTCTAGAGAATGAAAATAATCGGATACATTATTCATTTGGCTGACCTCTACAGTCTACACGTACTTCAATCTTGCCGCTTCGCCATCTGAACCAGGCTATGACCACACTACCAATGTCTTGGGTGGCCTCAACGGCGCCAACAGCGGTGGTGCCTTTGTGGGCGCTCTTATAAGCGCTTGGTCTGCAGATAAATTCGGCCGCAAGATTACCATCATGATCGGCTGTGTCTTCATCATCATTGGCGGTGCCTTGAACGCTGGCTCTGTTGCAATCTCCATGTTCGCCATCGGACGAGTTGTTGCCGGTGTCGGTTCGGGTATTCTCGCCATCGTCACCCCTATGTACCAAGGGGAAGTTGCCACCGCAGAAACTCGAGGAGCCATGATGTGCGTAACTGGCATCATGTGGGCTTATGGCTATAGCTTTGCTGGCTGGATCGGTTATGGCTGCGTGCATATTCCGGCAGATTCGCCTCACGCTTCGGCTGCCTGGTAAGATTCATCCTTCTTTACAACTCAACTTGAGTTTCTGGCTCCTAATCAACCGTACAGGCGATTTCCCCTCGCTTTCCAATGTGTCCCTCCTTTGATTGTCCTCCTCGGCTTCAAATTCATTCCAGAATCTCCTCGCTGGTTGCTAACCCGGGACCGCCGCGAGGAATCCTTCAACATCATCAAACGCCTGCACGCGGCCAAGGATGATCCTGAACAGATCCGAGCCAAGGAAGAGTTCTATTTGATGGAGAAGCAGCACGAAGCTGACAAGAAAATGACCATCCGGCCCTTCGAGATCTTCCGCGGACGCCCCAACCAGAAGCGATCTGCTATCTCGATCCTGTGCATGTTCTTTAACCAAATGATGGGTGTCTACGTCCTTGCCAACTACGGTGTGCTCATCTATGGCTCCCTCGGTTTGCCCGGAACGATCCCGCTTCTCTTGAATGCATGCTGGACTTCATACACTATCCTCGGAAATACCCTGACTGCCTTCATCGTTGATCGATTCGGCCGTCGACCTCTCATGTTGACCGCTATTGTTGGCTGTGGAGCCAGTCTGATCTTCGAGGCTGCCTTGACAGCTACATACCTCGGAACTAACCACACAGCCGGCTTGAACGCCTGTGTCTTCTTCATCTGGATGTACATCACTTTCTGGTGCTCTTGCATGGTAAGCACTTTACTACTGAAAGATTGCCCTTGGCAGAACTAACAGATCGACAGGACGCCACCCAATTCGTCTACGTGTCGGAAATCTGGCCCAATCACCTCCGATCGCAAGGAACGGCCATGGGTTTGGCCGTCTTTTTCTTGACCTCCGAAATCACCCTGGTTGCCGCTCCGGTTGCCTTGAACACCATTGGCTGGAAATGTAAGTTCTACCGTTTTCTGCTTTAATTTTGTGAGTTTAACAATGATCTCAGTCTACCTCGTGTGCATTTGCCCAACCGTGGTCTACTTGCCGATCTTGTATTTCTTCTTTCCAGAGACTAAGGGTCGTACACTCGAAGAAATTGGATCTCTCTTCGGAGACACCAACATTGCTGCCCATTGGTATGGTATTAGCGACGAGGAGCGTGAGAAGATTCACCAGGGCGCCTTGCATCTAACAGCGGATGGTATGATCGTGGAAGATCTCGAGGAGAATTCCATGACAACTCGCTTGGAGGAGACTGAGAAGGTAATTGAGCAACACACGGAGAAGGTTTGAGCTTACCTTGAGGCTTCATGGGCTCTAGATGATCTCAATGTGCCTCTCCTCCTTACCGTGAGAGTCCACTTAGGATGAGACTACCGGCAGACCGTTGATAGATATCTCGCGAGTTGTGTTGTCTAACACCATAGGGATAAAATATCGTCGCATCTTTCGAAGCTATTATTCCTACTTTCGTTTCAAGGGTTGTGAGCTGTAGTCATAAAAGACCAGGCCTCCTGGTTAAAATCTCGTCACTTTCGCGCCCTGTTCAGAACAGATCATTACGAAAAGTAGATAACACCCAAGTTCTTTCTACAATGCGCTCTACCGCATGCATGAACATTATGTAACCCTCTTATTACTTAACTTGGGGAACAGCTCAAGCTTTCTGCCCTTTGTATGACCGGACACGTTGAGCTTCGGCAGCTTCAGCTTGCTCGATCTCTGCCAATGCATGGAGCTGAGAGCGAGAGAAAGCATCTCCAGCACTCCGCTAGTCACCTGGATCTCCTGTAGGGATCGGAGGGCCGTTTCCGGATTCATGATCATTCCCCACTACGCGAAAGTAGCGAATCGACTTTCTCTGGCGGAAAGCAGTTTGTAGCGAACAGCGATCTCGAAAGACACGACCCATACGCAAGAAGAGGGGTCTTGGCATTAGCCGAATCAATACTAGGCTCTCCTGACGGTGCTTGCAAAACCAGGCTACGATAGATTTCCAGGCGTACGACAGCAGTGATAGGTTTCGTATAGAGATTAGGATAAGAAGCTTATGTAGTCACTCTTGAGACCATACCTAGACTAGGCAATGCATCATCTTTCAAATGGTATAGTGCAGCCCGAAACTTGTTCCTGATGAAGTTGAGCGCGTTATACACCATAGTCCCTAGGGAGCTTTTACAAGAGCATATCATAGTTTTACTTTGATAAAGAACTATAATTCTCCACTAGGAGGACCTTGATCCTGCTCTGAGATCACTGCATGTGTTGTAAACAGCGCTTGATCAAGATCATGAATTGGTCTGTCCCCTTGTGCCTAGTCGCAGGCCGTGCCTGTTCGTTTATATACAAGTTGCTACACTCACAGAAGACCTCTCCTGAGTCCTGTCACACAGGGATCTTCAGGGGCATTGTCCTGTCGCCGTTTGATCAACGTTCCTATAACGTCGATCGCCTGCGATGACCAGGAGGATCGTCAACAGCATGACATAGTCTATATATAGATATCCCAGAATTAGTAATCTAACTCCAAAGTACTACTCCCTATGCAGTAGGGTGCGTCTTTGGGATATAGGATAGTTACTTCTTTGATAGGACAAGTTGCCTAGGAAATAATTATCTTAAGTGCTATCCATTCGCCCAAAGAAGTTCAGAGTCTCGAACTGCGGCGCCAGCTGATCTTGGTCTTGGAATAGATGTAGGAGTGAGCACCGGCAAGCAATATGTCGACACAGGCCCTTTGGGATATCTGTCTCACGTCGAATGCCACCGTCTATCATCACATCCATCGCCTGGAATACTTCCAGGCACTCGACGTGCAGCTCCAGAAGCGTCAGGAGGGCTGACGGAGCCGTATCCAAGGCGCGGCCGCCGTGGTTTCTCACGACGATCCCTTGGCGACAATACTGCAACGCCCGTACGACGTCGCGCACGGACTGGATTCCTTTAAGAACAATCGGCAGCGACGTCTGTTGGCGAATACAAGCTAGATCTTCCCATGACAAGGACCGGTCCATGCCAGAAGAACGGTTCAGAGCACTGATCGTGTCTCTGCTTGCTTAACGCGTTCTTCGTCCTCGCGTTTGTGAGATGACGGGTAAATCCACCGTCACGAATATCTCTTTGGCGCCTCTGACTGTCACGCCCCTCAGCAAGGCAGCTGTCTCTGTCGTGGATGTCTAAGTATCAAAAGAGCTCTTCACCACCTACCGCATATAGGTTGGAGGACCTAGTCTGCTGAAAGTCCTCAACCCAGCATAAATGACATGTCTTTTGTATGTCGCAGCCCCGGATCGACCACGAGATGGACCTGTCAGGGCAGCACCTGCGGCGGAAACGGCTATAAAAACAGGTCAGTCCAAAGTTTCTGGGTTCGGAAGATACATCTCCGGCAGTACATCAAAGTATGAAGCACTCCGGAAAGGCCTAGCACTGCATACCGGCTAGCAGAGCAGCACCATAGTACCAAGCATAGTCGTAAATAGATACCTGGGGGGCAGCCACCAGGCAAAGGAGTTCATCGGGAAGAACATTCCATAGGATGCTAAATTATCTCACACATGTAATAGCGAGGAGGTGACTCTACAAGATGGGAATTAAGGAGTTTCATACTTGACAGTCTTATGAGGATAGTGTCATACGCGCCTGCCGTATATATTTCGGGGGTGGGGGGCACGCCGCGACCTCAAATCAGGCTGTGGGCCACGTGTCTAGACCAGCGTCCAACTTAACACTTCCCTCTCTGTCTGGTCACGCCTTGACGCATTCGATAACCGCAACGTCAGTCGCCAAGCTCTTGTGCACGCCGACCATCTTCAACCCAGCACTCGCTGTCAGGTCATCGAACATCTTCTCGGTCCGCTCCTTGCCACCGAGGTTCATCATACAGAGATCGGTCCAGGCATTCAGGGCCGTGGGCGGATTGGGCATGACTTGCTCGGTGATTAGGACTCTGGAGTCCGGAGCCATGACGTCGGCGAGGTGAGAGAGGATGATGCGATCGTTCTCGTCGGACCAGTCATGCATGCAGCGCCGGATGTAGTAGACGAGAGCGCCTGGAAAGGAGGAAAAAAAGGGGGGTTAGACTCGCGGAGGGAAAGGCGAGGTGGGAAGGAAGGAAGAGAAGGGTAGATAGAACTCGCCTTTGACAGGGTTCGGCTGGAAGAAATCATGCGGAATCTTCTTGATCTCTTCAAACCCGGGTTCGTTGGCCTGAATGACTTCCTCAATGACCGGTGCCCGGTCTTGCAACACCAGTCTCTTGGCCGGGATCTCAGGAAACGCAGCCATGATGCGCTTGAGGGCCTGGCCTTTGCCACCGCCGACATCGACGATCAGCGGTCTGTCCTCGGGACCTTCCGTGTTCTTCGCAATCCAGCTGAAATCGTACATGCCCGTCACCGGCAGCACCTCGTCAAGCGTATTCATGCTCTGATTAAAATCGACCAGACGTTCCGGGTCCTTGCTGATGACCTCCCAGAAATTCTTGTCCGGGTCGCCCCAAGCGAACGAGTGGGGATTGTGATTCCCCAACTTGGGTTCTTTCAGACCGTACTTGGCGAAGAATTGCGGCCACTGGACCCATGGGACCATGGCTTCATCGAACCTGGAAACAGAATAGTCCTCAGTGTCACACATCGCACGAAGCGAGGGGGGCGGGAGGTTTACATGATCTGGAAAAAGACCCCTTGGGCGTTTCCAGAGACATAGAGCTTTGAAAGCCTGGAATGTGCGACACGGTCCTCCCCGATTTGATGGAGGAAACCTGTAACGTGTTGAGACGACGGGACTCGAGTGCAGTCATATCCACCCAAACTGACCTGTAGCCACCATCATCCAAGCCATGCGAGCTTGCAACGGGTCAGTCATGTCTCGGCGAAATGTGCAACCAATCAAGCGTACTGACGAGCGGCACCTCAGCACCGAGACTGGCCGCCAAATCCTCGTAGGAAATGCTTCCTTCCAACGGAATCTTGTCAAATGCTTTCATCTTCATAAACATCCGAATCGCCCCCATCTCGGCCATCTGGAGCAAGTCTCAGTTGGGCATGGTCCAGGGTGTATAGGGAGGGATAAAAACACTCACGTGTGTCGAGAATTCATATGGCGTCTCACCAGGCTCCCGGACGACGTTGATGATCTGCCGGGCCGCATTGGTCATTCGTTGACGCAGCAGCAGACCTTGTTGCCCCGAGGGGTCCTTGTAGTCCTTGGAGGTCTCATAAATCTGATTGGTCAGGGCGTTGAGAGACTCGACGAGCTCACTTGCGGCGACATCCAAGGCGGGCGGGTCGTTTCCTTGGGAGCTCATTGTAGCAGACCAGGACACGGGTGGAAAGCTGAATAACTTTTTCCAGGGATTCAATCGATGCCTGAATAAAAGACCGTAATAGCAGATGACAAGGTTTCTACCTTCGATGAGGGGGATCGAAACCCCTCGATAGGATGCTTCTGCCCCTCACAAGGCCGGCAGGATTACGTGGGAGTTGCAATCAGACCTCTTCCATGGACCATGACACCCATGAGGGCGGCATGTGAAGGGAGGATGGGGACTGGCTCTGACTGTAGACAACAAAGCAAGGTGATATGCACGTTTGCGCAGTTAGGTGCGGCGCTTGGGACGGAACTCTGGCGTCCGCGACTCCGCGCTCCCCTTAGCTTGGCGGGAGGTGATCGGCCACGGAAAGGGTACCTAGCTATGTTGGCAACCGTCTCGATTGAGCTGGTTGCAGGTACGAGGGTGTTTTGGTTGCATCGTGGCCCTCTGTCAATTGGAGTCGCCAATAAAGAGTTGGACGACTCAGCGACTCAGCGTAAGTATTTCGCCGTTCTCGGCCGCTATCGGCACGGCTCGTGGGGTGGCAGAGCCGGTAGTCCCAGCCCACGGCCCCACACACCGGATCCCAGCCTCCGCCAGCTTTCTCAGTTGCTTCTTCAGGTGTGAACTGTCACTGGCCGACCGGAGAGACTCCCCCTGTCAAAAGTACTCCCCCACTCACCAGGAAGCGTCACCCCAAGTGCCGACTACATAGCATCCGTGGTTTCCGCCTAGATTAAGTTTCAGAAAGCTCAATGGTCTGCAAGACGATGGTTGTTCCATATGAGACCACATCATGATAAAATAGAGACGACCAAACAATGGCAGATACACCACCGGACGACAATAATCAGAACCAGCAGACCACGCAGGCGGCTATAGAGCCAGACGTAAGTTCGATCCATGCTCTGCCCCAGGAGTTTTTGCTGAACCCGCTTTATTGCAGTCGGCGCCGGAAGACGAAGGTTTTGCAGAATCGAGGTGATTTGGCTGAGCCAGCCTTCAATCTCCTATATCATATCGCTGACGAAAAGCCCCCTTCAAAAGCACGTCTAGTTACTGTACCTCGATCCAGTCGGAGATCAGGAACGGGCGGATTGAGAATGGTCGTGTGTATGCCGCGTACGGACGGAATGGTAATATGCATATTAGTCCCCAACTCCCCTTCCGAAGACTTTTCAACGTGAATTATTAGAATATGGCTTGCCCGTTGACGATTACGAGCTGGACCGGATCGACATGAACCACGAAAAGTACACTCTGCTGCAGAACGACAAGCTATTTCTTGCCCCGTTGCCTCCGAATCCCCAGAAAATGTTAGATATTGGCACCGGCACAGGTACTTACTTCTACTTTGCAATCCACGAAACCCGAAGCTCGAGAAGAGAGATTCTGACACAGTAGTAAGGAATCTTTGCCATCTACCTCGCCGATATGTTCCCGTCGGCCGTAGTCCTCGGAACGGATATTTCGCCCATTCAACCCCCATGGTTAGCGGTTTTCCTGGTTCAAGTCGAAGAGGTTCAAAGAGGCTGATGAGAAACAAATAGGGTCCCTCCCAATTGCCAGTTCGAAATTGATGATGCAGAAGAAGATTGGCTGTATCCAGAAAACTCATTCGATTATATCCACGGCCGAGATCTCTACCACTCGATTCGCGATTGGCCCAGGCTCATCGGGCAGGTGTACAGGTGAGCAGCAGCTCCAAAGCAAATCCGAAAAAGCGGCCTGCACTAATTAGCGCCGGTTCCAGCCACCTCAAGCCGGGAGGGTACCTCGAACTTGCCTGCGTGTGGCCAGTGCCCAAGAGCGATGACGACACCTTGCCCAAGGAGGGATCAGCATACGTCGAGGTGTGCGACACGTTCCAAGAGATCGCGGCTCGGATTGGGGCCGCGCCTGACGCTCCTTGGAGCTACAGGTCGTGGATGGCCGAGGCCGGTTTCCAGAACATCCACGAGCACATCTTCAAAATCCCCACCTCTCCCTGGCCTCGGGATCCGAGGTTAAAGAAGGTCGGTGCGTTGGAGCTGGTGAATGTCATGGAAGGCGCGCAGGCATTCTTGCTTCGAGGCTATACAGCGAACCTGGGCAAAACGCGAGAGGAATTGGAGGTCTTGCTGGCGCAGATGAGGAAGGAGCTTGTGAGCCAACGGTTTCACAGCTATGTTTCATTGTAGGGAGAACTCCCGTTCCTTTCCCGGTGTAGAAAGGACCCAAAAGCTAATCCGATCTCTAGCGTTGTCGTATACGGGCAGAAGCCGGAGGCATCATGACCGCGGTATGGTAGGGCGATGGAACTTGTACCACAGGATTTGACTAGGTAGTCAATGGACGCTGTTATGACTTTACTAACTAAAGCAATAGTTGCGACAGCAACACAACCGCCTAAGAGGAACTCATTTTTAGGATCCTGTATCATTGGCCGACACAATGTAGCTGTTTGAGGGAGAGAAGAGAACAAATAGTATGGAGGGAGGTGCGCACTCGAAGCACATGAACAAATCAACAAGATGACAACAACGAGGTCAACTAGCTATAGGCCATCCTGAACGAATAGAAGAAGAAAGGATCAGGATCAATCTTTCTAGCATTCACTGTCTGAAAAGCCCAACTGATCTAGTCTGTAAGAAACAAAACTCGTAGCAGTGTGCACTTGTTGTATCTGTACAGGTTTTATGTTCGAATTTGCATGTATGTTCTATGTGTGATTGTAGAAGGTCGTCTCCAACAGCCATCATAAATATGCCAGCATTCAGCCTCGACACTTGCCCATGCCACAGCCTCGTCGCTCTCTCGGCCAATCACAGGGTGGTCTCATTCTTTGCGCGTTGTACCCAGTACAATATCTTTAATAACCTAGGTACCTGGCCTTGTAATTCAACTTTTCTCGTGTCAAATCTGGGCATAATTACCATCTTCCCTCCATGATTGGCCGAGTCATTGCCGTCGAAACACCCTTGGCAGCGTGGTGGTGTGAGAGCCTTATGGTGGCATAGTCGTATGATTTCGAGCTGCAACTCTCCATAAAACACAACCCTACCAACAATGATTCCATGCAAACTACTTTGAAACCCAATTCAATTTACTCATCCATCATTTCAAGGGAAAATTGACAAAATGGGAGTTTCCTCTCGCTTACGGCACGGAAAAAAGTGATCGCAAGTCTACTACTTCAGGCCGACGAGGCACCGACTGAGGATGGTGGACGCCAACCAGAGCAGGATGGATCTTTTTATGGTCCGCACTTGCTGTATAAGGGTGAGAAGCCACTGATTGAGTAAGTTATATCGTACAGCTGCGATTATGAAGAAGATTCTGCTAAAATATTCTAGCATCATATTCATGGCATCAGCGGTCATTACGAGAAGACTTGGACAGCCAGCACCTGATTTTGGACAACTTCGACGAGGAGACTACGATCGAAAATGACATCAGCACATACCTACCACCTGAAGGACAAGGCAGGATTCTGATCACAACCCCAAGGAAAGACGTCCATCTGGGCGCGCAACTCCACCTCGTGGAAATGGGTCTCGATGAAGCTGCGCGGCTTCTGATCAATATCATTTGGGATGGAAGAGAGGTGGAATTCAAAGCCATGTCGGACCGCGCTCGACAACGTCAGCTCGACGACGCGCTTCAACTAGTCCAAAAACTGGAAGCCCATCCTCTTGCGATATCTCTCGCAGGCGCTTACATCCGAGACGATGGGCTATCTTCCATTCAGTCTTACTTGACCCTGCTCGAATCCCAGATCCAGATGATATCACAGACATTCTCGAGCGTACTCCAGGCCCCGGTTCTAGCTACAAACGAAGCCTTGTTGGGGCATTCAAGGCTTCCGTGGATAAGATTAGAAAAAACCACAATTCCTCGTATCACCTTTTGGGTTTATTTGCCGTTCTGAGATCGACCACCATTCACGAGGAACTCTTCAAGTCCGCATTAGTCCATCCCCCAGAGAGCGCATTTGCAGTCGAGGACGCAGCCCTTCCAAAACCACCTCTGCCGCCGTGCCTTGCGTGCATCATTGGCGATCAGGGAACCTTCCTGAAAACGAAATTTGAAAAGTGCGTGGCTTCCCTGGTCAGGTTTTCCCTCGTTAGCTCGGAGAAGGCCCGACATGGCCTGTATCGATATTGTATACCAGGAGAACTAGGTCTCTATCGTCTGCATTCGGTCACACAAGTACTTCTCCGATCGGTCTTCGCCAAAGACCTGGACTCTGAACGAGCGCTTCCAGCAGTTCTCCTTCTGAGCCGCGTAGACTTGAATTGGATCAGAGACAATGAAAGAAACGGCCCTCATTGCTTCGAGCTCATGGCCCAGGCATCAACAGACAGTTTGGACAGTATCTCTGACCCGAATGATGTACTTCCGGAGCTCAATGACGAAGAAATTGGAGTTGCCTTTAATAAGATTACCAAAATGTCCGTGGCGAGGGATCATCTACTCCCGCACTTCGTCGAGGTTTATAAACAATGTCAGCTGGTTCTTGAGAGAGACGCCCGCCCCGGTGGCACAAAATGCCCCCAAAGAGCCGGTGCACAATTTGGACTCACGTTTTGTCGATATGATTTGGCCGACTATGCTCGAGAAATCGCCGAACGACTCGAACAATCACTCCCAGTATGCCCGGAGGAAATCATGGAGTTTCCAGATGGAAGCACTGCAGCAGCAGCGTTCGCAGGGCTCAAACCAGAGCTTTTTCCCCTGGACGTCCGGTTCCTGGAAGTAAATGCCCTTCTCGTCAAGATTCATCTTCTCTCGAGAAATTGGGCAGACGCTTTCCGATACATGGACTGCATCCACGGAGCGCTCCAATCCGAACGAAATCAATGCCCAAAACGTTGGAACTGGAGCTGCTTCCAACCTGGCTCTACGTCATCAACATGACTTTCAGCATACATAGCTATTCCATCGTAGGACATCGGAAGCGCCCGAGGAAGAGATGGAGTGGTTTGAATTGGACGGGTGGAAAGGGTTTGGTGTCATCAAAGAATAGTCGAAGAACATATAATATACCTCTTGCAGTATAAGGAAGGCTCCCTGTTCATATAGTTTGAAAAAAATCATGATGTGATTTTCCAACTCAACAGGCATACATACAGAACAGAAGATTTGGAAGGATACCAGATATTGCCCCGCCATCAGAGCTCACCCGCTTGGAAAGGCAACACATCTTCTCACGGGGTCGGCCTTGACACGGTGGGACCAACATTGGCTGGATTTTACCAAGGTTTGATTAATACAGGTCCTTCCGAACGAATTTTGTAAGCAAGGATACCACAGGAAGAATGGTACACATCACATATGATGCTCTTGGTTTCTATACTCATAGTGTCCATGGTAATAGGTGAAATGAACTTCAGGCCCTGGATATCCGGAGCGCGTCATATATAGCTGTCACATATGCCTTTGTGCAAGCCGAGCAGAAGAACGTCATCTCCAGCTTGTTCATGACATATGAGATGGTGATTCTACGCTCCAGATCCATGATCACGATTGAGCCGCCAAATCCACCCCAGGTGCAGATTCTTCCCGAGGGAATCCAGTCGATCCATGTACCCGCCGAGGGCAGAGCGAAGCCCGTACCCCAGCGGATGGGGACCCGAAATTCAATCCCTGGTCAGGTCCGTCCACCTGAATCTGGAAGACCTGATTGACAGTGGTTTCAGACAGAACTTCCTGCCCATCCGGGGCGCGGCCGTGTCTCGAAATGACAGACATGATTCGATTGATGCCCTTCGCGTTGGTGTGACCATTGCCAGATCCAATCTCGGCCTTTCTGAACTCCAAGCTATTGGCAAAGTCCATCTCCATCTGAGGATTGGACAATGTTTTGGCCATGATTGAACCAGGCTCGATTGGCGGAAAGTCCATCGGAGGCGGGAATATGTCGCTCCTGCGTGGCTCATCCCGTTCTTGACACCCCAGCTGAAAGTTCGCTCCAAGCGGGGCTGATATATCTTCTGCAATGAACCGTTTGAGACTTTTGCCAGAGACTCGTCGCACAATTTCGCCGGCCAAGTACCCAGACGTCAGCGATTGATATCCCGATGCCGTGCCTGGCTCCCATCACGGCTTCTGCTGGGCGAGGAGGGCTGTGAGCTTGGGTACGTTGACCAGATCCTGGATCACTAACGGCTGATCCCATCCCGAGAGACCGGAGGTATGGGACATGATGTGCCGGATCTCGATATTTTGCTTCCCATTCGCAGCAAACTCGGGCCAATACTTGGCCACCTTGTCGGTCAACTTGAGCTGCTTTCGGTCTGCCAGGAGAAGCAAAGCAAACGACAAGACCGTCTTGGTCATTGAAAAGACATTCACTATCGTGTCGCGTTCCCACGGCTTCGAATGATCGCGGGTCTCAAATCCTCCCCAGAGATCAAGGACATCATCACCATCGACGTTGACGACAATCGACGCGCCCAATTCTTCACCAGACTCGAGATAGTTCTGCAGAAGGCTCCGCACGGCTTCAAATCTTTCTTCGCAATGGCCGTCAACAGTGACTGCCATGGCGGACTCTGTCGATGACTCTCAAGAAAGGGCTCGATAAATCTCTTCCCTCGGTGTAGAAAGTTGAGTCGCGTACAGAAAGCATCGCTTTCGACGCAACAGATTTATGTCGCAGTTAAGGTGGAGCCGGGAGAGTTCTTTCATAGCGCGTCTTCGAGAGGTAGCAGACATTCAAATTCAGTGGGACTGTACAAACACGGCTTCTGTGCTTGATTGAGACCACAATACGCTTCTTGGTCCCACAAGAATGAGAGGCGACGATGCGATGATGGGTTGAATGCCCCGGTACTTGGCGATGGGGTTGTGTCTCTCACGAAATTGCTAACTTCCCATGCACGGAAACCCGCGCTTTCCCGTCTCGGCGGGACAATCATCATCGCCATGTTCACTTTCACTTCACTTTTTCCGCCCGCCTCCATTGCTCCTACTCTCCCCTGTCACAGCAAGATGGAATCCCGCGGATTACCTGACCGGAATGGTTCACAGAGACGCCCAGCAATATCCCGTCGCTCAGTAAGTCCAAGTCTGATGTATTAAGGATCAAGACTGAAGCCCATTGCTGAGAGTAGTGTGACCAATGTCGCGCCCGAAAGGTCGGTTTTCCCCTTCCCAGACGAAACCAACAGCGAATAGTGAAGATATCATTCTAGTAGAGGCGCTTAGATCGGTTGCGATCGAGCGGTGCCGTGCTCTCATTGCATCTCGGTGCGCGCTGAGTGCACTCATAGTAAAACTCGAAGCACCACCTTGGCTTCTAAGCAGAGGGTTTTGATATCAACCTAATAGAGAGTGGTCTCGTCATGCTAGGGTCATAGTCTCCTCGCCGTGATGCTCACTCTGTTTCGACCAGCGAACGCAAGATCGATGATCTCGTCAAAAACGTCGATGAAATTCGACGTTTGCTTGCAGACACTGCCGCTGCAACGCCGAATGCAGACCACCGCGGCAAAGCTGGACCCTGGCCCTCGAGTTGCAATCGAGCCGTACAAGAAGATCCTAAAATGCTCCAATCTGGGCCTGCCACTGCTGGACCAAGCGCTCAATGGGAGCACTCAGCCCACCTCATCGACTTTGTCAAAGACATAGTGGAGGAACGGAGGAAGACGGTGCCCGGAGACAGTGCGACTATGGCCTCGTTGAGACGCTTCGTGCGGACTGCCGAAGCTCAGAAGGGTTTTCCAACGTCCGTGATTTCAAAATTCACGGGGCCCAAGCAGGAGGAGGACGTGATCCTACCGCCTGTGGAAGCAACAACGGCGGTCATTCGATGGGCGAGAGGTTGATTACACAGCTACATTGTATCGAAGGGACTGACTGACTGACATTGATCATAGACCATGCTCAGATCGGCACGATGAGATGGATCTCCCGAATACTCCCTCTCGAAAAGTTTGCAAAGATCTGCCAGAAACTGTATTTCCCCACCGGCGATCACGACCAAGTCGACCTCGTCGTTGGCAACGGCTACCTTTCTTATATGTTCTCTGAACATGCAAATCTTTCCGGCCTACAGGAACACAAGGATTATGGGCATTGCTGTCGGAGCAACCTCCGCAATGCTCTCTTGCGCCTGCCGCTCCTTCTGAAACCATGTATGGAGACCATCGCCGCTCTGACAATAGGCGTGAGTTTCCCCTTGCCGTATGATGCCCCTGTCAAGCTCGCTGACTGCCAACAAGCCAGGCGGCCAGTGCGATTGAATCCTCTCAAGCAGCCATGGCTTGGAGCTTCATCTCCGCCGCCTCCAGTCTTTGTATAACGCTACGGTATCACCGCGGTCCGGCCTCTGATGATCCGCATGGTGTACCTCAAGCCGACCAAGAGCGCCTCTTCTGGACACTTTATGCAATTGACAAGGCCCTCTCTCTCCGACTGGGTCGGCTTTCCAACATCTGTGACTCTGAAGTGCTATTGCCGATAGACCAGTGCGAAATTCGAGAGGCGAAGCTAGGCAGAATACAAGGCCAGATATATGAGCAGTTGCATAGTCCTCAGACTCCCAACAATGCGACCAACGATAAACAACGAAATAGTGCCGTCCAAGTCCTAGCAGAGGCGACACGAGATTTGATCCGACAAACAAACGCTGAAATCTCGGTATGACACGCCCCGACGGGTTTCGTTCCACACTGATATAGATGCAAAGATGCCTCAAGACACCTTAGTGCTGTTGAAGAAGAGAACATACGCCTTGTGTACCTCAAGGCCGAGCTGGTGTGCCAGTCCTCTGTGCTTACATGGATCTTGCATGCAGCGCCCGGCCAGAGGGATGCTACGCATAGCTCGTCAGACGAGTGTGTTGCGGCCGCGCGGTCTGTCTTTCAATTCCACGCAGAATTCCTCGGAATGGCACGGTTCTTGAAAAATGATCCTTTCTTGATACAGAGATATATGAATTGGTAAGCGACGCTGACGTACCGTTCCGTTCGAGGACTGGCCACAGAGCCGCTGACCATGTTGTGAAGGGCACTTCTGAATATTCCATTTGTGCCGTTCAATATCTTGTTGACTCGCACCCTCCAACAGGTCGATGATGCCAACATCGCTCGCAGGGAAGGCTTCACCAATTCGTTGCAGCTGAAAACGGACCTTGGCCAAGGGATAACTCACCCTCACAGCCTGTACAAGCTCTTGTGCCGGGCTGCACAGTGCTACATCGACGAGCATACCCAGTCCAGGACTTATGATCCGACCTTGACCGAGAATGATGTGGCCGAGTTCGGCGAATTCGAGTTTAGACATATGGGTGGCGACGGTCATACGACGCCAGGATGGTTCGACTTGTACAACACCGATCAATACCTTGATCCATGGATGAATGAGGGTAGCATGATTAGGTAGACGTATTTGGATTCGCTTCTCGATCTTCCAGCGAAATGGTCTGGAGGAGAGCGGAGAGAAGGGGTTTCCTGCTTCTGGCTTGTCGACGTTCAGGTTTTGGATTCAAATGCTCCGCCTTCGGCATCGGCGCAACAATAATCCAGACACCCACCCTGCCTCGGTTCCGGTCCAATAGGAACCCGGCCGACGCGGCTTCCCACCGGATAATGGAGCCTTCTGGGCCTTCCAGTATCTCGTCCCCCTAAGCAGCATCTCCTGACCAACGAGTAAGCTCGTTATCTCGACTACTCATTCTCCTATATTCCACATTATCTCCCGCAGCTCTCTTTCATTACCAATCCATCTACCAACCAGATTTTCGGGTAGATTCCCAATCACCTAGTCAATATGGACGTCCTTGAGTTGCCTGCTTCTCACACCTCGCTTCTCTAACCCGTGTGCTGGCCGCCTTGTTCCTCACGGCTCTTTTCATCCGGTAATCTTTGTAACAGAAACATCTCACCGTCATGGGGAGAGGAAAGAAACCAGCCAAAAGACCTCCACCACCGTCCCCTAGAATTATGCTGCACAATGTGACCGAAGTAGACCAGGCAAGTATTGGGCATGAGCGTTCGTCGGTGGCTTCCCTAACGGGAGCTTAGCAAGTCCTCGTACCACGGTTTGACGGATTATCCGTAACTGATGACTGCGGCATCATACCACTCGACAAGACCCGGCGACGTTCCATTGCTGAAGACGTTCATGCAAGAGAATTGACCGCAGAACTGCGCGTCGCCCGTGCAGCAGAAGTAACAAAGTCGAAACTTGAGAATGACTTCGTCGAGGTGACCTCCACACCGGATCGCGGTCTTGCTGTATTTTCAACTCGCAAGATCAAAGCCGGGACACTGTTGCTCGCCGAACACCCCCTAATCTCACTGGACAAGCACGAGGAGAACGACTACAGCGCGATCGAGCGGGAATTCTCCAGGCTCTCGCACGCAGACCAAAAGATATATCTGCGCCTCTTCGACGCACAGAAGTCGCGCATGTCCCGCGTCGTCTCGATCTACTACAGCAACTGCTACAACTGCGAGGGTTTCAGACCCAGCGGCCTGGGCGGCTCGGCGATCGGTGCATTGTCCAGTCGCCTCAACCACAGCTGCGTCCCCAACGTGCAATTTTCCTACGACGAGGCCAGCAACGAGATGCGGTTCTACGCCATCAGGGACATCTCGAGGGGAAAGGAGATTTGCAGCAACTACGACAAGTCGGTCTTTGAACCCGCGGCCAAGAGGCGGAGAAAGCAGCAAATGTACTATGGCTTCGTGTGCCGCTGTGAGGCGTGTGAGCCGAAGACCGAGTTCTGGGCCAAGAGCGATGAGCGGAGGCTGGGGATGTACGATGCAATTCGAGCCGTCCAATGGTGCGACAAGAAGTTGGCCGCGGGGAACGAGGAAGTAGTGGTTGAGAAAGCCCAAGCTGGAGAGGCTGAATTTGTCCAAGAAGCATGGGATTCCTTGACGAGACTAGAAGGGTTACTGCTGAAGGAGAGCCTCGTGGGAGCGCCCCTGGCAAACACTTACCGGAGCATGGCGAAGTGGGCCGAGAGGAAAGGCCATGAAGGCGTCGACGAGGCTGTCAGATGGAAGGTCAAGGAGCTCGAGACATGTATCATTGCGTTTGGCAGAGATTGTCAAAGGACCAAGGACATCGAGGCCAAGTTGGAAGCACACCAAGCCGGGAGGAGCATCTGACGTGGGCCCGGCGTTGCAATTTGCTACGATTTGGCTCTGTTCCATAATTTAGAAAGTAGACTAGACCTAGACCGTATAGAATTAGAACGGGAGCAATCCTGAGTAGGGTGATGTTGGTCAAGCGACTCACACATGGTTTCTCGTTACTCGCTCTAAGCGTACTCGTTCTATATCTACCGTGTACATACCTAGGTACCTTAGGTAGGCAGAGTAGCTAACCCTTCTGCGCTTTCAGTTTATACGCCGCCTCCTCCAACTCGACGAGCAACTCCATGCACAAGGGATCGCCGGCGGGGACGATCTGGTTGAACAACGTGCCAGCCATGCCGCCCTTGCGGTCGACCCACCAGAACAAGTTAGGCAAGCCGCCCCAATTGACGGTGCCGCTCTGTCTGCGGCCGGGGACGTCCTCGAGGTTCACGGCCCCGGCAAGGGAGTGGCCCGCGGGGACGGAGCCTTGTTCCTTGGCGGAGCCGTCGGTGGCGGCGGCCGTGGCGGCCGTGGCGGCGGCGCTGGCGGTCGACGAAGACCACAGGCGGTCGCGCCCGCTGTTCCGGACGGTGGTGTGGAACGCCTCGGTGCTGAGCTTGCCGATCTGTGGGCGGAACATCTCGTCCACGCTCTCCGTTTTGAGAAGCGGGCCACCCCCACGAAGCAGGCAGCCTAGGAGCTTGATGTAGTCGTCCGCGGTGCTGTAGAGGCCCGCGCCGCCGATCGCGTCGCGCGGCGACAACGGCCACAGCGACGTCGCGGGCTTCGAGGCGACCGCTTTCCCGGTTTCCGCCGGGTCGGTGCGTTGCGCTGTCTCGTGCAACGCCGGCATGGGCTCCGGGTCGAAGTGCTTGGTCGGGTAGAAGGTCGTCGACTTGGCCCCGAGTGGGCCCCAGATGTTTTCTTGCATGTACGTGTCGAGGTTTTGTTTCGTGAGAGCCTCGACCTGGGTAAGTGGCCGCACAGTCAGTAATGCACACGGGTGGGTTGGAAGATCAAACAAGTGAGGTTTCTTTTTTCTTGAGATCTACAGGATGAGGGGGCCTTGGGAGAAACCACAATGGACAAAAACGCACCACTTGTCCAGCCCAGTCAAGGCCATCGCTATACATCCATGATTCACCTGGTTGATAGAGCAATGGATGTAATGAGCCTTCCTGGAGTACGACTGGTCATCAGTTTCCACATCCGTCTGGTCCGAAGCAGAGATGAGCAGTCTCACAATCTTGCCACTGAACATGTTATCTGTTCTCCCCATCGCAGCTGACCATTTCATGAGCAGCGGACTGCTTAGGTCATAGCAGAACCCCGATGTGTGGGACATGAGCTGTCTGAAAGGTCACAGGGTTAGTCGATGCCAGATTACCCAGAGTTGTCGGTCCCTCTAGGCTGCACAGGGAGAGAAAGGGCGCTCCAGACCGTAGAGTGATCTTCCCCTTGACGTCTTCCAGGATGGGCTTTCCGGAAGGCTTCATCTTGCCCAGATCCACGCCACCACCGGGCTTTGAAATGGATTGGAGGTCCGGCTCGACCGCTTGGTCATCTCCTTCGAAGCCAAGGAGGACTTTCACGTCCTTCAACACCGGGAGCACTTGGCGCACGTCGTCGTCCAGACCAATGAGGCCTTTCTCAACTAGCTGCATCACCGCGACAGAAGTCACAAGCTTGCTCTGGCTGGCGATCCATGTCAGGGTTTCTGGTGTCAGTGGATCCGATCTGTCGACGGTTCGACCCCCGGACGAGCCGCGGTAAAGGGTATTGCCTTGGAAATGTCAATGGTCGTAAGGCCAGAGACACTGGTGGCACGATTAATGATGGCCATATGGGACTTGCTCACCTGCACTGTCGACGGCGATGAAGGTGGCGCCGTGCACGCTACCCGTCGCAGGATCGGTGTATTTTCGGAGAATCTCGTCGAGCTCAGCCATTGTCGTGTTTGTCCGTGTGGTATCAGAGACTTGTTCCAGAGAGGATGTCAATTACGCGCAAGATCAACTGCTGAGATGCATTATTAATACATACGTAGCCTTTGAAAACGAAATACCGGATTTATACCCTCCATCGCCGAGGCCGCTGGGACCGGTGGCCGGATGTCGAGTTGCTCCTGGTCGTACGACGCTTCTCTCCAACCTTCAAACTCCACCTCAGGATCCTGTTTCGCCGTTTCCGGTTGTAGGTTTGATGCTTACCGGCGGAATGTCACGACAGAACCTCGGCGAATGGAACCAATCATACGAAGGCCAAATACATTTCTGGTCAGACTTGAAAAGCCGAACCGAAGAAGTATCCAGTCCCGTCATACTGGGGCTTGTGAACTGAGGCTGGTAAAAGAATACATGCCTATGACCTTCAATGCCGTGTGAGGATCTTGGGGAGTCGATAGGTCTGGGGAAATGCAAGTCTGAAAAAAGATTTATCTCCCAATTTCATGTGCGTGAAAAGGCAATGCTTCCTTTTCTGTCTCATGCCCAATATGGCGTACACTGTCCACTAAGCAAGGCTTTGGAACCGTGTGGCGATGGTTCCATCCCTCTCTTAGCGACCTAGGCAATGGCTAGCCTGGCTCTAGTCCCGACAGTCTGCTTTGTGTCATAAATCTATGGCTAACCTAGGGATATGTTCTGAGCCGGTAGCAGCCCTGAGCAGGCATAACGTTGCAGCACCGGTAATGCTCGCACTGGTCTCGAAGTCCCATTCATGAGTCGTCGAATTCTTGCCAAGTCGCTGCCTCCCTGTTGTCTACTCTCACAGTCCCTTTACCCATAGCCGTAGACCACTGGCTGCGGCACCGATCTCGCAGACGTCGCAAATCTTGCACACTTGTCCCTTGAACTGGGTCTGATACTTGGACCCGTCGAACGAACATGACACGCTCTGTGCTCCAGTGTAGATTGGGCTAAAAGACGCTGCGCATACGTCAAAATCTGCGAATTGGTCGTACTCAATTTGGATCCTGTCGCTTGACCCAAGACGTTCAGCCTGTTGTTTGATCTTCTTCGCCTGCAGAGGAAGTTAGCAACAAAGACAGACAGGTTTTCCGCATATACTGACCTGGTCAACCAATTTGACCGCACCACCGTTGGCAAGGATTCGATTTGCAAAAGACAATGCACTTGAGTACTGTCTATTCGAGAAGGCCAACTTCATAGCTGCCATAAGTGCCAGTTGTCGATGAGCGACCTCAAGTTTCGGCATGGTGAAGTATGCAGAAAGCTCGAGCTGTCGCTGAAGCTGCGCTTCTTCATCACCGCCTGCAGCTGCAAGCCGACGTCTTTCAAGCTCGATGCTCATTGCCAGCGTGTATTCCATCGCTTTCGTAACGAGCGCTTTGGCTTCATCGACTTGTGCCTGCGAACTAACAACATTGACGAGAAGCGATTGCAGCAGCTTCCGGAACGTGAGAACACCATGCTCCAGTCTGTTTGTCCTCATGGCCGTGTATCCTTCCTGAAGGTCAACGTTCGTCAGAGTCTCTAGGTTTCTGGGGATGACAGGAAGGAGCTTTCTGTTGTCCGTCTCTTCAGTGGTGCGCCGAACGTAGTTCACAAGAGGAGGCAAGCCAGCATTGGCGGGCAAGAATGTTTTAGACGCCTGGTAAATTTCCAGGAACCTTGACTTGAGCGGCTCAAAATGCACTGCGCCAACTTGGCGGTTCAGCAGCTGCATGGCACTGTCGAAAGCGCCTGCTGCAACGTGGTCTGCTGCCAGAGGAGAGTTTCTGGACCACATATCTGCTTCTGAGCTGCCCGGTCCAGCAGCCTCCGCAGGTGCATCCGGGTTGTCGACATTGACGAAATCGGAATCATTCCCTGCGGCCTCAAGCCCGATGTCGTCACCCATGTCCCAGCCTTCGCCAGCATCCACCTCCTCGTCTGCCGCGAGTCCGTCACCGTCTGCAGCGACGGGCACTTCTTCTGTGAGGAGATCAGGGCTAGTTTCGTCTTCAACTGCCACTCCAACCTCGCCGAGGAGTGCTCTTTCGAAAGAGGAATGTGACGCTTCCTTAACAGGCCAGTTTGCTCTATAGGTAGGAACAATGACCTTGGGAAGAGCGAGCCCTTCTCCAGACTCAGGCATCGAGATTTGATCCTCCGTCAACCCGCAAATCTCGAGTATTGACTGACATTCTTCGGTCAGCCCATGAGACTTTGCTGTAAGATAAGCCAAGGGATATTGATCGATCTCCTTGAACATTTGTATCCGGCTCTCCACATCGCCGAGGTATAGCGCGTTCTGGAATCTAGAGACAAAATCCCCTCGATGCTCTGCAATTTTGGCCATTCTCGTCAGTTTCTCCTCGTCACCCGTGCAAAGGTACAAGAATGAGAGTTTGTCGAAGTTTCGAAGTTTTTGATAGGTCATTTCCACAGTTTGATGATTGCCGTGTACTAAAGCCTCGGCGCCTAAGCGTGTCCAAATCTTGGGCCTGTCCAACTCTTTGGCCATTTCTGTCGCAACTTCCAGGTTGCCGCATTCGATGGCGAGTTCGAATCTCGTCTGGGGATCTTGCACAAACTGTAAAGCAATCTCGGGATAGCCCTTCTTTTGTAGGTAAGAGATGATGCTCTGCCCAACCAGAGGTGAAGTCTTGATGATCTGGAGCATTTCATCATAGTTACGCTTCACAAGCGCCAATTTAAATCGGTATTCCGTCGGGTCAATCGTGAGGACTCGGGGCTTGGAGGATCTGTCAAGGCAGTAGACATTTCGACCTTTCACTTTGACAAGATAAACCGTCTGGTCAAGTGTCCTAACGATGCCGTTGTCACCATTGAGCAGAGTGTACTTGATATGGTTGAGTGTCGAGTAGAGCAGGACGCCAGAGTCGTCCCAGGCGGCGCTCTTGATTCTGATCGTCTCGTGCAGGGTGCTGACTTGTTCCAGGGTTTTGTTTACAATGGTGACATTGTGCTTGCTAAGCAGGGCAGCATATAGACCATCATTTGACCACGCAACATATTTGACGCCGGTAACGCTCAGTTCTGCCAGCTGCTTCTTCTGTTGAAAATCGTAGAGGACAACGTTCGTGGGAGAAATGAGAAGGAGACAGCTAGTGCCACCATATGAGATATCGGTCGTGCCGGCAGGTGCTTTGAAGGATTTGGTTGTCGAATTGCTGAGATCTTTGATTTCGACCAACTGAGTGGAAGTGCTGAAAACGGCAAAGCGGTTGCGGGCCACAAAGACTGCTGCGTTGCCTGCTCCACGCTTGATGTCTGTTGGATCCGTAGCTCCTGTGGCATCTCGCGGAAGTGCAATCAACTCGAAAGTGCCATTATCAGTGGGTGAGGTGACCAGGATTGACCGCTCTGCTGGATTGTAAGAAAGTGTGCGAGGAGGCACCCAATTGCTGCCAAACTTCCTAAGCGACAGAAGTGACGGAGACTCGACATTTTTGGTGAAGTCGTAAGATCGGACATGCTTATCCTTTGTGATATAGAATAGCTGATTCTGGTACACTGAGGATGCAGGTCGCTCTCGTTCGAGTTTGAAGACCATGACACCGTTGTCATGGCCGGCAGCAAAGAGATTGATTTCAGGATGGGCGGCAATAACCCAAAAACGATCATTCTCCCGCTTGAAGGATTGGACGGAAGTTCTCTTGTTCAAGTCCCAGACACGAATAGTTTTATCCTCACCCACGGACAAAATGAGATCTTGATGCGGATGGAACAAGCATGCAGAGACATTCTGGAAGTGCCCTCGGCATGTGTCAACCTCCCACGCCTTGGTCTCGCTCATTCTCCACAGCTTGACGAGCCGGTCATCGCCTGCGGAGACGATCAAAGGTAGGGTCGGGTGGAAAGCCACCCAATTGACACCTCGATCGTGCCCTTCGAGAACAAATTTGACGACGGCATCAGTATTGCCAAACATATCCGCCTGTTGTTGGTTTGCTCGGGCCATCTGATCCTCGAAGCTCATCGATGTTGGCGCCGAGTGCTTTTTCCGTAGTCCTGAGATATCCCACACTCGGACGGATTGATCAAGAGAGGCGGAAACGATGAGGTCTTCCTTAGGATGGAACTGGGCGCACATGGCATAGTGATTGTGACCCGTCATTGTGCAGACTATTATGTGCGTCAGAGACAATCGAGGACCATTGTGGGTAGAACATACTCAAAGACCGGTTCTGCCAGTTCCAGATCCTAATTGTCTGGTCGTCAGAGGCAGACAGAATCCAGGGCAGCTCATGGTGGAAAAAGACTGTTCGCACATAGTCCAGATGACCATTGAGGGTGAACAGACACCTCCTCGTCTGGTAGGACCAAACTTTGATCTTGTAGTCGTCTCCTCCTGACACAAAGAGCGGCTGTGTCTTGTGAAAGTCGATGCCACGGACCGGTCCATCATGCTCTTCGAAGCGGTCAATCAAGGTTCCCATGCGATAATCCCATAGTCTGTCGAGCGGTTAGTTTGGGCGCCGGAAGAAATGGGGTCTAGGGACTGTACTGGATGGTGCTGCTATGCAAGCTGACGAGTATCCATGGTCGTTTTGGGTGGAAAGCTAGGCCCTTTGCGCGACTGCTCTTACTCTCAAACTGTACTCGAAGGTCAGAGACATTGAAACAGAAGACAGAAGGCCAAGGCTTGCCTTTGTGAGCATTGAAGGGGCCGCCATGCTGGCCACTTTGAGACGACTTCAATTTGCGGAATTCCTCAACGACGGGTTGTAATCATGCTGCACCCCTCCTATACTGCGTCGGTATCAGGATCTGCCGGCGAGAACTGTTGCGTTTGTGTTATTTGTGTCCCAGTCGGAAAGGCATAGGTGGCTCCCTATGGGGTGTGGGTGCGGTGCTCAATTCAGTGACAGGCAAATGTCCGCAGCCTGACAGCGATGCGCAAAAAGGAAGGTACGGCGAGGCTGCGCTGCGCAATGTGGGGACTTGGCCAGTTTATCGATTTCGACGGCTTGTTAGTATTAGTCCACCGTCGATTTCACCCCGAACTTGCCAGAGTGGCTCACTTTTGTTGTAGAAGTCCATCACCACTTTGATCTGGCAGTGTAGTCCTTGATACTTTTGGTATTCAGCTGGAACGGATAGGTGGCTTTCTACTATCCTTCTTCAGCCCAGACCGACGAACCTGCGGTTCCATCTCCTAGCCACTCGCTCACTCGGTCCTATTTCCATCAGCATGTGCTTGTGACGGATTAGAGACACCTACGACAATGGACCAGGCTCAGTACGACGCGATCAAAGACAACTGGGGGGAAGTTGAGGATAGGGATGGCGTCAGACTCAGTTGGAACGTCATTCCATCGACGCGCATGGTACTATAGGAGACTCAGCGACAGTCCTGAAATAAACTAACAGCTATTCTTCAGGAAGCAAACCGACTGGTGGTCCCTGTGAGCTGTTTGCTCACTCCGCTCAAAGTGAGTGCCTCGAATGCAAAAGAGTTCCTCGTGCTGACGTTAGGATAGGAACTGGGCAAACCACCACTTCCGTATGAGCCAGTCACCTGCAAAGCGCCGTGTCGGGCGGTCCTCAACCCTTTCGCTAATGTCGATGTCCGAGCCAAACTATGGATTTGTCCCTTCTGTCTGCAACGCAATCCGCTGCCTCGCCACTATGGAGATATCAGTGCCGAGAACATCCCGCCAGAGATGCACCCCACGAACACTACCGTCGAATACAAGCTAGCGCGACCTGCTCCTGCCCCTCCCATTTTTGTGTACGTTGTCGATACTGCGATCGAGGAAGATGGCTTGCAGGCATTGAAGGAAACTCTGGTCATGAGTTTGTCATTACTTCCTGCGAATGCGCTAGTGGGACTTGTTACATTCGGAACAAATGTTGCTGTGCATGAGATTGGCTATACCGAGTGCCAGAAGTCATATGTCTTTAGGGGCAGCAAAGACTATGCCGCAAAGCAGGTTCAGGAGATGCTGGGCTTAGCCGCGCCTGGCCTGAGACCTAATGTGCCACCAGTGCAAGGACGACCACCCCCACCAATGGGCCCTGCTGCCCGATTCCTCCTTCCTGTCCAGCAAGCGGAATTCCAGATCACCAATGCAATTGAACAGCTGCAAAAGGACCCTTGGCCTGTTGCGAACGACCGCCGGCCACTTCGCTGTACCGGTGTTGCCATGAGTATTGCAGTCGGCTTGCTGGAGACATCATTCCAAAACGCTGGAGCCAGGATCATGCTCTTCGCTGGTGGTCCGGCCACCGAAGGACCTGGTATGGTTGTTGCCCCAGAACTGCGCGAGCCTATCCGATCGCATCACGATATCGATCGAGATAACGTCAAGTACTTCAAGAAGGCCATCAAATTCTACGATGGTCTGGCGAAACGCACTGCCCACAACGGACACATCATCGATCTATACGTCGGTTGTCTTGACCAAGTGGGCTTGCTTGAAATGAAGGGATTGGCGAATTCAACTGGGGGGCATATGGTCTTGACGGACAGTTTCACCTCATCGCAGTTCAAGCAGTCTTTCGTACGAGTCTTTGATAAAGATGAGACCGACAACCTCTTGATGGGATTCAATGCATCTCTTGAGGTCGTTACAACGAAAGAGCTCAAGGTAACCGGTCTGATTGGCCACGCTGTTTCCCAGAATAAGAAGTCTAGCTCTGTTGGCGAGACAGAATGTGGTATTGGCAATACTTGCCTCTGGAAAATGTGCGGCATTGATCCCACGTCCAGCTACGGCATTTACTTTGAGGTTGCAAATCAGGGTGGTCCAGCACCTGTGCAGCAAGGCCCTCAAAGGGGGATGATGCAGTTCTTGACATATTACCAGCATTCTTCTGGACAGTATCACCTACGTGTGACCACTGTTGCTCGCAATTTGAGCGGACCAACTGGTGATCAAGCCTTGGCACAATCTTTCGATCAGGAAGCTGCAGCCGTGCTCATGGCAAGGATTGCAGTCTTTAAAGCAGAGGTTGACGATGGACCAGATGTGCTCAGATGGGTGGACCGAATGCTCATACGGCTCTGCTCACGCTTCGCAGACTACCGCAAAGATGACCCAACATCCTTCCGACTTGACAAGAACTTCACCCTCTATCCTCAGTTCATGTTCCACCTGCGCAGATCGCAATTCCTCCAGGTATTCAACAACTCCCCCGACGAGACGGCATTCTATCGACACGTGCTCAATCATGAATACGTGGGAGATTCGCTGATCATGATTCAACCCACCCTGGACTCGTACGGTCTTGACCACGAAGGTGGCCAACCGGTCTTGCTCGACTCCGCCTCCATCCAACCGCAGACCATTCTCCTTCTAGATACATTCTTCCAGATTCTCATCTTCCATGGCGAAACGATGGCTGAATGGCGTAAAGCAGGCTATCATGAACAGGAAGGCTATGAGAATTTCCGGGCTGTTCTTGACGCACCAAAGGAAGACGCACGAGAACTCGTACAGGACCGATTCCCCCTGCCACGATTTATCATTTGCGATGCTGGTGGTTCACAAGCCCGTTTCCTCCTATCAAAGTTGAATCCTTCGACCACCCACGCGACTGGTGGTTACGGTGGTGTTTCACAGTCCGCGCAGACGATTTTCACTGATGATGTTTCATTGCAAACATTTATGGACCATCTGATGAAGTAAGTTCCCTCTCGTTATAACTCTTGACTTGTACTAATTCTGTTCAGACTGGCGGTATCTGGGTCTAGCTAGAGGCATGCAGAAGGAACAATGATGATGGCGTGGATGGGCACGTGGAAGTCCGTCTCTGCGATGTGGCCTCTCATGTTGGACGTTTCTCCCCAGGTCCCTAGGAACCTGTTCAAGGGTCGGTCGCAGCTCTTTTACAAGCGACTAAGTTGAGCGGCCAGATAGCGGTAGAAGGTTGGCACGACATGAAACGAGTTCACACAATGTACTTGATAAAAGCGCTCTGTGGATCTGCCGAACGGCATCTGCGCGAACCATGTTGACCTTTCCGTATTTGGAATAATTTCACCCACAAGTCGAAGTCTTGGCAGCAACCGAAAAAAGTTGCTAGTCTTGTTCAATTTCGCGAAACGGCCCTGCTTAGTTTTCTATTCCCTCCAGCTCACGTCAATTACCTCAAGAGAGACTGACTACCTTTCGCACTCGCCATGCGTAAGTATCGTCTTCTTGAGCAGCATCAGCTCGGCGGCTAACGTTACTCTTTCAGCTCCCAAGTTAGATCCCAATGAGGTGAAGGTCATGTATGTTCGAACGCCCCGGCCAATATCCTACAACCTGCCAATCTCCAATTCGCAAAGAGACTGACATGGCTATCTCTACAGCCACCTCCGCGCCACTGGCGGTGAGGTCGGGTCTTCTGCAACCCTCGCTCCCAAGATCGGTCCTCTCGGTCTCTCACCCAAGAAGGTCGGAGAAGACATTGCGAAAGCCACCGGTGACTGGGTACGTCTATCTATCTAGAACAAAGCTGTAACCCAAGTCATGGAAAGGACCCAGCTAACAATTTTGTGTGTGTGTGTGATATTTGTAGAAAGGTCTCCGCGTCACCGTCAAGCTGACGATTCAAAACCGACAAGCTGCCGTCAGCGTCGTCCCCTCTGCCTCGTCCCTGGTCATCAGAGCCCTGAAGGAGCCTCCTCGAGACCGAAAGAAGGAGAAGAACATCAAACACTCCAAGTCGATCCCCCTCGATGAGATCTTCGACATTGCCCGGACCATGCGTGGTGCGAACAAGTCGCTCGCTCGCGAGTTGAAGGGTACAATCCTGGAGATTCTGGGCACGGCATTCAGTGTCGGTTGCCAGGTTGACGGGAGAAGTCCCAAGGACATCAGTGATGAGATCAAGGAAGGGTCAATTGAGGGTTCGTTCTCGCCGTATTCGACCCGACACCTTTTGTTGGGGCTTTTTTGCTAACTCTTATATACGACAGTGCCGGATGAATAGATCTAGATGCAATGTCCATGTCTGCTGAAGAACCCGCGAATCTCCTCCGGTCGAGGTGGCGTAGTGCAGCAGAGACGTGTCATTCCACGAACGATGCCCGGAAGTCATGTCTAAGTCCCTCATCAAAACCCAGTAATGAGGATAACGAGAAAAAAGAATTGAAAAAAATCAAACAGGCAAGGGCAGGGTCAGGCGTTTGGCTGGCCGATACCCATTCATTTCTTGTTCCTGGTCCAAAAGCTTGCTCTACTTGCCCTTTCCATCCATTCATTTCTCCCCTCCCCTTTCCCTTTCCCTTTCCCTTTCCCATCCTCACCCACCCTCTTTTACTCTTACAAGCCCACAGAGACAAAAAGAAAACACACAAAACAACCTTTGCCAACACTCTGGCCTTTATCCCTTTCCGTCATCGGAAAACCCTCCTAGGATAATGTTGCCTATTTTGATGCAAAGAAGATCAATCCGCAAAGTTGACACTCTACTCACCACGGCATTTCCATATCTCCATCCATGGATGCAGTGGTCCATCATCCTTCGTGTCTACAAAACACGCTTCATAAATTCCCCTTATTACGATGTACGCATGTGAAAGAAAGGAAGTAAGGGTTCGTGATGACGGCCGCCTGCAGCTTCTTTTTAAATACCCAGAGTATGCAAACAACGCCAATGTCAATGTCATTCGAGTCTAATGTCTGGAGGTTTCTTTTTGTTTGCCGTTTCGACAGCACGTCGATGGCGTGGTACTCGCCTAGTCCGTGCATATCGATATGGAGGAAGAGGTAATCAGATCTATATTGAAAGGTGAAGGATACATAAGTTTCTTCCTCCTTCTCCTTCTCCTTCTCCTTCTCCTTCTCCTTCTCCTTCTCCTTCTCC